TCATTTTTTTTTATGAAATCAAATAATATGAAAGCATAAATCATTTTGTACACAAGAAAGAATGAAATATCAATAATGACACAGTCCACAATGATACATATTTAACATGTAAAAGATGTTCTATTTCTTTACAATTTTACCAGTGAATTCAAACAAAGCTTACACTGACACACTACCCAGTATTGTGATAAAAACTGGATACTGGATGTGTTTTCACAAGTCTTGTACTCAATCAATGGAGTGCAGGAGGAATTCGTCCTATCTAGGTGATTCAGTACAAAGGCAGTAAATATAAATTCACCAGATTGACTTCATCACCAGACTGACTTCATCACCAGACTGACATAATCACCAGACAGACCTAAACACACATTGAATCGCACCAGTATAATGTACAAATGACAATTCTTTATTGCATAGATTCCTTTCGACATAATGATGCAAAACGTAAGATAATGAAAAAATGGTTTATTTATCTTTCATGACGAGATGTTTAAAATTTCTGTAACAAGAACAGTATCACATTTATTTTATGTCCAGGACACCAAACCTCTTTATCAAATCAGGCAGGTGTTGTGGGGTTAGCCCAGGAAACCTCTTTATCAAATCAGGCAGGTGTTGTGGGGATAGCCAAGGACACATAACCCCTTTATTGAATCAGGGAGGTGTTGTGGGGATAGCCCAGGACACATAACCCCTTTATTGAATCAGGCAGGTGTTGTGGGGATAGCCCAGGACACATAACCCCTTTATTGAATCAGGGAGGTGTTGTGGGGATTGCCCAGGACACATAACCCCTTTATTGAATCAGGCAGGACTGAAGGACCTTATCACCAGGCTTGCATTTATCTTTGATGAGATCAATGTTCTTAGGTACAATTTACAAACATTGATGAGAACTGTTGTTTGGCTGTGTATGAGTAATTAGAAAACACATCAATAATGAACAATCCTTTACAATTAAACAATGTGCTTACTTTTTAAAAAATGATGAAAAAATACACGGTTTTGATAAACTGAAGTTTACACAATGAACACAAAGGTGCAGAATCTGTCCACATTCTTTTTACCATACCATTGTGCTCAAAACTGCCTCTGAGATATCATGAGATAAGTTTGATAAATACATTTCAATCTTAATTGGAAGGTGAAGAAGAATAGAATATAAAAAATTCCTACATGGTGTGATAATGCCATGAAATGTTTCCTTCACAGTGATTTTCAGAATGATAAGACAAAAAGCAGTGTAATGTTAATCCACATTTCATTCTAACTCTGTGTCAGATAAACAAGACTGGGTTAAGTGTCTGTATTACATTCTAACTCTGTGTCAGATAAACAAGACTGGGTTAAGTGTCTGTATTACATTCTAACTCTGTGTCAGATAAACAAGACTGGGTTAAGTGTGTATTACATTCTAACTCTGTGTCAGATATTACATTCTAACTCTGTGTCAGATAAACAAGACTGGGTTAAGTGTCTGTATTACATTCTAACTCTGTGTCAGATAAACAAGACTGGGTTAAGTGTCTGTATTACATTCTAACTCTGTGTCAGATAAACAAGACTGGGTTAAGTGTCTGTATTACATTCTAACTCTGTGTTTAACAACTAGAGTGGGTGAAGTGTCCGCAACTTATTACAACCTATTTCTGTACCAAACAACCACACATATTCAGATATTTAGTCCAAAATCAATGACAAGGCTTTAGTTCAAAATACAACCAAATTATCTGTCTGAAGCCCAGAAAAGAGTTGAGTGTCCTTAACTCAACCCAATTTTGTGTCCAACACCCATGAAGAATTAAATGTTCATAATACAACCTATTTCTTTCTTCAACACTCATGAGAGGGTTAAAAATCAATTTTACAACCTAATTCTTTGTCCAGTACCCATGAGAGGGTTAAAAAGCAATTTTACAAGCTAATTCTTTGTCCAGTACCCATGGGAGGGTTTAACATCCATTTTACAACCTAATTCTGGTCCAGTACCTATGGGAGGGCTTAACATCCATTTTACAAGCTAATTCTGGTCCAGTACCCATGAGAGGGCTTAACATCCATTTTACAACCTAATTCTTTGTCCAGTACCCATGGGAGGGTTTAACATCCATTTTACAAGCTAATTCTGGTCCAGTACCCATGGGAGGGCTTAACATCCATTTTTCAACCTAATTCTTTGTCCAGTACCCATGATAATGCACAGTCCCTATAATAATCATTACTACAGCTACACACAAACATCATACCTCTTATATCTAACTCTGATTCAACATCACCACAAGAAAATTGAAAATGAACCACATCTTCTCACTTAAATTATTCACAAATTTCTAATATCCCAACATGTCACAGTAATAGAAACAGAGTTGGGATATAGTTAAGGCCAGGTTAAAATATCTTTGGTCATAATTCATAACTAAACATTTCCTTTACCTTGGGGAGGGGGGGGGGGGTGGGGTGGGCGGGGTTGGAAATCTGGGATGTTGTAAATTTGAAAGTGTGTTAACAAATGTGTTCTGTATAACAGAAAATCTAGTGTGGTGTATTTCATGATTTCTAGAAAAAACTTTGTTGAGTGGACGGATGAATTGGAATGTTATTATAAGCCTGGTTACCAAGGGAACATAGCCATTATCTGCATAGTTGACAAAGGCCCAATGGGCTTCCATAACTCACTAATATTGAATCATGTTGGAAAACATCTTAAATGTGACCTCTAGAGTCAGTAAAGGCCACCTTTGTTAATTAAAATAAAAATGTACAACCAGAGCTAGATCTTTGTAGTCTTTTGTTGGCAGATTTCCGTGTAGTGTACTTAAGTGGATGAAAATAATTATAGCCTAGAATAGTAAAGAACATGCCCAAAGATACAACTCTACCACATAACAGATCGTAATAAAAGAAAATGTTATTTCAGAAGAGAAATCGACTTCAACTCATGACTCACAAAGTAGGTCAAGGTTATCCATTAATCAGACGACCAAATAAACGGACAAAGTATTGACCAACTTCAATGTTCATGAATCTTGTAAAACATATATTTATACAAGATTTCAGTTAATTTGGAAACTCTGACCTTGAAAATGAGGTACTGTTATTGATAAGAAACTGAGTCAAGGTCATTTATTTGAATGTACTTTACCATCATAATCAGTCTAACAAATTCTGATCCAACATCATAAGCTTAAATCTTTGATTTTTGAAGATTTTGAAAGATTTCAATATATTTCAACACTTTGACCTAAAGTATGACATGATTATTTACTCAAAGTTGAACAAATTTGATAAAACTTTTATCAAAATAAACTACAATCCAAATACTACATTATGTAACATAATTAGTCTAAATCTGATCAATTATCAGTTATATCTTTCAGAATATGATTAAGGCTCAGCAGTAGTTAATTGATCTCATCACGCTGGGTAGCTCTCTTACGTCTAAAAGCTAGAGGTCAAGAGTACCATAACCTGTGTGATTTGTATTCTTCAGTTAAGTTATAGAGCTAATGTGAAACAATATGGGCGGACAGATTCTGTAAACATTAACTGGAAGGCACTTTGTGCCAGATGAGAGCTAATATCATCTTAATTGCCACAGGAATAATGGTATAAACATGTTAATTGATGATTAATTGTCTATTGTATGTAAGTATATTAAAATGTTTGTAAAGAAAATGTTAAGCAATCTATGAGAAGTACTGTGACATCAAAGCTACACATTCTTTGAGGCACTAAGAATTAATTTTCGATCAGAAAAAATACAAATTTTAAAAAATACAAGAGAATATTACAGAAAGTTCAATAAATTTAAGCTAGATGCTACTTAATCAATTACTCTTTACAAATCTACAGTAGATAGCACTCAATATATATACCATATATAATCAACAAAACAAATCTTCATGCATGTACAGTAATATTCATGACAGCAATACTTCAGCTGGTGTACTATATAAAATGTGAAATGAATTAAAGTTTTTACAGGTCTTGATTTCAGTATACCTGTAAATACTCTGATGTTTGATGATTCATGGTGTATCATCAGTACTGACAAGTTGCCCAGTTGAACAACAAATTTAATTTCAGAGATAGGAGTAAGCTGTCATTTTTAAGAGAAGCAAAACTTTTGAAATAAACTATCAATATGTGACATTATATTGAATCTATCATCGGGTATTGCTACAATTTTTAAGTTTTCTATTTAATTATTTGAAAAATTCAGTTGCTGTAAATAAAAATTAAGTTTAAAATAGGTGATGTTCAGGAAAACCATGATGATCAAGAAGTCAGGTTACAAAATGGCCAACATGACTGTGATGTCAAAGTTTTGATGAGACAGAATAACAACATTTTTTTGGCTTCCTTTCCAAAGTGTCCATGTCAATTTTCAACTCCATGGCACCTGTTAAACTGGAGAATCATAAATATGATTTTTATTTTGGTTTCATTTTAAATTTCACCATAGACTGTAATATATGTAAGGTTGGAATGTTATACAAACCAGAACATTTGAGCATAATTCATGTAAAATCATTTTCTTTATTGTATCTGTCTACCAAATCAATTAATTCTCATCACAGGAAACTGACAACAGTATTTATCTTTTGTAAACAGGAAGAACTTTTTAACACAAATCTAGAAATTCAGTTCTCTGTCTCAAGTTCTCCCTGTATATATAATCTACCTCCACACCTTTAACATTTGGTGGGTACATGTGATCTTCCAATATTATAATGAAAGATAGACATTTCATGTACATATTTGATAAAAGTGATTGTAAAAATCTAAATTCAAATTTGATAAAGCGAAAGATTGAATTTTGCAAAGATTAATTTTTCACCAAAAAAGCATATGTTTCTCTTAAAATACTTTATAATATTTTTTTCCTATTACAGAAAACAAAACAATTGTAATTAATACTGTTTAAATGCAAAGCAAAATGGAAATGTCTTTGAAAAAACAAAACTAATCTAAAAATCATTTATGTGAATATTCTCCCATGTTTTGTCAGCATTAGTTTCAGTATACTTTTCCTCTCTATTATCTATGTATTGTTTTCACCATATAATCACAGTTTAATTACGACATGTTAGAGCTGTTGTTGTTTTTCTGGCCCTTCGTTACCGTTGTATACAGCTACTGTTGTTTTTCGAGCCCTTCGTTACTGTTGTTTACAGCTGCTGTTGTTTTTCTGGCCCTTCCTTACTGTTATTTACAGCTGTTGTTGTTTTTCTGGCCCTTCGTTACTGTTGTTTACAGCTGTTGTTGTTTTTCTGGCCCTTTGTAACTGTAGCAGCTGTAGGGGAGGACACAGATTTCTTGGGTCGTTTTGTTCTGTCCGACCTTCTCTGACCTTGGACTGGTTGCCATGGATTCAGGACTGGTCCCTCATCTGTAAAGCTATCGTCTCTTTGCAAAGAACCTTCTGTAAAAACAAAATGGAAATATATATATATATGTGTTCTTTAAGTGTCCTTAATCATAGTAAATAATTTACAAGCAAGATATAATTTTGCAAAATGTGTTTTATTTTTAAACTTAAATTAATGAATCTATTCAGTTTTCATAAATCTATTTTCATGTTCAGATGCAGAAGTTTGTATAATCATGAGAAAGATTTCACATTTGTAGATATTTCATCACGATGGTGATACAATGAATCAAAAATATTTTTCAATACTTCTCTGTCAATAAAGATATACTAGCAGAAAAAAGAAACGCAAGTTTATTTTCGATGGTTATTACGTTACATGATTCCTCGATGATTAGAACTGTTTGTGTTTCTCTATTCTTTCATTATTACTGAATACATTTGGATGATTTTTGTTGTCCTATCACATACAGCATTTGCGTGAATAGCGTTAAAACAAGGGTACCCAACGCCCTTTCCTGATCCAAATCAGAATCCTGTGTGACCACCCCTGACTTCAGTCCCTACTCTTTTTCTCCTAAACATTGGCCCCATCAAAGTGTTTATCGTCCTTTAAGGGATATTATTCCATCCCTGAATAAGGGCTTGAATGAGTTGAGCAACGTTATATTGGACAGTAACATGCTTCCTAACCCTCCTGTACAGCTTGTCCCAGAAATGCACCATCCAGGACAAATCTGGACTGTATGGTGGCCAATCAAGGACTGGGATGTTGTTTGGAGCCAGAACGTCACGACAAACCCTAGCAACATAGGGCCTTGCATTGCCCTGCTGGAACATAAGCATTCAATGTTTGTGTTGCCTCTGCATAAACAGCAAATCAACAAAGGGATGTCGAGGCCTTAAATGAAACTTCAGCAACTGATTCCTAACTGTTCCTGGACACAATGGCTGACCAGGAGTGCCGGCAACTTGGAATACCGTCTCCAACACCGTCTGAAATCGGTTACAGAGGTGCAAGAGACATATGCCTCTATCTTACTCCTGGGATGGTCTTCCAATCTCACTGTGGCTCTGAGACGCCCAACTAAACGGGATATTGTTGTCTTATGTACACCATATTGCTGGGCTACATGATGTTGCGAATGCACCTGCATTATCAGAGCAATTGCCTAACCCTTTCGAATTTACTAAATCACAACATTTTGCTCTATAATGGCTATAAAGAAATGTTGTGTAGCTGATCTGTACTGTTCCACTGTAATGATTTACCAGCATGTATGGTACAGGAATACCCTGGTTTCACGCTTTCTTAAAAAATCTGCTGAAATCGTGCAGCATCAAACAGGGTCACGGTTGGCTGAATTTTAACTGCAGAACATTTTCCAAGTGCACAGATTTCGCTCAGTATCAAATAGAATTAAATTCCATCTACATGTCTAAAAATCGTATTACAAAAACTGAACTTGCGTTACTTTTTTCTGCTAGTATACATACACCTTGAATCAAATATGTTGTATGATAGTATCACAACAAGATACACTGCAAGACATCTGTTTAAAATTACCATGGTAACAGATAAATAAGTGAGATAATGAAAGTGATGAGTGGATGCAGAAGGCCATGCAATATAGAAAGACAGTGACTAATAAACTGATACACATTACAACAACACAATTTGTTCAAGAAAACAAAGATCAAACTTTTTCACAGCAGACATATTATATACAAAGAATTCTACAAGAAACATATGCTACAAACAAAATTAAATACATTTCATTATATATAAGCACTGAATTTTCTTTTTCTTATGATTTTCATTCGAATCATTAAAAAAAAATTTGCTGTAGTGACAATGGTTATAAAATGTGCATAAGTAGCTAAACTAACTATTACCCTAGGAATATATATATATATATATATAGTCATTCCATATTTTTTGTGCTATAAGCCCACGCCTGGTAATAAGCCCACCTATATCTATGATTTTTATCAGTAGAATTACATTACTCTTTCTGTGTATCTTTCAGTAAAACTTTCTATGTTAGTAACCCCATGGCCTTCTTGAATGATAAATAAAAGCAGAAGATCAAAGGAAAAGTGATGATTCTGTTAACAAAACATCATAGTTCATCTCAACACTGTGATGATTCTGTTAACAAAACATCATAGTTCATCTCAACACTGTGATGATTCTGTTAACAAAACATCATAGTTCATCTCAACACTGTGATGATTCTGTTAACAAAACATCATAGTTCATCTCAACACTGTGATGATTCTGTTAACAAAACATCATAGTTCATCTCAACACTGTGATGATTCTGTTAACAAAACATCATAGTTCATCTCAACACTGTGATGATTCCGTTAACAAAACATCATAGTTCATCTCAACATTGTGATGATTCCGTTAACAAAACATCATAGTTCATCTCAACACTGTCATGATTCCGTTAACAAAACATCATAGTTCATCTCAACACTGTGAAGATTCCGTTAACAAAACATCATAGTTCATCTCAACACTGTGATGATTCCGTTAACAAAACATCATAGTTCATCTCAACACTGTGATGATTCTGTTAACAAAACATCATAGTTCATCTCAACACTGTGATGATTCTGTTAACAAAACATCATAGTTCATCTCAACATTGTGATGATTCTGTTAACAAAACATCATAGTTCATCTCAACACTGTGAAGATTCCGTTAACAAAACATCATAGTTCATCTCAACATTGTAACAACATGCATGTTAATGCAGATCAAATTTAATGGTAGTTTTAGTAAACTGTGACATGGTAAAGATTACATGTATCAAAGCATTCAAAGCTGATTAAGACATGATTCCAAATGTCATGTCTGAGCAATTATCAGTCCAACCTCATTAGTAGTACAGAAGGAAGAGAAAGACTTGGATCAGGAGCACTACACTAATGTGTACACCATAATACAGTAAATAATAGTATATATAAACATAACTAACCACTACACATATAGGTAACCATATCAGCTGACTTCAAATCATTTCTAATCTTTAACAAGTATGGAATTTGGAAACTTTGAAAGAAATGTATGTATATTATGAACGGAAATTTTATTTTGATAAATAAAAAGTTGAATGGAATAAGAAATGTTGTTATCAAATTCATTCCTTGATACAATACATGTTACAGTACATCTTCTGACATATCAGTGTTCATGCAGCTAGTAAAAATATTCCTGTAACTTGTAGGATATCTGTAATGATGAATTAAGATAGATGAGGCTGTATACAGTACCGGTGGAGAAAGAGCCTGGGTTCCAGGTGCCTTTTGGACGTCGTAGACTCCCCCTTACATTTGGGTCCCATTCCAAATCCGTCTCTGTTATACAACACAACAGTTAGCACAACAACTGTTACACAACAGTTAGCCAATCAAAAGCTCTTTAACAATCACCCAATCCACTGCCTTGTTATAAAATGAAACATTTCTGTCAAACAATGGTTAGCCAATCAAAAGCTTTTTAACAATCACCAAATCCACTGCCTTGTTATAAAATGAAACATTTCTGTCAAACAATGGTTAGCCAATCAAAAGATCTTTAACAATCACCCAATCCACTGCCTTGTTATAAAATGAAACATTTCTGTCAAACAATGGTTCGCCAATCAAAAGCTTTTTAACAATCACCCAATCCACTGCTTTATTATAAAATGAAACATTTCTGTCAAACAATGGTTAGCCAATCAAAAGCTCTTTAACAATCACCAAATCCACTGCCTTGTTATAAAATGAAACATTTCTGTCAAATAATAGTTTGCCAATCAAAAGATCTTTAACAATCACCCAATCCACTGCCTTATTATAAAATGAAACATTTCTGTCAAACAATGGTTAGCCAATCAAAGCTCTTGCAGTAATTGATGTACTGATTTGGCTAATAAAGCAAAACATCTTTAGTCAGACAACAATAATCCCATCAAAAGCGTATACATAAAGAATCATATCTACAACTGAAGCCCTGTGTGGTTTCAAGGCAAATTCTTTCTCTAGAACAACAATTATAGCCAATCACAAGGTTGTTGTCATGACAACAACCAAAGCAAAACATTGGAGAATGTTAAATCAACCGTTAACCAAGCAAAATCTGTCACAAATATATTTAGTCAATGTAAAGCCAGGAAAAGCTCTTCAGAAAACACCACTAAGCTCTTGGACATTAAGTTATAACTTATAAGAAGATTTTTAATCCCATGCAGTTCCAGGTATCTGTGGTACAATCTCTTCCATGACATTAATGAAATGCTCATTTCAAACCTTTAAATTGAACATCCATACGTTATAACCAAACCCGTATCTATGTCAACACCAACAAAATCTATATTTTTATCCGAATTTGATTGTGTAACCTATCCTCTAAAAATAGACCACATATCAAATTAACAAACTCAAACCATGAGAGACTGAGAATGTGGAACCTTTCATTCATGATCAGGAATATAAATGACAAGAGTAATTGATAAAGTCCAGTCTTCATACCAGTAACATACTGCGACAGTTTGACTCATAAATCCTTGAAGCAAACTCAAAAGTAATAATGTAAGTTAGCAGTGCATTTCAAAAGCATGTTAAAGCATGTTGGTGACATTGACAAAATCACAAAAAGGAAACAAACAGTAAGCCCTGGGTGTAATAAACAGACCATGAACAAATTTGAAACTCAAAAAAACAAAAAACAAAAAAAATTTTGGAAATTTTCAGCATATTAGTAGGCTGATTTATCAAAACCATAATTTCAATGTAGCTGTAGATGTCCTTGTTATACAGTATCAAATGGGAATCCAGGAATTTAAGATCTTTACAATGGGAAATTATCAGAACTGGTATTCTGTTATCACTGTAAGTATTTTAAACCTGAAATGATCTTAACTTAAGAAGGGATGTTTTTTTAAAATTTCATGACAGATGGATACACAAAGATTTTTTGTCGAAATCAATTAAAGATTTCATGGTTGTTGGATACACATACTTTGAATAATTTGACAAAATGAATCAATAATTTTTGTGGGATGTTTCTTTTTGGTGGTTTTGTGTTTACTCTTAATCCATTAATTAATATGTCCTCAAATGACTATAAAAAAAAATTTTCTTGGAAAAAAAATTGAGCCCTATGAAATACAAGCTTAAGATTTTACAGTAAAACTGCAATTTGTTGCAATCAAATCTTTAGCACTGTAACCAATATTCTTATCAAATTTCTTGTGACTTTGTTGTAACCCTTAAGAGCTGAGTTTAGAGGTTATACAGTAATTACACCCATAATAAAAGGCTTGTGACAATACTGGATAGGCAATGAAGTGTGCAATGAAATAAACTTGCTAGTGACTCATAAGTATGAGCAGATTGATCCTCTGGGTATTTTACTTTGTAATTTAAGCTGGATTTTTTCTGGTGAGTCCTAAGCATCTTCCAAAATTTTGATGAGTCCACTTACAAAGTGATTTAAATGTTTCTCAAAATTTGAGCGAGTCTCATTGAGAAAGCATGAGACCAAAGACTCAAACATTTGAGTCCCATAAATAACTATATTACTAATGCTTGTTTTCAGATGTCAGGAATACATTGAATATCAAATATTATTTTTGAGAATAAAAGAAACTTTCACAAATATACTTGAATAAAACAATACTTTGACATATATTTCAATATATTAGTTTTGTCCCATGGTTATGTTACAAGGACAGTAGTATATAAAAGATCTAGGACGTTCTAAAGACATGTCAGTCCCTGGATTAGAGCTACTTAAGACAGTCAGCCATACCCAAGGATTTGTACACAGGACATCAATCTAAGAGACAGGAGTTGATACTAAACCACTACCAATATTTCACTTAAAAACTGAAACAAGTGTTCTGTTAAGGTTTTCTAATGCTTAGTGTTGAATACAAATCTCTTTTCAAATATAGAATTATTTCTCTAAAAATCACTTATCAACATGAGAACACATGTCGTCATTTGATAACATATTTCAAAGTAAAACAATGTGTAGTGTTTCGACAACTTCACTGTCACCTTCTTAAGACACTGACCAGAGTGAAGTATACTAGCATTGACATATTCAGTACATAGTACAGTATATAGTACAGTAAAAAAAATGGATACATTCCTTACCATCTCATATACTACGTATGTCAGTGATAGCTTGCTTCACACTGGTCATTTGTCTGATGAAGCTGACTGAGTAGTCATTGAAATGTTACACATATGTATCTAGACACGAAATCCAGACACAAAGTTAACTAACCAAATTATGTGGTGAAATTTTTAATGTTTGTAGAAGTATTCATGAAACTTCATTATAGATAAGATTTCAATGAGGTAATGCCAATTATTTATTTATAGAAATGGTGACCTTATTTCTGAGCTCAGACGATTGAAACACAAACAGAAAGAACTTGGTCTAGAGTGTTAGCACTATATGCTGCTTTTTGTAGCTGTGATCTTATTTGTGACACCAAATAATTTATAAGCAAACATTTACACATAAATCAATGTCTTGGAAAATATGTTTCTTGTGAGGGTAAAACAAATTTGAAATACATGTATTGAATATACCTTTGACAGAACATCATGCTCTTGTAAAACAAAAGTTAAACTTTTTATTTCACTTTTTAATTTTGTGATTAATTGCCTTCAAACCCTTTCCTGGGATTTCACTTTAAATTTACAAAGGATGATGGGTAAGTTTACTGCCTTGTGTTTACATTGGTTAAGGTTTGCCTAGTGTTAGGGGACCTGATGTGTGAAATACCTCCGCTAGTCGGCAGTGAGCTGGCTAGCTGTACAGGGATCTTCAGGTCAGTCTCCTCGTGTATCTGATGCTGACGTCGTTTATATGTGGGGTCAATGGCCGCGGCAATGTTGTATGGAATGGCATTACTGACTGCATAGCAGGGTTCTTCCTCAGTTGGGATACGCCCACGATGGGCGGGGTTAGGCGGGGAGGCAGTATTTATAACTGACACATGCTTAGGAGGATGGGGTGGTCTGAAAGTCAATAAAAACAAAAACTCAAAATTTAAAATAAAACCAAACAAATAAAAACATGAAGTTAGTAATGTTAATATACTAAGTAAAAGCAGCCAACAGCTAATCAACATCGTGTCACTGACACAAACTTCCATAACTAAACATCAGTCGTATTACCTGGTCTCCTCAAATGTAGATATCTGGGAACAAAGAAATCTTCAGTGGACAAGGATTGAAATATCAGAAAAAGAACACCCTAGTGATGGAAAGTCAGTTGAAATCCATAATCGATTATCAGTTTTAGTCATATAAGTTTTATGATGTATTTATTTGATTACATAATCAGTAACATAAAATGTCTCAATTACATAATTTAAAAATTGAAATTAAACAACAACATAACCTGTATTATGCATAGTATAAATTCTATTTTGGCTAAAACACCAGAAAATCATCAAGGTACCAATGATAGATAATGAAAAATTACAATTGATCCTACCATTAGATGAGGTTAAACCATAACCTAATTAATTACATATGATCATTGTTACATTATAAAGACATCCAATGTCTTCTTTCTAGTTCTGTACATAAAAGGCTCTTTAGACAATACATAATGATATGTCTAACAAGATTTCTGATTCAATCCTCCCCTATGATATGAAATATGATTCTAACACATTTGATTAAATAGGAACTTGTACTTTTTCATGTGTCTTTGTGTTATTTTTCCTTTTGTTCATATTTTGTCAGTTTCATTGAATTAGAGTTTGAATTAAGACTTTGTTGACATGTCAGTCTTTACTACCAAAATTTTACTACAGCCTTAACATACAGAAAGTAACACAAGAATTCCACGGAAGTAGATATGTCACCTGCACAACAAGGTTTTGGAGATGAGCTATAATATAGGGCAGAAAATATCCGTGGGTCAATGAAATCTAAGTGCAATCATTACAATACATAAGTAATTATTACTATGGTGATAACAAGGCATACATATTGAATAAGAAGCACATGCAGCAGTGTTTATGTAACCATTCTAACATCACCATTGTCATACAAGGTATTTCAAACATGTATGATAATAATAGCCATCCCCCTAACTTATGAATAATATCCCATAAGTTACTTGTCAATAAGCCCATCCCCATTTATTACAGTTTTATAAGCCCACCTCATTACTTTGGGTCAGAGGTTATGAGTTGACCCCTGGGGTAATAATGGAAAACATATGGTAAGAGTAGCAGGCAGCTGGATAAATATGGCTGTTTGGTATCAGAAAAATAATAACTGATCACAGTATAAACACAAATTTTATCTATCTGTGAGTTAAAATTGAGACTTCAAATCAATTGAAATTAAAATTTACATTTGTGCGATTGATAGCTTAGAATATCAATTTTCAGTTTTTGTGAGAAGAGATTACAGAATGTTGGTGCAGTTTTGTAACAGAGGATATATATATGAAAACACAACAAAAATTGTAGAAGAAAATAATACCTGTATGGTGGCATTTCTTCCTCACTGTGATAACTGCCTGGAGGTGAGGGCGAGGGCAACATGTGAGGGTGACCTTCTACAGGATCAGCTGCTGTCGTCGTACCTGGTGGAATATACAGACAAGTTGATCACAAGGATCTTTACACAACTCCAATGAACTAAATGGATGGTGCTAATGTTAACAAGTTATCGATTGTATCAGGGAACAACAAAATTAATTGAAGTCATGGCCAAGCTTACTGTGCCACAATACACAGACATATGAGTTTGGTAAAGATAGTACCTATTTTACAATTTCAACAAGTCAGAGATTGGAATGGCAATCTTCATGTGTACCAAAAGGGGGAAAAAGAAAATGTTGCAAGTATGTTTGCTGGAGGAGTAGGAGCCTAAAATCTCCAAAATACAACTGAGAGGTTTCATTACCAACTGTAATTTGTGTTTTCACATGGACTATGGGTGTAATTAAAGATATAATTTTATTTTTTGTGACTCACTATAGCTATGCCTGACTTCTTGGATGAGGCTGAACTCTTTATACAATCACGAAACTTAGTTGAGATAAAGATACCAATAGTTTGTCAGGAATCTATTGCTGTAAATGTATATATTCCTGGACCAGTGGTTATCTTATAACGGTGCTTCTCATGCTGGATTTATTGCTCTGAATTATGATTGCACTAATTGCCATTATAATAATTGATCTAATAAATGGACTGCCACTACTTATGTATTTATGACAATTAAAGTGGAGTGATAGCAATGATATACTGTTGATACAGCAATGATTTCCTACCTGCCAGCCATCGCTCCACATTATGTACACTATCCTGGGGTAAGCTTTCAATTGTGCGTGTAGACCGACCAGACTGGCGTGACTGAAGGGTGTCACCAGTAACAGATGGGGGAGGAATCTGACTACTGTCAATTCCTTGTAGAAAACTGTCTCGACGTAATCGAGTACGTTCAGGGGGCTTTTGTACCGGAGGTAATGGTGAGTCAGATGTAGATGACCTTTGACCTGGTAGATCAGGTAAGGGTCGTGAAGCAGGATTACTGTTTGTCATTTGCTGCAAGAAGTAAAATATTAAATACTTTAATGCAATTAATGATTTTATTTTCTCATATTTCATCAAAATTACCTTATTCATATCCCACTTAAAAGACATTCCCTACATTCTGTAATAAATCACAATAAAAGTCAATTACTTACATTCAAGAAGTACCAACCACACAACTTTCTACAGTTGAGATACATGAAAGAATAAGGTTTGTGAGCACTACAGTTGAATATTGTAATCTCCTCACCTCTGTACAAATATTGTAATCTCCTCACCTCTGCACAAATATTGTAATCTCCTCACCTCTGCACAAATATTGTAATCTCCTCACCTCTGCACAAATATTGTAATTTCCTCACCTCTACACAAATATTGTAATCTCCTCACCTCTGCACAAATATTGTAATCTCCTCACCTCTACACAAATATTGTAATCTCCTCACCTCTGCACAAATATTGTAATTTCCTCACCTCTACACAAATATTGTAATCTCCTCACCTCTGCACAAATATTGTAATCTCCTCACCTCTGCACAAATATTGTAATCTCCTCACCTCTGCACAAATATTGTAATCTCCTCACCTCTGCACAAATATTGTAATCTCCTCACCTCTGCACAAATATTGTAATCTCCTCACCTCTGCACAAATATTGTAATCTCCTCACCTCTGCACAAATATTGTAATTTCCTCACCTCTACACAAATATTGTAATTTCCTCACCTATTACCACTTAAGTAACTATTGTTTTGTCAATTTTGAGGGAAAGAGCATATTGTAATCTCCTCACCTCTGCACAAATATTGTAATTTCCTCACCTCTACACAAATATTGTAATCTCCTCACCTCTGCACAAATATTGTAATTTCCTCACCTCTACACAAATATTGTAATCTCCTCACCTCTGCACAAATATTGTTATTGTAATCTCCTCACCTCTACACAAATATTGTAATTCTCCTCACCTCTACACAAATATTGTAATCTCCTCACCTCTGCACAAATATTGTAATTTCCTCACCTCTACACAAATATTGTAATATCCTCACCTCTGCACAAATATTGTAATTTTCACCTCTACACAAATATTGTCACCTCTACCTCTGCACAAATATTGTAATTCTCCTCACCTCTACACAAATATTGTAATCTCCTCACCTCTGCACAAATATTGTAATTTCCTCACCTCTACACAAATATTGTAATCTCCTCACCTCTGCACAAATATTGTAATCTCCTCACCTCTACACAAATATTGTAATCTCCTCACCTCTGCAAGTAATATCTGTTTATAATTGTATCATTCTCTACACAAGTATTTATGATCTCCTCACCTCTGTTCTATAATTGTATCATTCTGGTGTGACCTGGAGTCACCTCTGTTACAAATCTGTTCTATAATTGTATCATTCTGGTGTGACCTGAAGTATTTATGATCTGTTCTATAATTGTATCATTCTGGTGTGACCTGAAGTATTTATGATCTGTTCTATAATTGTATCATTCTGGTGTGACCTGGAGTCACCTCTGCACAAATATTATAATCTGTTCTATAATTGTATCATTCTGGTGTGACCTGGAGTAGTTATAATCTGTTCTATAATTGTATCATTCTGGTGTGACCTGGAGTAGTTATAATCTGTTCTATAATTGTATCATTCTGGTGTGACCTGGAGTAGTTATAATCTGTTCTATAATTTTATCATTCTGGTGTGACCTGGAGTAGTTATAATCTGTTCTATAATTGTATCATTCTGGTGTGACCTGAAGTATTTATGATCTGTTCTATAATTGTATCATTCTGGTGTGACCTGGAGTAGTTATGATCTGTTCTATAATTTTATCATTCTGGTGTGACCTGAAGTATTTATGATCTGTTCTATAATTGTATCATTCTGGTGTGACCTGGAGTAGTTATAATCTGTTCTATAATTTTATCATTCTGGTGTGACCTGGAGTAGTTATAATCTGTTCTATAATTGTATCATTCTGGTGTGACCTAAGTATTTACGATCTGTTCTATAATTGTATCATTCTGGTGTGACCTGGGTAGAGTTATAAATATAATTGTATCATTCTGGTGTGACCTGAAGTATTTATGATCTGTTCTATAATTGTATCATTCTGGTGTGACCTGGAGTACCCGGTAGTTATAATCTGTTCTATAATTGTATCATTCTGGTGTGACCTGAAGTATTTATGATCTGTTCTATAATTGTATCATTCTGGTGTGACCTGGAGTAGTTATAATCTGTTCTATAATTGTATCATTCTGTGTCTGGAGTAGTTATAATCTGTTCTATAATTGTATCATTCTGGTGTGACCTGGAGTACCCGGTAGTTATAATCTGTTCTATAATTGTATCATTCTGGTGTGACCTGGAGTAGTTATAATCTGTTCTATAATTGTATCATTCTGGTGTGACCTGGAGTAGTTATAATCTGTTCTATAATTGTATCATTCTGGTGTGACCTGAAGTATTTATGATCTGTTCTATAATTGTATCATTCTGGTGTGACCTGGAGTAGTTATAATCTGTTCTATAATTGTATCATTCTGGTGTGACCTGGAGTAGTTATAATCTGTTCTATAATTGTATCATTCTGGTGTGACCTGGAGTAGTTATAATCTGTTCTATAATTGTATCATTCTGGTGTGACCTGAGGTAGTTATAATCTGTTCTATAATTGTATCATTCTGGTGTGACCTGAAGTATTTATGATCTGTTCTATAATTGTATCATTCTGGTGTGACCTGGAGTACCCGGTAGTTATAATCTGTTCTATAATTGTATCATTCTGGTGTGACCTGGAGTAGTTATAATCTGTTCTATAATTGTATCATTCTGGTGTGACCTGGAGTAGTTATAATCTGTTCTATAATTGTATCATTCTGGTGTGACCTGGAGTAGTTATAATCTGTTCTATAATTGTATCATTCTGGTGTGTAGTTATAATCTGTTCTATAATTGTATCATTCTGTTCTATAATCTGTTCTATAATTTTATCATTCTGGTGTGACCTGGAGTAGTTATAATCTGTTCTATAATTGTATCATTCTGGTGTGACCTGAAGTATTTATGATCTGTTCTATAATTGTATCATTCTGCTGAGACCTGAAGTATTTATGATATGTTCTATAATTGTATCATTCTGGTGTGACCTGGAGTACCCGGTAGTTATAATCTGTTCTATAATTGTATCATTCTGGTGTGACCTGAAGTATTTATGATCTGTTCTATAATTGTATCATTCTGCTGTGACCTGGAGTACTTATAATCTATTCTATAAATGTATTCCATACCTGCTGTCGTCTGTGTTCCTCCTGCTGCTGTTGTTTCTTTCGCTGTTTTGCTCTCTTTATGCGTAACTTATCTTGTTCTTGGATAATTTTGGCGAGTCGTTCGTCCTGTTCTTCAATTTCTTTCAGTTTGTTTCGATCAACTTCAGCTTTAGTTCGCTACAAAACAACAAATACAGTTTTCCCCTGTTCTTCAAACTTACTTACTTTTAAACTTGATTTATTTTTTTGTGTAACTGATTACAACACATCAAAATGATTATGTAACCACATCATTACATTTCTTTTCAAATTTTTATAAAATACTGCTTTGAAGTTTAAGGGAACAGTTTGACAGTTCCATATAATACTAATAAAGGATATTCGGGACAAGTTAGGATTTTGTTAAAAGCTGTTTTATAATATTCATACCAAAGGCAATATGTTGTTATAGAAACAGTGTGCCGCAATTGGACACAAAACCCAACTTGTGTTGTTATAGAAACGGTATGCCGCAATTGGACACAAAACCCAACTAGTGATAATATTAATTGTAGAAATTCTATATAGATCTAGCTAGATTGTTTTGCTAACTGATGGCATCACAACATACCTGCACTTGTGCAACAATGCACACGTCACCTGTCTACTTGCTGTATATATGCAATATATGTGGGGTTAATAAACAAACAGGTGAAATGTCTTTTTCCATTTTCCTCACTGTATTGCTAATGCTTGGATCAGATATCATGCTTCTAGTCTTGTTTTCAAAATTATAACACAATAAATCTGATTTATTCAGACAATCTTATTTTCAATTGACCAAGGGCATTTCTATCCATTTCACTTTCCTGAACTGACCTTAAGAAATATATTCTGATGTAAAAAAAAACTGTTAAAATGTACAGAATGTCAAGAAATTTACTACTGGCACTGAATATAAATTCAATGTTCATTATTTGAAAATGGTTTCTTTACCTTGTGTTCCTGTTCCTGCAAAAGTCGTGCCAACTCCTGTGTCAAAATAAAAAAACAAACTATTACCGTCTCAAACATTTTAAAAACAAAAAGAGACCCCAGAGAAATCCTGGTGCTCACCAGTGTTTGATCTTAATGTGTTTCCCTATCTTTTCTCTTGCCAGTCAGCAATTTTGTTTTTCTGATCCAAAAATCAAGAGAACACAACTAGTGACCTAGCAAAAAATCTACGCATGAAATTTGAGCAGGATCTAACCAGTTTTTCTGAAGACAAAGTGATAAAAAATTTACAAAGTCAAAATCCAAAATGGCTACCTTTCAGCCATTTTATTTTCTGACCATTCCCAAAAACAAAAGGACACAACTAGGAACCAAGGAAAACCTTCACATGAAATTTTAAAGATCCTTTCAGTCATACTTCTCAAGAAATAGTGATAACAAGAACTGACCAGGACATTGCCATCAAGATTCCGTGCTAATATTCATTTGTAAACTATATTCATTTGAAGTGAGCTACATGGAAAAAACTAAAGTACTGACCCCATGTACTGTTTATGTTCAGTTTTAAGTTCCGTTGAAAGTGATCAAATAATAACAATTTAGTAGCATGATACTGTGAATATTAAAATCAGCTTATCATACCTTTATATGCCCTCCTTTTATCAAATGGTAATGATAGAATATTTGTCACTTAATTTCAGTCACCCTGGATCAATCAATGATTCTATTTCTTCTCAAGTAAGACAAAACAGAGAAATGGTTTAAACACATTAATAAAATACTACATATATATAAAATACAGCATTTCATATGGTGAAATGACCTATTGTTAGTGCTTTGTTCCTTATCATTATTATTCTTATTCTTCTTCCATGATTTTGTGGCGCCTAAATTTCCGAATCAGTAAGACATCTATTTATAGACTTTTGAAGGTCACTATTACCTCGGAAGATATCCTGTGCAAAGCATTCAGCGGAGTTAGCCGATATTTAAAACTTTAGAACAACATCCTGACAGGTTGTTTGATTTAAAGCTATACAATAAATAAAGATAAAAATATGAAATTAGAAATGTTTGAAGGATTGAAGGATTGAAGGACCATATCAACCACTAACCTCGTCTTGCATTTCTTGAATGACTTTCTTTTGGGTGTCATCTACGTGATCAGGAATAGCAAAAAAGTCTGAGAAGTCACCATCATCTTCTATAATACCTCCTGGAGTCACCCTGTAATACATACATAATCATCCACAGGCCATCTAAGTGTCAGGATATAATATGTTGTAAGTAAAAGGTAGGTAAATACGTCCACTGGCTACAATGATTTATCATTATCATCATGAAGTATCCAACAAATACCTTGAAATAAATTTTAGTTTAATAAGAAAAGTTCTCGTATGAAGAAATACCACAATTATGACCCTAGACAAGCATGTCCTCACTCCCATGTAAGCATTGTAATTGTTTTATAAATTTGTAGAAAGTTGTCTACTGTGACCTTTGACCCTTTAACCTTGAACTATGACCACCATGATACAATAAGGTTTAGAACTTGATAATACAGTAAGATGGTAAAGAGTAAAGAGGTACCAAATCTGTTGAAAATTTCCGATGACACTGATTAGAAACAGAATACAATGGGAGAGAATAAATGGACACAGGTCACATTGTATGCCCCTCCCTTAAATTGCAAGGACATCAAAATCAGTAAATGAATAAACAAAACATACAATATTAATTATAACAGACAATGATGAAATACAGTCTTCCTAAAGAAAACCAAAACAACAGGTCTGATTGGCCTGAAATCTATTATTGGGCATGTAAAACTAACAATATATCTTGTGATGTTTGTCACAAATCTTAACTCTAACATATGCCCACATTGAATAATAATTAATACACATTTTCTTCCAACAAAGCATCAGCTAACCTAAATCTTCATAAACAGTTCAATTTTAGCATTTACTTACTTTCTACCCCCGTTGACTTGTCGCCCCGAGAAGGAGCCTCGATCCCCTGGTGCAGACATGTGCATGCCTTGCATGGCATCATCTAGACCTAATATTGAAAATAAAGGATAACCAATCTGTACATCAGCTATATCTAAGTCTGAAAAGATTTCAGGTTTTGATCTCCATTACCAAAAACAAGCTTTGCAGTTATACAGCTTATCCTTATATATGTTTAGATTACAACTGTTACAACTCAATACCATAAAATCACAAAAAAACATAGATTATAAAAGAGCTCAGTTCATCAAAATACTGTGAAATCACAAACTAGGTTCTGCAAAATGAGGTATTATCCCCCACACCCAGCTGTTGGTGTAAAACCCAAATATGACAAATAAAATCTGTTACCTGTAACTGAGCGAGATCGGGGTAGCTCAATCTCGGGCTAAGATCCTGTAACATAATCCCAGCAGATGTCAGGATCTTAGCCTGAGACTGAGATACCCTGATCTCCCTCAGTTACAGGTAACAGATTTTTTTTCTTGCACCTCCTACTCTGAAAATTATTCAATATTTCATCAGAGTTTGGCATATCCCGTGGGAGCCACAAACTACCCACACAGCCTCTCCAATTTTAAACAACATTTGGATAGTGCCAGGAAAACAATGTAGGCTGCACTTATAAAATATACAACATATTTCACAATGAAGATTTTCTTTTTCAATATAAATATGATTAATTAAACAGAATATCATTGAAATTTTTACGACATAATCTACATTTTTATTGAAATGCACGGGTGTAGGTGCCACCAACGCCTAAATGCAGATGTATACACAGATGTGTAAAAAAGAGAGAAAAATCTTATGATGGGGTAATTACGTGAGCTATCCCTGTCTGAGGTGCGAGAAAAATATATATATCAGTATAACAATTTGTACCAAAGATCTAATACAGTGAAAGGCTAAGTACAAAATGCCAAATGTTTTGTCAATTATCAATTAAATTTCCCTGCATATCCTCAACTTCAACAGCTAGTCTGGCATCTACCATATGTTGTTGATAATACCTACCTTCCTCTCCTGAAGTAAGTCTCACCTCTACAATGTGTTGTTAATAAAATCTACCTTCCTCCCCTGCAGCTAGTCTAACCTCTACCATGTGTTGTTCATAAAACCTACCTTCCTCCCCTGCAGCTAGTCTAACCTCTACCATGTGTTGTTCATAAAACCTACCTTCCTCCCCTGCAGCTAGTCTAACCTCTACCATGTGTTGTTCATAAAACCTACCTTCCTCCCCTGCAGCTAGTCTAACCTCTACCATGTGTTGTTCATAAAACCTACCTTCCTCCCCTGCAGCTAATCTAACCTGTACCATGTGTTGTTCATAAAACCTACCTTCGTCCCCTGCAGCTAGTCTAACCTCTACCATGTGTTGTTGATAATACCTACCTTCGTCTCCTGCAGCTAGTCTCACCTCTACCATATGTTGTTGATAATACCTACCTTCCTCTCCTGCAGCTAGTCTAACCTCTACCATATGTTGTTGATAATACCTACCTTCGTCTCCTGCAGCTAGTCTCACCTCTACCATATGTTGTTGATAATACCTACCTTCGTCTCCTGCAGCTAGCCTGGCATCTACCATGCGTGGTTGATAATACCTACCTTCGTCTCCTGTAGCTAGTCTCACCTCTACCATATGTTATTGATAATACCTACCTTCGTCTCCTGCAGCTAGTCTGGCATCTACTATATGTTGTTGATAATACCTACCTTCGTCTCCTGCAGCTAGTCTGGCATCTACCATGCGTGGTTGATAATACCTACCTTCGTCTCCTGTAGCTAGTCTCACCTCTACCATATGTTATTGATAATACCTACCTTCGTCTCCTGCAGCTAGTCTGGCATCTACTATATGTTGTTGATAATACCTACCTTCGTCTCCTGCAGCTAGTCTGGCATCTACCATATGTTGTTCCAGCTGTTTCTCCAAAATGTGTCGTTCTTTCTTTAAATCTTTTTCCCTCTTTTTCTCCAAGTATCGTTCATATTTTTGTTTTTCTTTCTCTTGTGCAATGCGGGCGATTTCCTGTCACACAAAGTAACTTATTGTTCAAACATACAGGTTATCACTAAACTAAAATAGAATAACAGATGATTTATAAAGCAGTTCAAATATATACTACATACAACTCCAGGAAAACAAACAAATATGGCATTTATATCGGACTTTCAATGTCATTAATTTATTATGCAGCTTACGTTGGCTAAAGGATTGTAAAAGTGGGGGATGATGTATGATTTCTACAGTATATGTGCTGTAATTTGACAAACATCTGCAAAAAGATTTATACCAAAGTCTTAAAGTAAGCATACAAGAATATGTTATGCTATATCTTTACCATTCACCTAACCATCAATGACATGAACATACATTTATATACTATGTCCCACAGATGCCTCTCCCTCTGTTTAATGAATATCTCATTCTACAGCTCCGTCTCCGTCTATCAAGTATACTCAAGCCTAACTCCCTCTCCCTATGTCTGATACTTACCATTCCCTGTGGCTTGTCCCACATCACCCTCCCCCTACTCTCCCTACCCTCTGTCTAGTACATACCTTGTCCCATATCTCCCTCCCTCTGTCTAGTACATACCTTGTCCCATATCTCCCTCTCTCTGTCTAGTACATACCTTGTCTCATATCTCCCTTCCCCAGCTCTCCCTCCCTCTGTCTACTCTCCCTCCCTCTGTCTAGAACATAACTTGTCCCATATCATCCTCCCTCTGTCTAGTACTTACCTTGTCCCATATTACCCTCTGTCTAGTATCTACCTTGTCACTTACCACCCTCCCCTACTCTCCCTCCCTCTGTCTAATATCTACCTTGTCACTTATCACCCTCCCCCTACTCTCCCTCCCTCTATCTAGTATCTACCTTGTCCTGTATCTCCCTCCCCCTACTCTCCCTCCCTCTGTCTAGAACATAACTTGTCCCATATCATCCTCCCTCTGTCTAGTACTTACCTTGTCCCATATCACCCTCTGTCTAGTATCTACCTTGTCACTTACCACCCTCCCCTACTCTCCCTCCCTCTGTCTAATATCTACCTTGTCACTTATCACCCTCCACCTACTCTCCCTCCCTCTGTCTAGTATCTACCTTGTCCTGTATCTCCCTCCCCCTACTCTCCCTCCCTCTGTCTAGTATCTACCTTGTCCTGTATCTCCCTCCCCCTACTCTCCCTCCCTCTGTCTAGTATCTACCTTGTCACTTATCACCCTCCCCCTACTCTCCCTCCCTCTGTCTAGTATCTACCTTGTCACTTATCACCCTTCCCCTACTCTCCCTCCCTCTGTCTAGTATCTACCTTGTCACTTATCACCCTCCCCCTACTCTTCCTCCCTCTGTCTAGTATCTACCTTGTCACTTATCACCCTCCCCTACTCTTCCTCCCTCTGTCTAGTATCTACCTTGTCACTTATCACCCTCTCCCTCCTTCTGCTCTCCCTCCCTCTCCCTCCCTCTGTCTAGTATCTACCTTGTCACTTATCACCCTCCCCCTGCTCTCCCTCCCTCTGTCTAGTATCTACCTTGTCCCTTATCCCCCTCCCCCTGCTCTCCCTCCCTTTATTTATCACATACCTCATCCCGTAACTCCCTTTCTCTCAGTCTGGCATTCTCTTCTCCTTCGATCTCCTCTAAAACACGACGAGCGATTTCCTGGTCCTCATCAGCCCTAAATGAAGATACAGCTCTATGATCAAACAGTATTAAGTAAGAAATCAATATATACATCAGAATTATCAGGATGGTATTGAGCAAATCACCTCCAGTGAAGTCAGGAGAGGTCGTAGGTCGGGTACTTGGATTATTGACATTTTTACTGATCATAAATTACTTGTCTGAGAACACGAAACAAAGCACATTTCATCATGACTATAATATCAAACTTTTCACCAATGATGATGGCATTGCTATATGTATTGAGTGATTATGTCTGGTGAGGATCCAAAACATTCCAGCAAGACTTCCGAAAAATTCAATTCTAAAGGAGTGGAAATCAGTCGGGCAAATAAAATCTGCTAACATGTATATTCACAAAGCCATCTAGTGTACATAGATCCACAGACATGTCCTAGAGAAAGTTCATTCCTATAAAAACTTCATAATTACATATTAACAATTCATTATCCTGTTCGCTGACCTATCTCTGCATATGCAATACAGATTTTCAACTGTTTACTATTAAAGTAACCTTATGCAGTGGAAATTCCAAAACATATATGTTATATTTCTCAACAATATGTATACATTCATTCCAAAGTTCTTTTAAAAATTATATTTCTTATCTGAGAATCATAGAAAAATCAATTCTAAATATAGAATTCTGATAACATACTGTGCCCTAAGAGCCTGGAGTTCATTGTAACGCTCTTCCTGCTGTCGAACCTCCTCATCAGTCTGCAAAACTTTAGCAACGGGAATGTCTTCACGAACTGTCCTACGGTTGAACCGGTTTAGACCATAGTGTCGCTCAACTGTAAATTCAAGAAAGAATTTCATATATTTTTTTAAAAATACTGGACCATACATGTTTGTTCAGAGAAAATACATGTGTCAGTTAAAATTCTGATTATTTCTAGACACCTAGCATACTGATGACTGCACCTATGCATCCTTTAGTTAATTTTAAAATCAAGTGTGGCCATTTTTATGTTAAACATGTTTTTGACATACACACTACAGCTCTTCCATTGTTTTCTATCACAAAATATTCACAATACATTAGTAGCATTCACCTTGGTCACACAAATTCAAGTAGTCACCCATCCAACAACTGACACTGCTCTAAGTTATATTCTAGTAAGACACATGCAGTCATACGAGTCAGCTGATGGACCAGATAATTAAACTGTCAATAAACACCAAACTTACAAAAGGTTGGGTGACAAGCATGGTCAGTAGTTGGATGGCTAACCATGCACCTGGTACTACCCCTAAAGGTTACCCATAGAGTAGCTTATATTGTCATACCATAGCTATTGCGGGCAGATTTACCATGACTTTAAATCTCTTTTTAACACTGCATGATTCCAGTGTAGTTGGTAGCTGAAAGACAAAGTTGATAAAAAAGACACATTTCACTTACTCTCTTTGTTCTGTATTTCATAGGCCAGAGCACCATCTTCATGGACAAGCCATTGTCTACACACTGAAATATAGCAGAATGTGTTAGTACTGTGGTAATGAAACACAGTCACTCCAGAATGATTCATTATAATATATACATGTACTGTAACATTACAAACAAGTCATGTCAGATGTGTAATTTTTACAAGCACTGCACCATTATTTACCAATGACAAATTGATGTACTTCTTACATCTACATATGTAGAGAACCCTTAAAGTGGGTCAAGGTCATTTATTTAAACTAACTTGACAGTCATCATTCCGACATATCATTGTGAACTTCTATATACATTTTAACTATTTGAGTACTCTAAAGATACTGAAGATGACCCAACTGATCTTCTTTACAGACATTTCAATTACAATTATCAAAAAAAAAAAAAAAAATGAAGAAAAAAAGCATCAAAGAAAATTAACAACTTTATGGACAGAGGGACAAAATCTTTGATAATTAAGCTTGTCAGCATTTTCTATCAGGTTTGCAAATCATGTAGCAATATATGAAGTGGCAAAGTAAATTCAACTCAAAGAAATAAAGGATAGCCAAATTTATCAAAATTAGAAACCAGATGAACTCAAAACACTGACTAAAAAAACAGGTACAAGAAAAATACTTAATACAAAGCTTAGCAAAAAATAATTAAAATTGTGCTATTATAACGATGTAGAAAAAAGACACCTGAATTAAAGCACTGCTGAAGCAAAGTACATGTACCATTAGGACCAAAGTCTATATATTTAATCATATGAAATGAAAGCATATAAAAATCAACTGACGCACCGAGAGATATCTCAAACCAGGAAGATCAGACAGAAAAACCTGCCAGGATTCTCTCTATAGAAAATGTGACTCCTACAGTGTATAATTTAGTGAGTGTGACAATGACATGCACAATAACCACAACGTAATGTAATTATCAGCTGATTATGTAATTACTTTGCGTCCTGTATTTACGCATGAGAGAGATGTTATGGAGACGATATCGCCGATGCATGTAGGTAGGATCAGCATCATCCATTATTTCATGAAACTTCTGCTGCTGTGATTTTCTAATCAGCAGATTAAGTGGTCGATAAGCTGGTCAATTTGATCATACATCCCATTTTTAATAATTACACAAAGTGAATGTCTGCACAATTTACAGACCATAACTTTGAAAATTATTCAATTTCCAAGTCCATCATGCTGAAATTATATTTCGAGCATGAGCATGATTTAGGACAAAAAATTAATTTATAATGATAGGTTATTTACATCTGTGCATCTGTGAACGAGTTACAGCTTTATACCAATAAACTTTAAAAAGTTCAAACATGATGTAAGAAAGGAAATTTACTGCATTCCAGTCATATTAAGTATAAGTACATGGACTATCATAGCCATTTTTACATTTCAGTATTAAATATGTTGATATCCCAACCCAAAATTCATCTCAATTATATACATAAAAATCGCCTGTAGAATCTCACACTCATTTAAGGATCCTCAATAATCACAGTATATATGTTTGTCTATTCTATGTAACTATGACGACACAACATATTCCATTAGAATCGTTAAACAGCATACACAGATATACAGAAAACACAGCATCCCTTAGACTCTAACATCTATGTAGGTAATAAAAATTGTCCTGAACAAGTCTGCTTTCAAACATCAATGTATCCCTCCACTGGCTGCATGCCTATATATATGTAAATATAGAGGGGGGGGGTTATTTGTTACCTTTGTACATCCTAACCCTTGTCTGTACCATTTGTTACTGCCCAAGTCTGTTTAAAAACATCTCACTTGTTAGCTTGATTACATAGCTGTCCTACTATGCCTGGTTTAGGATGAACACTTTTTCATAATCTATTTTACTGAATCTATTAAATTCTCCGAGTTGTTCATCTCCGTTTGTCAAAAATCCTATTTGTCCACCAAAACACTACTGGCTTAATCTTTATGTTTTTTAGATATTTATTTGCCAAAAGGAGAGCTTGTTATATGGATGCACTTTTTTAGGCTTAAGGTTTTGAACATAGGAATTAATTTTTCCCCTTTGGAATTTCCAAAAAAAGTTGGCAAATGTAAAGGTGACAATGCTTTGTAGAAGTTGGTGCTGTCTCATTATAAACAGCCTGGTAACAGCCACTTCCCCTTCAGTACACAATTACAATATTGCACGTGGGGATGTGCCAAAAACATAAAGCAAAATTAATCCTTAACAAAACATCTGCTTCTGGAGTCAGCTTTAAGTTATTGATACAGTGTTGGGGAATATTTACTATATACATAAGTTATTGATATACTGTCGGAGAATATTTACTATATACATAAGTTATTGATATACTGTTGGGGAATATTTACTATATACATAAGTTATTGATATACTGTTGGAGAATATTTACTATATACATAAGTTATTGATATACTGTTGGGGAATATTTACTATATACATAAGTTATTGATACCGTGTTGGAGAATATTTACTATATACATAAGTTATTGATACCGTGTTGGAGAATATTTACTATATACATAAGTTATTGATACAGTGTTGGAGAATATTTACTATATACATAAGTTATTGATATACTGTTGGGGAATATTTACTATATACATAAGTTATTGATATACTGTTGGGGAATATTTACTATATACATAAGTTATTGATACCGTGTTGGAGAATATTTACTATATACATAAGTTATTGATATACTGTTGGGGAATATTTACTTTATACATAAGTTATTGATATACTGTTGGAGAATATTTACTATATACATAAGTTATTGATATACTGTTGGGGAATATTTACTATATACATAAGTTATTGATATACTGTTGGAGAATATTTATACTATATACATAGTTAGTTATTGAGAATATACTATATACATAAGTTATTGTGTTGGAGAATATTTACTATATACATAAGTTATTGATATACTGTTGGAGAATATTTACTATATACATAAGTTATTGATATACTGTTGGGAATATTTACTATATACATAAGTTATTGATATACTGTTGGAGAATATTTACGACATACATAAGTTATTGATATACTGTTGGAGAATATTTACTATATACATAAGTTATTGATATACTATATACATGTTGATATAGAATATTTACTATATACATAAGTTATTGATATACTGTTGGAGAATATTTACTATATACATAAGTTATTGATATGGAGAATATTTACTATATACATAAGTTATTGATATACTGTTGGAGAATATTTACTATATACATAAGTTATTGATATACTGTTGGAGAATATTTACTATATACATAAGTTATTGATATACTGAATATTTACTATATTGGATATAGAATATTTACTATATACATAAGTTATTGATATACTGTTGGGGAATATTTACTATATACATAAGTTATTGATACAGTGTTGGGGAATATTTACTATATACATAAGTTATTGATATACTGTTGGGGAATATTTACTATATACATAAGTTATTGATATACTGTTGGAGAATATTTACGACATACATAAGTTATTGATATACTGTTGGAGAATATTTACTATATATATATGTTATTGATATACTGTTGGGGAATATTTACTATATACATAATGTTATTGATATACTGTTGGGGAATATTTACTATATATATAAGTTATTGATATACTGTTGGGGAATATTTACTATATACATAAGTTATTGATATACTGTTGGGGAATATTTACTATATACATAAGTTATTGATATACTGTTGGGGAATATTTACTATATACATAAGTTATTGATACATAAGTTATTGATATGTGTTGGAGAATATTTACTATATACATAAGTTATTGATATACTGTTGAGGAGTATTTACGATATACATATGTTATTGATATACTGTTGGGGAGTATTTATGATATATATATGTTATTGATATACTGTTGGGGAATATTTACTATATACATAAGTTATTGATACCGTGTTGGGGAATATTTACTATATACATAAGTTATTGATATACTGTTGGGGAATATTTACTATATACATAAGTTATTGATATACTGTTGGGGAATATTTACTATATACATAAGTTATTGATATACTGTTGGGGAATATTTACTATATACATAAGTTATTGATATACTGTTGGGGAATATTACTATATACATAAGTTATTGATATACTGTTGGGGAATATTTACTATATACATAATTGTTATTGATATACTATATGTTGGGGAATATTTACTATATACTGTTGGGGAATATTTACTATATACAAAGTTATTGATATACTGTTGGGGAATAATATATTAGTTATTATATACTGTTGGGGAATATTTACTATATACATAAGTTATTGATATACTGTTGGGGATTATTTACTATATACATAAGTTATTTATACAGTGTTGGGGACTATTTACTATATACATAAGTTATTGATATACTGTTGGGGAATATTTACTATATACATAAGTTATTGATATACTGTTGGGGAGAATATTTACTATATACATAAGTTATTGATACCGTGTTGGGGAATATTTACTATATAAATGTTATTGATATACTGTTGGAGAATATTTATGATATACATAAGTTATTGATACCGTGTTGGGGAATATTTACTATACAAATGTTATTGATATACTGTTGGAGAATATTTATGATATACATAAGTTATTGATATAGTGTTGGGGAATATTTACTATATACATAAGTTATTGATATACTGTTGGGGAATATTTACTATATACATAAGTTATTGATACAGTGTTGGGGAATATTTACTATATTCATACCTACAATCCTAGATATTGGTTCCTTTATCTCATTATAAATACCACATACTTTGTGACCAATAATTAATGATATTATATGTTCCAGTACATAGCAATAAGCATATGTTCTGCAAAAATGAACAAACTATAAAGTTTTAGAAATTTCTAAATGGACAGCACAAAAAGTAAACAATAGATGAAACCAGAAATGAAATGAAAATCCCTGAGATTTTATCTTCATGACATGACCACTTCAACTACCAGTGCAATCATTAAAAATAGAAAAAAGTTGGTTATTCTTACTCTTAATGAAAAAAAGATGGCCACTAGCAACTTTCCATTTACTTCCTAAAAATATGGCAGTTGAGAATTGATGAATAACATGAACACGGGTCAAGAGCTATAAATAGACAACAGATCTTTACTTTTGATCACTTCAATCATTTATTATGTGTACAAATGAGATATGTGTATAGATATAATGTATATCATTGTTAAATGGAGGCCTTTCAGACTGTGGTTTTAATTATGATCATGCAGATTGTATCAGATATATAGAACTGTATATATATACACACATACAATGTTACATCGTGATCACCTGAAGCTATGGTTAACAGACATTACCAGTTATATTACAACAATTACTGGCAAACTTGTCCAGCAAGTACTGGCATCAAAATGAAGGTTTGTATGGTTGTATAACACATCTTTGAAGTATGAAAATACATGCATCAAAAATTCACACTTAATCTGGAAGAATTTTACAGACATGACTCAGTCAACTTTCATAGGTACAGAGATGTTAACATTCAGGTTACAAAAAGCCTGCATTAAAATAACTTTCAATTTCATCCATTACTGATTTTATCGTTTTACATATCAAATAAAAAAAGGTGATGACTTGCTGAAAAGCAAAACAGGAACAGCAGTTTATAAAATGTGTTACTTAATATGAAAAAAAGAAAAGTGTATACCACTATACGTAAGATACTTTAGAGTATATACATATATATACATAGAAGGTACAGCTATAATTTACATGTGCCTCTTCAAATGATTTGAAAGCTCCCCTACAAAAAGTAAAGAAAGAGAAGATTTTAACCCGGAACCTCCAAACTATACACTCCAGATCCCAGGATCAGAAGAAACATACCTACAAACTAGATAGACTGATATAATATAGTTTATCTCACTTTCTACTACAATAGGAGGGTGTCATTAAACTCCTTATGTATCAATTAATCATTTTACTATACATGGAATAAACTGTATATGTATTTTGATTGGCTGACAGAGTGAACTTTGACCTGAGGATGCTTCACTGAAATTAAAATGCACCATAAGTAGTTGACAATTGTTGTATTTGATTTATTAAGGATTCCTATCAACTAATTGGTTTATATGTAATAGTTTGCTTTGCTGAGTTATCATCCCATAAATAGCAAAGGTTATTTTGAGGTAGGATCTCCTTATAGTAGTGGGTGGCTACCTCACTGAACAACATACAGGAGGTCCATCTCACAATAATGGGGTAGAATGTCTTGCCCATGGATACACCACAACTGCACAGATCAACCTGTTTCTCAGCTTCCAGATAATAACAAGCTGTCGTGAGAAGAGAACGTTGAACCATGTCCCTCAGATCTACTTCTGAGGTCATATTAGCCAACACTCTAACGGACTGAGCTTTCATGGCCCTCTTGAAAATATTTAACCTGTATATTACTTTCTATGATATGTAATATATCATTTACATTTTGTATTTCCAAATACTGTCAGTTCTGTATACCAATTTGCAGCATTTCATTTCAGGTCCTCCATTACACACAAACTGCTAACAAAACATCTGGGTACAGAAAAAGTCAATTCATCATCAGGACAGTGCTTTTATTGTGTTAGAAACAGGACACAAAAACTTGTTGTCTAATGTATATGGTATTTCTTCCAATTTCATTAATTATTTTTCAAAACTTATGAAAAAACACTGAATCATAAAGGAAAGGGACACCATATACAACAACCACAGGCTGTGAAACAATGCATACCTTCATGTTACATATTATTACATACTGGTATTACAAATTTTCTGATTTCTGATTACATGATACACTGTCGTACAGATTCCTTGCCTATAAACCAGCCAAATCCATATAAACATTGATCTAAAATAAAAATCTGTTGAGTCATTCTATGTTAATCTACCTTATTTACCCTGCAATAAGACCAGGCCCTAGCTGCTCAAGAGTTAACCAGTGATCACTTAAACTTTCAAATTGCTGCCACTGATCAAAGAACAGTATAAGATATATAACTAACACTCAAATTATATCAATCTGACCTGTCTCAACAAACCTACAGCTATGAAATGATAGAGAATGTTAGACAAACTTTGTGTTATTTATGTTTGAAAAGTTTCACTACCCACTGGTGTCCAAAATACACATTCTGACTCAAAGTCAGTGGGGAAAGCTTATTGCAGGCTAAAGGTACATGTACTGCATAAATATGGGTGGGAATATGATTCCAAGTAAATAAAATATTTAATATATTGATGTAACCTGGCCAAACTAGTGGCTCAGGTTCTTTAATTCATAGAATAGCATACAACTCCAAACCAACCAATATGCAGTTTGCTAGCCTTCTCTACAACTATAAGCTCCAGGGTTTTGTCGTAAAGATATACAAACCTTTCATTTCGGTACTGGTTTTTTTACCTAGATAATATACCCTAATAAGATTATTCATAATATTGGTAAATTTATTTCTTATTATTTGAAAATACTACAAAAGATTTATAAAACAGAATCATGCACAGTGAAAAGAAAAAGAAAGATTTATAAGTGAGTATTATCTCCTATGCATTAATATGTATTTAAAGTTGATAAGTGGTAGTACTAGCATATCCCTGGCTTTCATATGTAATGAGATCAAAGACTACTTGCATTACACACAGTAATCAGTAAGTTTGTAGGATTTTTTTATACGTGTGTTTGTTTGGTGATCTGATAATCAAGTTGAATTCATAGCTGTCATATAATGGGAAAGCTCAGTCGTCAGTAAGGACAACAATGGAAGACATTTCAAAAATTCACCTGATCCTGAACTTGTTGTGATTTATTCTTTTTCCAAAGTACGAAAAATATTCATCTAGTGCTTCTCAAGAAACAGCAATAACAATATCGTCTTTACCATAAAGACACAGAAAGGAATTACAGACTATTGAAGATGTAAATATTTGATTTGAACAATCAACTGTAATAATGGAAAGCTTGAACATTGATCCACCTGTCTCAATGCTAAATAACATACATGGCAATTCTGACAATAATAAAGGCAAGAAAAAGTCAAAAAAAGAAAAAGAGAATAAGCATCCTTATTTAACAAAAGGCCAAATAGGTCAGTATCACTCACATACTCCACATATTAAGAGTCCACATTATTGAAGAATTTATTCTGGTAACTTTCATGTTTATCCCAAATATCATAACATACCTCTTTACAGTATATAATTATGTTACAAGTGAAATAATAATGTAAAGAAAATCTTAGTATCTGAAGATACACAGCTTTACAATCATTATACATAAATCAAGGTAATTTATCTGAACAACTTTGATAACCCTTCATCCCAGTATACAACTGGTCAAATATCATCACCCTTGGTCTCGGTTACAGAGAAGTTGTTTAAAAGTTTAAACACATCTGACCCATGCCTTTGGTCTTGTACCTTGAAAGTAGGTAAGTAAGTCCAAAATACTTAGAGCTCAATATAACGTTGGGTCTCTTGGTTAATGAGAAAATATCAGTTAAAGACATTTAACCCCTGTAAGTTTGAATGAGTATCAAGGTCATTCATTTGAACAACCTTAGTAATCTTTATCCCGACATGCTACTGACTAAATATCATGACCTATATGTCTCACTTTTCACAAACATGGTATCCTGTCATATGAGAGTTAAAATAATTCTGGTATTTGATCAACATTTTACATATCGGTGGTATTGTGAGATCCTCTTTATTCACATAGTCATGTTCCTGCCCCAATGTCCATCAAAATATGGGCAGATACAGAAAAAGTATATGAGTTTTGAAACATGGCATTGGTATAAGCACGGACTTGTATATTATTCTATATTTAAGTCTGTGGTATAAGCTTGAAGATAAATTGCAGACTCCTTAATCAGTGTGCAGCATACATGTAAAAATGGCAATTTCCTTCAACAATTATTGATTAAATGTCATCCTAGGAGCAGGTCACTTATTTCCAATTTCATATAGAGCGAGAGTTCCAATCTTCATCAATTCCAGACTAATTTATAAAAGTAGAAAGAACATCCAATGTCAGGTTAATACAGATTGGCATTGTGATATGAACATGTCTAAAGAACAAACACAAAATTGTACATCTAAAACCTAACAAGTGATCTAACATATTGTGGCTGAAATTCACCTGACTCATTATTGTCTTAGACAGTAGTATTATTTGGATTAAAATATATATGTATATGCAATTTCAACAAGATTTTCAGTTTTGTTGTTTTTTTATTATTAATAATAATAAAGACTGTTTAGCTGAAGGATGTCAACCATATAATTTGCAAATAACACATCCAACAAAGAAGGAAGAGTTTTTGCATAGAAAAAAAACCCGAATTTTTTCAGATTTTGACAACTGTAATGTCCGCCATTTCTATTTGTCTACTGTACACTGTAATTTCAATATTGTAAGAAGAAAGTCCAATCGAGTAAAATATCAAAACGTTCCATTGATTCAGACAGTTTCATGCATCTTCACAGCCTTAATCAAAATAAGGATCACGTCAAGATGTCAGTGAATATGTGTTATCACCAGGGAAAGAAGATGATAATCCAAAAGACAGAGTCAGAGAGTGAAAAGGATATTTGAGGTGTTAATATCTTAACAGCTAAAGGCTGTATTTGGCACGATCGATGTAATTCGTTTTACATAGCAAGTTTGCCATATCTTTTAATGGTAGCTATATCTATTTCGGGACTTCCATTTGTTTGGTTTTTTTTTCAAAAGTTCACATGATAAGAGTATGTAGAGTTCGGAATTAATGAATAGTTTTACAATGACAAATCAGTCGGACTCACCATTTTCAACTTTGCCTTGCCTTGGCATGGTGTCGCGCCCGCGTATGTTATCAGCAGCCTCTGCCATATTTATTTTATCCTCTGGCACAAGTGCCCGACAATTTCAGGTCCAATTTAAATCGTTTTTACACATATTGTTTTGGAATATAACGTATACTCCATAACCGGAAGTTATAAAAAAAAGAAAACCGGATGTAGGAAATGAAATCAGCCTATAGAACAGTAAAGGTTACCATACTTCGCAACAATGACAATCTGAAATAATGATTGCGACACCATCATGCAGGTTCAATACTGGGACAACCGGTCCGTCAAGTTGGCGACATTCAAGTTTTTTTGTTTGGCTCTTATTCTAAACAAGTCCAAAAATAACCATTACCAGTTTCTCTCCGTCTTTTCCTCCTGAATAAATATTAACGGTCTTGATTAATTATTTTTGGGGTCATAGATGATCGAAATTCCAAAACTGAAACTTAATTGCAATGATGCCGAGATGGTCCCGGTTAGTTTTTTATATACGATATCCACGATCGCAGGCATAATCTTAAACACGTTTAAAAATTGAGTGTCATTAAGCTTCAGCTGATGGTCCTTACGAAGTTTTATCTTAAAAGCCGATCTAATATGGAAATCCATGAAGGCCGTCATGACTGCCATTTAGAGAGAGAGAGAGAGAGAGAGAGAGAGAGAGGTGGTTCATGGTTGACTGCATTTGGAAAGATTTAGGAAGCATCAAATCATTCGAACTGTTGAATATATTTTTGAACTGATTTTATTATTTCGCGATTAGTTTGGTATGAGTAAGAGTTAATATCACCCCATAATATGGTTTCTACGTTAAAAATCACGTCTAGGTCATATAGAGTATCACACAATATTCGTCTACAATTAGAAAATAAAGCGCACGAAAGAAAATAGTAACTTGCGTCTTCAACGACGTCTCCACAAGAGCAATTTGGAGACTGACAAATTCCCACCGTAAATAAATCTGAGCGCAGTCCACTACAGTTGTTCCTCGTTCGACAATGTATAACGGAAAGGAAACGGTTGCCAGAGTGTAGATAATCTGGAACAGAAAAGTTAACGGGAGAAAGTTTAGATCTGAATGTATTTAAGGACGGAGACGCTTTTACAAAATTATCTACGTTATTCCACAAATTTATAGACGACGGCACAAAGGATTTTTTCACAGTATTTAGACGACTGTGGGGTATTTGGTAATTCTCAGGGTTTCTTAATTCAATGTTTAAGTCACGTCTAATGGGTGGAAGTAGATTTACCAAGTAAGAAGGGGCTATCTTATTGTGTATTTTGTAGAACGTAGTCAATTTTGATGCCTCTCTTCTTTGTTTGAGAGAAACCCAACCTGTTTCACAATAGAAAGACTCACGAGACGCTATGGATGTGAGACCAGTAACGATTCGTGCAGCCTCTAATTGGACTTTTTCTAGTGAGTCGGACAAGTGTTCTGAACAGCCAACCCAAACACAAGAGGCGTACTCAAGAATGGGCCTAATAAACGATATATAAATAGTATTAAGAGTAGACTTATTTACCTTGTACTTAAGTTTTTTCATGGCACACACTTTTTGAGAAGAAGTTTTAATGAGGAGGTTAACATGGTCACTCCATTTGCAATTACTGCTAAAGGTTACACCCAAGTGACGATGCGAATCATTGAATTTAATGGGTTCACCATTGCATACCAAGTTTGGTAGGGTTATTTCTAGGAGAAAAGATAACTGCCTCCGTTTTAGCAGGATTTAATTTCATAAGCCATTGGTCAGACCAAGTTTGAAGACGATCTAGATCCTGATTCAGGGCAACTTCAATTTCATCTGAAAAGGCAGATGATTTTTGAAGAGAGGAATCATCAGCAAATAATCTCACAAAAGTGTTCATAGGATCAGCTAAGTCGTTGATGTAAAATAAAAACAGCAAGGAACCCAGTACAGAACCCTGTGGTACCCCAGCCCTGACCGGCTTAAAAGGAGAAGTGTTGTTTCCATATATAACAGATTGGTATCTATTGGTTAAGTGATTTTCCAACCAGGACAGTAACACTCCATCTATTCCATACTGATGGAGTTTGAACAAGAGACCCTTATGCCAGACTTTGTCAAATGCCTTGGACAAATCGCAAAATGCAACACAAGAATATTCATTATTATCCAAAGAGCTAACAATACTGTGATACATTTCTATCAACTGATAGACTGTGGAGTGGCCGGGAAGGAAACTAGATTGATACTTGTAAAAAATATTGTTGTCTCTAGCAAAGTTAAAAATATATTTTGACAAGAAACTTAGCAAAGAAATAGGCCTATAATTTGAAGGAACATGAGCATCTCCTTTTTTAAATACTGGTAAAACGTGTGCTTTTTTTCCATTTCGAAAGGAACAGCATCCCTTAGAGACCTATTAAATAATAATGTAAGAGGTTGTGAAATAGTTCTGGCTGTAGCTTTTAGCATACGGTGACTAATCCTGTCTGGACCAACAGCTTTCCCTATGTCAAGAGTAGATAAAATATCATAAACATCTTTTTCTTCGATCATAAAACTAGAAAGTGAATTAATGCATTTGATTGGCAGATTTGTATTAGAATCATCAGTACTGGAGACAGAAGTGAAGTAATTATTGAGGATTTCAACCTTTTCCTGGTCACAAAATGCCATTTTGGTAATACCATTAACATTGTATTCTAGAGGAGGTATAGAGCGAGGAGAGGAGGAGAAAAAGCGGTTAAGAATTTGCCAAAAGGCAAAGGAGAAGGTTCAAGAATTGTCAAAGACGTTATAATTTTGACATCTTTAAGTCACGTTTTATTTACAATATTTCAGTACATGGACTTCGATTAATGACCGAACATCTTATCCAAAAACGGAGCTGTCGTTTAACTTCATTTTATACTTTGGTACATACCGCGAGGTATTGCCTGAGGTTAGTGACGATAACGCCTCTTATTATAGAATATAATATTGTTCAAGAGTTTCTGTATACAGTTTGGTGGCAAACAGTAATATGAAATAACTCATATACATTTTGTAAGGTCTGCATTACAGGATATGATGATTTCATTGTAAGAATGAACGCTTATATTACATCATAGACAATATGCAAAGCTGTGGCTCAAACTATGTCGATATAGCATCAAACGGCGCGTGGTTCGATCCCCGATCAAGGCGGTTAGTGTTTAAGGAAGTTCTTTGTGGTGTACATTTTATCTAGATACGGGCCTCCCGTATGATTTTCAATGAGGTAGCCACAACCAGTATACCCCATCTCTTGATTCCACACAACAAGACTGACCCGCTTCCACGCAAGACTGACCCGCTTGACCTCTACTTAACGCTCTACCGAATAGACTTTTTTTTTAATCCTTAGTAGCCGAGTTGGAAGAAAGTTGAAATTAATCGACTAAAAGTTGTTCGGAATTTTTACCAGGACCACATTTGACCACGCCCATCCTCGAAGTTCCCGGGGCTATACCAGCACATAACCGCGATTTATTATATACAGTATAGAGATCGTAAACGATGTAATGAGTGATGTTTCGAAAATGGTCCTTGCGTGCTCTGTACCGCCATCTAAACATTCCCTGTATTATTAAAAACTTACGATGTATTCTTAAAAAAAATTGCATGACTAGGAAAATTTGTTATAGGGATATGCATGCATATTATTGAATAAGTGTCATTTGACTTTCCTCCTCTCAAATGGTTATGGTACACAATTCTAAGAAACGAACCTCACATTGAGATAATTAGACCATGGAATTTATGGTCAAGTCGGCGTATCGCAGAAACATTCACCAGGGCATGCAACTTACTACGCAGAACACAGGTATGATTCTGAAATTGACTGGAGTAATGTTAATGTTTTAATATACCAAGGCATTTTGATAATGTATTGTGAATTTGGGGTGAAATGATGACAATCTTGCTTCTGTTGCCCTTTGATACGAGTACGTTTCGTTCTGTATCTCCCGTTAGATAATAATCTCGTTCAAATCTTCGTTTGTGACTGCCAGATAGCGATGGTCTCGCTATTTTGTTCCGAGAAGTGACAAAAATATTTGTTAATCTCCCCCGTTTGGCGACTACATTTTACGGTAAGTGAAAATTATCCTTAATTCGCGTTATGGTTACTAACCAGAGAAATCATTCGGGTTGCTTGTTTTTTTAGAGACGAAAATATGATAAATATCGATATACTATCTCCAATATTGCTTATATTTTTATATTTTACATTGCTCCTACACCTCGACGACATCTCTGAGATTTGTAGCGATGAACAGCAAGAGATTCTCGAGATGGCGAATCGTCTATTAGGTTAAATTATACGTCATTTGTTTGCATTCATGAACGTTGGTGAGTTTACAAAGTAAAAAATGTGTCAACAAATATTAGAGAAACCGTGTATTTGCAATGTCTCTTTAAAAAAAAACTAAAAATATATAGCGTAAAGCGAGGATAAAGGACTGACAGACAAATTACAGCTACTGTGTCTATGTGTATTTGTGATATGCTCATTAGAACTTGTTATCGACAGACTTGTACCCACGTGTACAATTTTACTCACATCGGTCTGGCATTGGGAAAACTAGTCTTTTGGCGAGTAGTTTACATAACAAATTCACGGTATTGAAATTCAGAGACAGCGATAAGAAATTGTTCATCACGGAACAAGTTTTTTTCAATGATCATTTAATGTATTTCTAGTTATTAAAATTCATAGTTCTTTTATATAAAAAAATATTCTAATTTTACTCAAATTCAAAATTGAATTATTACAACGAATTATTACCTTAAGGCTTTATTTGTTTTATTATTTAATCGCTTTATGAATAAAAAGCAATATTCTTTCTCTCTTTCTTTTTGAATTATAGAAATATGTATATTTTTAACGGAAAATAAGTTTTACGTTCAGCCTAATGATGTAAAGATTTATCAAACCAAAGACAAACTTTGTTAGAGCGAGAGAGAAAAAATATACACACAATGAATTCCAGGGTGATAAGGGCATATGCCTGAAACTAACTTTCCTAGAAGAAGGGCGCTTCCGAGTCACGGATTATGCCGGTTAATTTTAAGAGTTCGCCTGATTGCGGGTATTTAGTATAACCCCATTAGTACCACCGCCATATTTGAACGGGGGATACGAACTTTGACTTCTGAATGTCTTCTGACTTCGCATTTATAAATACTGATTTGTAAGTATTACAAAAGGTCAAACTGTATATAATTGTCAATGTGCGTGCGGCTTATGATTTCGACCAACCATTCATGAAATAAAAAGCATGCAATGTACATCAGAGATGCAAATATCTGGCCATAATCGCAACTGAGACGGTGGATGCTGTCAAAATTATCTCGCCCTGACAAGCCTCTTACATTGTTGGAGTACCCATAGGACTATAGATTATAATCGGAATTTATATTTGAAATAGTTATTGCTAACAGCACAGGAAAAAAATTATTTTCATTGTCCGATTCCTGTATTTATCGCGGATATATCTACATATGAGAAACTATATATAGATACATGTTTGCAAACACAAAATTAATAAACAATGAATGTTATAATTTCTTCTTCAATGTTTTTTTAAACAAATTGATCAATCAAACCACGCTTCAATCCGGCCGTTGATAAAAAGGGCATCTTTTGTCAGGAAAAACACATGAATCCACTCTAACAATAGATTAAGTTCCTGTGCATGAATTTACTGTGGTTTACACTATGCAGTAAATCGTTTATTGAATTTGTAACAAATTAGACATGCTTTGGAAATTTTTGTTTGCAAATGTAATTTATCATGTAAAAATATGTTGTCTTCAGCAGTTAGAGTATTGAAGTTTTAGTGTGTCATTCCAAGGATGTTCCCAAGCTGTGTATCACAGGAAACGTTCAACCAGCTCATATATGCTGCAATAAACACAAATGTATAGATTCCCCAGAACAATAACAATGGAATGGCTTGCTAGCATACCAGCTTTAATTACATTAAGTAATTGTTGTAGGGTTTTTTGGCAGGCGAGCCCAGAACACAGATTCAAAACTTTTGATGAATCATAGTATTAAGATATAATGAGCTTATGGTAAATATGGTCAGGGATGACATCATTTCATTTTTCGATAGTTTCAAAACTGCTTCAAACATCAATATGACACATGCACCAATATAACAACGAGCCATACAATGAGTTTTGTAACAGAATATATTTTATCTGTTGAATGCAATTCCAGAACAGTTAATGTGTTTTTATACACCTGATGAAAGACCAGCCATATTACGTTATCATGTGAGAAGGCAGGCAGGTTTGAGAAGGGGGGTTTGTCTGCTTGATAACTTTAGTAGTTTTTAACAAAGCAACTTTAAACTTCATATGGAGGTTCATTCACGTGATGGCTCACACAAGTTCAATCAAGATTTATGGCCCCTTATGAAATTACTGAAACAGTGTCTTCTCGATATTGTAAGCAGTTTTCAGGGGATCAACTTCAAACTTCATTGAAAAGTTTAATATTATGACAGATCATACAAATTTGATCGCTTTAAAGTTGAAACTGTAATTCATGGAGTTATGGGCCCATATCAAAGTACCAAAATAGTGTCCGCTGAATATTGCAAGTAGTTATCAAGAGATCAGCTTCAACTTTATAGGAAGATTCATTATACCATGATTGTTCAGACAGGTTGTTTGACCACAATTTTCAGACCAAAATTTTACAGAGTTATGGCCCTTTATTTCATGACGGAAACGTGTCCACATGATACCGAAAGTAGTTTTCAACGGATTAACTTCAACTTTCATAACAAGGTTCATTACCATGATAGCTCTGACGAGTTTGGTTACTGTAATTTTTGGACAGCAGTTCAGACAGTAATGACCCCTTATTCAGTTACTGAAAGTGTCCACTCAATATTGCAGGTTGTTTTCAATGGAATAACTTCAAACTTCATAGGAAGGTACATTACCATGATAGCTTCCAAACTTTTGATGAGCTCATAACTAAGAGATATAGTGGGTCCTGAGAATTTCAAACAGGAAAGTCAGGAGTCAAGAGCTGAAATATCTTGAGTCCCAAAAAATCATTGATACAATTTATTTTCAATATTGCAAGAAACGTTTTGTAAGATTCAAGCTCTTGAACACGGGAGGCATAACTTTCATAATTGAGTTAGCATATATGTCACAAATAAGTATACAAGTCTAACCTTCATTTTTTTCCCTTTCTATTTAGTCCAGCTGTTTGACTTGGAATGGAGATGATGGTTTTTGATGAAATTGATGCAAACAAAGATGGTTGTTGTCTAGTTCGTCACAAGGACACTGTGTACAAGGTGAAGGTCACCTTTGGTCAGGAAATCAGGAAGTGTGACTCTGTAGCAGTCCGTTTAGAACTTGAGCAGGTATTCCGTGCTGTACTTCATCTGTCTGAGAGTGATAAACAGATTCCACCCATATTTACTCAACATTTAATGGTCAAACCTCTGAAAAAATACTGGGCTATTTGTGATAAAATTGGGTTCCAACAGAATGGCCAAGATTTGGAGACATCCACTTATTTCTTTCAGTTTTATGTAAGCGAACGCCCAGTTTGGAAACATACCAAGAATCAATTGCTCTATGGAAAGAAAATCATCTCCACAAGGGAATCACAGTGTTCTAGGGTAAGGAGTGGTACCGTTAGAAGATCCTCAGATGACAATGTGGACAGTGTAAGAAACCATGGAGACAAAGGTCAGCAGACATCAAGAAAGGTCAATACAGATACAGGTTGGACAAGAGAAAAAACAACTGATGTTAATGTAAGGAACGAGACCAGATTACTCGACAGGGAGACTGAAGTTGGAGGAAACAATGACAGGCAGGCAGAGAGTAGACAGTCAAAAAGTACGGAACAGGACAAGCACCAGGCACCTGATGGGCTGGCGTACAGTAAGAAATCCAACAGGGGTACGTCCCATAGAATGGAACCTGGTAATGAAGAGATAGAATGCAGAGAATCAGAGACAGAAATAAGAACAGACATTGATGGTGGGGAACAAAAAAATAAGGACACAACAGGTAAGGACACAACAGGTAAACTGAAGAATGTGGCGATGTCAAGTGACAGTGAAAGTGAATATCAAGAAAATGCAAGATGTTTAAGAAGGTCTGCAAGGGTATGTAATAAAAATAATAATACTGAAGACTCAAGAAAACACATTGGAAAATCTGCTGTAACTGAGCTATCTCAATCTGGTGTCACTGATTTAGATATCACAGGAGAGATGAAATCTGTTCCAAGAAATCAGGATGGCTGGAAGAAAAAAAGGAAATCTACCACTGCTAATGTTGATGATATTATTGGATTTAGTTATAAAGTAAATAGATTCCGTGCTAAAATATCACGGAAAGACAACCAGTCAGCAAAGAAAAGGTGTCATGTGTTATATAGAAGTGGTGGTCGTGGTCACTCACCACTGATGGAACTGCCAGGTGTATCAGATGGGACAGCAAAAACAACCAGCATTGGAAAAACATCATTATCACATAGGACAGCAGAAATGGCTATCAATGGAAAAACAACACCTTCACATGGGACAGTAGAAACTGCCAACAATGGAAAAACAACACCTTCACATAGGACAGCAAAAACCTCCAACAATGGAAGAACATCACCTCCACGTAGGACAGTAGAAACTGCCAACAATGGAAAGGCATCACCTTCACGTATGACAACAGAATCTGCCAACAATGGAAAGACAACACCTTCACGTAGGACAGTAGAAACTGCCAACAATGGAAAGACAACACCTTCATGTAGGACAGTAGAAACTGCCAACAATGGAAAGACATCACCTTCACAAAGGACAGCAAAAACCTCCAACAATGGAAAGACATCACCTTCACATAGGACAGCAAAAACCTCCAACAATGGAAAGACAACACCTTCACGTAGGACAGCAGAAACTGCAAACAATGGAAAGACAACACCTTCACGTAGGACAGTAGAAACTGCCAACAATGGAAAGGCATCACCTCCACGTAGGACAGTAGAAACTGCCAACAATAGAAAGGCATCACCTCGACGACGGACAGCAGAAACTGCAAACAATGGAAAGACAACACCTCCACGTAGGACAGCAGAAACGTCCAACAATGGCAAGACATCACCTCGACGAAGGACAACAGAAACTACAAACAATGGAAACAGATCTAGATCATCCAATATTGACAATTTGGTTAAAAATCAAACGCACAGTTCAACAAAAGCTCATGAGGACTTGACATCTCTGATCATCGAAAGCCCAATCAATGGGAACATTGATGAAAGGCCTCATGACTTAACTGAAGATGTAGACAAGAACCTCCAGTCTTTGTGTAAGTTTTTCCTGCATATGGGTCTTGATGGTTCATTGGTCTTGCATGAACAGTGTTTGTTAAGTGAATAGGTAAATATAATTTCTCTGCTTATGTCAAAGGACACTCCTTTTGATCTGATTTCATGTGAGATGTATTTACATATATAATGTAAAAGAACAGTTGTTATTGCAAATAAGCAGGTTGTTTTTGTGTGTTCATGATTGTGTGTCAGTAATTTTTGATCTATAAGAAAATCAAAATCTCCTTTCCCATTACAAAACAATAAGAAATTGCACATTATTATTTCAGATGCACAGAGACATAACTTGAGGAATGGATCAAAGAACAGAACTAAATCTCAGTCCAATGCTCAAAAAAGTCCCACAGGATCATTAGTGAAAGCCTCTCAGAAAGGTCTTACAAGGTCACAGAAACCTCACACAAGGTCAACAGAATCGCCCAAATGCCGAAAGTCTGCTTCACTAGCTAAAGATGTAAAGATTGTTACAAGATCTGTGACATCATCCAATGGTCACAGAGGTTTTGTGAGGTCAGGGACTCCATCCATAAATCAGAGAGGTCAATTGAGGTCAGCACTTCCAACCAAACGTCACAGAGGTCAAATGAGGTCAGCAACGCCATCCGTAGGATATGGAGGTCGACTGAGGTCAGCAACTCAAACCAAAAGGCACAGAGGTCCATTGATGTCAGCAACTCCAACCAAAGGGCGCAGAGGTAGAATGAGGTCAGCAACACCATCCATTGGTCATGGAGGTCATAGGTCGGCAACATTCCTGAAAAGTAATGGATGTCGGATGAGCTCACCATCTGAAGAATCTGAGAGATTACTGAGGATGCGCCAACCTATTCAGCATGGTATCCAGGTACTGATATATGTCTATCTGTTACTCATGTTTTAAACCCTACATAGATAATAAGTATCTTATTAATAACAATCATCTAATTCACATAGGTTTGTAGGATATTCCAGCAAAAACTTGTTTTGTATGAAATTCAAAATTTTCAATGAAATCCATTATCGCTTGTATTAATTTGCCTATAAATGTTAATGAAATCTTGCATTTGAGCAAAAGATTCATATAATGACAGATTAATGTTGAAATTATATAAAGGTTCTTAAAATTTACTTTGTCTATATCTTACACTTTCTGCATCACTATTGACCTGAAGTTTTTTAAGGGATATGAGCATTTTTTAAAAATTCTTTTAAATGGTATGATGACAGGTTCTTTTTTATGGTGATGTTGGTGAAGGACATTGAGTTAATAACAAACAAAGGTAAAATGTCAGAATATATTGCATAAGGACATGTTTAAGTTCAAGGCCAGTGTCATCTGTCTAACGGTAAATAGAGGAATTATTTGATTTGCATTAGACTTTCACTTTTAAGAACAAGATGATAGGTATCAAATGAATACAATGTTAGAGATAATCCACAAATTATTTGTATACATATACTCCCATTTGTCTGCCAGCAATTTAATTTTATTCCTTCCAGTATAGTCAACTATTTGGACCTGTGTATTTCCATTTGTCTGACTGTTAATTAAATTTATTCTCTCTACGATATAGGTGGCTGACGTGGACCTGTGTATTTCCATTTGTCTGACTGTTAATTAAATTTATTCTCTCTACGATATAGGTGGCTGACGTGGACCTGTGTATTTCCATTTGTCTGACTGTTAATTGAATTTATTCTCTCTACGATATAGGTGGCTGACGTGGACCTGTGTATTTCCATTTGTCTGACTGTTAATTAAATTTATTCTCTCTACGATATAGGTGACCAATGTGGACCTGTGTATTTCCATTTGTCTGACTGTTAATTGAATTTATTCTCTCTACGATATAGGTGGCTGACGTGGACCTGTGTATTTCCATTTGTCTGACTGTTAATTCAATTTATTCTCTCTACGATATAGGTGGCCAATGTGGACCTGTGTATTTCCATTTGTCTGACTGTTAATTGAATTTATTCTCTCTATGATATAGGTGGCTGACGTGGACCTGTGTATTTCCATTTGTCTGACTGTTAATTGAATTTATTCTCTCTACGATATAGGTGGCTGACGTGGACCTGTGTATTTCCATTTGTCTGACTGTTAATTCAATTTATTCTCTCTACGATATAGGTGGCTGACGTGGACCTGTGTATTTCCATTTGTCTGACTGTTAATTATTCTCTCTACGATATAGGTGGCTGACGTGGACCTGTGTATTTCCATTTGTCTGACTGTTAATTCAATTTATTCTCTCTACGATATAGGTGGCTGACGTGGACCTGTGTATTTCCATTTGTCTGACTGTTAATTGAATTTATTCTCTCTACGATATAGGTGGCTGACGTGGACCTGTGTATTTCCATTTGTCTGACTGTTAATTAAATTTATTCTCTCTACGATATAGGTGACCAATGTGGACCTGTGTATTTCCATTTGTCTGACTGTTAATTGAATTTATTCTCTCTATGATATAGGTGGCTGACGTGGACCTGTGTATTTCCATTTGTCTGACTGTTAATTAAATTTATTCTCTCTACGATATAGGTGACCAATGTGGACCTGTGTATTTCCATTTGTCTGACTGTTAATTGAATTTATTCTCTCTACGATATAGGTGACCAATGTGGACCTGTGTATTTCCATTTGTCTGACTGTTAATTGAATTTATTCTCTCTATGATATAGGTGGCTGACGTGGACCTGTGTATTTCCATTTGTCTGACTGTTAATTGAATTTATTCTCTCTATGATATAGGTGGCTGACGTGGACCTGTGTATTTCCATTTGTCTGACTGTTAATTAAATTTATTCTCTCTATGATATAGGTGGCTGACGTGGACCTGTGTATTTCCATTTGTCTGACTGTTAATTAGATTTATTCTCTCTACGATATAGGTGGCTGACGTGGACCTGTGTATTTCCATTTGTCTGACTGTTAATTAGATTTATTCTCTCTACGATATAGGTGGCTGACGTGGACCTGTGTATTTCCATTTGTCTGACTGTTAATTCAATTTATTCTCTCTACGATATAGGTGGCTGACGTGGACCGCTATTTGGTTGAACAGGAAGAGTTACAGGAAATGTCAAAATTACAGAAAATGGCTTCTACACATGATCAGCAAAGTTACTACACTCGGAAACGGAAGCAATCAGGACTATGGAACTATGTGGATGCACTCATTATTACTCCAGCTAAAAAAATATTTAAAAGGAGCTGAGATTCTCATTGTACTCTAATTTACAGTCACACCAGCCAAAGCATTGTTTGAAGCACCAGATAATTTCAGTATACTGGTCACATTCTTCAGTTCTTATTGTGAAATATGTTGTATTCTAAGCATATTTTACTTGTCCAGCTATCATTTTCATAGTTAAGGAAAAATTTACATTTTATCACAGTACACATGTATTTCAGATTTTAGGATTTCCTTTTCGTTGTTTCTTTGCTGTTGTTTCATATATAAAATGTTTGAGAATCAAGATGTTGAGAAGACATGATGGACAATGTTCAAAGATACAGGCTTTACTGATATACATGTTTATGTACTGATGTATCCGTTCATAATTTAAAATGCTGTAAAATTTTTACTTCATTCGATATTAAGTTATAACATTTATTGTTCAAAGGATATTTATATTCTGCAATCAGTAATTATCATTTTTCCAATTTATGCAAAGATTTTTAAATAAATTATTTGTAAAATAGTTTTTATAGTCTTTGTTATGTGTCCAGTGACAAGTGTTTTTCAAGTATCTGTCATACTTTGTACCAAGGTAATGACAGCTTGCATATGCAAATGAATTTGTAAAGCTATTCCAGTAAAACATCCACTTGACCCCAGGACTTTAGAGTTAATCACTTCTATCAGTTTCCCGTTTAGTACTTCTTGACAAATTATCAAGTGGACTCAGGTGGTTGGTACCCCTAAATACAAGAGGCCTAGCGGCCTTGACGGTCACCTGAGATAAGCAATATTGAATATAAAGGTTAAAGGATAGTTATCGCACTGTATTTCCAGTGGGGAAATAACTAACATTATGCTCAAAATACTATTTTTCTGTGAAAATTACAATAAAGTTGAAATAAGTATTCCTCCCCAGAAGAAATGTGACTCATTTTGGTAATTAAAGCACCTTAAGATGCTTCAATTCATGAAGAGCATTTGATAATACCATATCTGGGTCTTCAGAAGTCGTCATCATTCACTCATAATTCTAAGCAAGTTTGAAATATTTCCAATGGAAATTAAACAAATTATGCTCAAAAATCCAGTTTTCTTATATAAACTCTAGTAAACTTTACCCCCTCCGAACAGGGATATGCGAGACCCTGTGGCCATGAAATTCATAATTTTGGTAAAGCACCTTAAGATTCTTCATTCATAAAGAGTATTTGATTCAACCATATCTGGGTCTTGAGAAGAAGATTTTTGAAATCTGAGTCAATTTGAAACCTTTCGGCTCTGTCCCTCAGGCCCCTGTGGGTGGTGACTGTATTATTCACAATTTTTGTTCATCTTCTGCCAGGGAAGGTTTCTACAAAAGTTCAGTGAAATTGGACCTGGGGTTTTTGAGAAGTCAAAAGTGTTAAATTGTTTACGGATGCACAATGCATGATGTACACCCTGAATGCAAGGTTTAGAATAGGTCACTATGAGACTTTGTCTCAGGTGACCTAAAAGCTGGAGTTCTGGGGTGGGAGAGAAGTTTTAATGGAATGACCCCTAAAACATCACCATCAAAATAATTAAATTTTTCATCACTTTATGTTTTGTTTAACTATGACTAAATATGTCAGTTATATTTTACACCTAATACAACATTGATGATGCAGTGTGTTATGTCACCCATCAATTGTTAAATCATCCCATTGAATAACTTCCCCCTAATAATCATAATGTCTAACATCATGACATATGGCTAGCAGGTTCCTTGGATGAAGGTTCACTAAGTTAGTGAAAAGAAATGACCTGGACACATTCAATATCACAGGTTAAATTTGTTAAAACCCACAAATAATTTTTTTCAATATCCATAACACCTAAAATCATGATATTTGGCTGGTAGGTTTCTTGGATGAAATCTTGAAAAAGTTTGCCAAAAGAATTGCGAATTGCTGTGACACTAAATTAACAATTGACTTACGAATAACCCTGACACTAAATTAACAACAGATTTACGAATAAACCTGACGCTAAATTAACAACAGATTTACGAATAACCCTGACACTAAGTTAACAATGGATTTACAAATAACCCTGACACTAAATTAACAACAGATTTACAAATAACCCTGACACTAAGTTAACAACAGATTTACGAATAACCCTGACACTAAGATAACAACGGATTTACGAATAAACCTGACTCTAAATTAACAACAGATTTACAAATAACCCTGACACTAAATTAATAACAGATTTACGAATAAACCTGACTCTAAATTAACAACAGATTTACAAATAACCCTGACACTAAGTTAACAACAGATTTACGAATTGCCCCAACACTAAAATAAACAACAAAATTACGAATCACCATAGACTGAAAATTACAACAAATTTACAAATTGCCCTGACATTAAATTAACAGATTTATGAATTGCCCCGACACTAAAATAAACAAGACTTACAATATCACAAGAGACTGATATTAACAACACATTTACAAATCGCCCCTTACACTGAAATTAACAACCCAATTAAGAAATGTGATCTATATGTATGTAATGTACAGTGAGTTTCCTGACAAAGTACTGATTGTAGGATGAATAGCCCCGTAGTATAAAGAAAGTGTAATAATGATAATCAACGTTTATAATCAATTCACATTTTCATTTGTGGTGATAAATTTTTTCGAGATTTTACTTAAATCACTGAATTGGTGAAAAAAGGTTTAGAAAAGTAAACAGAAAAATCTGACAATGCAATAGGTCAACATGATTGAGAACATTGTCCCAACAAATATCAATAACATAACATAACAAAAAATATATAAATTCTTCTCATTTATTATCTTGCTGGTAGACATTTAACTCCATTGCATCAAAAAACAGGCCATGTCAAAGGTTCTACATTTCAAGAATATCATGCTGTCATTTTAGGTTAACAGTGGTTTTATTTGACCTTGGTGACATTGAGTAATATAGGAAGATGACATTTAAATACATGGAAAATGTACCTTCATAGCATCAATGAACAAAAAATGAAATGTTCCCGCATGAGGAATGGTTGGTAACGCATATCAAACCTGAGTTTAATAAGATTTTAAAGACTTTAAATTATGGAGGTTTTTGTTTTCATAACTAAATAACTTATTTCTAAATCTGACTGCCTACTGAGAAACTCCAGATTCCAGATAATTGCATAAAAGGAAACACAATAAATATCTACCCCAGTACAAGGTGCTTTGTAACATTTTCTATGAATTAAATATCATACTCAAGATTGTGATTTGTATGTTATTCAATTAAAAAACCATATTTCCCACACATAGGTACTCGTTTAATAAAGTCTCTCATTTTTCAGAATAAAGAAAAAATAAATATGCTACTGAACCTTTCTTTAATATTTCATAGGATCAGATTGACCTTATTCAACTTGTTTTCTTAAGTTTTTTTGTCAGTATAACAACTTACTCTTGGTTTGGGGAAAACATGAATTTATTTCACAAGATCCTATTATCATGCACTGTTATGATAAAATACAATAAACATAAGATAGTCACAGTGCAATGTGACACTGTAGCAGGAAGAGGTTAATTGCACTAAAACTCTGTAAAACTGATTATAAGTATAAATTTTCAACAAACCTGTAAACTTGGGGTCATTTAGGTCTTTAAATTACCACAAAATATTTTTCAAACCTCGTAAACCCATATTGAAAACAACAAGATGAACAACATTAATTAGAGAGTCTTAGTAACAGGTTAGATATGTATTCAATTCCAAAAACAAGAGTCTAATTTTTTGGTGAATGGAACAATGTTTTATAATTATATACTATCTGTGTACCACTTTTGACATAATGAAAGTACTGGGGAAATAGAACAATATAGCAAAATTTCTTAAATGCTAACAAAAATCTAGTATCTTGGTACATCGGATAGTTTTTTTCTCAAGTGGAGCGAATGTAAGTGAGTATATCAATTATCGCGAATGGCCTCCAGTATCAAGGGACATTTAGAAGGTATATGGTAACTTCTATTTCTTCAATACCAGAAAACAATTTCTAACTTTGTAACCAACTGACAACCTATCAGGCATAAAAGGGATATATAAGTATATTCACTTGGCATTAACACATCTCCTGAGAAAGTAAAAATATTTGTTTGGCACAAAGGAAGGCCAGTTCAGTACAGATAACTAACACACTAGTATGATTTATATTCATTCTTTGTTTAAAATTTACATAATCCAGAATTTGCTCACTTAGGCTTTAGATTATATTTTGAATACATATACTTAGATGGACATTCCATAATTTATAACCAATAAGTATTCATTTTTTTACATGTATAACCAGATTTTTAATATCCGACCATCACTTAAATATAAATCTAAAATTTGGCAGGTGGCAGGCCCATCTTTGTTTACATACCAGATAGGGCCAACTATTGTGTTTACACTTTTGAAAAATAAGACTTTAACTGCACAAAACAAAATGCTCTCAAACACTGTATCATGCTGAAATTTCACCAGGTGAATGGTCGTTTACTCTGGACTTAGACCAAATTGAGAAACAGACTTATCCTTTGGTTAATTTAAGTCTGTATTTTAGGCTATTCTTCTCAGGCAATGAATACATTAAGATTAAATCCCCTGAAGTGCTTTACAGAGTTTAATAAGATTTTAAAGACTTATAAATTATGGAGGTTTTTGTTTTCATAACTGAATAACTTATTTCTAATTCTGACTGCCTACTGAGAAACTCCAGATTCCAGATAATTGCATAAAAATAAATACAATAAATATCTACCCCAGTAAAAGGTGCTTTGTAACATTTTCTATGAATTAAATATCATACTCAAGATTGTGATTTGTATGTTATTCAATTAAAAAACCATATTTCCCACACATAGGTACTCGTTTAATAAAGTTAGTGCTTTACAGACTGTCATGAATACATTAAGATTAAATCCCCTGAAGTGCTTTACAGACTGTCAAAGTTAACCCCACAAAACTGTATCCTCCACTTGTTCCATTCCTCATTTCTTGTGCATAGATTAAATTTCTTCTTAATGTTGCAGTATGATACAGGTTTCCTTGTTGGTTTTTGCACCACACAATGGCCATTTGCACTCTCTAATGTCCCATATGTCAACCATGCACGCATTGCCATGACAACCATCCACAGACTCTAACTAGGGCACTTTGAAGGCCTTTGCAATCAATGCAAGAAGAGCAGCTTCCTTGTTGCCCTTGGCGATAGAAAGTTCCTCTATGACACGTTCGCGTGAGAAACCGTTACTCATTAGTTCTTTTATGACAGGTTCAGGAAATGAGCGCGAGTGGGAGGAGCTAGATGATGATGAGGCTCCTGCTGAAAAATTTAGAACAAATTATATTGCATGCTATCTATACATTGATTTTTTTCTCTTAAATCAATATTTATATCATCAGTAAGAAACACGAAAGTTGGTTTAGCTTTTCCCATTACTCTAATATATATTCATTCTCTTTTATTGCATTTTAAGACCAAACGATTACCTTGGTTTTGGAATTTATATTTATATACATATCTCACATGTTCTATTCCAAGCAGAAATAAGACCAGGAAAACTGAAATGCAGTAAGAAAGATTTCTGCTAGTCAGAGGTCATGTTGACCATCTCACATAGAAGGAGGTTTGATCGTCTACATCTGTTAAACAATGCCCTGACTATGACATCCAGTACATTTATCAATAACTGTTACAAATAAACAAATCATGAGCTGACTATGATATCCAGTACATCTATCAATAACTGTTACAAATAAACAAACAATGCCCTGACTATGACATCCAGTACATCTATCAATAACTGTTACAAATAAACAAACAATGCCCTGACTATGATATCCAGTACATTTATCAATAACTGTTACAAATAAACAAACAATGCCCTGACTATGATATCCAGTACATTTATCAATAACTGTTACAAATAAACAAACAATGCCCTGACTATGATATCCAGTACATTTATCAATAACTGTTACAAATAAACAAACAATGCCCTGACTATGACATCCAGTACATCTATCAATAACTGTTACAAATAAACAAACAATGCCCCGACTATGACATCCAGTACATTTATCAATAACTGTTACAAATAAACAAACAATGCCCTGACTATGATATCCAGTACATCTATCAATAACTGTTACAAATAAACAAACAATGCCCTGACTATGACATCCAGTACATTTATCAATAACTGTTACAAATAAACAAATCATGAGCTGACTATGACATCCAGTACATTTATCAATAACTGTTACAAATAAACAAACAATACCCTGACTATGACATCCAGTACATTTATCAATAACTGTTACAAATAAACAAATCATGAGCTGACTATGATATCCAGTACATCTATCAATAACTGTTACAAATAAACAAACAATGCCAATAGGAAAAGAATATATTATCAGTCAAATAGAAGTGAGGGACAATGACCCTTATCTGCTACCATCTTGGCCAGTCACATCCTGTCAGTTTACGAGAGACTTCATCAAAATGCCATTATACAATTGTACCAGGTATTTAGAGAGGTATAAGGTTTATCCTCGATACAACTGTACCTGGTATTTAGAGAGGAATAAGGTTTATCTCGATACAACTGTACCAGGTATTTAGAGAGGAATAAGGTTTATCCTCGATACTAACCTCCTGCTTCGTTCTGGGAGCGTGCAAGGGCCTCAGCCAACTGTTGATCCTCTAGAGAAACAGACTTTGGTGATGGAGGCTGATTGTAGTTAAGACGAGACTGTTCAGGAAGTTCCGACTCTGTTAGGAAAGTAGTCTCTGTTCCTGTTGTACCTATCACTAATTTATTTCTTTTAAGGTCGATACAACACTGAAAAAAATATGTTTCTAGTTGTACAGGAGTGGAATGTACTGAATATATATATCATTACTTGTGTATCTTTAAATCAAAGGACTTCGAGGTTTGACCCCAAAAATGAATTTTGACTTTTGAGTTTGCAGCGACATGTCTATTCTACATATATTTGGATCCTTCAGATTTGGGATTAGTCCTTTAATAGAAGAGGTTGCTGGTCAGCTAATTAATTATCTGATGTTAGTGTGCTGACTACAACAAGGCAGTTTTCACCATGTAAACCTCTTCTATTGTTGCAGTAATTATCAATTTGACTTCTGAAATTGTCAAATGATAGGGTCAGAAGAATAAACTGAAAGTTAATAGATTAACTGTCAGTTTACAAGCCTACTGACAGCCCGTTTATAATGAGTATTTGCACACAATGGAGTTGAATAAGAAGAGTGTTTTATTGAAGAAAATACATACCTGATGGCGCTTCAACATGTCAAGCCCAAGTAACATTTCCATTGGCTGGTTCTCCAATATTGAGAATGATGATTGAAGGAAGTCATTTTCTATCTGGATCTGACCTGAACAAAACAAAACCAAACTGGAAAAACTGGAAAAATATTTCAGCACAATTAAATTGAAATAGAAATTTCATTCCATCCTATGTACATATTTAATGCAATTATGAAATTAAATGTGACTTTGCATATTAATCAAGACATTTTTATCTTGTTGTAACAAAGGAGTAGAAGCATACTACACAAGGATTTCTAAGCGTAACAAATTACTATAATGTTACAAATTGAAATAAAGACAAAGATTTCCATGAAGTATACAGTACTATGAATGACACAGTGGTAAACAACACCAATTATAACACAAAGATGTCTATACATACCTAAGTGAACCCTGCCAATGATTTTCTGAGTTCCCACTCCCTTAGCTATACCTGCCCAGCGAGGATCAACAAGTCGCATGATGTTACACCTCTCTGCACATGCCTGACTCATAATTGTCATCTGGGCACCTAGAATGCACCACACATTTTCTATTTCTTACAAATAAGTAACAAGGTCTTATATTTAAAGTAAAACATATTTCTAACGAGAGAACTATTCCTTTAAGATACTGGTATTTTTAACTCACACATGGCCATTAAGTACAGGAAACATAAGTTTAATGCAGTGGTAGTTTTATATTTTTCATACTAAGGTCCCAAGCATTTACCTTTGCTATCTTCAATAGAGGGGAAGAAAGGAGATTTCGTTATAAACATAGTAAATGGCCGGCACATTTGTATACCTACCTGAGTCAACAAAGGCCTTGACAGCATGGCCGTTCACTTTACAGTCTATATATAACATGAGCACCTGTCCAAAACTCTCTGGAGCAAACTCTATTGCATTCTCCATGTTGGATTCAACATTTTTCATTCTAATTTCTTCTGCAATCACTTCCTGTGCTTTTGGATCAAATGGGTCTGCATTCATTAATTTTATCTTTTCACGTTCCTTTTCTTTTCGTTCCTTTCTTTGAGCTAAATATATTTTGTTGAATTTTTCTTTAAAAGAAGAAAACAAAAGACATATGAATACAACTTAATAACAGAAAGCATTAAGCACATGTAGAAGAGACGGAGTAGTTGATCTGGTGAGAGTTTGTGATGATGTATTATACAAGGGTTAACAGGACCCCCTAAACTCATCCCCTACTTTGATGCCGGAGGTAATTGGTTGGTTCCTGGGCTTATTGCAGGATAAATACAGCAACAAGTTACAGACATGTATACATGCAAATTACAACTTGCTACGAAAATTATAATTTGCTTTTAAGGGACTACACTGAGGACAGCTTGCTATATATATATATATATATCTTGATATTTATCATCCTTTTCCACAAAAGTTTACTCAATTATGTCACATACTAATATAAAATAAAAATGTCTTTAATGTAATGAAACTTCAAATTTCTACAAGGTTTTCTGCCTTTTGATAAATATGAAATCAAACTGACTTAACACATAGATGAGAGGAACATGTTCATACACAAAAAGAAGTGCCTGCTTTTGGTCAAATAACCAACATGGTTTTGTTTTTTCTTTTTCTTTACTATATGACAGGAAAAAGTATCATTCCAGAGAGTGTGGCATTCTGTCTATGAAACTTTTGTATGACATTGTCTCCTCATCTGTCCCCATTTTTAAGCAATTCTATACCCAATGACATGTTAAATTTATTAAAGTCTCTGTAGCAGTTAATCACAGGATTTATGCTCTATCATGCATGTATACTACATGACTGTGGACACTGACCAGGGTCACCACTAAGGAGAGCCTCAGCTAGGGGAGGATTTCTCTCCTTAAGTAGAGACAGTTCATGAGGGTTTGCCAGCAGTAGTTTCCTCACAGCTGCAGGGTCATCCTCGGGAAATACTGCCTGCTGTTGTTGTTGTTGTGGTTGTTGACTAGAAGATGTGGCTCCCATCATACCTGGTACCTGGATTTGGCCAAAGTCAATGTTTGGAACACCTGAATCCAATAAAAAAAAACTCTTAGAAATCATAACAGTGAATTTAATCACAAATTTATGGACGCAAGCTTTAAGCCTTTATATCCATATCTGAAATACAGTGATAAATATACATATTGTATTAATGGCTTTTAAAAGTTTACGCATATCATAGTTATCAATAATCATAAATTATATTTTAAAAGTGTTCATCCAAAAGTTGTTCAAAGTGTCTAACTGAATTTGCATTAACAATATGAACGGGAAGATTATTCCAAGTGTCTACAACTCTAAAGGTAAAATAGTTTCTCCTAAGTTCTGTGTTACAACGACATTTAAAAATTTTGAAATTGTGCCCGCGAGTTCTCTCATTATTATCAAAAGTGAATAACTTTAAGGTGACTCTTCCATCAAATTGTGAGCTATTCTGAATACACTAATTAAATCTCCTCTCATCCTGCGATACTTTAATGTAGAAAGTTTCAATTTGAATGGATCACATGACCATATTAACACCAACTTAGTAGGGGCAGCTTTATGTTACCTTCTTCTACATCTACAGGCTAAATTATACTACTAAAAATCACAAGATAAACTGCTAATACTGGTAGATTTTATGGTTTTTTTGTTTTGTTTCAGGTATAACTTCCTCTCCCCTAAGATGCTTCTTTTACCAGTCCCATACCCATTGTCAGAACCTGTGAGATCAGTTAGTTATCAAAATTGACAAAAAGAAATTTAAAACAGTTTGAGGTTTACAATTTAATTCTTTATTTGGTTTGAGCTTTTAATTAGTGTATACATATATTTGCAGCAGTACACCATATAAACGTCAACAGAATCTTATGCTTCCACCCATCGCTATGAGACCAAATTTATTTATATGTGTGTGTATATGAAAACCACCTTTCAATGGTGTACATAACAAACAATCTTTGAAGACCTCTATGAAATTACATGGCTTTTGAATCACCCAATTTTTTTTGATATTTCAAAATTGTAGAACTTCAGTTGGAGAATCACAATAATAAACGAGTTGTAGATTGCAGATTACCATGCTAATCCAGGGATGTATGACAGAGGTATATAAATGTCTGTGTCTATTGGTAAAGCAACAGCAAAGAAATTAAAGTTAACTTATAATGATGTGATTATAAACCTGTTTTCTCCAAAACTAACGTTTTTAAAATTAACAGTAGAAGAAAACTTAATAAGTATTAAACTGATTGTACTAACTTTTGTGACAAATGATTTGTCATCTTTTGATGTATCTAAAACAAAACAAATGTTGAAGCTATTTACAACTGCATTACCAACTGATATTGTATTCCACTGTAAACCCAAAATGTGAAGAAAATCAGTGTCATTTAAAAGCCGAGTAATTTTTATACAGTTGTATTTGTTTTATTAGTATAAATTTTGTTATGAAAATAATATTGTCTTCTTACTGGTGGAGAAAATGACCGGTTGGTGTAAAGTCAACACTAACTAGAATTCTACAGTGGTAATGTATAGAAGTGACTGGGGCACAGATGGTTAAAATATTACATAACAACTGTGAGGAGATGGGGGTTTAATGACTTCACGGTTCAGTGACCAAAAGACAAAAGCTTATGTCGCAGACAACTGTTAGACCTAATTTCTTATCCCTCTACACTTGATCGGTATCACATTTCACTCGCTGAACTTATTGAATGAATCATTGGTTAAATAATTTTCGAACAAAGAAATTTTGAGGGGCCCACCTCCTATTCCTAGAAAATAATTGCTTAATCACTTTATCACTTCCTATCACTGCTTTTTAACAGGTTTGAATTGTTCTTTCTACATTTCAGGATTCATGATAATGGATAATCCGAGCATTGCTAAATATAACTTTTTATAAAATGATCTGGAATTCAGTCTGTAAACTTTGTTATTGATATAGCTTCATTAACCTGACGAGGATGAATCTGAGAACTGTTGTTGCCCTTGCTGCCCTCGGATATGTTGTAACAGTAGCATATCTCCGTCTTTAATCCCGTATCCTTTCATTGTCCGTTTGTCATCGTGAAGAGGCCGGCCATTCCACATGACGACAATTTCTCTCGCTGGTATGCCGACTTCATATTCACACATCGCTTTGAAATTCTCTAATTCAAGTTCATCAGACACCTCAAGCGTGAATATCTGATCATTTAACGTAGTCACTGACACTAGCATGATGAACTACAACACTTTCACTTATCCTGCAAACACCAAACTCAATCCAAATAGAAACATTCGAAACTTCCGGTAGTGATATTACACATGCGCTAAAAAAAGATTGCAGAAATGGGTAGTGCTACATCACGGATAATCTGTGCAATTGATGCATGAAAATGTATAGAGTTGACGTGCATTTCCGATACTAATCCAGTCAATTTAACAATCTTGATAATTAAGCATTAAGTTTATTGTAATATTTTCATATTTTTATGTTTCTTTAGTTCCAGTAGCAATTAGCGAGATGTGTTTTGGAGAGATAGGATTGCCATGTCTCAAATAGAAATTATCTTTACATCCGAGTCCTATTTTTAGAACAAATTACTTCCCCAAAACTTTTATTTCATTAACATATAAAGTGTTGCGGTTACCAGGAATGTATAAAAGCGAAAATGCAATTTTATGAATAAGTACAATGTACACGTATTCACTATGGCGCGTTATTACTCCGTCTTCATCTACAAGAATTCGATTCCTTAACCAAGTTTTTGCCATTTCAAACCATTAACGATACTTTCAGTCAAAATAGGCAAGGGAAATAATAGATAGACAACTGGATAAATCAATAAATATATAGATAAATAAATAAAATATCCAAATAAGGCATGTGATAAAGAAAAACACATTTGTGCAATAAAAATCCAAATCGGGAAGATTTGTTTCTAGATTTCGAAGGATTTGTCTCCCCTGGGCTGAAAAACTAATATGCGAAAAAGCACTCAACATGGAGACCAGATTAGATTCAAATGCTTGTAAGTAATTATCTACGAACAGCTCCAAAGTGAACACAAACACAAAATCTGTTACTATAAGAAATCAAAAAGAAGAAAAAAAATACACAGATAATAACTCTTGTGTATTACAAAAACAACAAGGCAATGCCAACTAGCTAATTATGTAATCCAAACTAATATTCCATAAAACTAAAGTATGGTTAAAAGGAAGATTTACAAGGAGACCCTTTGTAAAAGTTTAAAAAGAGAGAGAGAGAGAAATATTACAACCACGTGCCCCTGTAGGGTAAGCGTCTTCTGCTTCATCGACGACATTCTCCATAAAGCTTGGTCAATCCAAGGAAGTAATGCCATGTTAGAGAACGAAGTGTAAAAACAGAAACACAAGGCATACTCATTACGTTCCGCGTGCGACACCTTGTGGATAAGACGAGATGTACATCAAACGAATCTCGAGGTCGCAAAACGGTAAGGCGTACTGCTTTGAAGTTGTGTGTAGCTCTTTTGTAATCTTCAAAGGAGCAAATCGGACTGTGATTGGTCAATTTTTCTCCCGAAACCTGCATTAGATCAATCAAATTATTTAGCTTGTGCCTTCGACGTTACCACCATGATTTCAGGACCATGGAGTGTCGTGGATTTATACGTGTTTGTAATATCATAACTAGGGAAACTGTGTTCTAAGTTGTATCCAATACAGAATACCGTCTCAAAGTCGTGATTTGTCATGATGCCATTAGAGTCGAACTTACTGATAAGGGTAGATGCTTTTCGTTCCAACTAGTTCTGTACATTAGAGTAGGAAAGATGTGGAATACTACACACGTGTTATCTCGAACTTCATCCTTCAGTTAGATACATTCGTGAGAGGTGTAGAAACTACGTCATTAGATGTAGCATAAACAGACCGTTCACTTTAAATAGTACTTTAACATAGATAACTACGAATTGAGTTCATGATACTGCTTCAGAAGATGTGTGTTGGTGTGTCTGGGTTAAATACAAACCTGACTACATGACTGATAGTGGTTTGTTTAACTTCAAAATGGCTGTCCGGTCAGTAAACTGTAATTCCTGAGCGTCGGTGTTAACCCACGTAAATAATAGTAATTTATTGCATTGGAAGGGAGGTAATGAAGGCTGTTCAAATGTACCGAGGCATAAAAAGCGGAACGTCAGCTGTTGAGAAACCTCGGGTTTTGTGTATGTAAATTTTTTGTAATCTTATGCAGTCTTCTTCGTGTGTCATCGTCATTTCATAGAAAATCTCTGTACACAAAGGGATGTGATTACGTCATTCCGGATAACAGATATTTGTTATTCGTGGTCAAATTTGGGATATATTGCGTTTCCTTTTGACGGTTTGGAAAAGGTCAGGTAAGTAGTTTTAGGAATGAGCTACTCATGGGGACAGGATTATAAAAGTATAAGGTTAAAACCTATATTGAATTCATATTAACTATTAAACATTAACTTTTCAAAATCACATGACTAATCTGATTGTAGAGATATTGATATTTATCTTGTGTTTATCGATTGATTTTATGTCGTGCTTTGATACAAGCAGAAATTTAAAACTTTTCGGTTTCCACTCAACTCGTCCATGTTTAATTGGTACATGCAAGAAATTAACATTAAGTCAGTAACATGGTATGAAGACACTTTTTCACAATCTAGAAGTTGTTAACATGCAGCCCTTTCATCTGCTGCTGTCGGATTCCTATTGACTCGGCCAATTTGTTTGTTGTAACAAGTAACATTTCGCAAGCTTTGCCTCCAAAAGTTCGGGAATTTGTGGTATCACTTAATATTTGGCCGTTTACCTTTCTGGAACATCAGAGTATTTCATTGCACATTTCCGGAACACACGTGTTTCCCCGACTCGGTTTTCAACAATTATGAATATTGCATGTTTTTCTCTAAGCCTTGTTCCGTGTTACTACCCTATTCTTGAGGTCTCTTACCTTTTTGAAACAGTCGCCTTGGTATCGTGGATCATATTTCCTTGTTCTAACCATGGGGAGACGAGTGATCACAAAATCAGGATAATGGTATTATGACATCACTGAAACAATTCAATGACGTCATGTCAGCGATTCAATAGGTCAAATGGCACGTCAGTTATGCCAGACGTTGACACAATGATATAAGTACACACATAAAAACTTCCGTTGGAAATTTTATAGTCTGAATCACTGTATTTTGTCGTTCTATAGAGAACGATTTTTTTTTGCAATTAAATTTTACTTAAAGTTATATAATTCAAAATGAAAATAAATTCCATTCATTACAGATACCAACATGTAATATTCCGACAGCTGATCTTTGTTGATTGGTTTGATATTAGGGCTAGCGCGCTGTGAGTTAAGTGTTAAGTAGTCCTACGTGATATAGCACATGACAAGCTATGTTTTAAAATGTCAGACTATGCCTCGACTTTCATTCCGATCCCGTGTAAAATATCAAATTTTCTTTCAGCTTTTTTGTTACATCTGTTGGATTATCATATACAGGAGACCATAAGTTGGGGACTATCAACATCGGTGCGGAAATTTTAATAAAAACGTATTTTTCCTTTTGTGTCTCCAAGCAATACACCCAACATAGTGATAACCCGGATTAAACTGGAGTATCCCTTACATTTTGGTTAATGCAGCGTCTACAACAAACCAGACCCAGGTTTGGCAGACTTCGACACACTACAGTGTAGACTGCCAAGGCGCGCGAGTGAACGTCAGTGGTCGCGCTATCCGGCGTATGGTCAACAGACGTTTGAACAACAGGCGACATCGCTCTCGCTGACCATTAAAACGTCCTCTATTGCTCTATTGACTGGAAAACACAAACAAGCTAGACTGTAATGGGATTGTGATCACCGGTCTTGGATTAGAGTCCAGTGGTCTGATGAAAGCTGGATGTTACTTAATCCGACAGACGGCAGCGTCCGTGTTCGGTACCAAGAAATATGGCATGCAACCCTATTGACATTCTGTGCACAACATAATCTGATGGCGGTGTTACTGTTTGGGGATTTTTCTCTAAACTGTAAGCTTCACTTTCCCGCCCTTGACGGAATTTTAAATGGACAGAAGTACCATGACTTAGATCCTTTACCCTTTAGCTGTTCCGCATTTCAATGCCCATCCATTAACAGACTGGCGTATCAAAATTGATGGCAATGCCAAACCATGCAGAGTCAACCCAGTGCAAGAATGTCAAATATTATCAACTGAAATATTTTTAATTTGGCGGTATGCATTCCTAAGAAAAATGTTAGAATCTAATATCAGCATTCTTTAAAACCTTGTTTGTGTTGACCAGATGTCACTACAAGATGACTATTGCCGACCTAAAGCATACATGTCACATGTACCATTATCGTTGTCTCCCTAATGTATCTCTACACAAGGGACTGTGCCTTGATCATTTTCTACCCAAAACATTTATACCACAAAGGACTGTGACGTGAATCTTGTCTCCTAAAGTATATAGTTATCACAAGTGTCTGTTTCGTGAAATAAACGTAAAAAACAGGAATAGGTCACAGAAAGCTTATACATAGCTGTCTGTGTTTATATATATATCGCATACATTGTACAGAAGGCTGTGACGTGGTTCCTGAATACTGTACGCACCACTCTAATTGGTAAGCTCCACGATACATGATATTCATCGCCTGCCATATCGGAATAGATAGGATCACTCGCCATGATGCTGTGTTACGCTAAGTTTTGATGTCTTATCTTCCTTACAGTAAGCGATTGGAGTACCTAAGAGTATATGTTGGTATACATTAAAACTTTGTTATTTCCATCATCACACAGTAAGTTTCGTTGCCCTGCCTACATCTAAATATTCTGATACAGGGCATCATGATGGTTCCTGTGATTTACAAAGTGATTCAGCTATTTGGATGATTGGTAAAACCAATGGAAGGTAATACCAGTCAGCTTCATAAGTGATATTTACACATCATTTTGAACTGCCTGTTTCATGGCTTCACTAAAGTCATTATAAGCCATTTTTAAAGGAAATTTTTTAAAGACACAGTCAATATTATTCTCAAATCATCTTTATTTTGTGATATGCATTCATACACAACAAATGGCGCTAATCGTGACATGAAATTATCATTGCAAACCGGAATCCTTCGGCACCTTCCGTGTCAAAGATAAGTTTTGTCGTGACCCGAGTCATAAACCGGACATTGGGTGAACAGGATCCGGAAAATGTGTTATTTTGATTGGTTAGTTTTTAGCCTGTAGTTGGCAACGCGAGTTTCAAACAATCAATGTATATGTTTGTTAAATTTCTTTGAACTATTTAATACTTAAGTATATTTTTATTTCCACAAGAAAACGTCAAATGATTTCTAACCATTGAACGTGCCGGAAGTTCTCCGTCCGTCCTATGATAAGTTTATACAACATGCAGTTGGTTGTTTTGTTACCCTTTTAACCGCTTACAATTCCCACACACAACACAGTATTATATATGTAAAACAAAAAAGTGAGTGGTGTATGCTCTTGTAATATTGTAATAATAAAATGTAATTTTTAAGTTATGATGAATATAAGAGAGGTAATACGTATGACTCAACATAAAAGGTGAAGCACTGATACTCTTAATTGTTCTTGAAAAATCTAGTCGGTGTCTGTTTACTCTTGTGGGCTTTTAATTTTAGCTTGCTATAGCCATGTTTAGTTTTCTATTAAGTTTCCATCATAACAATGGGAAAAATTCCTGAAGTGTTTGCTGTTTCCAATTTCGTGTAAGTGAAAGAGAAGCATATTTTTGGGTTCTTTGGTGATATAAATTGATTTTCAAACTTAAAAAGAAATCTGCGTGAGGCTGAAATGACTTTGTTAGAGAATGAAATAGCAATTATACAACAATCTCGGTACTGGGTAAAGAGATGATAGTAGCTACAGTGACATTTCATCATTGATCACGTGACCAGACACCCCTCAAGTAATTATCTATACTTAGGCAACGTAATGGGGATAGAAATGGCCAGATCATCCACACACTAGTAGGTCATAGGCATTAGTTTACGTATCAAGTCTCTCAATGATGGGAAGCTTGACGTTGTAGGTCAATACCTATTATCTATCCCCATTCCAACCAATGATTGGTGTTGTCACATATTAAAGGTATCGTACATTTATATACTTATTAGATGGAAGACTTTTGGTAATAAAACCTGATTACGAACGTTTGAAAATGTTCACCTGATAACACTAGAAACACACCAGCCCTGCCTCGCGTGAATAGATACCCCACGTGTTCAGTTTGTGGCAGAGCACTGTAATTTCACCAGACAGTTTATAATGGGAAGTTTCCCTACATCTATTGTTGGTTACGATTCCGTTTTTGAATGATGGTCGCTCAAAGTTATAGTAGAGAGGATATCGGTGACTCGTTAGGCCAGACTAGCGCTACTGTTCTATTACACCACGACAGACTGGATGTATTCTTTAGCAACAGTGTTTTCAGGGTCATCGTGATTCGAATAGGAAAAGTTGTTGTTGGTGGAGATCAGTGAAAGGGATTTTTTCTGGATTCCTTCTTCCAGGTATTAGTGAGTACATCTTGTTTTCATCTTCCTTACAGTTAAATGTTTTTATATTTTAGATTGGTTTTACTTTTGACTTGATGACTTTCCACTTCCTGGTTCCATTGTGATTTTGCTTCTCAAAAGTTCCGATTTCCTCTTATTTAGAAATATATTCTGAAGATTGGTCGTAAGTATCGATGGAATAGAAGTGTGTATATTACTACTCGTGACAAATATCAGTGTGACATTTCGAGGACTACACAATCACAGTGATCAGACGAATGACCAGTGTAGAGAGTATTAGCACTGAATCACACTCTGGTGACATTGTAGTTATCGGTTCGTCACACATAATTTTCTTACTGGTTGTGATATAAGGACTTTATTCTCGTGTTTCTTTCCCTTTTTACTTTTGTTCTGATGTACCAGTTTTTTTTATTTGTATTGATGTAATTGCGAAATAAAAATTGAAAAGAAAAAAAAAAGATTAAATCTGTGATGAGGCGAAATCAGAAGTTAAACTGTTTGGTGATTAACATAGATAACCTTGCGAGTTATGACAGGATTGGTCTAACATCACTGGGTTTGTTATGAGTCACAGCTTATACATATCAGTTTTAATCAATTTGTAATTTTACCAGTATTGTTATGAAATAGACACTGCAGGTTGAGACTTTCTCCGTGTCTGTAAGTAAGAGTAACAAGAAGTATATGTTGGTAATTGTCTGTTTAGTCCATCATCACATGCTTATGTTTGTTGTCATAAAAACATGTAAATATTCTGATACAGAGCACGGAGCTGGCTTTAGTGATTATTCACAGCAAGTTTTTCTAGTAAACAAGTGACTCAGCTATTTGGATGAGTGATAATACTCATAAACGATACCTGCCATATCCATAAGTAACTCGATAAAAAAAGATGCATATACAATTGTATATACATGTATATACTTTTAGACTATCTGTTTTATCGCTTCATTCAAGTGGTTTATACATCATTTTACAGGAAAGGTGGGGTTTCCAGCAATGCTGATTTCCAATAATCGACATAAAGATTTTTCTACCCTTCAGAAACACAGCGTTGTGCAATCGAAATCAATCGATGACGCACTTGACTAATTAACTGATTACGTAACTTAATTACTAAACTATGAACGTCGATTGTCACAAAACACATACAAAATAATTATTCTAACGAAATAGGAAAGTTCAAACTGTAAACTAAACACCAAAATACTTAAATAGTAAATATACCGCCGATATTATTGATTTTTAAGCATTTTGAGAGATAATCCCTAATTTTTATGAACCGCTGACATTTTGAATGTCTTCCATATTCAGTTGATTCAAAATTATTTAGCATATAGATACATTTATGTCTGACCCTTACCCTGCTCAAAGATCGAAACCTTACCATTTGTGCAAAGTGTTGATTTTTGGCTTTGATGTGTATCACCCCTATGACTTGTTGAACGATAGAAAACTACCTGTTACACTTCAAACCTTCATGTTCACGTGTGCCTTTCCTACTATATAACGATTTCTAGCACGCATACAAGACATGTCGTTGAACGACTATATCTGTCAACTATAATTAAGATGTTCTAATACAATATATTATATGACCGATAGTTGATATACAAATCTTCAAACAATATATTATTTAATCCCCAATGTCGTCAATCATTCTTTTGACATTACTTTCTACGTGTTCTAATAAGACGGAGACCTTACACACCTAATACAGATTTGTTTCACAGTAAGAAGTAGATGTGAAGGTTGGGGTTGTAAAGTTGTCATTAGGAGAGACATTGAAACCTAGAAGTCTGCCAGAAATACAAGATGATGATACATGGCTAAACATCCCACTATTATCCATAGAGGACCTATGGTCAGTCTTCTCACGCAATATGCACATTATGTATGAAGAGTTTCAATCAAAACTCGACTATTTCGGTCATGCACGCAAAACACAAATTCATCTTTTATCACAAGCTGTGGTGTCGTTGGTTCTCACATAATCATCATGATGTTAATATAGTCCCATATTGAAACAACTTCACCCTAACATTGAAATCCACGCTGATGAAAGAGAAATTTTCACTTCCAAGCTACCTTCCACATCAAATGAAATCATCAATGATCTTTTGGAGATATCACATATGCTATCAAAGCAAGACTTCTACTCTGCCTCTGCGTTTCTCCTCTCTGGGTGATGCAGATTGTAAAACCTGAGATGTTGGACAAGAACAGTTTTTAAAACTTATTTCTTATTGTTCATTCTATGTTGGCACTGATATTTACACTCCAAACAACGAGGATGTACTACTGTTGTTTTGGGTAAAAACTACTTCCAGTATATCGAAAACATTTCATTCCATAGTAAAAGCATTAGAAATAGTCATTGTTCCTTTGTTCCTTGGAAATGAAAATCTTACAAGAGAAAATATTCTGGAGCACAACACTGTATTCTCAGGAACATTTCTTGGCCAGCGGGCGACTGTTAAACTTAAGGTTCATATATCTTAATTCGAAAGAGTTCAGATCACAAGCTCCAGAGAATCTGCTACTTTGGTCAGAAGAAATTCATAAGCAATGCACTGCCTGATGGTTACATTCTGGAAAAAGTAGGAACTTTTCTTCGAAGCGATAATGATGCGAAGAAAACTAAAGCCATCATGGGCGCTGGCTGCCAAAATACAAGCGCGCCTGAGTGTTCACAACAAAGAATGAGCCAGATTTTATCAGAAGGGCCAAGTCACTATTAGTCAAACTACTGTGAATAATTGTGACTTTTCAAAGTTAGACATGGAATACCTTCGGTCTATATCCTATGTTTAAGATAAACCTCCAGTTATGTAAATTTCACTTCCTCTTCAAGGCATTGGGTATGGTCGACTTGGACAGTTAGAACTACATTACTGTACGATGTAGACCAACACTGACATGACCGATAAGATTCTAGGATGAAGAGGCCTTATTTGATTCCAGATTAGGTGGTTTAATGTGTAAACCGACTTAAATCTATTATTTAGCATTCTTGTTAGAATATTGATTCAGCAGTTGTAAGAACATTTAATTTTTGTGATTATTAGGGATCATGATGACCATTTAGAAAGTTGAGATTTCTCTTTAGTGGGTTATTAGTGTAGGTGACAGTTCCTTTGTACAAATAAAACCAAGTGTAAACATTTTATCTTACAATACTTCAATCCAAAACTCATTGCTCGTTTCTCTTTGAAAAATGCATATTGTCAATCAATTTTGATTACTTTGCACAAGACACCTAATAACTGTTTTTGGTCAATTTATCTTCCACTGCAATAGGAAGTTGTAGTTTTGCCCTTCGGAAAATTTCGCTTAATGTTAAAAGAGCATGTTCTTTCTCAAAATCCATCACATTTTTATCTCCTGTTCCCAGTGTATCTAAAGCTATGACTTCTTGCTTAACATATATGATATCTAACATGATATTATCAGCATCTCCATGTTTAGTTTTCTTTCATTTTTGGCACATAACGAGCACTATATTCTTGCATATGTACATGAGTGGACTTAAATGCCTGTTTATAAACGTACGACTACATTCAAGCTGTTGCATTTGTTTCTTAGGTCATTTTGAAACCCCACCTTTCGGACACATTCAAATAAAATCAAATTAAAACAGCAATGTGATATAATAAACAAATAAACACTCTGCTTATATTACACACAATGTATTACAAAAATTAGATAGAGGTTAAGGAATGTGTTACTGCTTTAACTAGAGTGAGTTGTTAGTTATTTTTCAAAAGTTTAAAAAATACTAGCTTTACCGGATGTTTTTTCAACTTTTGAAAGAAGAAGGAGTAGAAAAAACTGATGAGAGTAAAAGAAATATCATTACAACCACGAGTGTAACTGATCTGTTTCTAGCACAATCACAAAGCTGTTGAATTGACCTATTCTGTACAAAAGTGTGTTTACGGCATAGGCTGGGGCGGAATTTTATGACCTTTAGTGAAATATCGCTAATCAATGTGCAAAACTGACAGCTAAGGAATACATCGAAATATTATTACAAATTATAACTGGAAACAAATTGGTTTTTTATCTTCAAAGGAAAGATAGAAATCCAAATAAAAATTAAATTATTACTAAAAAAAAACAAAAAAAACTACTTTGCACGTTTTAATTTCAGTAAGTGCCAATAAAGACATACTAAAATGCAATACCATATATGGTATAACATTTATGTTGATACCACAGTTTGAATGATTAATTGAAGGCTTGAGAGTTGAAAAGCAACTGTTTATGGTGGTAGAAATAAGTATTCATAAAGAGGTATGGACAGTATATCACTGTGTTTCCATTAGAGCATTGTTGTTTACGTCTCAGGAGAACAATAGAGAGGAGATATCGGGGGTTAGTATTGCTTTGTAATATATTGTCCCTGGTTTATAAACTTTACGCTGGAAAGTTTGTTTTATTGAATGTTTTCACTTTGTCGGCAATACTTTATCTTATAACATTTTGTTTTTTCCACAATGACTTGTCTTTAAGAGATTTTGTCCCACCCTATATTACTTTAAAAAAGACATTCACCTTCCTCAAAATGATCAGGTAAACTAGCTTCAGAAAATTCTCGGATTGAAAAAGAGGACAGTCGCAAAACATATATATTATATCAGTTTCAAATTATTCAGTAAAACAAAAGTGCTTTAATTCGTCCATTACTTTAATCTGCGTGCGTCACGTGACAGGTGATTATTCCTGTAATAGAAACTGGATGGTTCGTCCAAACACATTCGTTTCACAGTTGTATTTTATTCTGACGACACCTGCTGTGTCTGTCTGGATATGAGCCAACAGACGCAGAAGCAATCTGTGCCTACCTTGGCATTCATTTTCAAACTCCAGGATTGTGAATCCCAAAATAGATGATTATTGACACTTTATTGTCCGATCGTGTTAAAACACCCGGCAAACTAAGCTTTTACCTGAATATAGCAGCACATTTGTTATAAAATCATCATTTTGATATTTGTAGTCAATTTTATGTGGGTTTTGCATTGTTTTGCTACTCAGGAATCTGTGTTGCCCCCTCGCTAAGACAACAAATCTTATCAAAAATTAACATTGTTTGATCATATATTGTTGATAATTGGTAACAAAATATTTCTTCAAAAAACGATACCTTGTGTCCCTGACACATGGACAACAGGCTCGTATTTGATATGTTACCATGCATTATTGGTTTCCAACAGAAAGGAAAAAATGCATATCCATGAGCAGAGGTTTCAGTGCAGGAAAATTATCAATAAATAACTTTAAAGACATTGAACATGGGCGTATTTTACACCGTACTAATGTTGATACCCGACGGCCATTCATTCTGATTTTTATTCAATTATTATTCGGTTTTTTTTTCATAATTTTGTCATACGTCAATACTTAATTTTTCGTTGATTGTACGTAACATGCAGCTTTTTGATTTTTTGTATTTTCTTGATGAAATAAATCTAGCTCCTTGATAATGATTGGAGGAGTCAAAGGCAACACGCCACCTTGCGGCGTTCCCAATGAAACTTCTTTTTCATGAATGGAATATTTCTTTTTACAATTATCTTGTGTGAGGTTCGTTTTCATTCAATGATGTGGACCAAGCAATGGACTACAACGTGACAAAATATCCAAATATCCTACAATGTACAGTCAATGTGTAGACAAGCAATAAACAAAATTCTATACTTTTACACATTTCCTTTTCGAATGTGACAGGCCAAATCATAAATGAATTTTGAATGACTGAAAATGGCGCGAATTAGCTGTCCATGACGTCTCGTCATGTCATGCTAGCTGTTATGCGTAGTGATTTTTCAAAAGGTAATCCCTTATGAAATTAGCAAATTTATACATATATGTATTATTCTTGTTTTTGAAACCTATCCTACAAATAAATTGTAAGCTTTGATATTGAGCTTAAAGGAATTAATGCATTTATTGTTTTCCTAAGCACTTTTTATACATTTTTTACGAAATTATAGTAAAATTTATAAAACACTGTTTGAACCCCATAAAATATTTGATTTACCAGTATGACCTGGAACGTAAAACACTGGTTGTGTTAAAATAAAGATATTGTCATTGTTTAACGGATTACCAAAGGGATCTAAATTTGTCTTTAGACAGGTAACCTGAAGTGACAATATGGCGGAGAACGGTGGCACGACGAGCTATGGAGTAACAGACTTTCGGGAGATGTACAAACTCGTGGATACGAATGACACAAAGCGAAGTCATTCACCAGACCGGAAAGGAGTATCGTTTCTGAACAAGAGCGGCAAAGCAGAGACGAACTATTCAGTGAATAAGAAATCACCTCTGGACGTGGCCTTAACGGATTTTTCAGATTCTACTACACTGCACGGCCTGCGCTACATCGCAATGAGTGACGCATTTATACTTCGGCGGTATGTATCAAATTTCATCGCAACTTATTTACGTATGATTCATTTTCCTTTTAAATATTTGCTTTATTAAAATTAGTAACTTTACATAGATTTATTTCTTCTCTATGAAAATTAAGTAATTGGTATAGTGATTTATTGCACCTAGTGCAAGATGTAACTTATATTCAGTCATATTTTACACCGGGTTTGTTTTTATAAGCTTATTCTGACAAAAAAAACACAAAAACAAAACACCAAACGAAAAACGTTTGATATGTATGTAGAAGCTTTGAAAATGGTTGTTTTTATGTCATTCTCGTGGAATGAATGTTACATATTGATGTATTGCGATATATCAACGTAATGTGTAACGATTGTAATATCTTGGCATTTCTCCTAAATACGGTTAAACCTGATAATCAGGACACTCCTCAATCATGGTAATGTGTTCCACAGTCCGAAGAGCTATTTCTGATTCCGGATACCTGGTATTATGGTACAACGTAGAGCAGAAATATGGTCGAATATCGTGTTTCTTGATTTCCCTATAGATGAGCAGACGGCAATTCCACAGGGTACACACAGATCTGTTAATGGATCTATTTACACAGTGCGTTATATTGGTCATGTTTCTTGAACGGCAGTCATTTGTGAACTTAAATCAAACATTCAAATAGAAGAAGAAAATAAGCATGACTATTGATTCACATAATGAATAATAGTTTGAATCAATGATGTCACGTCATTCCATTACCAGAACCGCTCCTACCTGATAAAATTACCAAAGTATGAATGGACACTTCTGTAATAAAGGGTATTTTACCATTAATTTTAATAGCTTTATGTATTGTTTGTAGGAATCAATAATAACATACATAAACATTTAGATAAATCTAACATATGGATGTGTAACGTTATTTGAATTTCTTGTGCTATTTTAAAACATTGAGTTGTATTTAGGCCTGTAATGTTAAAATATATTTGGAAATATGAAGTGTAATTGAGTGTGTAACGTTGAGTGCATAATGCTAAAAATATTGTGTTTTGTCTACATCAATGGAGTTTTCATACATAAACACCCCACAAACATCTCCACCTCCTTTACTGCATGGCAGGTGTTCGTCTGTGGGTTGTTCAGCGGAGGGCATCCAGGATTCAATGATTTTCTCTCAGCTGCTGTGATTCATCTTATCTTTAATAAATGTAATACATAATAAGTGTTCCTTTTTCAGATGATACTCTGAAAATTAACTTGAAAATTTACATGTCAATGTTTATACGTTATTCAAAGGCCTGTACCCATCATCACGATTTTCATGCAAGAAGTTTTCACCTTACAGACAACCTCGTAACACAATGGTATCAAAAGATGCAGGCAGATGAAAATTATAGGGAATTTTTACGGTCGTCATAGAACTCTATTACTCTCTTTCTTTGAGTGTATTTGAGTGTATTTGAGTGTATTTGAGTGTTATCTAACCTGTTGGGTCCGTCCTTATACTCATTTTTCTCATTTGAGAACGTGACATTTTACTTACTCATCGAAATTCTTTACATATTAACAGTAATCCTTGTGGGTTGGTTTACTTCCATTTAACTTTTGGTAAGATTGCCTATAACTGAACAGTGATATTGATTCCACATACAGTGAACTGTATCCCGAGTTCCTCCTCGAAACATGACTAATATTCAACTATAACATGAACATTATAACCGGTATAAGTATTGACTGTTGAGATTACATACATGTACTTCGGTATAAACTACAACCTGACAACTGTTCAGGGAGATCATTCCTCTGTAGGCTGTTTAATAGCTTTTAAATTGAACCAGCCAATGTGTGGCGTACATGTGTTGTGGTGATTTCAAAGACCAAAAACCACTGCATTAATCAGTTATGTGTTAAACTTTGAATAACAGGCGTTTGGCGAGAATCCATTAACCTTGAAGTAGAGATTGTTTATATATGGCATCAATATTGCAGTCTCCATGTTTCTGTCTCTGTATTAAATTAACCAATCATGTGAAGTAATTGTAGAAAGGTGTTTGAAAACAACAATATAGAATGTAAAACTTGTAGACCTATAATTACTTTATTACTTTACATCACCAAAGGGAATCTGTATTTCAGAGACCCTAACAATTCATGGTAATCTCATTCTGAGACGTTCTGATCATTTGCTCAAACTTTGGTTAGAATTAGCAAGTGGTGATTGGCAAAATGAATTGGTGACATTCAAAGCAAAATTGACACTCAAAAAAAAGGTCAATTTGACCTGTCTTACTAAATCTACAGCTGCGAAATGAAGAATTTTCATATGTTTCATGTTTTCATATATGACAAATTTCACTGTCCACTTGGTAACGCTTACCAAGCTTTAGCCACCTAAAGCCAACTGTTCGACAATTTACTGACGCACCGCCACACAATGAAAGTTTCTTCTTTATTCTTCCAATGTATATGCATTCGGTGTTCGGTACGATAACGACGTTTAACGACTATTAACTCATTCTTTTAATATTTCGAAACTTGTGACTTTATGATAATTGGAACTACAGATATAAACCGCTTTGGTATATCATAATGATAGATTTAATCAATTGTTATCACTTAAACTCAACTTTGGTTTACATCGAACTTGGCTAAGTGGTACTATCCGATGTGTCGGATAATTTACTTGGACCGTTGCAAGTCGACTAATTCGATTTTACAACAGTTAACAGACATAAAGGATAGATCTATCCACATAAATTGACTTGACAGACGGGTGCTGTAATCTGAGATACAAATGATGTGTGGAGTAAATAACAGCCTTCATAGCTGCATTCATTATATTTATATCGAAGTCAACATGACAGTCACTACTGCTTAGTGATAACGACTAATCGGACTGGTTACATCAAACAATTTAGAATAGGCATTTTGTTATGTTTTAATCAATCTTGTTTGTCGATTTGTCCCACCCTGTGTGTTTGTGTGTGTTTTCAAACCAATGACAACAACTTTAACATCAATAATATATGCTCTCTGAAGCATTTATCTATGAAGAGATCAGAGATCTCTTGTATCAACTGTCAACTGGTCGTTATCAGGATAGGTTCTCACCACATATGTTGTCATCACTGCTGTTGTAATTTTGTTCAAACATTTGTGAAAACGTTATTGATTGTTTTTTGGTTTTTTTTTTCATATACTGTCACTATGTTGATCCTGTATTATATTTTGTCCCGTGTGTTGATCCTGTACTAGATTTTGTCTCGTGTGTTGATCCTGTATTATATTTTGTCCCGTGTGTTGATCCTGTATTATATTTTGTCCCGTGTGTTGTCCCTGTATTATATTTGTCTCATTTGTTGATCCTGTATTAAATTTGTCTCATGTGTTGACCCTGTATTATATTCTGTCCTGTGTGTTGCGCTGTATTATATTTTGTCCCGTGTGTTGACCCTGTATTATATTTTGTCCCGTGTGTTGCCCTGTATTATATTTTGTCCTGTGTGTTGAATCTGTATTATATTTTGTCCCGTGTGTTGATCCTGTACTATATTTTGTCCTGTGTGTTGATCCTGTATTATATTTTGTCCCGTGTGTTGCCATGTATTATATTTTGTCCCGTGTGATGACCTGTATTACATTTTGTCCCGTGTGTGACATGTATTGTATTTTGTCCCGTGTGTTGACCCTGTATTATATTTTGTCCCGTGTGTTGATCCTGTACTATATTTTGTCCTGTGTGTTGATCTGTATTATATTTTGTCCCGTGTGTGACCTGTATTATATTTTGTCCCGTGTGTTGACCCGGTACTATATTTTGTCCTGTGTGTTGATCCTGTACTATATTTTGTCCTGTGTGTTGATCCTGTATTATATTTTGTCCCGTGTGTGACCTGTATTATATTTTGTCCCGTGTGTTGACCCTGTATTATATTTTGTCCCGTGTGTTGCCCTGTATTATATTTTGTCCTGTGTGTTGAATTTTGTCCTGTGTGTTGTATATTTTGTCTGTATTATATTTTGTCCCGTGTGTTGATCCTGTACTATATTTTGTCCTGTGTGTTGATCCTGTATTATATTTTGTCCCGTGTGTTGCCATGTATTATATTTTGTCCCGTGTGATGACCTGTATTACATTTTGTCCCGTGTGTGACATGTATTGTATTTTGTCCCGTGTGTTGACCCTGTATTATATTTTGTCCTGTGTGTTGATCCTGTACTATATTTTGTCCTGTGTGTTGATCTGTATTATATTTTGTCCCGTGTGTGACCTGTATTATATTTTGTCCCGTGTGTGTGTTGACCCGTGTACTATATTTTGTCCTGTGTGTTGATCCTGTACTATATTTTGTCCTGTGTGTTGATCCTGTATTATATTTTGTCCCGTGTGTGACCTGTATTATATTTTGTCCCGTGTGTTGACCCGGTACTATATTTTGTCCTGTGTGTTGACCCTGTACTATATATTGTCCTGTGTGTTGATCCTGTACTATATTTTGTCCTGTGTGTGACCTGTATTATATTTTGTCCCATGTGTTGCCCTGTATTATATTTTGTCCCGTGTGATGATCCGGTATTATATTTTTTCCTGTGTGTTGATCCTGTACTATATTTTGCCCTGTGTGTTGCCCTGTATTATATTTTGTCCCGTGTGTTGATCCTGTACTATATTTTGTCCTCTGTGTTGCCCTGTATTATATTTTGTCCCGTGTGTTGATCCTGTATTATATTTTGTCCCGTGTGTTGACCCTGTATTATATTTTGTCCCGTGTGTTGATCCTCTACTATATTTTGTCCTGTGTGTTAATCCTGTATTATATTTTGTCCCGTGTGTGACCTGTATTATATTTTGTCCGATGTGTTGCCCTGTATTATATTTTGTCCTGTGTGTTGACCTGTATTTTATTTTGTCCCGTGTGTGACCTGTATTATATTTTGTCCTGTGTGTTGCACTGTATTATATTTTGTCCTGTGTTGACCTGTATTATATTTTGTCCCGTGTGTTGACCCTGTATTATATTTTGTCCTGTGTGTTGACCCTGTATTATATTCTGTCCCGTGTGTAGCCCTGTATTATATTTTGTCCCGTGTGATGATCCGGTATTGTATTTTGTCGAGTGTGTTGATCCTGTACTATATTTTGTCCTGTGTGTTGCCCTGTATTATATTTTGTCCTGTGTGTTGCCCTGTATTATATTTTGTCCCGTGTGTTGATCCTGTACTATATTTTGTCCTGTGTGTCGCCCTGTATTATATTTTGTCCCGTGTGTTGACCCTGTATTATATTTTGTCCCGTGTGTTGATCCTGTACTATATTTTGTCCTCTGTGTTGCCTTGTATTATATTTTGTCCTGTGTGTTGTTCTTGTATTATATTTTGTCCGACGTGTTGCCCTATATCATATTTTGTCCCGTGTGTTGCCCTTTATTATATTTTGTCCCGTGTGTTGATCCTGTATTATATTTTGTCCCGTGTGTTGACCCTGTATTATATTTTGTCCCGTGTGTGACCTGTATTATATTTTGTCTGACGTGTTGCCCTGTATTATATTTTGTCCTGTGTGTTGATCCTGTACTATATTTTGTCCTGTGTGTTGATCCTGCACTATATTTTGTCCCGTGTGTTGACCCTGTATCATATTTTGTCCCGTGTGTGACCTGTATTATATTTTGTCCGATGTGTTGCCCTGTATTGTATTTTGTCCGATGTGTTGATTTTTTATTATACCTTTTAACATTGCAACAAATAGTGAGGCGGAATACTTCGTCCTTCCTCCTCCTTTTCATCATTTCTTATCATGGTTTCCCTGTCAGTATTGTCCATAACTCGTGTTGGTTTTATTAATTGCGATTTTGTTATTATACCAGTATTCTTTACAGGTTGGTGTGGTTTCTGCTTGTCCTAGTGTGTTCTGGCGTGATGACCTTCCAGATCGTAGACAGGATAATGTATTACTACGAAAACCCGGTTAATGTTAACGTCAGGGTCAACTACAACCAATCGCTGTACTTTCCCGCTGTCACACTCTGTAACCAAAACGCTTTTAGGTAAGGTCAAGGTCAGCTATAAGCTACACTGGTCTTGTGACCTGAACATCACAAGGATAACATGATATCAGTAACGTGTTGTGTATTTGTTATCATAATATCGGTATGTTTGTATCTCAGTGAGAGTCCTCTGTATCCTATATTATGGATGACCGACACGGAAAACAGTCCTTCAGTTAACGAGTGAATCTAGAGGCCTTACATGAATGCCAAATACCAAAAAACAATAACATTAAATTGTGTCATTTCTTTCCTCATCAAACTTACTAGATTGTTATCGTGTAATGATAAGAAACAATCTTTTTGTCAGAACCGTAGGAATTTGATAAAAGAAACAGCTCGTTAATGGTCGATGTGTGTTATTTGATTGTTTTGGAAACGTCATGAAAAATATCGGGAAAGAGACAAATCCCAGCAAAGAAGAGAGAACTTAGCATGGCGTATGTCGGAAATATCGGCCTATCCCCTGACCCATATCAACAGCTTTCTGGAATGTTAAGTTTTAAGTTAACCTTGGTAATAATGTAACAACTCAAACAACTGAATCATGTCTCTTAAAATATCACCATAATATCGAAACAGCGAGGCGAATCCTCATTCTCACGGACATTTCATTTACTCTTACGCGCTGTTTTCTTGTTTTTTTGTTTTTTGTTTTTTTTTGTTTTTGTTTTTTGTTTTTTGTTTTTTTTTCATCAATTACTTTAAAGCATGAAGGTTTCCTAATTTTCATTTTTTTCCATATGGTTGCATTCATACATATAGAATCCGTATACCCGTATCATATTTGCATTTTAGGGACTCCATATATGAACAGTTAGAGACCTGATATAAAACTACCCGATATAAAACAGTCGTGTCAGTATTCTCCGTTGACTGATGGGTTTTTAGGATTTCTGAATTTCGTTTTCAAACGTTCGACATTTGATAATGACATGCCTCATTCATCAGGAGAGACAATGCTTTATGGTGTGTGAAACATGTGATATTTTCACGAGCATTTGTGATGTCTGTATTCAGGATAACCACCTCACACATAAATTGGTTACATTTGAGGCAGCTGCCCAAACGATCATTGCGTTGTTTGAAGAGACGGTAGGTAAGAAGGAGTTTAGTCAACCTCAAAAAGATTTGACAAAAGCTGAGAGCATCAGAAAAATACAGCAGAAATCAATGCAGGCAACACTTAAGAATATTTCCGAAAAACGCAACGCCATTCAAAGTTTTGCCGCAGAAGTCGCTGACAAGCTTGTCAGAGGACAAAAACATAAATATGAAGAGGTAATGAGACAATTAGATTTCCTTTCAGTCAAATATAAATCAAACAACGAAAGCGTTCAGAAACTTCGAAGTGAGATGTGCAGGCTTCATGAGCTTAAAGAAAAACAATCATATTTAGAAGTCATTGAACAAGGAAGAAAAATCCTCATTCCTTTCATTGTGGAAGATGAATATCAAAGCAATTCAAACTTGGCATTTGTGCCAAATGACTTAATAAGTAGGACTGACGTAGAGGCACTGTTCGGTAGTTTTGTACCCGAGTATAATGTCTGCGTAAGGGGAGACGACAGACGTGTAGCAATACCCACAACCACAGACATGAGGTCTTCCATGCAGAGTATATTGTCACAAGACCTTTTCCCTCGTGGAGATTTTATTCCCAAAAAGGCAAAAACTGGAGATAACGTCAGTATTTCAACATTGGATCTATTCCCGACTGTGGACGATAAACCCACAGTTCCTCATTTGAAAGAGCAATGCTCTTTTAGAACAAGCGCTTGTGCCTCCGTAATGAAACAAATGGGTGCCAATTGTATCTGGATTAGAGCAGAAGACAAGTTCCAGTTTCAGATATTGAATGCCGCAGGCATGATTGAAAGCATTTTGACATTTGATACACAAATTCATGATTTCGAAATGTTTGTTCACGACACTTGCTTAGTGTCTTGTCCAGATCTGAAATGCATTAAACAGATTGTAAAAGGAATCGCCAGATCAATCCCGTGTCTGACAATCAACACTGACCCATTGACTCCAAGGCACTTGTGCAGGCTTGCAACCGGTGGTATTCTAGCAACAATGACGGAGTTCACAACGAAGTCTGAAAGCACAACTATACTTATGAAATACGATGATAATGGAAAGGAAGTGGCTAGGTCACAAACCCATCAAGATGAACTTCCCATGTTTGTATGTACTGGAAAAGTGTGTGCGAACACGACTGGAACAACATTGGCAGTTCTAGACACCATATCTAATTCACAGAAATACGCGCTGCTTTTCGACCAAAACCTTATTCTGGTGCATCGTTATGTCGACAATGGAGTGGTGATTGCTGGCAATCAGAAGGCAACAGGATTGTCACAACATTTCTTTATTTCAGATATAACATTTGATGGCAGTGATCACATTTTGATAGCAGAACACTATTCAAAGACTATACAGGTGTTAGACTCGTCATTTGGTCTCCTACGTTCTCTATCAACTGAAGAAGCTTTTCCATGTGCTTTGACCTTTCATGGTAAATCAGAGTTATGGGTAGGATTCTCTAATGCACATATAAAGGTTTACAACTATAGTCAAACCAGTGTTCAGAGACAAGAGGCAATAGAACAATAGCCCTATGCGAGAATGACTGAGGTGAGGATATTTCAATTCCCGCTTAACGATCACTCCATCAATATAGAAGTTGGCTTTGTAAAGATTTATTCTTATCAGCAATGTTTGATATCTTGAATGGTATGAAATCAAAGTGATCAGTTCCTACCCAGAGTGACCATTCCTGAGACTTAATTTAAAGGTAAGGAACGACAACTCTGTGGAGATTGCAAAGTAAAGTTCATCAGTTTTGATACTTTGTTGACCAATTTCCGGGCTAGCTGTCAATGTTGTTAATGTTATCTAAAAAATGGATGTTTTCAACAAATGGTGTTCTTTGATTCCATTCTATGAGCAATGATCTATTATATATTAAAATTATGGATGTTTGACTCAAATCTTATTCAGCAGTGATTCACGATATAGGAATATTATGGATGTTTGACTCTAAGCTTCTAAGCTTATTCAGTGGTGATTCACGATATAGGATTATTATGGATGTTTGACTCCAAGCTTATTCAGTGGTGATTCACGATATAGGAATATTATGGATGTTTGCCTCCAAGCGTATTCAGTGGTGATTCACATAAAGGAATATTATGGATGTTTGCCTCCAAGCGTATTCAGTGGTGATTCACATAAAGGAATATTATGGATGTTTGCCTCCAAGCGTATTCAGTGGTGATTCACGATATAGGAATATTATGGATGTTTGACTTTAAGCTTCTAAGCTTATTCAGCAGTGATTCACGATATAGGAATAATATGGATGTATGACTCTAAGTTTCTAAGCTTATTCAGTAGTGATTCACGATATAGGATTATTATGGATGTTTGACTCCAGGCTTATTCAGCAGTGATTCACGATATAGGAATATTATGGATGTTTGACTTTAAGCTTCTAAGCTTATTCAGCAGTGATTCACGATATAAGAATATTATGGATGTTTGACTCCAAGCTTATTCAGCAGTGATTCACGATATAGGAATAATATGGATGTATGACTCTAAGTTTCTAAGCTTATTCAGTAGTGATTCACGATATAGGAATATTATGGATGTTTGACTCCAAGCTTATTCAGCAGTGATTCACGATATAGGAATAATATGGATGTATGACTCTAAGGTTCTAAGCTTATTCAGTGATTCACGATATAGGAATATTATGGATGTTTGACTCAAATCTTATTCAGCAGTGATTCACGATATAGGAATATTATGGATGTTTGACTCTAAGCTTCTAAGCTTATTCAGCAGTGATTCACGATATAGGAAAATGCATAACTGAAGCTTATTTGGCGATGATTTAAGATAAAGTAATATTACTATAATGGATGTTTAACTGAAAGCTTATTCAGCAGTGATTCACATAAAGGAATATTATGGATGTTTGACTCCAAGCTTCTAAGCTTATTCAGCAATGATTCACATAAAGGAATATTATGGATGTTTGACTCCAAGCTTATTCAGTGGTGATTATAGATATAGGATTATTCTGTATGTTTGACTCTAAGCGTCAAATCTTATTCAGCAGTGATTCACGATATAGGAATATTATGGATGTTTGACTCTAAGCGTCAAATCTTATTCAGCAGTGATTCACGATATAGGAATATTATGGATGTTTGACTCTAAGCGTCAAATCTTATTCAGCAGCGATTCACGATATAGTGCTATAATGGATGTTTGACTTCAAGTTTTTGGGGTTACATATTTTTATGGATGTTTGAGACTGACATTATGAAAACGCAGAATTAAAAATTTTGAATATTTTATTGGTCATGTCGTTTATGAAGCAAAAAAACTTCCCGGAACACCTTAATTTTTAATGATGTTCTGCCCCCCTTTCATCAATTGTGTGTTTAAAACAACATTTTGATGATACCATATCATCACTGCATCTCTTAAAAAGTGTTCGTCATACATTGGTGTTCCATTATTGTCAATGGGCAAAGGGTGTTACAGAAAACAACTATTCAAAGGTTCTGTTCTTTTTCTGTAAAACGACTGTGATCTAAACAACATCGTAGTCAGCTGAATGACGGAACACTGCGTGACAGAGAAGCAGTATCAATTATCAAATAGATAACAGTAACCATTTGAATTTTCAAAAGTGCAGAGATGATGATTATGAGAGTGGCACCGTCTTTTGTAAAAAAAAAATCACTGATGTTCCTAATCCTCGCGCTCTGTTTTTGATTTTAACCGTAACGAACATGGTGTAAATGTATCTGATAAAGATACACCAGACGCAATGTAAAGCATGTTTAGATACGAAACTTGTTTGGAACAGTGATGGTAACAATTAATGATTTTCTTATCCCAGTCAATATCGGTGCTCTGGCACTTCAAAGGCATGCTTTTTAACAGAGGAACATACGTTCATTCGTGTTTCTATCAGGGATTTGAATACAAAAAGTTGCGGAATTTTAGGCATATTTCATTGGTAAATTATGGATATTCCTTCATGATAACAAATACTGTATTTGTTTTTAATTTCGTGAGACTGATATTTCGCGGTTGTCCCGGTTCGGGATATTTTAATGTGATTGAATATATGTCTATAGTTATATAACTTACAGAAACGGAAAAGGGCATGGGTGCATTTTAATAACCAAATATTCCTATATTAATTTAATTTATATATTGTGGATATTTTTATTGAGGTGGTGTGTTTGTATTAAGGGCCACAGCTGCGACAAAGCGGGACTGGTACCGTCTGATTGAGTCCGTATACAAGAAATCCCTCTACAGTTTCAATGTATCCGAGCTAGAGACTTACAACGTCTCTCAAGTGGCCATCAGTGACTTGTTTTGGTTTACGGGACATCAGAAGAGTAACCTTATTGTAAAGTAAGTATTATATAACAACATCAACGGTACTCCCCGATAAATTCGTTGGTGGTTACTTTAAGTAGCTTGGATACGTCCAATACAGTTAAAGAGAAGAAAATTCACTACTGACGTTTTCAATAAATTTATACGTGTTTACATGCTAGTGTCACACACACACACACACACACACACACACACACAGTTAAAACAAGTATAAATGAAGTTTTGATGACTGATATTTTCAACATTCATCTAATGAAATCTGTATAAGTAGTTACTTTTATAAAAGAAATCAGAATTGTTTTATCATTATATAGGGACAGGAATATCCGTTGTCAAATATTCATTAATTTCTATTTTATATAGATGTTCCTGGGGTGATATACCTTGTGGCCCAGAAAATTTTACGGCTGTATTAACAGATCACGGACTTTGCTACTCTTTCAACTATGATACGGACCCTTCTTCAGTTCTGGTTACTTCCTCTTCCGGTAAATAATCTGCTACACGCAATCATCTGTTACATTTACATGAAACCTTCCTCGCCGTTAACTTTCACAATCCCTTTACCCCGTATACAACATATAACACTGTTATAGAAGCATTAAATGCTAAGTCAGAAATATTTGACCCAAGGTGCTGATAGTTGACGATGCGTCATATTGCACGAGACCTGTAACCATACGTGGTGGTTTTTCTATATTTGTAATTTTGCAACACTCCAACATGATAGCGATATATATCATTGATATAACGTTTGTTATGACAGCGATATGTTATCGATGTTCAAACGGTTGGACAAGTGGATAGCATGTTTCAATACACGCATTAAACGACATTAGGACTCATTAGTGATGCTACATCATACAGCTGTTTCGTCCCAGTAGGACTCGTCAGTGATGTTACATCATACAACTGTTTCGTCCCTCTAGGACGCGTCAGTGATGCTACATCATACAGCTGTTTCGTCCTCTAGGACTCGTAAGTGATGTTACATCATATAGCTGTTTCGTCCCTCTAGGACTCATTAGTGATGTTACATCATATAGCTGTTTCGTCCCTCTAGGACTCATTAGTGATGTTACATCATATAGCTGTTTCGTCCTCTAGGACTCGTCAGTGATGTTACATCATATAGCTGTTTCGTCCTCTAGGACTCATTAGTGATGTTACATCATATAGCTGTTTCGTCCTCTCAGGACTCGTCAGTGATGTTACATCATATAGCTGTTTCGTCCCTCTAGGACTCGTTAGTGATGTTACATCATATAGCTATTTCGTCCTCTCAGGACTCGTCAGTGATGTTACATCATACAGCTGTTTCGTCCCTCTAGGACTCATTAGTGATGCTAAGGGCCTATATTTTGAAGCCTAGGAGGCGACTGAAGAAACTTAAAAGTGACCAAAATAAACGTCAAAATGTAGACGAGGAGCTGAAATAGCTCCATAATTAGAAAGAAAAAGTTATTACCATATATCTGATAGTGTACATATGTTTCCTCGGAGCTGTGAATTTCAACGTGGCATGCAGGTTACGAAAAACCTCGGATACTAAAAGTCCACCAGCAGTGTCTAACACCTTCTATCTCTAGGACAAGTACAAAAGACACAATTATGTATGAATTTTCTATTCATACATTGAGTGAATGGGATATTCCACGGTTTTCATTATTAAACAATGTGTTCTTGTTAATGTAATCAAAACTGTATTGATAAAACATATACATACTTGGTATTGTGTATGATAAACATGTAACACTCTATTTTAAGCTTTGTTGCGCAATGTCCACGTCTTGTTACAGGGTCTGATGCAGGTCTCCGACTGCTGTTAAATGTTGAACAGTATGAGTACATGCCCGGTCCAAGCACCGCAGCAGGTGTTAAGGTCTTACCCCACGGACAGCAAGATTTAGCTCGGGTTAGGGAACTAGGTATATCTGTTCCGACAGGCACACATGCTTTCATCGGACTGCAAGTCATAGCGGTAAGTAAGAATTGTGGTTATCAGAGACTGGGAATATAATATCTAATAGAAGACAATGTAGACAGTGGGGCAAATTGTTTCACTACATTTCAGTGAATGTTAAATACAAATAACTCGGACACGAGATTTATTAATTTGACGGAATGATTGTACATGTACGATAACACACAAATGGATAGCAACATGATAGGTGATGTATTATAACACAATATCGAGAACATGTTAATTAGGAACAACTTGGTATACACTGGAGCATTATCCTGAAGGACAATATCCTGAAGGATCCTGAAGGACATTATCCTGTAGGACAGTTTCCTGTAGGACAGTTTCCTGTAGGACATTATCCTGTAGGACATTATCCTGTAGGACAGTTTCCTGTAGGACAGTTTCCTGTAGGACATTATCCTGTAGGACATTTATCCTGAAGGACATTATCCTGTAACACATTATCCTGTAGGACATTATCCTGTAGGACAGTTTCCTGTAGGACATTATCCTGTAGGACATTTATCCTGAAGGACATTATCCTGTAACACATTATCCTGTAGGACATTATCCTGTAGGACAGTTTCCTGTAGGACATTATCCTGCAGGACATTTATCCTGAAGGACATTATCCTGTAACACATTATCCTGTAACACATTATCCTGTAGGACATTTATCCTGTAACACATTATCCTTTAACACATTATACTCTAGGACATTATCCTGTAACACATTATCCTGTAACACATTATCCTGAAGGACATTATCCTGTAGGACATTATCCTGTAGGACATCATCCTGTAGGACATTATCCTGTAACACATTATCCTGTAGGACATTTATCCTGTAACACATTATCCTGTAGGACATTATCCTGTAGGACATTATCCTGTAGGACATTATCCTGTAGGACATTATCCTGTAACACATTATCCTGTTGGACATTATCCTGTAACACATTATCCTGTAGGACATTATCCTGTATCACATTATCCTGTAGGACATTATCCTGTAGGACATTATCCTGTAACACATTATCCTGTAGGACATTATCCTGTAACACATTATCCTGTAGGACATCATCCTGTAACACATTATCCTGTAACACATTATCCTGTAGGACATTATCCTGTAGGACATTATCCTGTATGACATTATCCTGTAACACATTATCCTGTAGGTCATCATCCTGTAGGTCATTATCCTGTTACACATTATCCTATAGGACATTATCCTGTAGGACATTATCCTGTAACACATTATCCTGTAGGACAGTTTCCTGTAGGACATTATCCTGTAACACATTATCCTGTAGGACATTATCCTGTAACACATTATCCTGTAGGTCATTATCCTGTAACACATTATCCTGTAACACATTATCCTGTAGGTCATTATCCTGTAGGACATTATCCTGTAGGACATTATCCTGTAGGACATTATCCTGTAACACATTATCCTGTAACACATTATCCTGTAGGTCATTATCCTGTAGGACATTATCCTGTAGGACATTATCCTGTAGGTCATTATCCTGTAACACATTATCCTGTAGGTCATTATCCTGTAGGTCATTATCCTGTAGGACATTATCCTGTAACACATTATCCTGTAGGACATTATCCTGTAGGACATTATCCTGTAGGACATTATCCTGTAACACATTATCCTGTAGGACATTATCCTGTAGGACATTATCCTGTAGGACATTATCCTGTAACACATTATCCTGTAACACATTATCCTTTAACACATTATACTCGAGGACATTATCCTGTAGGACATTATCCTGTAACACATTATCCTGTAGGACATTATCCTGTAGGACATTATCCTGTAGGACATTATCCTGTAGGACATTATCCTGTAGGACATTATCCTGTAACACATTATCCTGTAGGACATTATTCTGTAGGACATTATCCTGTAGGACATTTATCCTGTAACACATTATCCTGTAGGACATTATCCTGTAGGACATTATCCTGTAGGACATTATCCTGTATGACATTATCCTGTAGGACATTATACTGTAGGACATTATCCTGTAGGACATTATCCTGTAACACATTATCCTGTAGGACATTATCCTGTAACACATTATCCTGTAGGACATTATCCTGTAACACATTATCCTGTAACACATTATCCTGTAGGACATTATCCTGTAGGACATTTATCCTGAAGGACATTATCCTGTAACACATTATCCTGTACGACATTATCCTGTAGGACATTATCCTGTAACACATTATCCTGTAGGACATTATCCTGTAGGACATTATCCTGTAACACATCCTGTAGGACATTATCCTGTAGGACATTATCCTGTAGGACATCATCCTGTAACACATTATCCTGTAGGACATTATCCTATAGGACATTATCCTGTAGGACATTATCCTGTAACACATTATCCTGTAGGACATTATCCTGTAGGACATTATCCTGTAGGACATTATCCTGTAGGACATTATCCTGTAACACATTATCCTGTAGGACATTATCCTGTAGGACATTTATCCTGTAGGACATCATCCTGTAACACATTATCCTGTAGGACATTATCCTGTAGGACATTATCATGAAGGACATTTATCCTGTAGGACATTATCCTGTAGGACATTATCCTGTAGGACAGTTTCCTGTAGGACATCATCCTGTAGGACAGTTTCCTGTAGGACATCATCCTGTAGGACATTATCCTGTAGGACATCATCCTGTAGGACATTATACCCCTGTGATTTCATCCCTGTCAAACGTCAATAATCCTATTTCAGTTACTACGAACCTTGATATTTTACACCTACCATGTCTGTTTCAGTTTACAATAGATAACTGACGACGGATATTAAGGCGTTGAATATGTGTCGTAATATTGTATATTACATAGCTGAAGAACCTACCTCCTCCTCATGGACAATGTAGCGAGAAAGGCCTGACCTACTTTGACTATTATACATTCGACTCCTGTCGTCTAGAATGTTTAATGACATACATTGACAGACAGTGTGGCTGTCGTGACTTCTACATGCCAAACGTCAATAGTAAGTATTAGGATGTTATTTCATTCCAAGTGACTTCGTTCACATCCATGAACTTGCCTTTACTCAACGACATGCCAGCTTCTCATGTCGATTCTGTTTGTTGTTGATGAAGTAATTTAGATATACCTTTCACCTACTGTGGTTAACATGATAGATTCTCTAAACATATGTAAAGGCTGTTAAGATTCAATTTTTTATTTTGTAAAATATGGGAAGCTTTATATATATGTATATTATGTGTGTCACTCGGAACGTAATGAGACCAATAAAGACTTTAACTGCCCATTTCAATATTGTTCTGAAGCAAATGGCTCCCAATTCGTCTCTTGGCGGGTGTTTTTGACCTATCCTATTTCTTAATGGATAATTGTATCCACCTTATGCAAATTAATAATTCCTAAACATGTTTGTTATTTATGTAGTAATAACCCGTGATATGTAATGTTGGTGTGGATTTATGTAGTAATATGTTTCATAAACCATTCAATTTTTTTATTCATGTGTCTAAACTTATAATGTTTTTTCCTTTTTTCAGAAAGACCGAGAATGTGTACTTTGAAAGAGTATTTCAGTTGCTTTTTGCCAGCAAAACAGGAATATTGTAAGAATCAAGAATACCATAGACATTTATAACACAATATAAACATGTGAATTATACACGTGTATGAGAAGTAAAGGATTGTCAAAACTAATGGGCTTATACAGGAATACATCCGATATGTCCCTTTAATTCATCATGGTTATAGTTTTATCGTAAATTTTATTGTATATATCAAAATCATAGTCTACAGAACTTATCAATAACATTATTTTTCGAGTCAGAAATAAAATATCTTTAATTCCTTTGCTATACATTATGCAGATGTGTGGTCATTATTTTAAATGTTCTATTAATCTCTACAGTATTGTCTGTGCAAACCGGAAGACAACAGTGCACATGCCCCACATCATGCCAATCACTTTTGTTCGACCCAACCTTGTCATATGCTACAACTTCCCGTCATGCAATGGACAAGATCCTCGACGAGGTCCTTACGACCAATGTAACTGATGACCTGACACAAGCTAGAGAGGTAACCCAGCGCATGGAAAAGGAAAAAGTTGAGAAGTTCCGAACTGCTGTGTTCGCCGTTAACAATTCACTTTCTTCAGTTATAACATTAATTCACAAGTACATGAGAGAACGAATATCACAACAAATTCAAAACCTGGAGAAGGAATCTGAAAAAATGTTGAGTGCCTGGCGAGAAAAAGATGTTCTCTACAGCTATCAAGCGTACAACGTCAGACGGAACTTTATAAGAGTCAGGGACGCTATGGAAGAAAGAACACTGAATATCATCTGTATTGGGTTCAATGAGTTTGTCTTTATTATTGAGACCTACATGAGGGATTTAGTTTCAGATTCGTTTGAAAATAATTTAGACAGAAGAACAATTCTTTATACTGTTATAGTTGCTAAGATAAGCGATCGGATTGAAACAGCCAAGCGGGGTCTTTCTAATTACACAAGGTTATACAATGCATATCAAAATGGGACACCCATATTTCGATACAAGTTTTTATCAGTGCCAAGAAAACACAATGTCATGATGGTACCAAAGACACTGTTGAATGATTCGTTAACTCACAGTTCCTACGCCAGGAAGTATAGTCCACGTGTTAAGGACGACATCGAGGCTATAATATATAGTTTGCTTGAATACCTTGACTTTCTGAACGAGGTGATGCAAACAAAAAAATTGAACATTACTAGAATGAACTCAATCGGCGAAGAATTTGTTGACGCCTGTGAACAGTTTTATCACAGCAAAAGTGTCTTTTACTATGAGAGTATAGAGAGACCTTTGAGAGTTATTCTGGCACGACACGACAACTTTAAAAAGGCTAAAACACAATACATGACTACAGTTAAGAACATGAAAGACAACTTGCTACAGTTACAGAATTCTCTTGAAAACGTATCAAATTCAACACTGTACGTGATATCGGATCTCGTCGATAAGGCTGTTAATTACTTCAGGAACTCGTCCATAAAGAAACTCGACGTAGCAAAGACGGCACAAGAGGAAAGGGTACATACCGCCTCTATGACACTGAAGATGTTTTTCCAGGAAGTGAGAAATCGTGGACATGCAATTTACGATGCCTGGACGTCTTTAATCCCAATTGGAACAGCCATCTGGAAAACTATTTTAGAAGATGAGGAAATGATGGAATACTATATCTACAGAAATATGACTCTCTTCCTTGAAAACAGTACGGAAGTTGTCAGTAGACTTGAGAATAATTATACTTCACACAGGGATGATAATGATCTACGATTTATTGTGGGACTCACAGATAGTCACTTTCACAATTCCATGGATCGTATGCAGGACCATCTCTCTAGCTACGTAACATCAACCAAAGTGGATCATAGTGTAATCATGTAAGTTCTGTTAATGTTTGGCCACTAGTGGGGTATTTCTTTAACTTCTATTACCGTCCTATCACAGGAGATGGGTTTTCTTACTCGCACTAGTTGTACATGTCAGAGTATGTTAAAGAAAATAAAAGAAGAATTTGCCTCTTAAAGCTATGATTGAATTATGAGAAATAACTCCGAGAGAAGTTGGAGCAAAAATAGCAAAAACATGGATCCTCGATACCCCAGGTATTAAGATCACTTTCTCTGTTATGGTTCCTTTATCGTAGATGACTTCAATAACTTCTCTAGTCCTAGAAAGGTGATATTGATAAAACTGTGTCTATGTTCGTGATCACATGGTGGGGACCCTACTGTCCAGATATGAAATATATTTACAACGACCTTTAATTGGCTGAAACATTTTCCACCAAGCAAACTTCTGTTCTCAATGGAAGGATGTTCTTAGAACTCGACCAAGATTTTGATTTGAAGCAAAATTAAATACGACACTTTCTCTGTTCTAACGTAAAGTGTTCAACTTCTATACATTGATTAATTGAAGCCACACGTTTTTTTTATGATAAATATGTGTACTTATTTGGATTGATTTAGAAACCAAATATTGCACTCATATTTAATGTTGGTTTGCGACATCTACCAACTGAATACGTGTCATTGCCCGAATGTTTCTGCCAATAACATTATTAGGTCGTTCTAGTACTTCAGTCAGTACTTATAGATGTCAAGAGGTCAAGGTCATCGTCAGCATATTGCAAATGTTTGTCCATTTATAACATACATTGTGTGAATCATTTTCAGGGTCTTGTATCTCCGTAGTAGCTGTTCATGTATCATAGTTTACCAAGTTCTCATTCGGAACGTGACATTTCTAACTTGGATTAACCAAGATTTACATAGTGGGTTTTGTCAATCATAAGCAGAAGTCGCCTACTATTCCGAAGCATGTGGTCCTATTTTCTTTATACTTTTTCGTGAGTTTCGTGTAAATCCGCTACCGCATTTTCATCCAATTGATGCTCGAGTTAAGATTTTGTTAACATGTCGGTATTTTCTTTGTTTCCATTTTATTTTTATCGATTTTGTTCTGTACTTCAGTGTTACAGTTACGTGTTGTTCATATGTTCTTAGTAATGTTTCGTCTGACATCTCTTATTTTTCGACTATTCTGTCTTTTTTAAATCTTGGTAAATGTTATTATCATGCCAAGTAGTTGTGCTTTTCAAACAGCAGTTAAGAAAGTTGTGTTGTGCTTTCAAAAGGCAGCTTTATTGCAAAGTTTCCAAGAGTTTTGGACAATGCTTTTTATAATTGTGTCCTTGTTAATGTTTCCTGTTTTCAGCTGATATACTTAAACTCTGAGAGGCATTATCATCATGACATGTTTTACAAATTTTGCAAAATAAAGTTCACGTTATATATCAGTATTTTTTATTACATTGCATGACATATATCCGGAAATATGTTACATAAGTGTTAATCCGTCTTTCATATTGTTGATTCGTCATCAGACTGGTTTGGACGAAATCACAGGGACTTGGCATGAATTCCCAACCCTCGGAACATATATAATACATATATATGGACCATGGGTCGGAAATTCCTGCCAAGTCCCTAGGGGCGAAATTAATCTATTTATTCAAAGAATCAAAATTGTATAAATGCGGGACCAAACGATTGTATATATATCAACTAGACTTTGAACAATAAATTAACAATATTTTACGCTTCAAATATTTTTGATATGTTTTTGAGAACGAATGATTTAGTATTTTTCTCTTCAAACAATATTTTTACTCATTTTCCTCCTTCTATGTGTGTTTATATGTCCGAGATTTTATTTTCCTATTTTAGGGACAATTATCTAGAGCTGGATATATTCTACAGAGAAATGAATTACGAAGAGATACGTCAACAGAAGGCGTATGATATTTTTTCCTTGTTATGTAAGTATGACATCTATATTTAACTTAGTTGTCCTAGAAGTCTGTTGGAAACCAGGAAGCTTGTTCTGTCTGGTCCTTACACGGTACGTGTTAAGTAGATGTGACAGACCCTGTATCTCCTCTACCTGACAATATAACCATCTACAAAATTCATTGTTTTCAATAAATTCTTGCCATGTTACAACACCAGTTAAAGTTTCAACTGACAAGATTTTTTTCATCGTGTTTAGGATGAGTGCACCTTCTGTCTCGTTTTTTGACATTTCCTCTCCACCAATCTTGGTTTTCCACAATCGCCCCTTAGGATTTTACGATTTAGCTTTTTAACATCCTAAATGAGCTGTAGGATGCAGTAAAATCCTTGTTTGGCTCTACAATTTCTAATTCTAAAGTTATATTGGAAAGTGTCATCCACGTGTGTGTCCTTTGTGGATTTAATCCGTCCTCACTTCAAGTAATTAGTTAGGGGTTTTTCAGAAAAAATATCAAATGAATATTTATTTTTTGCCATGATTTGAGATGAAAGGTGTTTGGTCCAACTCTAAACAACTATGTCATTTTTTTCTGTAATACAAAAATCTCTCCTTATAATGTCGCGTCTGCTGTCATTGTTCCGCTAGAATTATGTAGAGTTTTGTAAATAACAGCATTGAGGATGGTAAGTGGACACTAACGAGAACAGCTTGTCAAGGAAGCAAGTTGTATATATCAAGGCAATAAAAAATATTTATATATTATCTCGGACTTGACATGATAAGGGAGTAAATAAAATGTAACACAAACAATCAATTGAGACAATAACTCGCTGGAAACAGGAAGATATCAGTGTTAGTTTCGCTTATTACTATTACAGTTATAAAAGAAACAAATGTGTACTTACCATCAATAGATTTCAGATTCTGTATACCGGCATTACAAAAATAGAACTTCACAGTATTTTTATTATTCCTAACTTGGTGATTTTTTTCATCGTGTTGATCGCATTAGATAAAATGGTAGTACTACTTTTTAGATCGTAAGTGATTATCTCTTCATTCCTGGGAGATTTATCTGTGATAATGTTCGTGATGTAATATAACTCTTAAATATTGAAATACTTAATGGTATCATGGTTTTGATGGCTATCTTTATTGGCGTGATTTTGGTTAATTGAAGTGGTAAAATGCTACATATTTGATTACTGGAGCCTTGTTTTGAAAAGATCTTATCGTTTCAGGTGATATCGGCGGATCAATGGGGCTGTTTCTTGGAGCCAGCGTTATGACTATGTTTGAAATAATGGACCTCTTTCTCAACCATTCTGCAGAACGATTACTTAGAACGAACAAAATGAGAGTGACTCATTGAACAGAAATTGTAGAAAATTTGACGATGAAGTGTTTTATTTTTATTGACGGTTTTGAATACATTCCGGAATGTACAAAGTATTAATTAAATATGGTATTTACTGCTGATATAGAAATACGTTTTTATTTTCGTCCTTTGATTCTGTAAATGTTCAACGCTCTCAAGTTCAATTGCTTGCGTTTTACATCAACGAAAAAAAATACAAATAAGTAAACAATGCTCGGTGTTCTTACTTTCATCTCTACTTTTGTGTTTTAGAATTGACTTTAAGTTTACACTATCTTCAAACAAAAACACAATAAACACACGCAATGGATTGTAGATTTACCATCATGATCGCTACATGTGCATCCCCCTCGCGCACATAAATTGGTCAGGTGACCATTTTTAGAGAATAATGAACAATGATAAACATTATATTTCATCATCACACATGCATACAGGCTTACGGCATTTCAATAACATGCGACATTTCATGTTAGTCATCATGAAAAAAAGAATGGGGCTTGACCCTGATAATTTGTTATTCCACAAATGTGGCAGTAACATTGTCTATCGTGTACATTAAGCTGAGTGCTGTAATTCCTTCCTAAAAGTATCATCAGCTCGATGTCACTCCACATAACAGATAATGTTTATCGTGTCAGCTTATATAACAGATATTGTATACCGTGTCAGCTTACATAACAGATATTGTATACCGTGTCAGCTTATATAACAGATATTGTATACCGTGTCAGCTTACATAACAGATATTGTATACCGTGTCAGCTTACATAACAGATAATGTTTATCGTGTCAGCTTACATAACAGATAATGTTTATCGTGTCAGCTTACATAACAGATAATGTTTATCGTGTCAGCTTACATAACAGATATTGTATACCGTGTCAGCTTACATAACAGATTGTATACCGTGTCAGCTTACATAACAGATAATGTTTATCGTGTCAGCTTACATAACAGATAATGTTTATCGTGTCAGCTTACATAACAGATATTGTATACCGTGTCAGCTTACATAACAGATAATGTATACCGTGTCAGCTTACATAACAGATATTGTATACCGTGTCAGCTTACATAACAGATAATGTTTATCGTGTCAGCTTACATAACAGATATTGTTTATCGTGTCAGCTTACATAACAGATAATGTTTATCGTGTCAGCTTACATAACAGATATGTTTACCGTGTCAGCAGCTTACATAACAGATAATGTTTATCGTGTCAGCTTACATAACAGATATTGTATACCGTGTCAGCTTACATAACAGATAATGTTTATCGTGTCAGCTTACATAACAGATATTGTATACCGTGTCAGCTTACATAACAGATATTGTATACCGTGTCAGCTTACATAACAGATAATGTTTACCGTGTCAGCTTATATAACAGATAATGTTTACCGTGTCAGCTTATATAACAGATAATGTTTATCGTGTCAGCTTACATAACAGATATTGTATACCGTGTCAGCTTACATCACAGATAATACTTACCGTGTCAGCTTACATCACAGATAATGTATACCGTGTCAGCTTACATCACAGATAATGTAAACCGTGTCAGCTTACATCACAGATGATGTTTACCGTGTCAGCTTACATCACAGATAATGTATACCGTGTCAGCTTACATAACAGATATTGTTTACCGTGTCAGCTTACATAACAGATAATGTTTACCGTGTCAGCTTACATCACAGATAATAATGTTCAGCTTACATCACAGATAATGTTTCCGTGTCAGCTAACATAACAGATGTTTACCGTGTTACATCACAGACCGTGTCAGCTTACATAATGTTTACCGTGTCAGCTTACATCACAGATAATGTTTACCGTGTCAGCTTACATCACAGATAATGTTTACCGTGTCAGCTTACATAACAGATAATGTTTACCGTGTCAGCTCACATAACAGATAATGTTTACCGTGTCAGCTTACATAACAGATCATGTTTACTGTGTCAGCTTACATCACAGATAATGTTTATCGTGTCAGCTTACATCACAGATAATGTTTCACGTGTCAGCTAACATAACAGATGTTTACCGTGTCAGCTCACATAACAGATAATGTTTACCGTGTCAGCTTACATCACAGATAATGTTTACCGTGTCAGCTCACATAACAGATAATGTTTACCGTGTCAGCTTACATCACAGATAATGTTTACCGTGTCAGCTTACATCACAGATCATGTATACCGTGTCAGCTCACATAACAGATAATGTTTCCGTGTCAGCTCACATAACAGATAATGTTTACCGTGTCAGCTTACATAACAGATAATGTTTACCGTGTCAGCTTACATCACAGATAATGTTTACTGTGTCAGCTTACATCACAGATAATGTTTACCGTGTCAGCTTACATAACAGATAATGTATACCTTTTACTGTCTAAATCGTTTTAATTTCAACCTGTCTTTATTGACAGTGAATTAAGCCCCATAATATTTCTTGCTACTCACACTTTATATGTGCATAATACTGTAGGCAAAAGATAAAAACGGTTTTCAAGATTGAAACATAGATTTTATTTAAAAATTTATAATATGAAATGCACATGCGTGACATAAATACATTGAAAAGTAAACTCTTCGAAGCAGACAAACATGATGAAGTGATAATGTTCCCATTTATAATACACTGTATAATCGACCTGTCCAGAAATGGACATCATCTCTCTATACTATTACCTAAATACTTCACAGGTATGAAACAATCTATACCTACATACATTTTTCCTTTAAGACGTAAACATATCAGCAACAATGAAGATATTTTGGGGTGTTACTGATCTGTCATCATGACAACTTCATTAACATGGAAATTACCTCTGGGAAACAACCTGTGGGGTCTCTTAGTTAATAGGACAGGTAGGACAGGTAGGTCTTATCAAAGACTTTTGTCAGGTAGAATAGTCCAATTAGAGCTCTTGTTCTTCTGTGTTTATCAAAGTTACGGTGACTATTGAAAACCTTATTGAAACAAAGACTTCGGGTACAGCATTCCACATGTTAATTTCACATAAGTTCTTCTGACAAGTTGGCAACCATTTCATTGTGTAAAAGATACAGAAATGTAATATGATCATTGTACAATTATATCAGAATAAGTATTTAACACAGTTTATGAATTATGCTTGAAGCTCCTTAGATGCCACATATAGTGGTGATAGTTCTCTACAGCTTATTACGACTCTGGACCTCCTTGGAACAGTTAGGACACTTCTTGGCCTTACGACCCCCACATTCAACACAGATGTAACACAGACAGGGAATCAACTGGTAACTAGCTTCATCCTCATCACACGACATACACGTAATGGAGGTGACTGCGACAGGCTGTGCTTTGTGTCTCACATCTCTGTAAATATAAAACACTTTGTCACTCCTGAGTTCTGAACACTTTGTGGAAAAGTGTAAGCATTGAACTATTAACAAGATAACACAATTTATATGGTATGTTTAGAATAACACTTGCCACTAATCATAGGCACTAATTGTTAACTAGGTTTATACTGTGAAAAGGAAAAAAGGGTAAGGGATTAAAACTATTGATGTCAGTAATCAACAGTAGAAACTCAAAGTGTGTTTGATATCAGTACTACACTGGAGCAGTCTCTTCAGAAACAGCTGACTGCAACTGGACAAACCAGGGAAGAATTCAGAAACAGATGCATTGTTCAAAAGGATTAGTTACTATTTAATTGTCCAACATATTACTTGAATTTTTCAAAATTCTGCTTTGACAAGAGGAAAATAGGAAGCATGAATCACACCTAAGTCTCACTCACTTTTCCTGCAAGGCTTTGCGGATGGGTTCTTTCACTCGTTCATTGGTACAAATCTCGAGCGGAGTCTTCCCTTCAACGTTGGGGGCATTGTACTTAACCCCACGATGGATCAGTTTCAAAGCGATCTCGATTTGTCGCCGTATGCTCTCCTCAGATGGTAAGGACTGCTGTAAAGGTAAAATCCTGATTTTAGTCAGATCTTTTGAAATAACAGATGTTTTAGTGATATCTTTATACATTCAATTATAAACTTTACAAAAATTGTAAAACAAGTCATTTCAAATTAATGTAAACACAAAATACTGGCCGTGTATACATGTCGTGGCTGTGGACAAATGTGCATACACGTCGCGGCTGTGGACAAATGTGCATACACGTCGCGGCTGTGGACAAATGTGCATACACGTCGCGGCTGTGGACAAATGTGCATACACGTCGCGGCTGTGGACAAATGTGCATACACGTCGCGGCTGTAGACAAATATGTATACATGTCATGGCTATGGACAAATATGTATACATGTCGTGGCTGTAGACAAATAAATGTAACGATTAAGATTAAGTAACTGTATGTGTACTTATGTGATAGCCATGAAACTTTTCACCTTCCAAGGAATACATTGGGCTAAAAATGTAGAAGCTTCCATTAACATTTCGCTTTATACAGTAAGTGAGGAGTCCTTATCAACGCAAAGGGACGTGAGCACAGGGTCTTACATGGCCCTTGTGGATGGACAGATGATACACTACCAAACCGTCATCATCTAAAGGAAAATCGTTGTGTTATCACTACACCACCAACAAACCAAAAGTAATAGTAACATTTAGTGACAGAGCTCAAACCATACCTGTTGACCATCAGAGTCATCTCCCTTGAGGCACAAGTGGAGGGCGTTATTACCCATATCATCGATGTTGTCTATGTCTACCATGGGTTGTGTGGAGGAAACTGGTTCAGTTCCATCTTCTACAATACAGCATTACAATCACATATGAACTGGTAAAATAAAAACATCCAGGACAGCAAGAAATATGTTTTTGTTTCATTTGGTAATACTGAATTTAAACAACTCCATCAAAATTGGTCAGGCCAGTGGACCTGTATGTACAGATGAAATTACCCAGAATTCAAATTCCCCAGATTAAGTACTTTTTTGTACCAGGATGCAGAATAATATCCTTTAGCTTTAAAATAACAAATTTCAAATACTAAATTTGGTTTTTCTGAACAAGTAAAGATAAATCTCTTCAATCACAGTTCCCCTTAAGATTGTATTTTTCCAATAATTTTTGAACTAATGGAGTTCTATCATGAGATTTTATGCTTTTCATGGCCATTTCTATTCCTATCCCATCTTTTCAGGAGATTGGAAATTTGGACGTATTAGATTTATTCATAAGAACCTGTACATTTCCACACCAGACTATATATATAAATCAACAAGGTCATTGCTTACAAGGATCCTGGAGTCAAGATGACATATTTAGTGAAACTTCCCTGGTATTTCCCCTTATCAAGATGTTCTATTTAACAGTCATCTACCAAAAGAAACAAGAGGCCCATGGGCCTTAACGGTCATCTGACATAAAATACAAGACTTCAAATCCTGAACTTGAGAAGAAGTCAAAAATGTGTTTTCAAGATGGCGGCCATGTTGGATTTCAGACCAACCCGAAATTAATAAACTTTGGTTAGGATCATGTCACGATCATTTCACGATCATTTCAGGTAAGTTTCAGGTAAGTTTCAGCTCAATGAGACATGTAGAACTTGAGAAGAAGTTGAAAATGTTTATGACGGACGTTGCCGGACAAAAGGCGATCGCAATAGGTCATCAGACCCTTCGGTCAGATGACCTAAAAATCTACCTCCTGGATCTTGAAGCAGAAACTGACACATAACGGTTACTTACCAAGTCCTAAGAATAGGTTGATGGTTTTCACACTCTCGTGGATAGCAGCCACATGAAGAGGGGTCAAACCTTTGCTGGTCTTTGCCTCCCTGTCTGTCGAAGGCTACAGAGGAAAACGGAGTAACATTAATGTGAAATGTAACATCTACTTGATACACACTGCGAAGTTCACCGAGTTTTGAAGATCATCTCTTTACACAGATTAAGACAGGAAAGAATATATACTGACCATGCCCACTAAAAACTGCACAATGCCAACATGATCCTGACCCACAGCCAGATGAAGCGCTGTGAAACCGTCATTCTTTGGGATGTTGACCAGACTAGGGTCCTTCTGCAGAATTTTCCGTACAGCACTATGAAAAAAATGAGTAAATATTTTTCAGTTATATATCTCACATTTTTAATTAAGGACTTACTTTCTGTTTCATTCTGAATATGCAGGACATGTCTACAACTAACGCTTGTGTCAATTGAATAACTGGTGAAGCCAAATATGTCAAGTTTGCTGGAGGTTAATTGTTCCCAAGATTTAACCAGAAAGTTCATCTTGGTATCAAGTTTTCTTCATTTGACTTACTAGAGTTCGCCCTTGCGAGCTGCAAAGTGAAGTGGAGAGAAGCTGCGTCGGTTGAAGTAATTCAGTTGTATGCCCTGCCAGTCCACCACCATGTCAATAAATCGCTTTTCGCCAGTAGATATTGCATCCGTGATGGCGCTGTCCCCAAGGTTGTCCTACAACAAGCATCACACAACAAATGACATCATGCCAACCATAACGCTGTTCAAATCTTTCCTTACATGTCTCACATGTCACCATGGTTACCTTACACTAATTCAATCATCATACATTATATCTATAACAATATCACAACCCTTACAGCCATATTTCATACATGAAAAAAATTAGACTTTCCTATTCTATTTCCTGCTAAGAAACTTGTTACAAAATAGTAGTAGCACTAAACTATTGAATAAGGATTGAACAGCATTTTTACTGTATTTACGGTGTTTTGAACACAATAGAATACAGACATATTCCAAGCAGCATATCAGTGCTTCATTTGGAATATGTCCATCTCAGTGCATTAAGAAAAATCTACATAGACTATGTCTATTTCCCATTACACTGATTATGTTCAAACAATGTCAGTTGCTAAGTGGAATAACTATGGTAACGCTGGTAGCAATGGCAACCAAAATACAGTTCAAATGACTCCGCCAATATTTCTAAACTAATTCATGCTTTGGTAATTTATAAATCTAAAAACAATTAGGCAATGATATAACTGAAGCATACATTAAGATTACTAAGGTGGATGTAAATCACAAACCACATACAGTTATCAGACATGAGCCTGAAATGCTATTTTCACTACACAAGGATTTAGTTGGAGTAGGTGCAGTCATAAAACTGGAACATGTTAGCATTCTAGAGATATTTCACGATGCACCAAGAACAGTGTAATATCAGACGATTAAACACTAATCTAGGCCACAAACACTGACATCAAAGCCCTTGATTCCAGGGTTAGGGCTATAGTTTGACTTGATCTGGAGAATGTCTCTTTTAAAAGTAGGTCATTACTTTTTGTAAAGTTGCTTCAACATCAGAGTTAACCTTGGTATACATTTGGGTCAAAACGTGAGGAACAGGATGATAGGGTCTACCAGTGCCCTGGAGGTGAGATTTGTATGCAGCTGTGGTGTTCCATCAAATCATCATTATTTTCATACAATACAAGATCATCTTATACAAAACCAGTACTAAGATTATCCTGTCCTTAGAAGGCCCAGACAATTGCTGAATATGTATATATAATATTAAGTAATTTTGCAAAGCACAACCTTTCATGTGTGATCTCTCCTTGCTGGTGTGATTTGAACCTAAAGACAATTTCTGAATATGTATCTATAATATTTAGTAATTTGGGAAAGCACAATCTTTCGTGTGTGGCCTTTTGTTGCTGGTGTGATTAGTAACCCTAGACAATTACTGAATATGTATCTATAATATTAAGTAATTTGGGAAAGCACGATCTTTCGTGTGTGGCCTTTTGTTGCTGGTGTGATTAGTAACCCTAGACAATTACTGAATATGTATCTATAATATTAAGTAATTTGGGAAAGCACGATCTTTCGTGTGTGGCCTTTTGTTGCTGGTGTGATTAGTAACCCTAGACAATTACTGAATATGTATCTATAATATTAAGTAATTTGGGAAAGCACGATCTTTCGTGTGTGGCCTCTCGTCGCTGGTGTGATTGAGAAATCATCCACCAACAATAAACAAATCCTACATAAAACCATTTCTTACTGAACAAATCCTACATAAAACCATTTCTTACTGAACAAATCCTACATAAAACCATTTCTTACTGAACAAATCCTACATAAAACCATTTCTTACTGAACAAATCCTACATAAAACCATTTCTTACTGAACAAATCCTACATAAAACCATTTCTTACTGAACAAATCCTACATAAAACCATTTCTTACTGAACAAATCCTACATAAAACCATTTCTTACTGAACAAATCCTACATAAAACCATTTCTTACTGAACAAATCCTACATAAAACCATTTCTTACTGAACAAATCCTACATAAAACCATTTCTTACTGAACAAATCCTACATAAAACCATTTCTTACTGAACAAATCCTACATAAAACCATTTCTTACTGAACAAATCCTACATAAAACCATTTCTTACTGAACAAATCCTACATAAAACCATTTCTTACTGAACAAATCCTACATAAAACCATTTCTTACTGAACAAATCCTACATAAAACCATTTCTTACTGAACAAATCCTACATAAAACCATTTCTTACTGAACAAATCCTACATAAAACCATTTCTTACTGAACAAATCCTACATAAAACCATTTCTTACTGATGTTTTTTTTATCTTTTGTTACTACTTGTTTTTAGTACACAATGCATTTTCCTTCCAGAACAAGCCTAAGAGGCAGCTATTGGTGGGGTCAATCATTCATTGTTTTTTAAATGGGTGACATTTGTTTCAAAACATCTAAAACCAAATTTGACTCATCACCAATGATTTTATCACAGCTGCATTTATGATCATTCAAACCCAACATTTGTTCTACTGACTATATAGATACATATGTGAATATAATGCCTTGTTCCACCTTTTTGTTAATGTCCAGTTTATGTTGTTGTAGAATGGTCAACATCTGTAAATCCCGTTCCTGGACGGCGATGTGGATAGCTGTCTGGCCATTTCTGTTGGTTACAGTTTTCTTTATTCCAGCATTAAGAAGTACCTCCACCACATCTCGGTGCTTCCTATACAAAACAAAAAAAAACAAAAAAAAACACAATAATACATGATAGAGAAGTTGTCTGTTACATATTTCAGGATCAAAACTGGAAAACTGAAAATCTCCAGCTTCAAAGTCTCAAACAGGAAATTATTGGTCATGTTGCCCTAATTAACCATGATTGTATTTAAACTTCACGTAATCAAAGATTTAGAAATCCTAGATAATCTTTGTATGAACAACTACATAGTATAAAATATTCTGTGTAAGATAAAAATCATGAAAACCATTTGTCTAAAAATAAAGGATTTAACATTCTGAACCTTTACTTTACCGATAGGATATAACAAATACATGTACATACAGCTTTTAAACTTGTTTGTAACAAAGCCATGAAACTGATACTTACTTTCTCACCGCTGTCAACAATGGATCACTTTTAGACGCATCCTTGTCATTTCTTACATCCAGGTTACAGTGGACATTGACCAGCTCCTTGACTACCTCAGTGTGGCCCAGCTCACAAGCTGTAATAATCATGGGAGGCTTTCCCATATCCCTCTGGTGACAGGAAAGCAGATGAGTTTTAAGTAATATACAACTTTTGATAAATATTTCTTTCAGGATTCAAAATATTTCTTTCAGGGTTCAAAATGATTAAATTGATGCAAGGAAAAGAATCAGAGGATGTATGAGCACCCATTAAGTATACACACTAGGTACTCACCAGGTAGACATGTTCCTCTAGCATGTTCCTGACACGGTCCGAGTACCCCTCCCTCACTGCCTCCTCCAGCTCTGCCAGAAGTTGGTCTGAAGACTTCTTTTCTGTAATAAGTCAGTATGAATCCTGTACATCAGCTTATCTCTGTGGATTCATTCTTATTTCAGTAATATAGCATTTCTATGAAATAACCACAGTGACATGTTGAATGTGGAATCTCATTGTCGAAACATTTATATTATTCCAACAATATAAACTTTATTTATTTTACAACAATTGCGAAACAAGTTATGTCAACTTATACTAATCACAATTGTTGGCCCGGATGTAAGCGCGCGAGGGGTCTATTGTGGGAGGAAACCGGAGTACCCGGGGAAAACCCACGTGGTCGGGCAGGTGACCCCTTACCTTTTCATGTCCGTTTCGGGAATCGAACCCCGGTCGGCTAGGTGAAAGGCGAGTGCATTAGCACTGCGCCACCCGGCCACCCATTCCAACAATGATATGATCACATGACTAGAAACACGACCTTGACAAGGTCAATGAAGAGTACAAATGACCTTTACCAGACAATAATTATGATGGTGATTTTAAAAAATAAATTTAATTTTACATTAACAGTGAAAGCATCCTTTACAACTAAACTCTACCTTGTTGTTTGACAGGAGTAGTTTTTTGGGCGACTGCTGCAGCTGGAGAAGGCAATGTCACACTGGTATCTGGGGTAGTCTTCTGTGGTATGTCATCAGTCAGTATGTCAGGTTCCCCATCCGCTGCGTCCAGGACTGCTGGATTAAACTGGAACTTCATAGAGCCAAAAGCCACTTTGACATCACCATAGTGATCTATGGAATGCACTTTTCCTTTCTTTCCAAGTGTCTGAAAATTTAAATGCTGTATAGCTATACACTACACCTCAGACAACAGGTAAACAGCCAAACGATTCTTGTTTCTGACATGACATGCCTGGAAACAGATCAATGGTAGGACTAACCTAAAATGTGTCCTGAAATACTTAATTTTATACAAAACATATAAAATATACAAAATTTATTTCTATTTTACCATTGTCAAAATATTTCATAAATGTGTAAATCTTTATCCTGATAATGGAACATTCAAGTGCTATCAGTATATAAATAAATGATTTCAATATCTTTAAACTAGTTTAATATTCAGCATCCAATGTGGCTACCTTATCTGCCACTGGAAATTACCTTCCTGATTTGACTGTCCCAGTTGCCATGTCCGTTCTGGAGCTCCTTGACCTCCTGTTCATTATCCCTCACTCTCACCGTCTCTCCTTTCTTCAGCTGCTTTACCTTAACATATAATGAATCATTCTTATCAGCTTTGGCAATTCCTTATTTATCTAAATCTGTTCCATTTTCTTTCTCAATCAAACAAAGCCAAAGAATTTATATGTCATAAGTAACATTATATCGACTCGCTTCAGTTTTTATAGCCATTCCAACAATGTAGCAGAGTAAATATGACACCTTCAAACCAGTATTTAAATATCCAAAAAGCCATCATTAAAATTTGTACATTTACAAATCATTTCCAGACCTGTATACTTACCTTATCCAGGGCCATCTCCTTAAATGTCCAGCTACCAACATCAAATTTGACTGTCACATCCTCTCCTGACTGGACCACTACTTCCCCAATCTTACCAATACACTATAACATTACCACAGAATGTAATATTACCACGGATACAGAACAGAATGTAATATTACCATGGATACAGGACAGAACGTAATATTACCATGGATACAGGACAGAACGTAATATTACCACAGATACAGGACAAAATGTAATATTACCACAGATACAGGACAAAATGTAATATTACCGTGGATACAGGACATAATGTAATATTACCACAAATACAGGACAGAATGTAACATTACCATGGATACAGGACAGAATGTAATATTACCACAGATACAGGACAGAATGTAATATTACCACAGATACAGGACAGAACGTAATATTACCACAGATACAGGACAGAATGTAACATTACCACAGATACAGGACATAATGTAATATTACCACAGATACAGGACAAAATGTAATATTACCACAGATACAGGACAGAATGTAATATTACCACAGATACAGGACAGAATGTAATATTACCACAGATACAGGACAGAATGTAATATTACCATGGATACAGGACAGAATGTAATATTACCGTGGATACAGGACATAATGTAATATTACCACAGATACAGGACAAAATGTAATATTACCATGGATACAGGACATAATGTAACATTACCACAGATACAGGACAGAACGAAATATTACCATGGATACAGGACATAATGTAACACTACCACAGATACAGGACAGAATGAAATATTACCATGGATACAGGACATAATGTAACATTACCACAGATACAGGACAGAATGAAATATTACCATACCATACATTGTTTTTCAATGCCAAAGAAACAGGAAAGCATATAATATTACCACAGAAAATAAAGTATAACCATGGTATCAGGGTTATTGGGAATTATTCATCATCAGGACAAATTGCTATTAAAACCATTGAGATCTAAAACTTTGGCCCCAAATTCAAATGAATTCCATTTATTCTCTCTCCTTGGATAGTCATTTGGTTGAATCTCTGAGCTCCTAGCTTGAAATATATATAATTAAATGAATCTATAATGTATAGAATGCTGTTTAATAGAAACATGGCCTGTTTTACACGAAAGTCAATACTCATCTCCCCTCAGTACGGATATTAGTGAGGTCAATGAATACTTGAATATTTGCTGACTAGGAAGGCATTTTAATGGATTTTTAAACGGTTAGAGAATAACACTTGGAAGATCACTAAAATTCATCTATTCTCTGTCAACGAAGTCAATTTTTATTCTGAAAAGACATCCCTTCCAGCTTTATTGATTAAATAAATTGATCAAATTAAGTGATACTCCAGGATTTACAATCTTGTTCACTCTCTGCACCCCTGGAACATGTCATGGCAAAATTGAAGGCACAAGCGAAGCTATTTCATTGTCTAAGGCAGGGTTCAGGAGAACAAATTACCAATCACAGACTGATACCCTTCTTTGAAGATTACAAAGGAGTGACACCCAACTTCAAAGCCAGTACAACAAACCTTTATCCAACCCAAGATTCATGTGATGTACATTAAAGGATCAAACTAGTTTTTTTTGTTTTATCCACAAGGTGTTGTACAGACAATCTTCAATTTTGTCAGGAAATGTTCCAGAGGTGCAGAGAGAGTTACCCCCCTGGATTATTGAGGATGGTTACCGTGATACTGGGTGAATTATTTTACATTATTTTGTAACAGATAGATATCATCGATGAGGAAATTCCAGTATCATTCCTTTTCCTCATGACCCCCTCCCAACCATCCATCACCACCATACCAATTAACACTATATTTCTGACAATACCACAGACATAATGTAAGTAACACAGGGCGATTCCAGTATCCTGGCACATTATCATAATAGGCACAGACATGAGAGTTCCAGTATAATTCACTCTATCTATCATCACCACGATTAAACAGTGTTAGTAGCAACACTGACAGAGAAATCCAGCCTAGGTTATGACAATATAACCCTATTCTCCAGTAACAAAAGTGTTGACTATAACTTAATACATACATCTATCATGGAATCATTCCACATGCCTTGGGCGGACTTATGAATGGCCTGTAAAACCTCTGGATCCACACCAATCCTCACAGCATCCCCAGCCAACAGTCGGTCAGATCCTGCCTCACTTACACTCGCTGCAGGTGCTGGCACCGTATCTAAGTTGATTTCTATGGAAACAAAGATTGTGATAGAATCAGTGCTTTCTCATCATCTAAACAAGAAATCCTTGAATTTTAATGATCTTTGCTAAACATGTTAACCCTGGTAGTGTTGTATTTAGTGAGGGCTGGGAGTCAGCTCTGGTAGTGTTGTATTTACTGCGGTCTGAGAGAAGGCCCTGATAGTTTTGTGCTAACTGAGGTCTAGGAGATGGCCCTGGTAACGTTGTATTTTCCGATGTTTAGGAGATGGCCCTTGTAGTGCTGTTTTTACCAAGGTCTAGGAGATGGCCCTGGTAGTGTTGTATTTACCGAGGTCTGGAAGTAGGCCTTGGTTGTGTTGTGCTAACTGAGGTCTAGGAGTAGGCCTTGGTTGTGTTGTGCTAACTGAGGTCTAGGAGTAGGCCTTGATTGTGTTGTGCTAACTGAGGTCTAGGAGACGGCCTTGGTTGTGTTGTGCTAACTGAGGTCTAGGAGACGGCCTTGGTTGTGTTGTGCTAACTGAGGTCTAGGAGATGGCCCTGGTAGTTTTGTATTCACTGAGGTCTAGGAGTAGGCCTTGGTTGTGTTGTATTTACTGAGGTCTAGGAGATGGCCCTGGTAGTGTTGTATTTACTGAGGTCTAGGAGATGGCCCTGGTAGTGTTGTATTTACTGAGGTCTGGAATATGCTCTGGTAGTGTTGTACTAACTGAAGTCTGGAAGAAGGTCCCAGTGATGATGTGTTTACTGATGTCTGGGAGTGGATCTCTTCTGTGTAGTACTTACTGAGGTCTGGAAGCTGGTCCCTGTAGTATGTGCCACCAGGCACCGGTTTGACACATTTCAAGTCCAACTTCCCATCGTAACCATGGCGATATACATTGGTTTGACCTATATCCCAAGTAACTTCCACAGCATCTCGGTCAGTATCCAGGCTGAAGTTGACCACTGCAATCACCTTACCCATTCCATCTACCAATCAAAAACAGATGGCAATGATATACAGATTTAGACTTATTCCAGGTCACTATGATAAATTATCAATTAGATAAAAATGGTTGCCACTGTGACAAAACAAAAATCACAGCATAAAAAATAAAACTACCTTAACAGTAAGAAGTATAAGAGCAAAAAGCATTACAATGTTGTTAACAAAGTCTATCACATCACCTTTGTACATGTCCTGAGATTTAACAATTCCAAATGTCCTGAGACTTAACAATTCCACACGTCCAGAGACTTAACAATTCCACATGTCCTGAGACTTAACAATTCCACACGTCCTAAGACTTAACAATTCCACACGTCCTAAGACTTAACAATTCCACACGTCCTAAGACTTAACAATTCCACATGTCCTAAGACTTAACAATTCCACACGTCCGGAGACTTAACAATTCCACATGTCCGGAGACTTAACAATTCCACATGTCCAGAGACTTAACAATTCCACATGTCCAGAGACTTAACAATTCCAAATGTCCTGAGACTTAACAATTCCACACGTCCTGAGACTTAACAATTCCACATGTCCTGAGACTTAACAATTCAACATGTCAAGAGACTTTGATAGGCATGTCCAAAGACTTAACAATTCCACACGTCCTGAGACTTAACAATTCCTCATGTCCTGAGACTTAACAATTCCACATGTCCTAAGACTTAACAATTCCACACGTCCTAAGACTTAACAATTCCACATGTCCTAAGACTTAACAATTCCACATGTCCAGAGACTTAACAATTCCACACGTCCTAAGACTTAACAATTCCACATGTCCAGAGACTTAACAATTCCACATGTCCTGAGACTTAACAATTCCACATGTCCTAAGACTTAACAATTCCACATGTCCTGAGATTCAGCAAATATACCTGAATTGACATTTACTAAGTACACGTATAATTACCTTGTGTACATATATACAGAACTTTACCAATTAAACTTGTAACACAATTTACTGAACTAGTACACCTGTTCCAAGATTTACCAAGTACATCTGTACCAAGATTTACCAATTATACCTGTACCAAGATTTACCAATTATAACTGTTCTTGGATTTACAAGAATATATGTACTGATGTGGACATACTTCCATCTTGAGCCTCCCACATCCAGTCAGGTCCCCGAGACACCCTTGCTCCCTCAAACACTCCTTTGGCGATTACTTTCTTTGACATCTCACGCTTGTTAGCACGGACTCTGTAAGTGTTATTGTCCATGATTAAAACACAGGAAAGGTATAGCATGTCTCAGTCTAAAACTGACATACAAAAATATATTTTACAAATTCTCCATATTATATCTATTCTCAGTCCTTTGTAGTCATACCAGAAGAACAGTCATAAAAGACAATTGCCAAAATAAAACTGACCACCCTGCAGCCATCTTGCTCCAGTCGGTCCTATAAAAAGTCATGTACACTTACACCATTACTTTCTGAGAAATAGAGGTACACTATAACCATTCCTGATTGTCATAGTCACCAAGCAGTCATCTTGTTGCTGTCATTTATGCCAAAATTGAATATGCAGAAGGAAAAAATCTTTGATAAAATTTGAGTAAGATAGTAATAATAAACAGTACGAGGTAAATGTATGATTTTAGACAGACAGTTGAACACCATTATGTTCTTTAACTGTTAAGGACCAATGAGGAACCAACTTGGAAGGAATGATTAATTGTTTTTCCGTATACATATAATAATATCAAGAACAGTTAAGGTATAGACTTCATGTGATTAGAATAGCCAACATGTTGAATTACCCAGTGTCTCCTGGCTTGTTGATTCTTAGAAAGTGTTGTTTCACATCATGCTTGTCACCATGGTAACAAGTGCTACACAGGATGGTGTCTGGTCTGGACTCACTCTTCCATATGAACCCCATCAAGTCAGATTCCTCACATACACTGCACGTGACAGATGGATGTCTGATACCTGTACACACCAATTACCATACTATAGCATAGACCTGATGTGACATTTTCAAAATGCCTTTAGTTGTATGAAAAATAGCCATAACAACATAAACAGAGAAAACTCTGGAACATTTCATGGCAAAATTAAAGATTCCATGTGTGACCTATTCTGGACAAGACCAAAAAAAAAGACCAGTTTGATCTAATCTGATGTACACAAAAAAGATGACCAAACAACATTTGTCAGAAGATCTAATTTTGGTTGTAATTTAATGTATATCAAAAGATTCTAGAAGTCATATAGGGGTATGTTGTAATTGCTTTGAAATTGGGTGCCACTCCATTGTAGTCTTCAAATGAACGTATCAGCCCATGATTATCAAGTTTTTTTCTTCTGGAACCTGCTCTAAACCAGTCATATTACTTCAAGTGAGCCTTCAATTTTGCCATGATAAGTTCCAGGGGTGCAGAGATTGATAGTGAGCATAACCCTTGAAGTATATAGGATGGAGAAAACTGGGCTGTGAGAAATTATGGCTCAATTATCAATATGTTTAACTGAATATTAATAAGTTTGTTATATTCAGCAACATTTTGAATGCTTATTGATATGCAATGAAATTACAATCTTTAAAATATTACAGTAAACAAAGTACTACATGTATTGCAAAACAATATATTTTAAATATGTCATCCATATTTTTATGTCTTAATTATAGTGAAGCTTACCTATTGTGGCTGTGTCATAAATTCTGAGGTCAAATGCATCATCAAAGCCAGCCCTGTAGGTATTTCTGTATCCAGAGTCCCACTGTACAATGGCACATCTTGGTGGACAGCTTCCATCCTCCTTGGTCCCAACATCAATAACTGTGCCAACATTTCCCTCCCCTCCATCTTGCTCTCCCCATTTCCAGTCCTTTCCTCTAACAACACGTATACCAGGGTCCATCATCTCTGTAACACAAAACATTACTTCTTCCTCTGATGTTCAGTTCAGTTCTATATGCTTAAAGCAAAAGATCACTGCAGTAACCAATCATAGCACAGACTTAGAACTAAAAGAGAGCATTCTAACATAAATTATATTCCGTAGGTTTCTGGCACCTGTCAAAGGACCAAAACAAGAAAACTGGAGATACTAAGTATGAAAGTCTTTCACAAAGTGGAGATTCTGGTTTTGCTCAATCATATCTGAAAGTAATAAGATTTCGTTTACAAAAATCTTATGACCAAAATTTTACGCTGGATATGCGAAATAAGCAAAATGAAACTGAAGTCTCTAGTCCGAAATTTGAGACTTGCAAATATTAATAAATATGAGCCTATCTACCTGGTTTCTGATTTCAGCAGTAAATATAATAACTATATTTCACATGGATGTGTACTGGGATATAGAACGCCCGATTCCTTTAGATTCTTTTGCTATATATGTAGCAACTAAAGAGGAAACGAAACTACGCTTTTCCAAATCCTGCTAAAATGACAATTCAAACAATTCTAAAAATACTTACTGGTGTGTTATTTACCAACTTATCAAATTTCCAAAATATTTCGGTATATTTTACGTTTAAGAACAGCTAATTACCTGTAATTTTCACTGTTTCACCTGCAGCAGTTTTATCAGTCCTGTGTGGGTTTTCAGGTTTTACCGTTTTCAGGAAATGATACTAAAAATAACTGCTTTTAGGATTGCCGTCCAGTTTGGAATACCTTTAGACTTTACAAAGGGACGATGATAAAGCTAGAAAACGTTCTAGAGGGAGCAGTCCGTGGTTACGTTCAACATGAGGTGCGACGAAGGGTTATTGTAAACATTTTTTTCCCTCTCAAAACCTGCATTGTTTTTAAAATATTTGAAGGAAGCTAACTTATGGTAATCAACAAAGGATATTTTTTCATTCATTTTAGTGAAAAATAATACAAATTATGTAAGCTATCCAGTACCTAGTGAAGATATAAGTTTCATTTCAATTTTCATCTTGTAAACGTCATGCAGTTTCGCTTCTCTGATTGAATAATAACTTTTTAGATGTCACTTTATGTTAAATTTATATGTGCTCATGAATATTCCACTGGAGTTATAATAAAAGTTATACGTTTATGGTATTTTGACCCCGGTCTTTTTCCCCATGCTTCACAATAACATGCCACACTGGATTTGATTCTTGGCAGGGGCAGTCGACAGGAATGTGTGTTTTCCCTGATCTTCATACATTCATGCATTGACATATACGTGTATCTACATGTAAACCTGTGATATATAGTTAAAAGGTTTTTTTTTCTTCTGTTTTTTAATAAAGGGGAGAAAATTAATGAAAAGTGGAAGACTTTAATCATTTAAGTCCATTATTTATTTATTTTTTGCTGCATTGAGTATTAATTACATTTACTGTAAAAAAAAAAACCAAAACAAGACCAAAAAAAAAAAAAAAAAAAATGTGTTATTTCCAGAGTTACTATTTGGGACTGAAATTGCTGAAAAAACTCTCTATCTTTAATTAAAAAGTTTTATCGACAAGTCTGGTTAACCCATCATTATTTGCGATTGGTCTTTCTTGCTTTAAGTTTTATTTTTTCCTTTCTTTTCTATACTTGTCCTCTGTTCTTGTTCTTAATTATATTGAACTGGAAAATGCCTTTTAGTTATTAAGAATTAGTGATAAAAATCTTCAATTGTCAAGAAACAAGATCATCACCTCTCTGCCATTTCTGTTTTCTGATCGGTTCAAAAATCAACAGGGTAAAAGTTACTAAAGGGAACATGTATATACAGGCCTTGAATTGAAGGCTTTTTACTGGCTATTTGCTAGTGGAAATCCAAGAATTGCAAGTAGGAAAAATAATGACTTGCTTTTTTCAGCAAGTGGATTCATCAGATGCAAACTGTGAGTGCCTGTCTATTCCTAACATTTCACAGAATTAAATTGTTTTGAGTTTTGATTTTCAAAGTGTAGATATTGGGACAAAGCAGTTCTTCTATAATGTTGATATATATTTGATGAAGCAAGGTAATACATTATAAATCACAAAACAAAACATTATTTGAACACGGAGATTTGCGATAATAGCAAGTAAAAAGTCATTTTAGCAAGTACAAATTTAAGGCACTTGCTGTTTTCAGCAAGTGACAAAAAATATTAAATTTGAGGCCTGATATATATAATTTCAGAAAGATACATCTAGTATTTCTCACACAGTATTGACAACTAACTTTCATTGTTCAAAACCAAGATGGCCACATGTCAGCCAATTTGTTTATCTGATCAGCCACCAAATCTAAGGGACACAACTAGGAACTAAGGGGAATATATATATATATATATGTAATTTGAGAAAGATCCACAAAATACTGATAACAAACTTTCATTGTCCAAATCCAAGATGGCCACTTGTCAGCTAATTCATTGAACTGATCAGCCTCAAACACCACAGGGCCCAACTAGGGATCAAGAGAAACTTGCATATGAAGTCTGAAAATGGCCCATCCATTACTTCTCAAGAAATAGCAACAACAAACAATTACTGTCAAAATCTTATATGGCCATCTGTCAGACATTTTGTCTGACACACAGCCATAATATATCATATATGTATGATAAAGATGCCATTTTACAAATAATATTAATTCTTCTATATAATATTAATTCTAGATAAGTGAGGTAATCTGTATTAAAGATATAAAAAGAAAATATTATTACCAGAGAGAATGCATTCACTTTCTATGGATATCGAACATACATAGCTGATTATGTGATCAATTAACTACTTGGAAAAGTATATTGGATGACGATCACTAATCGATTATGGATTTTAATCCATTTCACATCACTACCAACTGATATCAATAAGTCTTGTTGGTTTGGATAAAAGTGTGTAAACTTGGTCTCACTGTAGGGGGAAACCAAAGTACCTTGGGAAAACCCATATGACTCAATACCTGTTATCATGGAAATGAACCGTAAATGCCGAGGTGAAAGGTAAGTGCATTACCACTACACTACCTGATCACCCAAGTAAGGAACTATGTGCTCCATATATACCATATCTGCAACAGCCCCGAACTGATGATAAAATTTTGTGCAAAATCTGTTCCTTCCCTTATCAAGCATGGCATATATATACATCAATTAGATGCTTAAAGAACTATATACAATGTCAGGGCAACAGAAAAAATAACTTTTAATAGAAGGTCAAAGTTATAGTAAAAAATGAATTCTTTGTTTACATGGTATGTACTGACCCTCAAACTCTGTCTCGGTGAGCCACTGCAGGAAGTCAATGCCATCATCCTCGTCATCTTCATATGGACGCTCTATAAAATAATGCAGTAGAGTGACATTATTTAATACAGTGAATTTATCCATACCTAAAATACTATAAAATGATTAATTTACACAGTGGCTTTATTTCTGTTTTAATTGCTTCTCTGACCAAAATTAATAGACTTTTACAAATGACCAGTACCTTTTTCACTGTCCACTTCTTCCTGTTTATCAACCACAGTCACATAGGTTTTCTTTCCTTCATTTGACATATCTCTCTCTTGTTTATCCCTCATTTCTTCTGTCTGCGATCCTGTTTTCACTTTTGACTGGTCAGTAATTCTTCTGTCCGCTTTCGTTGTCTCTGTGTCTTTGGTTTTGGGAGGGAGCTGATCAGAATCAATGACCTTGATACAACAGGATGGATTAAGGAGGTGAATTCCTGAAGTAAAGGCCACTGTCAGATCTCCAGAGCTATCAACTCTCTCTACCTCACCAACCTTACCAAGAATCTGTCAAAATGGAATACATGTATATTTCATATCTCTTATTCTCCAGCATCATTCTTTTTTTCGTTAGCCCTTAACATCCCTGTAATCTTTCAAATGAAACATACCGTACCTGATTGAAAAGACAACTTCCTTGAAATTCCACACAAGAGTATGTAAAACACTTCTACATTCTTACTGTATATAGGTCAAGGTCAAACCAATATACTCTGATCTATATTCACACATTGAGAATGTCTAACATTGTTGTAAATACCAATAACACAAAGTCACTGTGGTCTTTACAGCCTTCCATGTACAAATTAACAAAGTTAATATCACATCAATACACTCCAATCTATTGTAGGTAAGACATATCTACAGTAATATATGATGTACACAGGGTCAAATTGGTCATATATACATCTTAACTATAACATACAAAAGATCTATGTCATATAAACAAATTTTCTTAAATTCAAATCAAAGTCATATCAAATTCTTACCTATCATATATGCAAGGTCAATTCCATATCAACATATTCTATAATGAACACAATGATAAGAGCATATGAAAATCTTATCTATTATGTACACAAGTTCAATGTTATATATGTATCAAAACTGTACTATTTAATATTCACAAGCTCTAGGTCACATCAACACTTTTTCATTAATAACATAGAAATACCATTATGAGAACATAACACTTAAAACTGAAATTCAATCCAACTAGAGCAAAATATGAACAAAAGAAAGATTTACACAGAGAATCCTGAAAAAGTACAATAAGACCAAGTGTTCCTGAAGAGTAAGCATCTTCTACTTCATTGACAAAATCCACCATGAAATCATAATCAATCCAAGTAAGTAATGTAAAACTTCTCCATAATTTTCATCAACATGCATCTCTTGAAGCTGTTTGTTAGAAATTATTTGTCAGGTGACAATGTCTTGCCTGAAAGTCATGAAATTGGTAACAGGCCCTTGAATATTGAATTGGCTGCCACATGTAAACACCATAGTTTGTGAAAGCAGGATTGTTGCTATCAGAAAATGGAAAGTTCAAAAGGGATATTGAAATCATCACCCTTAACATATTTGGTGGAGAGCTGTCCATGTTGATTTTGTTGTAAAAAAAGGACATAAGTAGCTGATGTTGAGGAGCCTGTTGTGTCTTTGATTTCCAATTGTGGTGAATATGTTCAATGGACGTGGTCAATAAATATCTTATTATTCAAAGACAAGACCTTATCAATATATCTAAAAGTGACTGAAGGACTTTGTAAGACCTTTGTGACCTGTTTTGATTAACTCTTTGATAAATTACATCTTACAAGAAAACAAAAACAAGTTGGCCAACAGAACAGCACAGTTAGTTACCATTGGTAGGCCAATAGTCTGTTGAAGGTATGCCAGTAGTCTGTTGAAAGATCTTACTATTAAACTCTACAAAAATGTTGTCATCCAGAAGTTTTTGAATTTGTGATTTCATTTTCAAAAGTTCAAAGTTATAGAAGCATCATCCTATTTATAATGTTCACAATTTCAAAGTCATGTCAATGCCAGCCTATCTATAATGTGAACAAGTTCAAGGTCATGTCATCCCCATCCTATCTATAATGTGAACAAGTTCAAGGTCATGTCAATGCCAGCCTATCTATAATGTGAACAAGTTCAAGGTCATGTCAATGCCAGTCTATCTATAATGTGAACAAGTTCAAGGTCATGTCAATGCCAGCCTATCTATAATGTGAACAAGTTCAAGGTCATGTCAATGCCAGCCTATCTATAATGTGAACAAGTTCAAGGTCATGTCATCCCCATCCTATCTATAATGTGAACAAGTTCAAGGTCATGTCATCCCCATCCTATCTATAATGTGAACAAGTTCAAGGTCATTTCAACACCATTCTATTCATAATGCACACAAGTTCAAGGTCACATCAACAACAGGTAAGCAGTGACTGCTAGAAAGTAGAAAGTAAGTATTCAACTAGAACTTGGGTAAGTGAGCTCTGCTGAAGTATGTGATAGTATACTTTACATACATCCTTCATATTTTCTCGCCAGCCACCATGTCTGTTCTGGCGTTCCTGTACTATGGCTTGGTTCTCCAGTACTTTCACCTGATCTCCTGCCTCTGGTATAGAAATCTACAAGTAAATATAAAGTTAATATCTTAAGTTCCTAATTGGTTTTTGATAAAGAGGTAAAGTGTAAAAATTCATCTGTCATAAATCAAATAGTTTAAGGAAAAATACTACTTTTATCCAGTGTCTCCTCTTTGATAGTTTTGTCACTAGATTGCATGCAAATATTGTAAAGGCGAGTCAGACATACATTATATGTCAATAGCTTCTGTTCTGGTTGACACAGATATTAATTATAACCTTGACACATGCCATGACTGTTACCTTGACACATGCCATGACTGTTACCTTGACACATGCATTGACTGTTACCTTGACACATGCATTGACTGTTACCTTGACACATGCATTGACTGTTACCTTGACACATGCATTGACTATTACCTTGACACATAAATTGACTATTACCTTGACACATGCATTGACTATTACCTTGACACATGCATTGACTATTACCTTGACACATAAATTGACTATTACCTTGACACATAAATTGACTATTACCTTGACACATGCATTGACTATTACCTTGACACATGCATTGACTGTTACCTTGACACATGCATTGACTATTACCTTGACACATGCATTGACTGTTACCTTGACACATGCATTGACTATTACCTTGACACATGCATTGACTATTACCTTGACACATGAATTGACTATTACCTTGACACATGCATTGACTGTTACCTTGACACATACATTGACTGTTACCTTGACACATTAACTGACTATTACCTTGACACATGCATTGACTGTTACCTTGACACATGCATTGACTGTTACCTTGACACATGCATTGACTATTACCTTGACACATGCATTGACTATTACCTTGACACATAAATTGACTATTACCTTGACACATGCATTGACTGTTACCTTGACACATGCATTGACTGTTACCTTGACACATTCACTGACTATTACCTTGACACATGCATTGACTGTTACCTTGACACATGCATTGACTGTTACCTTGACACATGCATTGACTATTACCTTGACACATGTCTATTATAATACAGATGATACACATTCACTTACCTTGACACAGGCATTGGTGCACACATACCATGTACGTTCTGACACTGTGTAATACACACTGAACTTGAGGACATCCACCTCATATACAGTACCCATCTCTCCCAATATCTGTAATACAAAATACCATAAAAATATGTCATTTGTGTGTGGGGGGGGGGGAAAGGAGGTAGAAGTGATATCACTGCTTATTAGTGGCATAGTGGTTATTAATGTCAACTTCTAGAATTTTTCAACAAAATTCACTTTTTCATGTTTTCTTGTTACAAATGGATAAAGTACCCAAAATGTCTGGTGTACCAATTGAACAATGCTCTGTCGATCAAGTTGAAGGGAAATCTCAACAGCAAATCAAGAGTAACAAATTGTTTGCTGATTTTATCATCCATTCAACAGCCAAGGGTCATTTTGAGGCTCCTTGTAGTGGTGGCTATCTCACCAGAGCAATTATACATCTTACAGTCAAATTTTCTTTTTTTTTCATAGAAAAGATTGAATTAAACTGTCTCATATTTATGTAATAATTCATTTTTGGTTCTACTTTTGATATCACTTAATGGCCAATTTTTTTTTTAAATTTTGTTCTTTTAATGGTGATGAGTTTTTATAATAATGAGATGATGAAACCAATCCATAAAAATTAACGGTGGTAGACCAAACATTTTGTTTCTAATTTGTTGAATGTTATAAGGAGAAAGAATATAATAGAAAATAGCACAATATCAAAATGACCTCAAGTGTCTTGTAGGTTTCAAGTCAAGGTCATATGAAGAGTCAAGGTCAGACATGTCAAATTTGATCTACTTTGATAATCTATGCAAACCATTATCATATATAAGTACTACAAAACAAACATGAAACAGTAATAAATGCTGAGATCTTCTTAATGTCAAAGACTGTGTCAGAAATTTCTTAAACAACATTGTTGGAATTGACACCAAGAGCAGCTTGATAAAAAGGTCAAGGTCAATGGTGAAGGTCACCTTACATTAAGCAGTCCATGATGAATACCTATATGACCACTTACCTTCTCCATTGAGTCGTTCCATCCTCCATAATCCTTCTGCAAGCTTTTAAATGTGTCAACATTTAGGTTGATCTGTACAGTGTCACCAACATTAATCCAGGAATCTGGGATCCTATTAAAATCTAGAAACAGTAATAACAGAATGATCACAAATCCTGGCTTATCAGAACAACTCGTTTGATATTCCTGTGATCTGAAATAAATGTATATATTATATTTACTCATTTACTTTGATATTGTACCTAGTTCTTGGAAAGACTTTGTTATACTTCCAACATTTTTCATTCCTTTTGTCTTGAAAGTGGATCAATGTGTTTGTTGGGTTTATTGCCTTAGCAATAACATGGTCATTTTGCAACAGCTTCTTCTAAAAATATACAACAGGCAAGTCGTATGCCATCCAAAACAATAAGGGTAAAGCAAATAGACAAGGTATGGTGGCTGGTATGTGCCATTTTGTTAAATATTTAAGGTCCCTAAACATTGACTTTGTATTTTCATTATTTCATGTTACATGGTTTTATTCTGTCACTGTGAAAAGACAAGAACTGTAATGAAATGGACAACAAAAAGTGAAAAGGAAATTACTTAATAGGTGTACCAACCTGCCAATGGGAGATGGTCACAATATATTGATATTGTAGGATGAGCCGACACAAGGTCAAATTTACATTTTGGGCCAGCTAAATGTGTAGTTGTCTCCCCTGACTTCCACTCCACCGTAATCTCTTGGTTCATTGTGTTATCAATCCTTGTAACCGTCGTTATTTCTCCTATTTCTGTGTGAATGATTATGAAAACTTTGTGAGAAACATTCAAATAATTTTGTTTATCAAATAGACTTCAGTGTTTAACATCAGACAAAAAATTAAACTTCTGAATGAATTTAGAGTTTATATTTACAAATACCACTGTTTCCATTGTTTGACTTTTCTTTTATACAAATCCACCAGAGGGAAGTGGAATTCATCAGACAGTCCATGCCATCACTCACACAACTACTGTGAGCTCATATCATCATAACCATGACAACTGCTTCATAATGGCATTTACAGCATTTTTTGTTACAAAACTTTGAAGGCAAACATACCATAATGCACAGACACACAATGCAGTGTCTGTATTAAAAAATTAAAGATATAATGACTACATTTTCCTAACTCAATACATAAATGAAAGACACGTCTTAATTCACCTGAATCAGCTCCTTTCCGTCTTGACTTTTTTACTTTAGCACCAGGCATCACACTATAAACTTTCAGTCTCCTGCTCCTTTTCCTAGGAGGTACTGGAAATCTGAAAAAAAAAGTAAACAGGCTTAGTTTTAAACAGTCAAAAGTACACCATCATCATATTCAGCAAATTACCGCCGTGATGAATTTGTGCACCCAAAAGGATTGCTATGTAAGCAACATACAGAAACTTTAATTACTGAAATTCATCTCTTAGTGCATTCCTTTCAGCCTGTTAAGTGCCAAAAAAGAATTATTACAAAAATATGTATGTTTATAGTGTGCTATGTAAGGTACAGTGTAGTCGATAGCCTTGGAACAAAAGCCAACTTGTCATAAAAACTTTGTGATGGAGGTATGGACAAATACGCAAAGCAATATGACACACCATGTGTAGGTGAGTGATGAAATCTACAGCAATAAGTTCTGATTGTCGGAACCAGGAGAGTAACTAGAGACAGTTGAAGTAAACAAATGAAAGCTGTCAGCTGCACCTGCTAACAGTGTTAATTAATTCAACAACAGCAAACACGCTCTATTGTTCTGTTTTTTCATTGGTCAATGTCATAACATTACAATATCTACTGAAGGAACTCTGAACATTTTTTACACAGTTCATCATTTTGTTATAACCTAAGCAGACCAGTATATTACTTCTTACCCACAGGGTATGGGCTTATTACAGGACCACGAATAAGCTTTGATTTAGGGTTTTACTGAACTGTAACATAATGTGTGAACTTATGATCAATCATGGGTTTTTTTATCATTTAAATACAGTAATTTGATTCTATATCAATTCATTCCAGGTTTTTTTCATGTCTATAAGAACGCATTACTTCTGATGAACGAAACAGAACTGAACATGGAATTTGGAAAGTTATTTTACACTTACACAGGGGCAAGTTTGTTGTCAAACCTCATAAAGTGGTGACTTGTGTCATGTTTTCCCTCCATGTAGCACAGATTACATATGTCAAAGTCGCTACACTCAACACACTTCCAACGAAATCCACTGATGATCTTGTTCTCTTTTACACAAGTGTCACAATTGGCTTTTTGAATATTGTTGTCGAAATCTGCAAAAATAAATTCTATCAATAATATTCTGCAATAAGCCCAGGGTTCTGTTTGAAGTCAGGAAATTGACTTATAACATGGTATCTATATAGTATCTATTATATATCAGAGGCCGTTCTTATTTCAATGCCTTTGCTAGGATTCGAACCCAGACCTGCAGCTTCCGGTCTGATGCTCAACCGATCAAGCTAAAGAGAAATTCTCTATCCAAGCAGAATATTGCGACTTTTTAACAGGATTAGAGTTGGTTTGTTGTTGGATGAATATTGTACATCTAACAAATCTATTTCCAACGAAAAAAATCCCTCATAATAATCTTAACCTCAAAAATCATATTTATATTGTAACAGAACCAGACACATTATGTGATGTATCTACCAGGAAGAACAATTGTATCAAATATTACTATTAACATTTTGTATGATATCCCTTATAAATAAACATATAACATAATTCAGTTACCTGAGGTTTCAGTGTCAATAACACGTATATCTATCCCATCATCACCAGCATGACAGTTCTCCATCAACATCCCATAATCCCACAGTACACTGCACACCTGAGATTCTGGGTCAGCCTCCACTACAGTACCGATGTGACCAATTCCACCATCCTGATTCCCATATGCCCAGTCCGGGCCCCGTATCACACGCGAACCTTTATAGGGGCGTATGATTGACATGGCTCATCGACTCTGAAGTGAAAAAAAAGTAACTGTACTGAGTAATCTTTGTTATACATTAATTGGCTCCTATCACAATCTTCTGTTTGTTTTACACTAATTGGCTCCTATCACAATATTCTGTTTGTTTTACACTAATTGGCTCCTATCACAATATTCTGTTTGTTATACACTAATTGGCTCCTATCACAATCTTCTGTTTGTTATACACTAATTGGCTCCTATCACAATCTTCTGTTTGTTATACACTAATTGGCTCCTATCACAATCTTCTGTTTGTTATACACTAATTGGCTCCTATCACAATCTTCTGTTTGTTATACACTAATTGGCTCCTATCACAATATTCTGTTTGTTATACACTAATTGGCTCCTATCACAATCTTCTGTTTGTTATACACTAATTGGCTCCTATCACAATATTCTGTTTGTTATACACTAATTGGCTCCTATCACAATATTCTGTTTGTTATACACTAATTGGCTCCTATCACAATCTTCTGTTTGTTATACACTAATTGGCTCCTATCACAATCTTCTGTTTGTTATACACTAATTGGCTCCTATCACAATATTCTGTTTGTTATACACTAATTGGCTCCTATCACAATCTTCTGTTTGTTATACACTAATTGGCTCCTATCACAATCTTCTGTTTGTTATACACTAATTGGCTCCTATCACAATCTCCTGTTTGTTATACACTAATTGGCTCCTATCACAATCTCCTGTTTGTTATACACTAATTGGCTCCTATCACAATCTTCTGTTTGTTATATATTAATTGGCTCCTATCACAATCTTCTGTTTGTTATACACTAATTGGCTCCTATCACAATATTCTGTTTGTTATACACTAATTGGCTCCTATCACAATCTTCTGTTTGTTATACACTAATTGGCTCCTATCACAATCTTCTGTTTGTTATACACTAATTGGCTCCTATCACAATCTCCTGTTTATATCAATCATTATAATACCAATAAAACATATTAATCAAAAACCATTATACAAATTCAACCAGTTCATTTATACTGACTGAAAGCCCAAAACTTCAGTTTCATTTCTATGTATCTAGAAACTGATCTGCTCAGACATTTTGTCTCTGTTGATTACTGATGTGTGAAGGAAGAATAAAAATCAAATCCAGTCTTATTCACATGTAAATATTGCCTCATGCATACAAGAAAGCTGATATTACAATCAGCTGACCACAGATGGAGGATCTTTGGTATTTATCAGGGTATAAGCCTATATGCCTGGTAATAAGCTGATCTATATGTATTACTGATTAGTGGAATTATGCATAATACAGAATTAAAAAAAACATTTCCTTACTTTGTAATAAGCCCACCCACATTGGATCAAACTTCTTCAAGCTTATTACAGGATAATTATGGCTGTGTTACTGGCTGATTTCAGAGTAACAACTTAACACTTGATCAAATGTTTCTTCTAGATTAAACAAATCTGTGTAAGAATTCATTCAGAGTACAGCCTTTAGTAGAGTGCTGGCACTTAAAATAGGGATACTGTAAAATAACTAATTTTCGTGGGGGATTTATTTTCATTGGTAATATCATTAACAAATTTATGCATGAAATGATAAACAGTAAAGTACAACATTATCTTAGCACAAGTAGATTTTGTAAGTGCTATTTAACCACAGAATTAAATATCAATAAAGATGTATTTTACCATAAAAACCATCAAATTTAAGCTCAACAAAAATGTATGACCTTACAGTAAGTTCTTTGATGGTAACTGGAAGTTGATTGCTAATTAATTATGCATATATTTATATGTAATAGGAGGGAGAAATGAAAAGTTTCCATGCCCCTGCTGGGACTTGAACTAACAACTTTTCACTCTCTACCTAAACACTCTACCAAAGTGTTAAAGGGAAATTTCATATTGCCAATACAAATAACCTGTAATCTAAACTTTCTACTTTTTACTTCTCCCTAATTCACAAAGTCTTAACAGCTAAAGACACTCGCAACCCATGTAAGTTCTAAGGCTCCTGAACTAATCCAGACCCTCATTTTCCTAATCTCTACACTTTGAGTGGTCAGTGGCACTAAATATGAAATAAGGACTGTCAAATATCTTGCCTCACTGTAGCTCGAACTAACAAGAGCAGTCTGATTTCCTAGCCTCAGCTAGAGGGAAAACCCTTCAGTCAAATGTTAGTGTGTCCAGCCAAAGACTGAAAGGTTGCTACAGTTCAAACTCCACTAGGGGCAGGATATTTTTCATTACTCCTTAAGCTTCCTTTTACAGATATTGTGATGTTGAATGCTGCACTTCTTGAGATTGACATGCTTCCTATGTGATATAGAACATTGATTTTAATCGCCTTCAGGATTGATTCAACTTAATTTTGTGAAGAAGGGATCTGAAGTAATGTTGAAATTAAGATTAAAAGTTAACACATGTACATTATTAGCCTCGGCTAGCTACCTATAGTGCGAATTTCCCTAAAGTCAAGCAGTAGAGTGTCCAGCTAGTGACCCCACTATGGAAAAGATGTCTTTAGTCTAAGCTTTCAATCCTTTAAAACAGTTATCTCATCCACCAAAGAATGCACTGTTATGTAATATATACGTTGCCTTCGTGGGAATCTGACGTTAAGGGTACAGACACAGAAGGAATCCATTAGACAAGAAGAGCTAAAGGGTCTAGTTTCATTTTCAAGATAATTAGCATTAACAAAATCACTTCAACTATGTCAATTACAGGAACATTCCAATTACTCGTTCAGATCTTGGTAAATACTTACAACTTAAAACCTTCGAGTTTCGTTCTTCAAAGGTTTCATTTTCGCATACAGTTTATGAAATATAAAAAGAAATAACACCGAACAAGCATTTCTATAAATAGCCACAGGGGAAACCCGACGTTATGTAGCATGGATTATTCCCCCTTTACACGGGGAGCGAATATACTTTTGAATTTTAGAGGCACAAAAGGGAGAAATGAAAAAGGAAAATGTATAAAACGTTATTTTAAAAACATAATGCCTGTGAGTTGTGATATAAAACGAGCTGAAGTTTAAATAATATTTGAACAATGTGCTTAAATTTCCCTCTTTGTAGTATATACATAAAAAATCAGTCTCTACCATACTAGGAATCGTTTTGTTTAAGATAGAGAACGTATATTTTCATGAAGTTGTGATATCATGTGACTGTCATGTGACTGTCATGTGACGAAAAAATGAAAATGGCGTCGTCGATAGACTTAGGGGTGTCAACATATTGATAGTTACCAATGTTTCAATCAGATATGGAACGAAAACCGCTGCTGAATGACAGCAATGACAGCGATTTTGAGAAGACTGTTAATTTCAAGAGAGATAGTGACGATGGCATTAACGCAATTTCTGTGACAATAGACAAAAAGGTAACAGACCCTTGGACAAATTCCACCTAATGTTTCTCGAGTGTTTCTTCAATATCAGGCCCTTTAACAAAAATCTTCAACCAATCACTATCCAAAAGAACGCTACCAACTGATTAAAAAAAAAGCTCAAGAAAGGTGTTAAAATTGCATTGGGAAACTACAGGCCATTTAGTTTAATGTCAGTGGTATCTTTAATTCGAGAGTCCATAGTGAAGGAACAATAACAAAAATGATGAGAATTGACAAATATTTCTCGAACAAGCAGTGAGGTTTCATATCTGAGAGATTGACATGTTTGAATCTATTAAAAATTATAGATAAATGGACAGAAGCTTGGGATAAAGGACAGGTTATAAACTGTATTCACATGGACTACCAGAAAGTTATGAATACAGTTCCACACATTAGACTCCTCTATAATTTAAAAGCATATACACGGTTTTTCTCCAATCAAATGATCTCCTGGATATCAACATTTCTGATAATCTGACAAAAAAACCCTCTGTAATTGATGTAGATTCAGCTTGGGCTAAAGTTACATCAGTCTCCCTAAGGCTCCTTGCTAGGGCTATTGATGTTATTATTTTTGTGAACGATCTCCCAGGAGCAGATCTGTATATATATTTGCAGATGACAACAAAATATTGGAAATTATCCAAAAAACAAACAGGATAATATCAATGTTTAGAAAGATCTTGACACAATGTGTAAGTGGAGCTACACATGGCTACTGAGGTGTATTCTGACAAGTAGAAAATACTATCATTCGATGAACACATCTGAGAAAAAATTGTACAAGCTAACTCTATATTCACACATCTCAGTAGGACATTTCAATTCATGGACATCAAGTTATTATTATCGCTAAATAAATGTGTAGTAAGATCATAGCTGGAGTATGCAAGTCTTGTATGGGCACCACACCTACAAAAACACATTGACAAGATAGAGGGAGTTCCCGGATCTGACCTACAGTGAGAGGTTGAAGAAACTAAAGCTACTAACAGTTGCATTTAGGAGAATTAGGGAAGATATGATAGAACTGCACACAGTAACAAGTCAGGTTTATGATAATGAATGTTTTAATGCCACCAAATTTTTCAGTGATACAGCTAATGGTCATAGTGGACACAATAAAAATAATTCCTTAACTGATCTATAAATATGCTCAGAAAAATATATTTTTCAATCAGAAGAGTTTGGAATGATCTGCCAGAAAATAAGCCAATTGCTTAAATCACAAACAACAAATACTAATATTGTTTTGTCAAGAAACAGTTTCAAGTTTAAGAAAGTATCCCTTTAATGGATTGTAATGTTCTTTAGCAGTGTAATAGTTTTTCCTTTTTAGGTTTTAATCCCAACAGCTGTCACAAGTGTTGTGTTATTTCTATAAATTTCAGCCAATGGCAGTTAAACATTTGGTATTTCTGATGCCACCCATTCAATATCAAAATAACAAAATATTTGGGTACATTATATTTACATTACAAATCACAAGTAAATTTATCCAAATGTTTCCACTACAACAGCTCACATACTATCCCAGGTATGTGGTGGGATTATGCCTCTCCATGGCAGTTTGTCTCTCATTTTCAGGAAGGTGAGAAATAGACTGGTTTCTGCTGCTGTGGCCGTGTCTGTGAGCAAGACAAGGGAGTCTAATTGCTCTGAATGACATATGATGGGCTTTACTATGTTTGGCTAACAAACTATTCTTTATAAGTAAAACTTTACATGGCTGTACAAATGTTATTATATCTAGGTGTGTCCATACTTACATATGCTAATTTTCTACACAGAGGACTGTCACCTCCCGTTTAGCCTTTGCCATAGCATCCTGTACATTAGGGTCATCCTTTGTGGTAGGTTACAGCACTGGTGTTGTGAATGAGCCTGCTGAGGTAAGTGTAATTATAATTGTCTAATTTTGCTGGGCTGTTGTTTAGAGGTTGTCCCAGATTAGGTTAGTGATTAAATTTTGCATTTTGATTCATTTTCATCAGTGACTAACAACTATATAGCTGAATTTGAATCACCCCTGAATAACTACACAGTAGTTTAGGTGTTTGTGGCTGCTAAAGACATAATTAGTGTACATTTCAGAATGAGAATTTGTGTGAAATATCACAACTTATCACATAATCAGCCTGTTATCCAGTAAATTTTCCTACATAATATTTTAGCAAATATGACACTTTTGTAATATGCCCTGGTACCTTTTTCATTGGCTGTGGCATTTGATTGTGATGTCATAACATGGACAATGACATGAGTCCTTGGAAACGGTAGAACGAAATTGCTGTCTTCATTTTATTTTGTCTTGTACATTTTTACTGTACACTCCACACTGGTCATTTGTCTGATGAAGGTGACCATATAGTCATCGAAACATCACACTCAAATCTTCTACTGGTTCTCTTAAAAGAACTTCTATTCTATTGACATCAACACTTGAAGAAAATGTTCTGAAATGTGATACAAGGTTCATTTCAATCATTTTACAGGTGATCCAGGACTTCTACAACAGTACATACTATGACAGAAATGGGGAGTACATGTCATCTTCTCTCCTCACACTCCTGTGGTCATTCACAGTGTCTATCTTTGCCATCGGGGGCATGATAGGAGGTCTCTCAGGAGGATACGTAGCTAACAGATTTGGGAGGTATTCTTTTATAAGGATTCATTTTTAAAATAAAATTAACACCTTTCATTGGATAGTTATGTCACATGGTCTGTAATTCAATAGTTGGCAGCATGATGTGATAGATTCTGATTTGTCACCAGTGTTAGACCAAGTTCATTGTCATTTGATCATAATTCACAGTATTTACTGGGTTTGTATGTTCATTTTCACCAAAAAAATAGTGAAGTAAAATTATGTTCATGGTCACAAGTGAAGTAGAAAGTGTAAATTTTTTTTTTCTTTTTTTACATGGAAATGAAAATTATCAGTTATGTGATCAGTTAGTTGTCAGTCTACAGAAATACAGAGGATTAATTGTTAGATTTATAGGGAATCTTGTTTCACCCTTCACTGACCATCTACATGTCAGTAGACCAATAGTTATGCTAGTTAAAATGTTTAAATTCAGGTCAGGTGTATAGTTTTATAATAAATCTATCTTACATACTTTCAAATAGATCTTACATTGAGTATTTACAAATGTGCAAAAAAAATGATTTCAATCTTCGCCTGTAGAGGTTTCAGTGTATTTCTTTGAAGTTTTGATCAAATTGTTTACTGTTTGATATATTTAGAGAAGTATTCCATTAGTGTTCAATCTTTTATCAATCCTCCGTTTTATGTTTCCAGAAAAGGAGGTCTCATAAGAAACAATATTCTCAACTTGGTAGGAAGTGCCTTGCTTATTTCTTCCAAATTTGCCAAATCATATGAAATGCTTATAGCTGGCAGGTTTGTGACGGGACTGTGTTCTGGTAAGTGATGTTTAACACCCCCACCCCCTCACAATCTTGATGATCAAATTTGAAATGTGCTCAGATAGTTTTAAGAATGATAAATATTTCTGATGTATTATATTTTGAAATAGATACAGTCTTCTATAGAAATCTGTATCAAAATAACATTTCCAAGTTTCCCACAGGTACTGATTATGATGGAAACATTTTGTGAAATAGGTTATTGATGAACTCTTCATAAAACTGTAGTTTCATTTGTGTATACTTCCGTGGAAATAATTCCCTATTTGATGATTTGCTGTTATGTAAATATGCAAAGTACATGTATTTTGGCTCTAGATAATGAAAAATAGAAAACTGAGTAATTTTAATAGCATCAACAAAAGGGCCACAACTCTGTAAAAGGAGAGAAGCATGGTTTTTGTAGCTTTAATGTTGTTTTGTTACAGGTATAGACACTGCCATAGTACCACTGTACTTGTCTGAGACTGCCCCTATCACCTTACGTGGACTGGCTGGGACATTCAACCAGCTGGCCATTTGCCTGGGTATCCTCGTTTCACAGTGTTTAGGACTTGGACAGCTTATGTCTACACCAGACTTATGGCCCTATCTACTGGGTGAGGAATTGTCATGACCACTTAATGATAAGTCACTCTATAAAACCATCTGGTTAACTCTAGCATTTTATAGAGTATGGACTTCAACTATTTTGTACAAAGCAAATATTTTGATTTCAAACAAAGGGGCAGAGGTAGCTCATTGGCTAGTGTTGACCTCTGTAACTTCTGGTGGAGATTATAGGTATGTGGTGTGATGCTCTGTAATCATGGTAATTTTTGTTTCTAAGGAAGTTGAGAAATGGACTAGTCTATGTGTTCATGGTTGTGTCAATGGGCAAGACACTTTATCCTCTTTGTTCAGGATGACATGTGACCGGCCTTCAGTATGTTGTTCAGTGAGGTATCCACCAACTAATACAAGTAGACTCCACCTCAGAATGACCCTGGCTGTTCACGGGGCATTAAACCCAGCAAACAAACTAACAAATTGAAAGAAAATCTCATGATGATGTTAAAGAACTGCTGATTAAAAATGCACCCATTTATGATGATGTGTAACATGGTTCCATTCAAACTTCCATGTTTTTCAGTAGCACATCTTGGAGGCTCTTAACGTGGTTGAACAGAACACTACTGTTAATGAATACCAATCTGACATCAGTTATTTCCATCCTGATTTTAATTTATTGTCAGATTGTGATTTGTTTCCAACAATACTGAAACAGAATGATGAAAAGACTGTGACAGTTTCTGATTTGAAAACGTATGTAACTGATTTTTGCTTTTGTTGGATTGGCTCATCTGACCTGTGATGTCATGTTGAAGTGTCCATTCAGCATCCATCTTGTAATAACTTTACCCTTTAAACAACTCCACAATAATCAAGAGGTCTTGAATCATGGTATTATGTGCGAAGTTTTCCATGATGAAGCTTGACAAATTTTGGATAAAGAAATGACCTTGATCTTTATTTTAAAGTCACAAAGGTCGAAGGTTCAAGGTCACTGGAGTTAAATTTGTTAAAACATTCAAACAACTTCTTCTGATTTTCTAAACCATTAAAGTCATGATATTTGGCTAACTCAAATTAAGGACATGGTCAAAAGCCAGCCTAGAATCATATTTGGCTGACTGTTTTTGGGGGTTTAAGTCCAACAAAGTTTGCAAAAAGGAAATGACCTTGATCCATATTCGGGTCAAAGGTTTGAAATTTGTTAAAACCTTTCAAGAGTTTCGCAGTAACTGTGACTTTGAATTTGTATAAAGCATTGAATACCAGTAGAGAAATGCGTGCCCAATGAGACTCTTGTTTGTAAGTTGTTTCATACATGTTTAAGCCTTAAATGTTTGTACAGCAGAGATACACACCCATCTTTAACACAGTTGTGTTGTTTCATATACTTACCAACCAGATCCTTATTTTTGACCTGTGCAAATAGCACTATTGAATATTTTGGCTTTTTTAAAAAATAAAAAATTTGTGTCAGCTTGCTGTTAACTAATCTGTGTCATGCTGACTGACAGACATCAGACTATTAATTCGTACATGTATCTTACTTTTATACGACAGGATTCACGTTTGTACCAATGGTGTTCCAGTTATTGACCTTACCATGTTGTGCAGAAAGTCCGAGTTATCTTATGATAAACAAAGACAGTGAGGAACAGGCAGAAGCAGGTAAAACACATTGTCAGCTACACAAAGATTCACTGGGAAGTTCACTGTTCGGTCTAGTGCCTTGATCACTACTTATGCACACCACAAAATTCTTTGGATACAGTAAAAGCAAAATATTTTGTTGAGCTTTTATTTTCTCTGATTTTTTGGGTATTTTTTTTATCTAAGAATTCATTTGCTCATAAATGACATACAATTAAAAATCATTTTAAAGTTTTAGCAATAGTGAGTTATGTAAAATTGAGTTCCAAAGAAATAATATTTCCTGGAAATCATGATTTTTCAGTTTTGAGTTTAGTTGGCTCCCAATCATTATACCCTTGTCCAAATTATCATGAAGTTCTATTGATCCCTGTGCAACATGCATATGGAAATGAAGATTGTCAAATGAAGGTCAGCATTCAGTATGCTAATCCAGGCACAGGTCACTTACTTCCCTCAGTTTTTATAGGACCTGACATCTGATGTTTATTAATAAAACAGTTGAGTTAAGACTCTAACAATTTGAACTAATTTACCCAAAGATGTATAATTTGCATTGGAATAGAAATGCCATATTGACAGCTTTGTTGTTACATGTTGAGTTTAACCATGATGTATTCAGTGATTACCAGATGCAGGTGAGCTGACCTTAATCGTCGCCTTCATGAGTTGTTGGCACTGCCTTTTCAGTGCTGAAATATTATCAAAGTCATCACTCAGGTCTCTGAAACAGACTGAAGTATATCATTTTTCTTCAAAGAGTCCTTCAGTTCTGTCAAGACAGTTGTCATCGGAGTGATGCTGTCACTCCATTGATTTGAACATTAATAAAAAAATAAGTTATGGGAAACTCATTTCTAATAGCCGGAAAACATTTTTGTGACGTGGCCAAGGAAATTCAAGATATCATCCCAATGCCAGGATCATATGACAAAAAATCTTTGGTTTGAGGTTAGAGATTTTGATCCTGACTTTAATGTCTTTCTCCTGTGTAAACCTCTGTAATTGTCAATCAATACACTGTTAATCATTGAAATGGAGTCAACAATGTGGAAGTTGGCCATATATCAAAAATAAAATTTAAGGTTAGATACTGATATTACTTGTCATCTAAGTCCTCTGAGTGCTCCAGTTTTTTGCTGATTGGCCAGCTACTGATAGATATGACCAAAAGAACATAAAAATTGATGCCTGAAAAATTCTGAATTCACATGACAATAATTAGCTTTGATCACATTGAATTCATGAAATATATTCTCTCAATGGAATATATTGAAAGTAAGACTTGAATGCATCATATAAAATGTCTAATATGATTTACCTCGATTACTCTTCATGGCATGTGATGGACCTCCCCTATAGTGTCCAGCATGGTAGTAGCCACTAGCTATTACAAAGAGACCTTGTTTCAAAGAAGACCTTGGTTGTTGATTGGATGATAAACCCAGTAAACAAATCATATTAGAAATTCCTGACATTATTATGATAATGCTATCTTCAATAAGTTGTCCTTTAACACAGAACAGCATAAGACAATAGCATTTCATATACATAGACTTTATTTAATTGAAATGATTCTAGTTTGATTAACATGATCCAAGTTTAATTGACATGATCCAAGTTTAATTGACATGGTCTTCGTTTAATTGACATGGTCTTCGTTTAATTGACATGGTCTTCGTTTAATTGACATGGTCCATGTTTAATTGACATGGTCTTCGTTTAATTGACATGGTCTTCGTTTAATTGACATGGTCTTCGTTTAATTGACATGGTCCATGTTTAATTGACATGGTCTTCGTTTAATTGACATGGTCCATGTTTAATTGACATGATCCCGAGTACATACATTAAAGCTCCTCTTTGATTATTGACATGGTCTTCGTTTAATTGACATGTTTAATTGACATTGACATCCTTCGTTTAATTGACATGGTACATACGTTTAATTGACATGGTCTTCGTTTAATTGACATGGTCTTCGTTTAATTGACATGGTCTTCGTTTAATTGACATGGTCCATGTTTAATTGACATTATCCTGAGTACATACATTAAAGCTCCTCTTTGATTATTGACATGGTCTTCGTTTAATTGACATGGTCTTCGTTTAATTGACATGGTCCATGTTTAATTGACATTATCCCGAGTACATACATTAAAGCTCCTCTTTGATTATTGACATTTCCATGTTTGGATAACTTAATGATTATGTTATTTTGCTTAGGTATGAATCTCCTTTTCCAAAAGAGCTCCACATTTGGGAAGTTGTTAGATTACAGGTATTTTCAGTGGCTGTACATCTGTATTATATTAATACTATATAACATAAAATTGCTTACACTGCAATTCCCGAGAAAAAAATTTTCCAAACGCATAATGATTGCCAAGATATGGTATATAAATTCTTTTTGTTGAGTGGAATGATTCTATCTTTGTTGTAAAATAAATTTTCAGCTTTGGTTTGGCTGAGAAAAGACACAGATATTTATGATGAAATTCAAGAGATGAAAATAGAAATGGAAAAATCCAAAAAGGCTGCAAAGGTAACAAATGTTGATTAGTCTGTTGTATTAAATATATATATATAATCTGACAAAATTAAAGCCTCACCTTCACATCTAAGAGACAAATGTTAATGTGTCTGTTGTATTAAATATATATATTCTGACAAAATTAAATTTATAGGTAAATCTACACCTCACCTTCTCATCATAGAGACACATGTTAATGATTGCTATAAATTAGATATAGACCTTTAATTACATTTATAGTTTCAATAATGTATTTTTAATTCTTAGAGTAATCTATCCACCATAGCTCCTCCAAGATCCATAGACTTTCCCATAATGCCTTGTAATTTTAAGAGTTACCTATTCATCAAAGCTCTTTACAGTGTAAAGACCCTGAGGATGCCTGATCTGTTATGGAGCTTTGTAGTGCCCTTGTCTCATAGATATTAGTGTCATTGTCCATAGCTTTCAGGGCCAATGTCCCATAGATATTTGTATCCAATTATTTTCTTCATATTTTATGTAGTGATGCCAACCAGCCAAGGTGTATTAACTCCAATGTAAACACACTTTGATACAGGTACAGAAAATAAAAAACAGCACTTAAATATTCTTTTGTAGCCTTATATTTTATCCTTGTATCAAGTTTTACTTCTCTCAAGTCACAACTGCCTTTTGTAAACATTTTGTAAAATCTTGTTGCAGTTTCACTTCACAGATTTGTTTAAGCGTGAAGAACTCCTCACCCCATTGATCATAAGCCTGGTGCTACAGCTGTCTCAACAGTTCAGTGGTATTAATGCTGTAAGTACTGAAATCTTCTCAGTATAGACAGGATGTTGAAGTTCAAAATCCAGTGCTGTACATACCTACAAACCTTTTTATAGCCTTATAAATAGGTCACTACCTGAACTAGAATTGTACCCATTAACCTCTGTATTACAGGTGATCTATTACTCTACCCTAATATTTGAAAGTGCAGGACTGTCAGAAACAAATGCTCAGTATGCCACACTAGGGACAGGTGCTGTGAATGTTTTAATGACGTTTGTCTCCGCTAATATCATGGACAGAGTAGGCAGACGAACGCTACACCTGGTGGGACTCGGAGGCATGCTGATTTTTAGTACTGTCTTGTCTTTAGCGTTAATATTTCAGGTGAGTACTGTCTTGTCTGTGGTGTTAATATTTCAGGTGAGCACTGTCTTGTCTTTAGCATTAATATTTCAGGTGAGTACTGTCTTGTCTTTAGCATTAATATTTCAGGTGAGTACTGTCTTGTCTTTAGCGTTAATATTTCAGGTGAGTTCTGTCTTGTCTGTGGTGTTAATATTTCAGCCGAGTACTGTCTTGTCTTTAGCGTTAATATTTCAGGAGAGTACTGTCTTGTCTGTGGTGTTAATATTTCAGGGGAGTACTGTCTTGTCTTTAGCGTTAATATTTTGGGTAAGTACTGTCTTGTCTGTGGCGTTAATATTTCAGGTGAGTACTGTCTTGTCTGTGGCGTTAATATTTCAGGTGAGTACTGTCTTGTCTGTGGCGTTAATATTTCAGGTAAGCACTGCCTTGTCATTTGTGCTGATATTCCAGTAAGCACTGTCTTGATTTTGGTACACGAGTAAATGTGAATATTTTTACACCATTGTTGTTAAATATACTCGTGTAAATGTGAATATTTTTACACCACTGTTGTTAAATATAGACATGTAATTGAGAATAATTTGTCAGAATTGCTAACATGTCCAATGAGTATGGTAGACCATCTAGACCTCTTGTGGAAATGTAATAGACACTGTATGTGTACTTTCTGTTATTTTTGCAGTATTCTAATATTAGCTCCTTTCATGCTGATGTCATTGCGCAAATTAAGTGCAGTGCTAAAATTTCTTTATTCTGTCATCAGGTTTATTAACTTCCACTTTCAATGTAAAACATAAATTAAAGACTGATGATTTCTGTAGGCATTATTTATTGTTTTCTATTTTATTTACCTCAAATGTAGATTTCCTGAATCTATGATATTTGTACTACAATACAGTATATACATAGTTAGGCCTAGTAACTCACTATACCTTTAAGGGTATGGTTATAACATGCTCCTGTTACTCTCAGGTGTAGATCACTGGTGTGTTTGAATCCTATTACTGATTCATCTGAATAAAACTTAATTTAAAGCTTTTAAATGATTTGAATAAACTTTCATATTGCTTTGAAAACATTGCATGAAACCCTAAATGAATTTGGAACTTGATTTGGCTGGTAAGTAGTTAGAATATTGTACAAATGTCGCTGTTTGCAAAGTGTCAAAAGTTATTCTGGTCTATGAACAGGTCAGTACAGATTTGTGTCCACTGAACATCTTACTGTAAGATGACTGGTAATAGGGATGATGATAGGGCTTAAAACCTACAGGGTATTGTTGCAATCTTTGCACAGCTTGAATTTAACATTGTGCCAATAAATTGACCCCTCCTCCCCTCAAACTTCTAAAATAAATGTGAGCTAAATTACATGTACATGTAGTATTGTGGTAGAATAGGTTTTGTTTTTGTGGGGTTTTTTGGCTACCATCCATGTCATTTGTTAATACTTTATATCTTAATTTGCCTTAATTTCTTGTGCTACAGGACGATGCATCATGGCTGTCTTACATCAGTATTGTTGCTGTCATGGCGTATATTGTCGCCTTCGCCACTGGGCCAGGGTCCATACCATGGTTTTATGTGGCTGAATTGTTTGCTCAGGGACCGCGGTCAGCTGCGGTCAGTTTGTCTGTACTGACCAATTGGCTTGCAAACTTTACTGTTGGTCTTACATACCCGGAACTTCAGGTGAGACACCTTCCTAAATATTTCAGTGCTGAAGTTTTGGTAATGGTTAGAATTTGTGGTTCTTTTAAATGAGATATATTATTATCAGCAAAGTTATCCCACCTACTGGTATATAGGAAAGTAAATGTGTCCTCCTGTTAAGATTCTTCTCTTTATACAATGTAGATATAACACAACTCCATGATTACACTCCTCTCTGCCTTAAGGATGTACTCCTTTGAGAAGTAAAAAAAATCCAGAATTAAACTTTTTAACTGATGATAATTTTTTGAAAGGTTTGATTTCAGAATGTAGATTAAAAGTAAAAGATAAATTTGTAGCCGCATTACTTTTTCTGGTACAGGCGTCGGAATATGTATAACAGGAAATAACATTCCCATATATCATTCTGATTGTTTTCTCTAAATAACAGACATTCTCTGTTATATTTTGCAGCAACCTTTTTTGGAATAAAATTTCGTCTTTTATTTACAAAGTAAGGATATGATACTTTTTATTAAGAAAAAAAAATGGGAAAAGTTTTCATTTGACTTAACGAGCTTTAAACTGCATTGAAACTGAAAAGAAAAATGTTCCAAAATGACATAAATCTTTTATTTAACCATCGCCTAGTATTAAAGTTATTTGAAGACTTTCTGTTTTGATTGGATAATTTTTCAGTTTACTTTTCATGATGAAAAACTAGTGGGTGTCTTTGCTTTATTTTTGCAATATTCACCCAATTAGCCAGATTTTCCAAGGTCAGGAAGCCAGCTGAAATTGTTATTTTTGGGTCCTACCATGTGATTGAAATTATTTGTGGTGATAGCGCATGCAAAATGCAGTTGAAATCTACCCAAGTTTTCCGGAGTTATACTCAGGAGAATTACCTTAGTAACCAGAAAACACTGAAATTGTTGATGCTATTAACAGGAATCACGCTCTCAACTACGCCATCAAAAAATGAATTCCACGAGCGAAATTTCATCAAATCATCACTTAAATTGGCTGTTTTTATCTTTCAAGTACAATTACAGATGACAAAATGTATAAAAAGACAAAACTCCAAGACACTATGTTGGAATTCATTTTATATTGAATTTCAGTAAAGGAGTACTTCCTTAATGTACATACCACCTGATCTCTTAATTAGTATCCAGAAACCTTAAAATTAGTACATGTGAACCTGTTTAAAATACATGAAGTACACACAAACTTGTCACTGAAGTATATCAGTCAATTTTTAAGTCATTGGTTATCAATTACCTGTAATAACAATAGTTTTACCTTTTTGCTGTAACATATGTATTTTTTTTTTTTTTCAGAAAGGAATCAAAAGCTATTCTTTTCTACCCTTTGTCGGAATGCTGGTCTTTTTCTGGCTGTTCACATTTTTCAAAGTTCCAGAGACCAAAGGAAAAACTATCGATGAAATAACATCTTCATTTAAATCTGACAACAAGATACAAATCCAAAGTCCAGAGAGTGATGGCTACCAGCGATTAAAAGAGGAGGAAAGTTAATGATCTTAATTACGATACAGACTTTTCAATACTCTCGGATATATTTTTGTATCGATATCTTTCATTGACGTGGATGAATATGTTAATACTCACAGGTGTTATAGTGTTTATAAGGATAGAATTTGATTAAATGTGAGACAACTTGAAATTAAATAAGAAAAATTTAAGCAAAAATACCACGATGCAAAAATAGTGTAAGCATGGTTACCATAACAATATGACATTAAACAAATCATGATATTAATTAAGTGTTTCATGATATTAAATGAAATGAGATACATTTTATTAAAAGAAATTTATTAGATAGCGATATTGTATATAATGTGCTAATTTCTTTAGTACTCATATGATATATATTTAATGCCTTGTGACATGAATGTAGATATACAATTTGATATTGGTAGTCGCACTTCATGACATACACAGCACCTTCATAACATGTGATATAAAATACTTAAGATAACCATCATCAAATGATGATGAATTTTAATGTATTTATAAAATAGTGTTTAGTTTCAGTAATGAAAGAAATATGATAAGGTAAAGCTTTTGCTTTCCTAAGATCTTCATAGCAAATGTATGTTGAGTTGTATTTTTGTTTTGTGATATATATGTTTGCTTATGTTATGGGTATTGTACTGTGTTTTTACCAAAGGTCAATTACTTGTTGAGTGTTTTTGTCTGGATCATATCATTGTTAATTGTTTTTATATCTTTCATCTCCTCGAGTTCAAATGATTGTAATATTGACACTTTCACCTTCCCAAGGTCAAATGATTATAGAAGTGACCCTGTCACTTACCCAAGGTCAAACAATTAAAATGCTGTCTCTTTCTTCTGTCAAGGTCAAATGATTGTAATATTGACACTTTCACCTTCCCAAGGTCAAATGATAAAAATACTTCTAATTTTAGATACCAGGAATCCTATAATGTTATGAACAAATAACTTTCGTTGATGTTAAAAAAGTTAGAAGATGACCAAAACAGACAATAACTTATTGTCTATCCCCTAAATAGCCCAAGTATTGCTAGATGATTTGATTTAAACATATTTCATTATCAAAAACAGATCAGAGACAAGTGCTAGCAACTTTTGAACTCTTCATAAGTAAATTACAAATATTTAATATACTGCATGTGACATATATTTATACTATAAACATGAAAAACGTAATTTGTAGACATACAACTATACATTTAAATCATTTTGTCAAAGGAGTAGAGGATGAGAAGATGGAAAGAACAGAAGAGAGAAAGATTAGGGTATATAGATTCTATTAACCATGTGTATGCTGTACAAGCAAAGACTTGAGGTCAGAACTTTGGTAATTAAGAAACTTTTTTTTGAGAATAGGAGATTATTTCAAACATTTCCATCTAATGACATATCAATGTTGAAAAATGTGAAGCTGTGTTTCAGTACATAATGAACCAGAATCACATGACATATTTTATACATGAAACTACATAATCCAGTGTTTTAAATTAGACTGTACAAAGATGGTTGTTTTTTTCCCAGCTGAATATTAACTTGATGTAGTTGCTAAAGAAATAACTGGTCCAGTGAGTTAATGAATGACCAGATACTTTAGTCCACAGCTGGTTTTAACTGAGATCTCCCTTGTTTACTGTACTGCCAGTACACTATACATCTAAAAAGTACATGTATTTTACATTTCTACCTCGCTTCTCAGTCTTTTCCATTTCGTTATTTCATTTATTTGTTTTTAAGATTACATATATTATATTTATATATGTGTTTTAAAACGTGATATAAATGGCATTAAATAATAATTTTTATCTGTTATACAATAATAACACAACAACCACAGTTATATAACAACCACAGTTGCATAACAACCACAATTACATAACAACCACAGTTACATAACAACCACAGCTACATAACAACCACAGTTACATAACAACCACAGCTACATAACAACCACAATTACATAACAACCACAGTTGCATAACAACCACAATTACATAACAACCACAGTTGCATAACAACCACAATTACATAACAACCACAATTACATAACAACCACAGTTACATAACAACCACAATTACATACCGCCACAGTTACATAACAACCACAATTACATATTGCCACAATTACATACCGCCACAGTTACATAACAACCACAGTTACATAACAATCACAATTACATAACAACCACAATTACATATTGCCACAATTACATACCGCCACAGTTACATAACAACCACAATTACATAACAACCACAATTACATACCGCCACAGTTACATAACAACTACAGTTACATAACAATCACAATTACATAACAACCACAATTACATATTGCCACAATTACATACCGCCACAGTTACATAACAACCACAATTACATAACAACCACAATTACATACCGCCACAGTTACATAACAACCACAATTACATAACAACCACAGTTACATAACAACCACAATTACATAACAACCACAATTACATAACAACCACAGTTACATAACAACCACAGTTACATAACAACCACAATTACATAACAACCACAGTTACATAACAATCACAATTACATAACAACCACAATTACATAACAATCACAGTTACATAACAACCACAATTACATACCATCACAATTACATAACAACCACAGTTACAAAACAATCACAGTTACATAACAACCACAATTACATACCGCCACAGTTACATAACAACCACAGTTACATAACAACCACAGTTACATAACAACCACAATTACATACCGCCACAGTTACATAACAACCACAATTACATAACAACCACAGTTACATAACAACCACAATTACATAACAACCACAATTACATAACAACCACAGTTACATAACAACCACAATTACATACCATCACAATTACATAACAACCACAGTTACATAACAACCACAGTTACATAACAATCACAATTACATAACAACCACAATTACATAACAATCACAGTTACATAACAACCACAGTTACATAACAACCACAATTACATAACAACCACAATTACATAACAATCACAGTTACATAACAACCACAATTACATACCGCCACAGTTACATAACAACCACAGTTACATAACAATCACAGTTACATAACAACCACAATTACATAACAACCACAATTACATACCATCACAATTACATAACAACCACAGTTACATAACAACCACAGTTACATAACAACCACAATTACATAACAATCACAGTTACATAACAACCACAGTTACATAACAACCATAGCCACATAAAAACCACAATTACATAACAACCACAGTTACATAACAACCACAGTTGCATAACAGCCACAATTACATAACAACCACAATTACATAACAACCACAGCTACATAACAACCACAGTTACATAACAACCACAATTACATAACAACCACAGTTACATAACAATCACAATTACATAACAAGCTATTGTCTTGTATTAATTGCTTTTGTTGGTTCGCATGGAATGCACAAGACATGACTCAATATTTTTTCACATCCATTTTGTGGAATATAAGGGGCATTATTGTCAGTTGTAATTGTGATAAACGAAATTGTATTCAATGGTTGTGAAATTATTGAGCATTTTATCATCTTAAGATATTATGTGTACTATATTTGGCCTGTAGAATTCTTGTTTGAATATTTTATGCTGAATACCTAATTCAGCAAAATGTTGAATATCTGAAGTTTTTGATATGCCTTGTTTTTTCAATTTTTAGAAATATAAGTATATAATGCAGTATATACAAATGTACCTTAAACTGTATGTGTAATACTTTTATTGCTGTGATGGTATGTAGCTACTGTGATAGCCTACTACTGAAGCCTACTGTTAATGGTGTTTAGTGAGGCAGCACCAGCTAATACAAGGAGACCCCACCTTAAAATGACCCTGGCTGTTTATGGGACAGTAAAACCAGGAAACAAACCGGCTCAGTTATATGAAAGATGTTTGGAGAAGAAGAACTGTTAATGTCGACTCCTACACCATTATCATATTAGTGCTTAGTGCTTTTGCTACTTAAGATACAGCAATACCATATTGCACTTATTGCAGCTGAAAGTTATCATTTCTGGAGTTATGGCCCTTTATATATGGAGAAAGAATATCCATTCCAGGTTGTGCTGTTATAACTCATATAACTTCTAATTTATGAAAGGGAAAATAATGCTGTCAATTTTCAGGCAAGTTTGATAACAAATTATATCCAGTCATCATATTTGGAGTTGTGTCCCCATGTGCATTTTTTTCACTCAATGTTTTGCTAAATTTTTTTAAAAATTTCTTCAATGATACAGATAATATATCTAAATGTGAGGAATGTTTTTACTATATCACTTTTTACTTATATCACTGTAAATCAATGGAGTTATGGCTCTTGGTTTCCAGTATTACAATACAAACAAATTAGATTCTGAATTATTGACAAAGCATTTTGGGTTTGTGTGAGGCTGAGAAGAAATTGTTACATCAGTGTGATATGTTAAAGTAGAGTACTATGATGTAGAGAGAGACACTGTCCCTTGCATTTACAGTGTAAAACAGACCTCCTAATTACTGCAATTTGTGTCCATCATTATCATTATCTTGTGTAAATCAATGTATTATTTATTGATCAAAATGCTATGATTCATTAATAAAACAATTTTTAATCAACACACGTTTTTCAAACATAAAGCCATGGACTTTAATGTTTACAGGTGATTTGATGTTTGTGCTTTAATTGAAGACTTGTCGAGAGTAAACTGTCAAAATGTCTGGAAGGTTACAGAGAAGACATCCTAAAAAGCTTGCAAAAAGAAATGACCTTGACCTATATTCAAGGTCACAGTTTCCAAATTGGTTAAAATCTTCAAATGACTTGGAAAGATTCTATGACATTTTATTATTAAGAAGAAGTTGTTTAAAGTTGACATGGACAGATAATGTATGTGCACCATGGCATCAGTTCATTTACCCCTTAGGCCTGATGAAGTCCTGTGATGGTTTTAACAAACTTAAACCATGTGACCTTAAATATAGATCAATTTAATTTCTTTTTGTAAACATTCTTGTGCTTCATCACAGAAGGTTGCAGCCAAATATCCTAAGTCTAGGCACGGACACGTCTATGTCTAAAGGTCCGTAATATAGCCCACAAGCGGCCATCTTGGATTTTAACTTCGAAAGTTTGTTATCACTATTTCTCGAGAACTACTCTATAGATCTTTCTCAAATTTCATGTATAGGTTCATTTAGGTCCCTTGTTGTGCCTGTTTGAGTTTGGAACTGACGAGAAAAACAAAATGGCCAAGAGGCAGCCATCTTTGTATTTTGCCTAGTAAAGATTGTTATTGCTCCTTCTTAAGAAGTACTGAATGGATCTCTCTCATATATCCAGAAGTACTGAATGGATATCTCTCAAATTTCATATGTTTATTCCCTTTGGTCTCTCCTTGTGCTCGTTTGATTTTGGGACTGTTCAGAAGAAACAAAATGGCTTCCAGACGCCCATTTTGGATTTGGCAGGTAAAAATTATCACTATTTCTGCAAAAGAACGTCCAAATGTCCTATCATTAAGAGCAAAAACTGAGAAGAGAAAAGAAGGGGAAAGATCCAACTTTCAAAGGGCATATAAAGATCAAACAATGGTGGGTGCCAAGATCCCTCTGGGATCTCATGTTTATCATTCAGATTGTTGATTTTCATTTATTCTATAGAAATAAAAACCCAAACAGCGAAAGCCATTTCCTTACATGAGATTCCTAATAGGTAATGGGATAGTCGGTACTGGCAGTTCTTTATATCACACTTATCGTTTTCACAAGTTTTAAATAACAGATTGCAATATCCATCACAGGTTTCTAAGGACTTCATGCTATTTTTAGAAACCTTATGCTTTTGAAAAACATCAAGATAACATACCACACCGAACCAACTGTTACCTCTAATGGAAAATAGCGGGACCCCAAATCCGAATCGTAATTACATGCAATCATATGTTGACTCCATAATGCACTTTGTAAAATAGATAACAAAAACATGTTAGTTTGTAGATAGGATTCATATGATGGTCTCCCTTTTTCACAGTCTATATATAAGTAACAAGGGAGGCAAAAGTTGTGGTTAGCGACTGTTTCCACGTGCTTACCCAACCGTGTATACTGAGATACATGTACAGCCCTGATGGGAAACAATCTGCATTTCATACATATATTCGCCAGTCTAAAAAAAATCCTGTAGGACAGAATCGTTTAAAACTTCAAGTATAAGAAAAGCACTGGGCAAATCAAGAACTGGTATATAATTACAGAGACGTGTTATATATGTCTTTGATAATTATAAAGCAGAAATTCTGTAGTTCCTGGATCTGACGTCTCAAATGACAATAATTATAAACATTATCATTGTATCACTGAGACCGGTATAGAGGAACGTAACGATCCTGCACTGGTAATAAACTAAACTGAACTATAATATATATATTTTATGTCTAAAACTGGCCCAAAACAGCTGTCTCTTTCTTGCATACATTAAGATATATATCTCATGTAGGGTTCCTATAGCGTAAGTATTGTTAGGGTGACACAGTATTAAAAAAAGTCTTGGTTTGGAATTGGAAATAAAAAAAAATGATAAAAGTTCAGTCCCTTTTGAGCAGCGAGTCTGTTTGGCGCATTGTATTTATAGACCTCTAATACGAGGCATGTGACAAGCACGTGACCGTTGGACAAAATGGTAGACTTGGTAAACAATCACAAACTCTAGAAGCGATGTTACGGAGAACCAACAGTTTTGAAAGCGATGGCAGAGAAAATGAACATGCTTCACTTCTCTATGGGAAGAATGGAGATATCATAGACTCGATTTCTGTGACGACAGAGAAAAAGGTACTTCACCGACATTTTTAACGTACAGCTTTGCAACTCGGTAATAGTAATATGTAGTACAAGCTTTCTGTCATTATCACCCATCGTAACTTTTTGTAAATAACAGACTTTCCATAGTATTAATTATTGCCAGAGGAATTATATGCTACAGTAGTGAACGCTACTCCATGGGAAATTTAACAGTACATATATGTATCTATTGAAATACGATACCGTATAGAGGGTTCAGGCGTGGTCTTGGTTAGATTACTGAAGGAATCAGTAATTGTCACGAATGCACAGAGAACAATATTTAGTAGGTGGGTTGTTATCAGAAAATACAGTGCTGGACTGTATAAGCCGAACTCAGGTAAATTGAATTATGGGGATTAATTAGGGGGTGTAAAACCAGTTTCACCTGGGTTGTAGATTAAACTTGATGCTCTACTGACAGAATAATTCACAACTTTGTACATGTATATGAAATATGAATGACAGAAGTAATTCACTTCAATGTTTGGTTGCTTTCACATCAGTACTCTTGACCATTCATATAAGCTACTGATATCATTAGTTGTAATTGTCCGCTGAAAGGCCGATGGGACCTTACTCATAACTAAAGCGGAGAATCAAGTATGCATTTTGATGTTTAACAACTGAAAAAACACAGTTTGTGAATCTTTTGTGGTTGGTACAGGTAAAGTTTTGCAACAGTATTGAATCATAATGGTTTATCAATCTTCAAACCAAAATGTTTTCTCTTTTGTGAAGGGTGTGACATCCCGTTTGGCCTTTACAATTTTATCATCTATCTTGGGTTCCTCTTTCATCGTTGGATTCAATTCCGGTGTCATAAATGAGCCGTCAGAGGTAAGAAATTAATGAGTACTTTGTCACTTACCATATTTTATCACAAATTGATCCCCTCCCATGAATAACACCCACCTCACCTTTGTAAATCTTCCCGAAATTGGAGGAGGCATGTTTGATGTGATATACATCATACATTATAAGATATACTTTTGTGTTCTCTTTGTATGTCTTACCTATGTTTATCCTGTAAACACCACAGGGTTTATCATTTTACAGGTGATCCAGGACTTCTACAACAGTACATACTATGACAGAAATGGGGAGTACATGTCATCTTCTCTCCTCACACTCCTGTGGTCATTCACAGTGTCCATCTTTGCGATCGGGGGCATGATAGGGGGTCTCTCAGGAGGATACCTCGCTAACAGATTTGGGAGGTATTTTTACTTTTAATCATGCTAAGCAAGAAATGATTTTAGTGACTTTTTTATTTCTAAAACTGAGGGAAGTAAATTATGAAAAAAACATTTTTATACACTGAAAATGAATAAATATGCACAGAGTTCTTGGCATGGTATATTGTGAAAGGGTCATTATCTGATTCCAAGCATCATTGAATTGATTTAAATATACAAGTTCATATCAAAGTGTATGAAATTAGTTTTGAGTTGTATTAGGTATAATTATTTCTAAACTTAAATGTACCTGGTTAATCTAAATGTTTTATCTCCAGGAAAGGTGGTCTTTTGAGAAACAATTTACTGAACTTTATCGCAAGTGGCTTTCTCATTTCCTCCAAGTTTGCCAAGTCGTATGAAATGCTCATAGCTGGAAGGTTTGTAGCTGGACTGTGTTGTGGTAAGTGGAATATATTTTACCTTGTTCACATAGAAAGCTTTTCTTAATAGGACGTTGTGTCACTAGAAGTCATATTTATTCACCTAAAAGCACGTGTTCACTGGTTACTGATTACCCTGTAATGCTCGAACATTCCACTTTTGGATCCATTAGTTGGTCTGTAACTGGGACACAATAATGTACACTATTTTTTTTATTGCTGTACATGAAGAGACAAATATAACCAGGCAATCAATTGTTTTGATGTTTTGATTTAATTTTGAAGTTTTTTTCTCCTGGATAACAACTTGGTTGACATCATTGTCATATAACAATGTTGGGCTCAAACTGATGATTTAATAAAGGGGGAAAAGGAGAATGCAGCTCTGTTGGCACTTGATAAAATTGATGATTATTACTCTTGAAATCAATGAATACTGAATTATCATATCCGTTTTAAATGTTTATCATTATAAATTTATAGAATAAGGGCAAGGATACCCCATCTTAAAAATCAATTTATTTTTGTTAATGTTCGTTCACATAGTTGATATGAATTGCTAAACCTACAGGTGTGAATACAGTCATTGTGCCCTTGTACCTGTCAGAGACAGCACCAACTTCCATACGAGGATTATGTGGAACATTTAATCAGCTAGCAATCTGTTCTGGAACCCTTGTGTCTGAGATTTTAGGCCTCGGACATGTACTTGCTAGGGCTGACACTTGGAATTATTTGCTAGGTAAGAGTTTCTTTGTTATATAAACACCTACATTCAACATGGCTGAAACATAATTGATTTCTACGGTAAGTCCAGGCAGTCATGTGTTTGGAAATGTGTGCCCAAATCACATAAGCTAACCAAAATTGATGCATTAAAAAATAATCACAAGAACTATTTTAGGTGTTAAAAGGATTTTTGAATGGTTCAGATTTCTAAAATTTTACTGTACTATGGTATCTATTATTCCTGTTTTTTTTTTCAATCTTCATGGATGTTGTGAAATAGAGTTATCTCTCTTGATTATATCTTCATGGATTTGTTTTTCACAATGCATATCATCCTAGAAAATAGCAAAAATATATTGGACTCCTTGAAAATATCAAACAAACATAAGGAATAATATCGCAAATGTTTATTTGGTAATGGTTATATAAGAGGAACACAAGAAATTAAGTGATAAAGCCCAGTGTAGTATGATAAAGTGAAGTTCATGGTAAAGTGAACTGTGGTTCAGTTCACCATTATGGTATTTTGACCCCCCCGGTTCATTTCCCCATGCTTCACGATACCATGCTACACCGGTAATGTCTATATAAGGATATGTTGTGTTGTAGGATGTACACTTGTACCAATGGTGTTCCAGTTACTGACACTTACCTGGTGTCCAGAAAGTCCAAGATATCTGATGATAAACAAGAACAATGAGGACATGGCAGAAAAAGGTAAATTTTCATGATAAATCTGTAGATTTAACTCCAGGATAATATCCAGGGAGATTTTGGAGACAAAGATTTCCTTGGTAGTAAGAAAGTTGGGGGAGTTGGAAAAGTACCTGGTATCCAATGGGATTCAGGGAAAGGGTATGATAGGGTTGTGGGATGATAAAGGTTAATTTTTTGAGAAAGGGAAAGAACGCTTGAAGAAAATTAAATTATTAGCAAGAAGATGTCGTGTCTGGGGCAAAAATAAGCATGTAATGAGGAAAAAATGCGAAGAAAAGAAAGATTTGTCTATATTTAGATTTGATTTAATTTGAATATTTCCAACTCTTTAAGCTTTGATATGGCTGAGAAAAGACATAGATGTCAGTGATGAAATAGAGGAAATGAGAACAGAGATGGAGAAAGCAAAAAATGCAGCACAGGTAAATGTTGTCTGATCATATTTTTGTTTAACAAAAATAATCTTGATAATGATTTATCAGAAAAGAGATCATTTTAAAATCCATCATGATTTGATTTTAATTTCTTTTGTATTAGTTTCACTTCACAGATTTGTTTAAGCGACGAGAACTCCTCACACCATTGATCATAAGCCTGGTGCTACAGTTGTCTCAGCAGTTCAGTGGTATTAACGCTGTAAGTACTGAAATCTCCTCAGAATTAATGCTTCTGTATTAAAAACCTCATAAACAGAACATCCATAGATAAATTAGGTTAGTAGCTGTATACACTGTGCTAGACACTATTTTTGTCTGGGCTAGATGTAATTATTTCATATTACATATATATAATATTACAGTAAGATAACATGGTTTGGTGCTTTAGTGTTGTGTCCATGTAATGGGTCACAGATATGGGCATGTCAGTTGAATAGTCTACATAGCTTTTGTGATGGTGTGATTGAGGGCATGACTGAAATTACACAAATGATAGGATTCTTTTCAATACTGTTGTATATCCATCTTTGACTCCTTCATGATCCAATTGACAAACGAAGAAAACAAGATCATTGGTTCTCTACTACTCCATTAGGAGGTTTTTATTCACTGAAGTTAAGCAAGCTAGCGTGCGGTCAGTACCTGGATGTGTGGTCACTCTATTGCTTACCCAGTGCGTGTCACATGTAGTTAGATATCATAGCTTTGTACAGAGATGATTGCTATGATCATACACCAGATTTAATCCTGTTGTGAACCATATTGGATGTTATAGATGTTTACCAAGTTGAGTGTTAATGGTTTTTAACCTAAGAGTTGTTTTTAAATCACTTTTTTTTAATACTGAACTGGGTGATACAATTTTGTTCTTTCAGGTTGTGTTTTATTCCACCCTGATATTTGAGGGGGCGGGGCTGAGCCAGCTGAATGCTCAGTATGCAACACTTGGCACTGGAGCTGTGAATGTTGCCATGACTTTTGTATCGGCTAACATCATGGATAAGTTAGGACGGCGAACCCTACATTTACTGGGCCTCGGGGGTATGCTGGTATTCAGCATTGTCCTGTCTGTAGCTCTCATCTTCAGAGTAAGTTCTCTCTGCCTTTTATTCACAAATTAATTTGTGCCATTTCCATTTTTCTTTTTGTCACTTCTCTGGTAGTTGGAAATTTTATGGTAGTCAGATTTCGTCCTCTCAGGCACTACAATATAACTTTGTGGAGACTAAACAACAGCTGGTAGATAGGTCCATCATATATTTGGTTTGTCTGAAGCTATTTTAAAAATGTATGGAGAAATTGTCAAAATTTATCCTAAGGAATGATGCGAGGTGGTAAAACTCAAATGACTTTTGATGATCCTGCTACTGTAATCCCTGGTTAATTCTACCACTATGAGCACCTGACCAGTTAGGTATTATCTGATCACCATAGATAGTGACAATGTTTCATGTGTTAACCCTGGATTTTTAATAGATTCATTACTTTGTATACATTATGTTATTACAAATATTTTGATTTAAAAAAAATTGAATATGAAATATCTAAAAAAAAAATGGTAAATACAGGTACATTGCATTGATATGATGTTATATGTATGGTTTTATGTGACATATAAATTTAAAATGAATAAGAACTATTAAAACAGATACAATTACATCAATTGTGGCAGCAGTTAGTCATTATTCCTATAGAAGTCACCTGTATCAAACTACATGTTTTTCATAATTTGATGTTGCAGGATGAAGCATCATGGCTTTCCTACGTCAGTATTGTTGCTGTCATGGCCTATATTGTCTCATTCGCCTCTGGACCAGGGTCCATACCTTGGTTTTATGTGGCTGAATTGTTCGCTCAGGGACCGCGATCAGCTGCAGTCAGTTTGTCAGTACTGACCAATTGGCTTGCAAATTTTACAGTTGGTCTTTCCTATCCAGAAATTCATGTAAGTATAAAAACAACAACCCCATTACTACACACTGAAGACCATGACCTTATCAGTCCCCCTAATATTCAAGATGTACACTCTTGTAATCGATGTTTCCTTTAATCAATTTGCCCTCCAGAATTATAAGGTCAAATAATGGTAGTATACCACCTGTTGTATGTGACTTGCTGTGGTCAAATTTGTCAAAATGAATTCCTTTACCAAAATTTCAAGATGACATATTTCAGGTTTCTGAGAAGAAATGAAACAAGTTCTTCTATAACAGGTGTAGATATGTTTTTCTTTGTGAGGTTGTTTTAAGTTTTCTGTGATGAAAGATCTGTACTCAACATCACAGAGGTCACATGACACTCTTGAAGATAACTTCATTGACCAAATAGCAAAGTCTTCAGTCCTTCAAGGTCAATTGTGGTAAAATTGTTCTGATTTCTACAGGTAATTAAAAAGAGATCAGGTTTGAAACACGTTTTTGTCATTATAAAAAAACATACAGTGCTTGTGGGTACTTTCCCTCAATTTGTTTAAATCTAAAACATAATTTCAAACATAAAAAAAAATTTGACACTACATAATTTAACTTAGCATGTAATTATGTTTCCTTTGATAGTCTTTTTGTTGTATTTGGGCTTCATTTGGACTTCCCAGCCATTGAACTAATGTTAACAAAGTTCAGTATAATTTATAATTGCTGCTGTGCATTATTTAAGCATTGCATGATTAACCTTGGTCTGAATTGCATGAAGCCAAATATTTATTTCTCTGCCATTTTATTATTTATTGAGGATAAAGGGGCTTGTTACACTACATATATTGGACATCAGTCTTAACTATATATATGGGGCATGTTACACTATATATATTGTAGGTGGGGGAGGAGGGGAGGGGCATGTTACACTATATATATATATTGGAGGTAGGGGGAGGAGGGGAGGGGCATGTTACACTATATATATTGTAGGTGGGGCAGGAGGGACCTTACCACACACATGTTACACTATATATATATATTCAACCATAGGGGGAGGACCACACACTGTTACACTATATATACTTGTAGTGTGAGGAGGGGAGGGACATCCTACCAGTATATATATATGTTACACTATATACTTGGAGTGTGACTTGTTACATTCTATATATATTCCTACCACACACTAGTGTTACACTATATATATTGGAGGTGTGGGGACCATCTCCACCTCCTACCACACACTATGTTACACTATATACTTTAGTGTGACTTCAGAACATCTCTACCTCCTACCACACAATAGGTTACACTATATACTTTAGTGTGACTTCAGACAATACCACACATATATACTTTAGTGTGACTGTGACCATCTCCACCTCCGGAGAGGGGGTTACACATGTTACAGTATATATATTGGAGGAGAGGTTACACTATATACTTTAGTGTGTTCACACCATATATCCTACCACACACTAGGGGACATATATACTATATATATTGGAGGTCAGAGGAGGGGATCTCCACCTGTACCACACACTATATATATTATACTTTAGTGTGACTTCAGACCATTTCCACCTCCTACCGCACACTAGGTTACACTGTGTACTTTAGTGTGACTTCAGACAATATCCACTTGTACCAAACACTAGTTTACACTATATACTTTACTGTGACTTCAGATCATCTCCACCTCCTACCACACACTAGGTTACACTGTATACTTTAGTGTGACTTCAGACCATCTCCACCTCCTACCACACACTAGGTTACACTATATACTTTACTGTGACTTCAGATCATCTCCACCTCCTACCACACACTAGGTTACACTGTGTACATTAGTGTGACTTCAGCCAATTTCCACTTGTACCAAACACTAGGTTACACTATATACTTTAGTGTGACTTCTTAGACTATATACCTCCTACCAGACACTAGGTTACACTATATATTGTGTGAGGAGACCATCTCCACTGTGTTACCACACATATATTACACTATATACTGAGGGGGGGTGTGTTACATTATATATATTGGACCACACACTATGTTACAGTATATATTTGGTGTGACTTCAGACCAGGGGGGACCTCCTACCACACACTGTTACACTATATATATTAGTGTGAGGGGGGAAGCATGTTACACTATATATATTGGAGGTTACACTATATACTTTATCTGGACTTACACTATATATATTCCAGGAGAGGGGTTACACAGGGGGGTGTGTTACACTATATATATTGGAGGAGAGAGAGGGTGACTTGTTACATCTATATATATACCACACAGGGAGGTTACACTATGTATATTGGAGGTGACTTCAGACCATCTCCACCTCCTACCACACACTAGGTTACACTGTTACACTATATATATTCCTCAGGAGAGGGAATTCTCAGTGTTACACTATATATATTGGAGGAGAGGGGGGGGAGGGGGGCATGTCCACTCCTATATACATTGGAGGTTACACTATATACTCGTTTAGTGTGATATATATTCCACCTCCTACCACACACATGTTACACTATATATATTGGAGGAGAGGGGGGAGGGGGGCATGTTACACTATATATATTGGAGGAGAGGGGGGGAGGGGGAGGGGGGGCGTGTTACACTATATATATTGGAGGAGAGGGGGGAGGGGGGGGGCGTGTTACACTATATATATTGGAGGAGAGGGGGGAGGGGGGGGTAGTGTTACACTATATATATTGGACATTTTATTAACTATATATATTAGGAGACACATGTTACACTATATATATTGGAGGTTGAGGAGGGGAGGGGCATGTTACACTATATATATTGTAGGTGGGGGAGGGGGGGCATGTTACACTATATATATTGGAGGTGGGGGAGGAGGGGGGGGGCGTGTTACACTATATATATAGGGGGAGGAGGGGAGGGGCGTGTTACACTATATATATTGTAGGTGGGGGTGGAGGGGAGGGGCATGTTACACTATATATATTGGAGGAGGGAGAGGAGGGGAGGTGCGTGTTGCACGATATGTATATTGGAGGAGGGAGAGGAGGGGAGGGGCGTGTTACACTATATATATTACAGATGGGGGAGGGGGGACAAACAAAGGAGCAGTATGACAGTGGTAAGTGTTCTCATATGGTAAAATCCTGTTGCTGGCAAAAGTTGACTGTTGTTCATCAACTCTGAATAAGCTAATTTGTTCAGGAGATGACGAGAATGATACTACAACAAGCTAATGTTTAGTTAATACTATTTTCTTTTAGAATCACCGGTTTCAAATCTTCGTGAGAACGCTGATAGTGTGTAACCCATGACCATTCCATCCCCAACTTGTATTGTGTTCAGTTGCCTTAACTTTACACAGAAGTCAATTAAAACATTATCAAAGATGATTTTATTTTTCATGGTGCCAAGGTCAAGGCCGTAGTTAATATTGATGGAAAATCATCTTTCCACTTCATTGACATCAGTCTTAACGTCTTTGAATTTCTGAAAGGAATAAGATCAAATTTTAATGATAATGTCCTCTAATGGGTTTATGTTTCAAAGGTCAAGGTCACACTTACCATAATATGGAATACTATCAATATGTATGGGAGCAAAGGCATTAAGAAAGTCTTACAAACGTTTTTCTCAAATAAGTCAGAATCATTCCTACTTGTTATTTAGATGTACATACTGACATGTAGTATATACAATGTGTTGCTCCAGTACTTTGATCAGAGAAAGACTGATACATTCTTTTTTTCCCCTCTAACTTTTGCAGGCTGCCATAGAGGAATACTCCTTCTTTCCCTTTATCGGAATGCTGGTCTTTTTCTGGTTATTTACCTTCTTTAAAGTTCCTGAGACCAAAGGAAAGACTATCGACGAAATAACATCGTCATTTAAATCAGACCATCAGAATCAAATACAGAGTCCTGATTCTCACCATTATACACCAATACAAGGGGAGAATTATTCCTGATTACTGTACAACGCTCACTGCGAGTGTTTTTATCTTGTGTGCTGTGAATTGAAACAATCTGTGATCAGTCTTATTTTGTTTGTATGCATATAGAAATACTGCAGTTGTTGTTTTATTAGCATATTTGCTCTGGTCTTGTCATCCTTAAACAATGGTGTATTTTAAGGTTATTATGATGATAATCAAAAGTTTGTGTGAAAAAAAAAAATACTCAAAATGTGATCATTCTGATGTGTGCAATATCGTAATAGTTACGTTCTTTCAATATCATTATAGGATAAAGGTAAAAGTATGTATGATACTGGTGTTTACACAAATATTGTGTGAGGAACATACTGTGTTGATGACGTGTGACTACAGTATATAACTGACAGGTATGATACAGGTGCTTTGTGATCAATATTACACGTGGTTTCTTGAAGTATTTTTGTTGATATGAATAACATTCCTTTCTCTATAGAAAACTGTCCTGCTATAATTCAGTTATATATTTTAATCTGGTATACAATAGATATCCGTTATTTCATAGTTGATGATATACCTTATATACAAGCTGGTGCTTGTTATCAGCTCACTTTCTTCAGTAAGTGATAGTTCAAATAGTATTTCATCTGTTGCCCATTTTGCTGTTCTTCATTCAGTTCTTTTTTCTGTATTCCTCACAAGGTAATTCTCACTGTTCAGAGTGGTTAGAGGATCCCTTAAGGATTCACTGCCCTTCATTTTGTTATCAACTCTCTGTTTAGCAGTTTATAAGAACAAGATGGCTGCAAGATGACCGTTATGGGTTTTGATAAAGAAAAGGACATCAGAAAAGTGAAGCCTTTGTCCTTCTTTTTTCACTTTACTTTTCTAGTAAGTAGACAGGCTTACATTTAATAGTGGGTGTCGTCTCTGGGATATCTTAGTAATGTATATTGATAGGAAATTTGTCACAAGTTTGTTCTATATAAAATACTCAGTCACATTTTATCAATTTGATATTACATACTAATGAAAGGCCACCGGATTGATGTTGTTGCTTGACATCTGTCAGCATTCCAGCTTTATTTTCCACCATTTTCTTCAAGTGGTGCAGAGTAACTTTTGAGAATGCTGCTATTTTTGAGAATGGATGTAAGATAGGAGTGATACTGACAAGTGGAGCCTTCTCTTGTGATGTTCAAATGTTTACAGAACTATCATGTGTGTAAAGACTTAGTGCCAAGTTAGGGAAAATTTATCTCTTAATTCATCTTATTTACTGTAATTAAATGATTATAAATCTATAAAAAAATAAGATATACAGAATATCTACAATTATCTACACTTATTGTAATAGTGATATATTTGTAATTAGATCACATGACCCTTATACCTAGAACTAAATGTCTACCTTCACAAAAAAGTCTACCTCAACTAATTCCATCTCAACAAAGTTAATACCTACCTCAATAAAATCAAATATTGACTAAGTTAGATATCTAAAAAGAACCAAATAGGATACTGCAAGTAAAACATCAGATATCCCTGTTGATGAAGCCAGATATCCAACAGGACCGATTCATATAATGTGATTGAAATAGCAGATATCCCAATTGAGGAAGTCAGATATCCTGTCATTAATACATTAGATATCCCTGTTGATGAAGTCAGATATCCTGTCATTAATACAGCAGATATCTCTGTTGATGAAGTCAGATATCCTGTCATTAATACATTAGATATCTCTGTTGATGAAGTCAGATATCCTGTCATTAATACAGCAGATTTCTCTGTTGATGAAGTCAGATACCCTGTCATTAATACATTAGATATCCCTGTTGATGAAGTCAGATATCCTGACAGTAATGCATCAGATATCTCTATTGATGAAGTCAGATATCCTGTCATTAATACATGAGATATCTCTGTTGATGAAGTCAGATACCCTGTCATTAATACATTAGATATCCCTGTTGATGGAGTCAGATATCCTGTCATTTATACGTCAGATATCTCTATTCATGAAGTCAGATATCCTGTCATTTATACGTCAGATATCTCTATTCATGAAGTCAGATATCATGTCATGAATACATCAGATATCTCTATTGATGGAGTCAGATATCCTGTCATTAATACAACAGATATCTCTATTGATGAAGTCAGATATCCTGTCATTAATACATTAGATATCTCTGTTGATGAAGTCAGATATCCTGTCATTAATACAGCAGATATCTCTATTGATGAAGTTAGATATTCAAAGGACCAATTCATATAATGTCATAAGTACATCAGTTGATAAAGTCAGCAATCATTGTTAAATTAAGTTAAATAAGGTGTATTCCTTTATACCAGACTCCGGGATTATTGTTTTATAAATTTGGTTATTAATTAAGATGTTGTTATGAAATATGAACTTAATAAATAAGTTAACACAGAAAATTCATAATTAGTTGTTTTATTACCAGAATATATGTGTATATAAAGACAGATACATTCAGCAAGAACCAGCTTGCAGTGTATAAACAAGTGAAAAATCTACAATTCCAGGACTGCTAGGTGTGTTTACACTAGGACCTGTGATAGATTGATCATAATTTACTCATTAAGTGGTGTTTCATTATAACATATCACCACCTACAATACCAAATACTTTAAAACAACATTTTCCCCTTATTACACTGGTATATATCTATTGTGTGTTAGACAATAGTAAAATCAACACGTTTCTCTTCCTCAGCTTGGGGTGGCCTACTCTGCGAAATAGGTTAATATATTTTATTGGAAATTTCTGAATATCTTCCATAAATCTGGTGTCTGATTTCTTTCAATACTTGTTAGTATTACCTAGATGTCGGGTATTGATATGGGTGAGGCTGCAGCATTACAAGGATGGAGGGCAGTGGGGCAATCAAAGATCATCAGTCTATATATGAAAAAAAGACAGTGTCATAATATTGGACTTGTTTCCTTCAAATCTCAGATAACTTATTATCCCATGAATAACAGCCATGTTTTTGGTGGGGGTTGACAACACTACACAGAATTGCTGCAACAGAATTATCTTATACAGGATCATTATCACTTCTGATGGAAGTAAAAAAGGCTTACAATGGTCTGTAGCAGTCTTGGTAAACTGTTATCAGACAAGGAAAATTCCATGATATTTTTTGGGATGTGGGATTCCACGCATTACTTTGTGAAATCATGATTTTTGGTAGAAATGTTTTTTTTTCAAAGGATAATTAATTTCAAAAATGTTTTTCTTCATCAATCACAAGCTGTAGTGACATTCACTTGAAGTTTTGATCAGGAAAAATATTACTGTTTGATCAATACTTATCCGACTAAGGCAGGCAACAACCCTTGTGTAAGCAGATGATCAAACTGAAAATTCAGATACATTTTTGATGTATCACAAAGATACTCACACATTTACCAGGGCCACATCTAACGTTAAATAGTATTTCCTGTCCAATCATGTAACATAATTTTGATCAGAGAGTCAACATTATGAGTTATTAAAACAAGAAATAGATTATAAATAAAATCAGTTAAAGGTTATAGTAACTATTGACTAACATAACTAATATCTATAGCAATGTTGATACTAATTAAAAGATTATATGACTTATTTGCGTATTTTCAATCAAAACAACTGATGTCTGAACGTGTTAGTACATAATGGTATTGAATAACCGTAATAATAAATAGACACATGAAACAGTATTACAAATCCTAATATAACCACTAAAATTATACCATCTCTGATGCCTAGAGTTGTGAACTTTCAGTTTTATGAAAACATGCATGATCTATGTTACAACTAAAATAACAGTTTTACAAAATTGAGCATTTATACTAAATTACCCTTACATATCATCCATTCTCAAACTCTCAATGTCTTTCTGTCAGAATTTGAAGAAGATATAAGAGCCTGTGTTATGAATTACATGTTTTTTGTCCAAATTTTATTGAAGAGAGAAATTATGGGACTATACTTCTGAGTTCAACAGAATTTGAAAAAAGGATTTGTTCATCTGTGGAAAATATTCCCTGTAAGTTTTAATGTTTGAAGTATTGATACTTAAAGTGAATATCACATCAATCTGGATATATATAACTCCAGACAAGTTTTCAGAAAACATCTTACTTATTTGACCTTTGACCTTAAGAATAGGGTTCCTTGTGACACAATCTGTGACCTTGCACATCTTCTGTTTTGATGCATACAATCATAATATTCTATATTTCCCCATTTTTTGTCATTAAAAAGGTTACAACATAGCTGAGATTTGATGACAATATACCGTTCATTATATTTGACCTTTGATGTAGACAGTCATGCTGACCTTTAATTATACTCACTGTAAATCTACTAATTTACTTATCCATTTTTACAGATCTATATTAAATGCCATCACTTAATGGAAACAACTTTGACATGTTCCAAATTTACCCTTAAACAAATGTACTGAGCTGTAGGTCACTTTAATAAAACACATTGTACAAGAGTGAATATTAGATATGCAGCCCAAGTCAAAAAGCAATGTAGTTCCTTGGTATTTTTCTTCTGTTTTTTAACATTCATGGGATGACCTATTCAAGCAGATTTTAACTGTTTCTATCTGAAGGTTTATATGCAAATGAGGAAACTGTTCCACTATACCAAAGCAGATTTGAGCAGTTTTAATTGGCTGTTATCCCTCTCTTACCATTCATTACCTGGGTGGTTATTTTAAATGCTGAATTATTTAAATGAGTTTGCAGTAAACTGGAAAGGAAATTTACTAAAAGCTTATATGCAAACTAGACCTTAGAGCACTGCCAACCAAGAAAATGCTAACACACAGCTTAAATGTAAATAGGCCTCACCAAATATGGAAGTAGTGAACAGTTAGCAACAGTGTTTGATATAATCCAGATAAAAATACACGACAGTGTTTGATATAATCCAGATAAAAATACATGACAGTGTTTGATATATCCCAGAAAAAAATACACGACAGTGTTTGATATAATCCAGATAAAAATACACGACAGTGTTTGATATAACCCAGAAAAAAATACACGACAGTGTTTGATATAACCCAGAAAAAAATACACGACAGTGTTTGATATAATCCAGAAAAAAATACACAACAGTGTTTGATATAATCCAGATAAAAATACACGACAGTGTTTGATATAATCCAGATAAAAATACACGACAGTGTTTGATATAACCCAGAAAAAAATACACGACAGTGTTTGATATAACCCAGATAAAAATACACGACAGTGTTTGATATAACCCAGATAAAAATACACGACAGTGTTTGATATAACCCAGATAAAAATACACGACAGTGTTTGATATAACCCAGATAAAAATACACGACAGTGTTTGATATAATCCAGATAAAAATACACGACAGTGTTTGATATAACCCAGATAAAAAATCCATGACAGTGTTTGATATAAGATACATGACAGTGTTTTATATAAGATAAATGACAGTGTTTTTTGAGGTAAAAATCTAAATAAAGTTACTGATTTTAGTTGTGTCATATTTTCACCACAGAACAGCTAGAACTATTAGTATGTAAAGTTCTAGGTAAACATGTTCTCTATTAAAATTTGCTATATCAATATTCAGCATACAGTATTACCGTGATAATAAGACACTGAAAATAACATCCCCATTATACATCTACATCATAAACTACATGGAATATAATAATTCAGCTAATATTACATAGTTCTGTATTCAATAAAATGTGATATTACATGGCTGAAAATAGTCCCAATAGTTTATCACAGACAGAGAACCAGCTAGTACATTGACTATAAATGTATATAGAAACTTAACAAAAACTTATTAAAATATTCACAATCAGATGAAAACATTTACATAAATCACACAAAGTAGTAATCAATCAATATATCTGGTCAGATATTTCCAGCCAGGAAATGGACAATACTTAACAGCATGCAATATTCCTGTGGCAAATTTGTTATTTATTTGATTATCATTGAAAAAAAATGAAAAGGAAAAACATTGGAATCAAATGTTACTAAGTATACATGTATATTACTGAACAAAGAACACATGTATAGCATACCAATTAATGTTGTGTATTTATGAACACAGTGTACAGCAAACATATATAGTGATTTGTATGTAAATTAATGTATTAATCAAATCATAAATTGCTGTAATGATTTGTATTATAAACAGAGTTGTATCTAATTAATCACGGATAGGTGTTGAATCGTACACGTGTTTGACTGATAAAACAGAAATCACAAATTTGGAACCTGACATCAGGAGGAATATTCACAAAATATTACACATCAACTTGTATCCAAATCACGAAATTTTAGTTCATTAAAAAAAACACTCTTGTTTTAAATGAAAATTATCAAAAATGTTGACCAGCAAATATAACACAGAGAGTATCTCTGCTATATGTAATCACTGACAAAAATGTGTGTCTGACTAACAATAATGTATGTATAACTAAGTAACAATTTTAATATGATTAGCTCTCATGATTTTCATAGTTTGTACATAAATAAGTTTAACAATTTGTTTATTTATTTACACATAATCGCCCTATCAATAACCAACAAGAGAACTTTTGGGAAAGGAAAATAAAATGCCTGTCACATTTATCACCTCTCCGATTCAATCACCACATAACAAACTTTCATACCTCACACCCCTACCTTTCAGTGGATTTTTGTTACAAAACACTAATCTTTCCCAGAATGCATTGTGATCCCCTACATAACACCTTAACAAAGGCTAAAACAACACTGGCCATTTTGAGATTCTTAAAAGAAGTATTTCCTGCACATCATATGAAAATAATTCTTACTATAATTCATGAAAGTATTATGTGCTGTGTTTAATAGTAAAAGCACATCTCAAAAGCTTAGAGAACAAGAGAATGAACTGGATACTGTCATTAAGAATATCAATTTCCCATTCAGAAAATCATGGTATGCAAAAACGGCCATGCAAACCTCTGTAAAAATTTGTGCATAATTCAGATATGAAACAATTCCAAAATTCGTAAGTATACAGGGTGAGGGTATAAAAGATTTAGTGAATGAAGGTTGATATACCAGTGAAATAGTACTGATGACATATATATCTCAGTAATTAAGGACTATAGCAATACTTTGTACTACCTACAGCAATCTCTGTCTGTCCACATTGAAATTTTGCACTCAGTGTCCACATAATAATAGCTCACTGATCCAAGGCAAATAGTTTTATAAACATGACTTTATAAAGACAATTTATATATAACTCTCCAAAAAAGTGTTTAATAACGTTCTTTATAAATTCACCAATAATTGCTGCCATGATTTAAAGCTAAGTTGTTCAGTCCCCTCAATAAAGCACCAGAGACAGTGTACAGACTGAAGAGATCACAAACATTTGACCTCACCAACATCAAGATTTTCTAGTAGAGACTACACTCAATGTATACATCTCCAGATGAATTCAGATATATTAAGTTTTATATGATCTTTGTCCCTGGAAGTAGTTTACCTCAATGGCTATCCTTTCATCAAAGGCAAGAATGTCACACAGGAGATTTTAGCTAAACTTCAAGGGCCTAGTCGAAACCTTAAAATTTCTGAATCAATGTTGACATTGAGGTATTTCATATTTATATCATATTTATAAGGAATACTATACTTCAATCACTTCCAAATCCTCCTCTCCAGGAAAAAACTCTTTATCTCTGGGCTGTCTCTTCCTTTGTGGGAGGGAAGGCTTTGTGATGTTGTTTGAACTGATACTAAACTCATCCATACTGTCATATGTCTCATCTATAAACACCTGCATTGGCACCTTATGCTGTTTTAGTAAATCTGACTGCATGATGGATTTACTCGCCTCTATTTCTTCGAAATCAATAACATAAGATTCCTCAGGCTCAATCTCAATAGATGTATCACTGTTAACTCTGTGGTGTCCATCCACATGTACATCTGCTGCAACCTCCACTGCAACCCCTTTTGACCTTGACTTTGAACTTTTATATGACCTTTGACCATTTACATCAGAGTTAATATCTAAATTGCTCATTTCTATTTCAACATCCTGCGGTATGATATTGAATTTTTTGGGTGTTGTGAGTTTTTTAATTTTTGTAGTATCCACCACAGTAGACTTTGGACCGTCTTCCTGTGTAACCACAATCACAGGAATTCTATCTACACTTGTGTGTGTTTTCTCCTTCCTGTGACCTTTCTGTCTATGTGACCTGCGTTCAGCCTGTAGTCCCATGGTAGTGTCCATGGGAAGGCAGATCGGGGTGGCAATTTGTTGTTGTACAGTTGGTCTGTGCACAGTTGCCCTCTCTACCTGTGGCCTTGAAACAGGAGGTGGTGAGTCCTCAAAGGGAATTTCCACAACACTGGTGCCAGTGTCAAAGTCATAGTAGTCCCAGGTCGGGGTCTCAGGCCTGGAGACTTGGTTGTCAGCATGCTGCCCTTGTACACCCTTGTGTTTCTTTTTATGTTGTTTCTTATCTTGATCAGTATTTTTTGGTATCGGAACAAAAGTACTTGTTTCATCCATTGTTATATTAGTATGACTATCTAAATGGTGAGGTGAAACATCATTCACACTTGATATACTTCCTCTGACCTTGACCTCTGAACCCTGAACACTTAACCCTGCAACCTTTTTCATATTGACCTTAACTACATCTGTATCAAAATCCTCGTCCTCTAATATAGTCACACGTTTTAAAGAAGTTTTTGGTGCTTCATCCTCATCAAAGTCTTTCACTTTCACCACAGAATGATCTGAATGTAAGGCAGAATCTTCCCCAATTGTGACCCCTGTGAGTTCGAGTTCACTGAGTGCACGTTCTGATCCCTCGGACAGGTCAGTCAGGGACAAATTCCTGATGTTCGGGTTACTGTAGAACACTTGTGCTGAGTTTGTAACCTGAAGGTCAGATGCATAGTAAACCTTCATATTGTAAGGTATAGTGTGATTCATACACGGAATTAATGGATAACTTGTCCGCACTAACTTACGAACAGCAGACTTCAATGGTAAGTGGTACTGGCCAATCAAAAAGCTGCGTTTTGAATACTTCTGCGTGATACAAACCTCTAGTTGGACACTTCTGTTTTGAACCAGGTCAGCAGTGATGTCTGTGTATTCTAGAGGCTTGGTGAACTGAAACGTTGATGGGGAGTAGACATGTTGATAACCTTGGGTTCCTTTCTTTACTTGGAGGTGTGCCTCCGTACTCTCTACCCGTATTTCTTCTGTTTTCCTTTTGGAGTTCTTTTTCTTGTCAGGCATGAGGTAAGACTTGACGTAAATGGAATGGATCATTGAAGTTGTAGCTGCAAGAAGTGAAAACACAGTTTAAAGAGACTATAGTTTACATGATAATGGTACAGTCCAGTTTTGTTATAGGAACGCAGATACAAAATAAAAATATCTCAAATATTTCAAATTGTCTGTATACTTTTAACATTTTAAGTGTTATATTAGTTTTAATACCATGTATGTTAAGCATTTGTTATACCTGTCATATCCTAACATACTACAGGCTCTGATTTTGTCAAAAATATTCAGTTTATCTCAAATGCAGAGTTGATCTCTAAATTAGATATCTGTGAATGTAATACAGTTTATTTCAAAATGTTTATAAATAAGATTTGGCAATCTACAGCTACAAATTTATTCAGATTTAACTTCCATTTTTTTGTTGAGTTTGCCTTCTTTAATCAACAGATTGAGCTTTAAAAAATCTGATGTTTACTTACGTGGTGGTAGAAGAAGATCTGTGACCTGCCAAACTCTAATCTTCAGCGTCATTTTCTTAGCATGGTACTCAAATGTCAGGTGGAGATAACCCAAAACTGAAAATACCAGAGAAATATCAATGGCCAAAAAACAGTTTGTGTGTCAACAAAACTAAACATACAACTTTTCTTTTCAATGTCTAATTTTTATATATTGCGTGGTGAATTCTTGGCAGGAGAATTTCAGCTGGGAAAAAGTCACCAGGTACTTACTTTTTTTTCTGCTCTTCAATGGAGAAAATATAAAATGGCTTATAAAATCAAAAATGGCATTCAAGATTTTACACTTAATAAAGAAAGCTGAGCATGGAAAAATGAACCAATATGTGTGTTATAAAATCAGGAGAAGACAACCTAGTAATACAAACACAACAACAGTTATACAGAGGTAACTACAACTATCACAACAGTTGTTTACTGTCAGCTGTACACATGGATGACTATAAAGAGAAACTAGAAGATAACAATTTATGTCACATTCGTTTACTCTGGTGACATACTTTTTTTTTTTAATCAGGAGAAGATAACTCAATATTGTTGTTATAGCATTAGTTAAAAGTTACTAGGACAACTTAGAAACGAAAAGAGTATATTCCAGTATTGTACAGTCACCACAATAGTAAAATAAATAGCAACAGTTGTATACAGAAAACGACAAAGAAATCAGAGGAAATAGCCCACTATTACAGCCCCAGTAATGTTACAGATCCCAGATAGAATATTCAGTGTAGGCGAAATAACACTTTAACATATATATAAAAAAGAGATTGTAATTGCATGTATGTGTTATTAACTAGATAAATTAAGACCAATGTATACCTGGATCTTTAACTTTCTTATCTTTGACTTTTACAAGATCTTGATTGATAGATTCTACATTGGATTCTCCTGATAATGACACATCATCTTTAACAGGATCTTCCTGGTCTAATGAGTGTTTCTCAGTTTCTATCTCCTCCTCTTCCTCCTCCTCAACCTTCTGACTTGTTTCTGAAATCATCAAAGTTCAATATATATCCACACATCTACATTCATCCTGAGAAGATTTCTACTTCTATCACAGATTAAAATTGCACTTAGTCAGTACAGGGTGTGATATCTGTGACTAGAATGTTACCTTACCTGTAGATTCTTTTAGACAAGTGTATCTAGTCTGACAGAAGAGAATAATTAGATATATGCAAAAAAATAAAATTCACCATCATTGTGTAACTTTGTGAATAATAACATGATATATGCAATCTTACAAAACAAAGAAAGATCCTTTACATACTAGCTATGTTTAAGATATTCAGACATTCCTCTGCAGCAACATCCAGAGTTGTCTGCCCTTGTTTGTTTTTGACATCCCAGTGGCCCCCGGCTGCCAGCAACAGAGAGAGACAATCAACATGTCCTGCCTGGGCTGCATAGTGACAAGCTGTGAATCCATCCAGCGAGTCTGGTTTGTCTGGGTTACCTGTAACACATGTTACATAAAAAATGTAGGAAAGCAGCATGCAAGGGTCTCAAATAGAACCTTATTTCTTCTAATAAGTGTAACCCTGGTAAAATACTAGCCGCAATATACCACCCAGCTAGAGAGAGCTTCTCTTTAGCTCGATTGGTTGAGCATCAGACTAGTAAGCCAGGGGTCCCGGGTTCGATTCCTAGTGGAGACATTGAGATGAAAAATGACCTCTGTCACATTGGCACCCATGTAGGCACCCGGGAATAGTACTTAGCCATGCCCCACCGGCATCGCTGTAACCCATGGAACTCATTGCTGTAACCCCTGGAAACTCGAGGACGAGTTATTTCCTAGAGGGGGAGTATGTAACCCTGGTAAAATACTAGCCGCAATATACCACTCGGCTAGAGAGAACTTCTCTTTAGTTTGATTGGTTGAGCGTCAGACTAGTAAGCCAGGGGTCCCAGGTTTGATTCCTAGCGGAGGCATTGAGATGAAAAAAGACCTCTGTCACATAAGTGTACCATGTCTTTAAACAACAGAGAATGATTGCACCTAATGCAGCTTTGAACATGGAAAACTTTCCATTCAAACATACTTAAATAACAGAAATTACAATTTGAATCTGAAATGGAAAAATAAATTTCAGTTAAATGTCTTAGTGACAGGGTTTGAATGCAGTTTAATAGTTAAATGTAATGGAAGATCAATAACCCAACTGTTTACAGGCTTTAGTTAAATGTATCTGTCCCCTTTCTAAAAAGAATGCGGGGTGTATACTGTAGTAAAGGGGAGGTGTACTTATTAGGTTGAATATGGCAGTATACAACAGATTCCCATTTGATTCTATACTGTATATAAAAACATTACCAAATTATTAAGAATATAAATACAAAAAAATTAAAATTCACCATCATTGTGTAACTTTGTGAACATACAGATATCGTAATCCTGTTAAATACATACATCAATACAGGAAATGGTTTAAGTTAAAGCACACAAAATGACATATGTGAGAAATTTAACAACATTTTCACTAGTGCTTTGTACTTCTCGTTGCTGTACAATAAGATGTGATTTAAACACTGACCTTTGTGTTTTAGTAAGAGCTTGAGTATGTCATCCTCTCCGTTATGTGAGGCTTCGTGTAAGGCACTCCACTGATACAGACCAATCAGATTGGGGTCGTAGCCTTGTTGAAGAGCTAACCTCACAGCATCTATGTCACCATACCGGACTGCCTCATGAAGTTTTGTGTCAAATGTTCCATGCTCCAGGCTCCCCATTCTTTTAAATCTTAATGAAAATAACAAGTTGTTTAATTTCATGTCTATAAAAAACAATGAACCAAAGGGAATGTTTAGGGAGACATATTGATGTTTTGGTTGATCACTTGTGAGTGTAGAATCTTAAATGGATAGTAAACATGAATGTACATTACAGTTTTATCAAGGCAGGTAAGCATTTGGAATTAAATATTGGAACATTAATCTCAATTCCCAAATTAATTGTGTTGATATGTCCTGGTTGCCTAAATCAAACATATCAATATATAGTAGAAAGTACAGATCATTTTACTAGTCTTGGTAAGTGGACTATACTGTTTCAAATAGTATAGTTACAACATTAGTGGGAATTTCACTTCTTTTTTGTAAGTAAAAGCGTTAGCATATTTTGATTTTTTCTATTGTAGATCTTTTCCAATGATTTCACTTGGCCGAATCCCTTGATTAAGTCTTTGTATTCAAATTGGTTCATGGAAGCAAAAAAACCAAACAAGTGTACAGTCATAAGGACATATAGAATGGTACTAATGTACCAAAATATACAGATTATTTTTAAAAGATATCTAGATTTTAAACATGAGAAACATTATTCCTGAGAAAGGCACAGTGAAGGCTAGATGTCAGTTGGTGTAATACATTGGGAGGTGATTTAACACTATACTGGCTTACTGTCTATAAGTATGATATAAGTACAGATTACTGACGTAGTATTTTGTGTTATCGGTAAGGTGCATTATCTTTAAATAGATAAAGAGATCATAAATTGACAGTCTAAATTAGACATTTTAAACATATATAATCATAAAACAGTAGGAACTGAAAGGATCTCCCAGCCCTTGTTGATTCAGATCAGAGCATCATATCATCCTTCCTAGCATTTCGTAACCCTTCATTTGACATCGATGTTAAAAAAAAGAGTTATTGCGTTTTCAAGATAAGCGCTTGATAATAATCAATCTGTAGAAAATACTTTTCATAACCTTTCTAGAAGTTTGAGTGTTTGTCACATTGAAGAGCTTACCATTTTATTTTTGCGTGCTAATTGGGCTTTTTAGCACGTAAAAACATGCAAAAATCGGTTTCCACAGACGCCATTGCGGAAATCTCCTCTGTAATGAAATCTCGCGTGACCTGTCTTTTTGTTCGGACACTTTCTGTTATTTACATATCAAATAAAGTAAACTCACGAAATCGGAATATTTTGTACGAAAGAGAATTGTGGGAAATCAATGGCGCCTTGCAGATAAAAAGCAAGTTGACAGTTACTTGCAACTTGTTGTTTATTTACATAATTTAAGACATTTGACGACATATTAAGTGAGCTAAGAAGACCTGATAAAATCATCTACACTCATGATCAAGTACTTTGTTATGGGATTACGCGGTTTCTTTTTGCTGGCTGCTAAGATCTGGAGTTTCGTTTGCTACTGCTTCAAAAGACAAGCCAGGACGGTAAGTGACACGGATTTTAACTAGGTTATGTTATCATCGGTAAATATAGACATCTTGTCTTTTATATCGATAAAGCTTTCACATCAAGGATAATGAGGTTGCAACGTCGAGATAAGGAGTTGACTGATGGTATTTTGGTCAGTACCCCATCAGTAAATGTTTTCAAATAAAACAAGCACGTGCCCGCTTATTTAAATATTTAAACCACATAGTAACCTATGATGTACTGGTTTGACCCAATTAAAATAATGTTCATGGTTTTGTTTGTTTAGCTTGAATGTCAGGTGTCAGGAAATCAATCGGAGTAAATGCAAACAGTCCAATGTGCACACCACACGCAGAGTAGTGGAATGACATATAACTAATTAATAAGAACGCACGTGACCTAAATATCCTTAATCACAATATGCAAGGTCATTCACCCATAAAGTGGCTTCTTAACTTCGAAATTCCAAGACCTACAAACTGAATTGACATTTGTTTACTTAAACAAACATGAAATTATCCTTTAATCCAATAAATGCTTACAGATTCTAACGTCTTACTAGTAACATAATACACACAAACAGAGAGATTAATAAATCATGTTTACAAACATAGCCTCATGATAGGAGTACACATGTAGTACGCAGGTGAGCAGTAATGAAAATTCTACATTAGATTCAACCAAGATTTGATTTCTATTTTTCTGCTTAAATTTTGTGTTAATATTATTAACCATACACTTAGATATATCAAAATCAACTTTTCAATAAAGAGAAGCTAAAAAGGTGTCACTTTCTAATGACTGTTTTGCTTTAGTTTGTATTCATTATGGTACCAGTGTATAGTTCTGTATGATGAATGAATGTACTTCACTCTGAGATATTGATCACATGAATTCTACCCCAAGGCCATGGAAGCTACGAAAATGTTGACAAGTTTATGGCAGTGCATCTAATTGGAAATTCATGTGGGAGTGAATGTGTATGTTGGATTGAAATGGTTAAACATGTTGTGTTACCTTTTAGAATTGTTGACTCTTGCTAGATGGTCTATCTCACTCTCCGTGAACCAACCACTCAAACATTGATCAACATCTTTAATGACTGTCAGCATCCGTGAAGTTAGTCAGAATTATCCTGACATTCTATTATCTTTTTTATATCAGTCTTCAGTCAATGAACTGAAGGCCAGTCTGAAAAAGTTTATGGGGAATGTCAAATTAATTCCGACTACTGTGAAGTGTGATGATGTCAGTGATTGATAGTTCATTATTTTACTTGGAAAAACATTACACTTATTACCCTTCTTATGACCTGTAGTTGAGGCATTGTTCTCTCTGACGAGGGATGTAACAATACAGTTTAGCTCTGATATGATGTGCATCATGATACACACCCTTTTACTTGTTTATATAATACACTTTTATATGTAATATGAAATTCTGATGAAAAGAACATGAAAGTTTAATAAAATACAAGAACAAGATGCTAATGTGAAGTGTGTTTAAAATGTCTGCTTACAACTAAGAGTATGATATGAAAGTATACTGTCAATTGAATCATAATGCAAACATTGCAATATGTATCAGATCACAATAAATTGTTTCATGTCTACCTCTGACCCTTCACAAGTTTTCTTGAATCTCTGCTACGTGATGAAGATTTTTAAAAGGTCGCCTGAATTGTAAAAACTTTCACCTTGAAGATACAACAATGGTTGTACCTGTACATTCACTGCTACATCTGTCTTAGGGATTCAATTTTAGATCTTAGGTTATTCCACTTGATTTTGATCTAATAGGGCTAGTGTATGGTAGTAGATGTGCATTTATTGAAGGTGAGAGAAGTAGTTAAACTGGAGTCAATTACCTACTACAAGCTGGAAGCTCAATGAGTAGATAATTTATTCAGTCACAGGATTCAGATTTTCTTCTGATTATCGAGTAATCTGAATAGGTATGGCTGTTTATTATTACATACCATTAATAGCCAGAGGTATTTTTGATTAACATTTGATTTTAATGAGATTGATTATTGTATTTTCCCTAGTGATAACTTGTTAAACATGTCGCCAAACCTACTACAATATGAACCCATTTGAGTTTGTATTTATAGGGTTGCAGGTTTTGTATTAGCAGTCAGAAACTTGTGTTGAAGTAATTATATTATAATAAGGTAAAAAATGATAACGCAAAAGTGAACCGGTTTGATTGTCAGCTACCAGCTTAGATTATCAAATAATCTGCTCAATTTAACTGGTGGTATTGTGTGATTGGTTTTGTGGTATTGTGTGATTGGTTTTGTGGTATTGTGTGATTGGTTTTGTGGTATTGTGTGATTGGTTTTGTGGTATTGTGTGATTGGTTTTGTGGTATTGTGTGATTGGTTTTGTGGTATTGTGTGATTGGTTTTGTGGTATTGTGTGATTGGTTTTGTGGTATTGTGTGATTGGTTTTGTGGTATTGTGTGATTGGTTTTGTGGTATTGTGTGATTGGTTTTGTGGTATTGTGTGATTGGTTTTGTGGTATTGTGTGATTGGTTTTGTGGTATTGTGTGATTGGTTTTGTGGTATTGTGTGATTGGTTTTGTGGTATTGTGTGATTGGTTTTGTGGTATTGTGTGATTGGTTTTGTGGTATTGTGTGATTGGTTTTGTGGTATTGTGTGATTGGTTTTGTGGTATTGTGTGATTGGTTTTGTGGTATTGTGTGATTGTGTGATTGGTTTTGTGGTATTGTGTGATTGGTTTTGTGGTATTGTGTGATTGGTTTTGTGGTATTGTGTGATTGGTTTTGTGGTATTGTGTGATTGGTTTTGTGGTATTGTGTGATTGGTTTTGTGGTATTGTGTGATTGGTTTTGTGGTATTGTGTGATTGGTTTTGTGGTATTGTGTGATTGGTTTTGTGGTATTGTGTGATTGGTTTTGTGGTATTGTGTGATTGGTTTTGTGGTATTGTGTGATTGGTTTTTATTACTTTGTTATTACTGGTGATATTCTTGAAAGTTTTATAAGTAGGTAAATGCTGGTAAAAAAACGTGATTAAGATCATCCAAACATGACCATAGTTATATATAGTTATATATAGTACCCTTTAACATCAAATGAACTGATCATGACTGAAGATAATAGACAGGTAACTTTACCTGGTTGAAAGATTAGATTTAAAAATATTAAAAGCATTTCATAAAAATGTTTTAACATTAAGCAGACTCATTATTTGACTGTTTTTCTTTAATCTCAAGTAGGCTTAAAAGTTTATTACAACGCTGAATCATGTCGTTTACTTTTACAATACACGTTATCATCAGTAAAGTTTTATTTATTTGTTTTTCAGGTTATACAACATCAAACAGTTAGATATGAAGTAATACAACTATCACCGTTATCCAAGCATAGACTTAGTAAGTAACAATAGCAGAGACAATTCTGTATGCATGATGAATCAAGGAGACAGATTTGTTACAAGTTGTCAATCTTTTTCTATACCCTGTCTCCTCTATGTACTCTGAAACAAGGAGACAGGTTTACAAAACTTGTCAAACTTGTTCCTTATCCTGTCTTCTGTACTTACTCTTAATTATGGAGACGGGTTTATGAAAGTTTTCAAACTTGTTTCGGAGCTAGCACTCTTTATATTGTTTTTTATTGTATACATATTTAATGTGTAAAATGAAATGAAGTTTATGTTAATTGACGCAGTCCTAAGTGAAATGTTATATATCTAAAGGTTTCTTAACCAGGAAATGTACTAAATTATTATGTACACCATCAGCTATATTCCACATGTATATGCCTAAAATGAGTTCATTTTACCTTACACAATATACATACACATTGTTTCTGTTTTCATGTAAGAAGTATTTTTGCATTTAGTTTAAATGTTTGTCTTTCAGGTATGCTAAAAAGGAAAACACTAGTATTGGATCTAGATGAAACACTGATACATTCTCATCATGACGGAGTATTAAAGCCTACAGTAAAACCTGGAACCCCACCTGATTTTGTCCTTAAAGTAATTATGAGCATTTGATTATACACAACCTGATATTGGGTTTATATATACACTACTGAGTCAAGTGTTTATCATCCTTATCACTCCCTACTGTGGTGGTTTATCTTTCTCAGGAAGATCAGAAACAAATCTGTCTGTGCTGTAGTAGTTGTGTCATTGGGCAGGATATTTAACCTTTATTGCTCTTGATGGCATGTGACAAGCTTCCCACATTTCGTTCATAGAATTAGCCACCAGCTACTTTAAGGAGAACCTGCTTCGAAATGACCATAGCTAGCTTAATAACATAAATGAAAATTGTTGTGAGTGTTGGCAATAATTTTAATTATCTTCTTCTGGAATTTTTACATCTGTAGTTTGTTATGTCTACTTTTCTTAAAGTCCTTTATTGTTAATATTTAATTTTGATTCTTGTAACTATTTTAAGAAATTTCATCTATTGATAACAGTTAACTGAATTGTTGATTTCACTGTTAATCCTACATGTAAGAAAGAAATACAGAAAAGATCAACTTTAGATGAAACCAAATTAGAATTATGATGAGATTCCTCTAGGATTACCCTTGACCTTGACCTTAACCATGAACAACTCATTATTCTTTTAATACTTGCTGTTTTACAGGTGAATATTGACAGACATCCTGTAAGATTTTTTGTACACAAAAGACCACATGTGGATTATTTCTTAGAAATTGTAAGTCATGATATAGTGCTACTGTATTCAAAAAGAAAATCTTCAACTAAATGCATATTTAACGTATTAAGTTCCTTTTTGAAAGTAAATGTCAACACGTTACATTCCTCTTAATAAATGTGAGATGTTTCAGGAGGGGGAGGCTGTCATTAATTAAAGACTGCAAACAGAGTATGAACACTTGTTAAATGTCATGACAGTGTACAACTTCATTTCTAAGACTTCAGTTTCTGTTTACTGGGAAATTTTTGTATGCATTTGATGTTCACCCTTACAAAGGAGGAGGAATTTTTAGGGCGAAAATTTGTAATATATATATAACCCTTTTATATAATCCGCAGAGGGTGAAATGAATATGAGGTAAATTTGTGTAATAATGGAACAAAGGTGAAAATAACTTGGGTCAAAATGTCTCCATATACAGCACTATTTTATACTGAAAATTTATTTTTCTTATTATAGGTAAGCCAGTGGTACGACCTGGTGGTTTTTACAGCTAGTATGGAGATTTACGGTGCGGCTGTAGCTGATAAACTTGATAATAATAAAGGCATTCTACGTCGTAGATATTATAGGCAGGTAAGTTTAACACAGGTATGCTGTGGTACAGATGTTTAACATTTTAAGTTAAACAAATGACATCCACACAATATCACATTGCTGCCGTCAGTGTTTTTTGATTATACGAAAATACACAAATGACAACATCACACTCCTGACATCATTGTTGTTCCAATTAAACAAAAATACATGAATGACATCCACACCACATCACTCTCCTGACATTAAAATTAATGTCAGAATAATTTTCTGAACACGGCTCAGCAAAAATATCCACCATGTTACCACCGGTGTTGTGAATGCTATAATAGATATTTTCCTTCTGTTTATAATATATTGATAATCATCATCATTGGTTTGAGAAATGGTAATGATGTGTCTTGAACTTGAACGCTATTCCCATCTCTCCTTATTGCCTCATCAGTGTAGGTGATATAAGGCAGGATACAAGCAAACAGGATCTCGGGTATAACCTAATATTTTGTCGCTTGTAAATAGCATGCATCAGAATCAAGTTACCCAAAAAAATAATTTCTCAGCCTAATTAAACACAAAACTTCCGAAGTTTGTTCTTTTGTAAGTGAAAAATTGTGTAAACTGTAACAGATTAGTGAAATTATATAATGAGTCCTATACATTTCTATTGTACTATCATGTGCAGTTATTTGTATTCTGTTGTCCTTGTTTCAGCACTGTCATTTAGCAGAAGGCAGCTACACTAAGGATTTATGTGATATCTGCAGCGACCTTTCCAGTATATTTATACTCGACAATTCTCCAGTGGCATATAGGAATTATCAAGGTAGGTTATCAGTATTTATATCCACTTGTCTGGGCAATCAATTTTAGCTTTAGATGGGATTCAAAATATATTCCCAAGAACTTTATCCCTTTCATATGATAATATCAGGTTATGTTAAAGTAGAAATCTTTCATTGGTTCGTTAATTATATTGTAACCGGTTTGAGATGGTCTATGATGAAAACTTTCAATAAAGAAATGATAAGACAGAAATACTGGTGAAATAGGTAGATGATAAGACAGAAATACTGGTGAAATAGGTAGATGATAAGACAGAAATACTGGTAAAATAGGTAGATGATAAGACAGAAATACTGGTGAAATAGGTAGATGATAAGACAGAAATACTGGTATAATAGGGAGATGATCATGAGGAGATGTAGATATTCAGAATTGTGTAGAATAAAAGATTACATAAATACAGAACTGTTTTAATATTTTCTGATCTGTGAAAACTGCTTTCAGGAAATTTAATATAGAATCATGCAAGGAAAATAACTCCAAATATTGTGTTTATTTCCAGATAATGCTATCCCTATACGGTCATGGTTCAGTGACCCTACAGACACAGCACTTCTCTGTTTGTTACCAATGCTGGACGCTTTGAGGTTTTGTAACGATGTGCGATCAGTGCTTAGTAGAAACTTACATCTACATCGGACATAGCCCTGGAGTTTGTTTGTGGACATTGTGTCATCCTCACTGTAATATAGAACCTTGTATTAACATATATGTGTATTACACCAACACACACACACATACCCTACATATCACCATCTCCCCAAACATACCACACCTCAATACATATCAAAGACGAACCTTTTGTATCGCACACTATAAATCTATTGTCTCTTTCCCTATCCAGCTTCATCCAACACTCAGAGACCCAACAGAATTTTTTTTTCGTAGTCCTAATTTTATTAAAAATACCAGATTCCCTTCCAGTACATAAAAATCCATTCCGTTTCTTTATTTCAGACGTGGTAACAATTGGTGTATTTTGTAAAGACAACACATTTACGTGCTTTGCTGCAGGCATTGCTTCAAAATCTGTTATTACTTTTAAAGCACTTTTTTAAACAAAGTTTGATTTTCAAACATGACATATGACTAGCTATTTGCTATTCTACAATTCAATTGATCTACAACATGGCCAGTGGAATGTTTGTGGCTGCATCAAAATTTAAGTTATCAGGGACATTATCATTCATATACTGGTAAGTTTGATCCTGTTTAGAGCTTTCAACGATCTCATAGCATAGTGACAATGGCTTTTAGATTTTATGTATCATGGGTTTGGATCTAATGTTAGATTCAAAGATAGTTACTATAGGTCCCCTATGAAAACTTAGTAGTAGTGACATACATATGGTATATATGTGGAAGTATGTTGTACTCATTGACTGAAAATTGGCATGTTAGGCAAAGATCATAGGCCACTGGGTACCTCATCACTTAGTCATGTGAACAGGTATGCTTCGGCTTTAGAATATTAGAACAGGTACACTTTTGCTTAAGACGATTTTTTCTCCTAGCCTGTTGGGTACTGAGCTGCCCTTTCATCAACATTCCTTTAATAAAGGATTAGTATAAGCTTATATAGCTGATACATATATCTACAAACTGAACAATCACTTTTTTGGGTCTGTGTTTAAAAATTCACTAGCTTCTGCTTCCAGCACATTATACATTTACTTTTATTTGTCAACAGAATTAGAAAATTTCAGATGTTTGTTCGCTTTGCCAATACAGTCAGAAAAATGCAGATGTTTATTTACTAACACAACTAGAAAAAGAGATGTGTTTGCTTTGCCAACACTATTTGAAAAATGGCAATTGAGAAAAAAAACTGACAGATTAATAATATAAACAATTGATATTAAATCATGAGATAATTACAATGATTTCTACCTCATCAAACTATTACATTATCTGCCATTACTACAATAAAATAGAGATTTAAACAGTAATACTGATTTCCAATGTTGATGATATAAGTGCAAACATTTCCATGTATAACTTGTTTTTGAGCTTTTCACCATTTTGTGCATGTGGATGTTGTAAAATTATGGTGAATTTGATGAATAATGTGTTTAACAATTTCTAAGGTTTACTCCATATCAGTATACTAGTCAATAATTATGAACTAGTTATGAAAAGGATTTGTTTGAATAATCAAATTGAACATTCATGTATCTGAAATAAGGGTAATAATAGATTTTATATATCCTTTATACATGGTCTTTGTTGAATAATTTCACCAGCAGTACAGTGTTTCTGTATCATACATGTATATGTCAGAGTATTACGTCTGTAATACTGTATGATACATGTAATACAGGATAATGCCTGTGATACAGTTTGATACATGTAATGCTGTATGATACATGTGATACAATATAATATCAGTAATACTGTGTTATATCAGTAATACTGTGTTGTATTTGTAATACTGTGCTATACTTTTAATACTATATGATTTTGATCGATTATAGCTTTGGTACATAGGAATAATCACTGATAAATCTCGGGTACCTTCAAAATAATGAGTTTGTAATATTACAACCATACAAAACATTTTAAAGTTGGATATAAAGTAAAAATTGTCAGTGATGTGTAATAAATTGGAAGACTGTTAATAGATTGTCTCTGTGATGACTGTAAATATAGTATACAAGGTTTGTCAAACCTGCTTTAGATTGTATAGTGTACTGGTTATGTGTAGACTACCCTGTAGTTCTACACATAGCCTCTACAGAGTGACCAAGTCATCTGTTCAATTTAGGTATATATTGGTGCAGAAAGGTGATATACACATGTAGGTAATTCTACTCCAGTGTATTCACCACCTAGAAGTGGTGATATTTAGACAGGAATATATAGGATGCAATAAGAAGTGAATTGATTAAAGTGGAATTTGTTTTTAAGCAATATATGTCTTTATTGTGAGTAAAATGCTGCATAAAATAGCTGTGCAATAATAAATATTACATTTAATAACTTGTAATAGAAATTATCAGCCCCTATCTGTTTGCCACAGGATGAAATTGATTCTGGCATTCTTTTTTGTCCTTGGTCAGCAGGTTAACAAAAATGAGATGGTACAAACTAACTGACAAAATACACAATCACATCTCAGAAAGTATTTTTTTATCTCTGATTTCACAAGAACAAATTTCATTAAATGAATTGGATCAAAACAGGTTTTTTTCGTGCTTGATTGATGAACATGTTACAGAATTTGCTCACTTCTGTTCAATAGTTAAATATAAAATTCCGTTGTTTAAACATAGAGTTGGCATGTTGTGACTTTTATAATAATGTTAAAGTTGACAACACAGAAAAACATATTGTAAGTTTGAATGAAACAAAAATTTGGGGATGCAACATCACTGTCTTTTTGCATACAATTAAATATGTTAATCAGAGCTTTTTCTATAATTACAGTGTTCTAATTGGTCAAATGGCTAAAGAAGAGAAGAATGTTTTGTATTTTCAATGTCCACAAATTTATATATAAGAAAACTGTCATACAATTGTATACTTCAATATCTTGCCCAACCTCTTCATAGACAACTATCATACATATTGCTCTCCAAAAAAAAAAAAACACACACAAAAAAAACCCCCAGAATTTTGCATGTGTGTTGGACATAATTATATTGTTCCAATTGACCACTTGCCCACCAGAATCAAATTCATTCTCGGTTTAACCATGGGAGATATTTGAAAAGTCACTTTCAACTTGATTTAAAGTGAACATTTGATCTATAATAAAGCCTAATAGAAGTTACACGAGTACACACGCTGATCTGCTTCATCAAATATTTCATATTACAATATATATAAGTTGATTCAAGGTCATGCCAGATATGACTATTTTTTTGAGTTTCCAGTCTGAGTTTTATAGATAAGTACTATATTGTTATGTATATACTTTATTTCCATGTTCAAATGGAACATTTTATTAGCATTAAAATATCTAACAACTTTGTTAATTTTGTTGAGTGTGTGTGAACTGTAAAAGTAACAGAAAATATTTTATGGTTATTTTGCTGCGTTAATTGTATTATTATGATTTCATTGATGTTGATTAGGACTGCTTTCTGTCTGAAATCTTTCCTTGGGTTGAAGTAGATTTGGAACGCAAATGTTCTTAAGATATCAGAAGTTATATATTTGTGTTTTTGTTTAGTTTGAAGGGTGCCTATTGGTTTTATTTGTTAAGATTTACATGTGTTCATAGATTTCTAAAAAGTCCTGCTCCATCCAGCATCACAATTACTTTTAGTTTGGGATAAAATAGTTCTAAAAGAAACTCTCATCCATTTTCTGATATATAATTTCTTATGGGGATGATCATAAAATGATCGCAAACCCTACAGGATAGATTTCTATTCCTGATACCCCAAAGTAAAAAAAAAATAATAAAAAAAGATATTGAATGGTTCTGTTAACCACATAATCCTACTATACATACACCGTATATATACAAATAAGTGATATATTTTAAGAACAAGACTTTTTTGTATCAGGGAACATTTTTAAAGAAGATATAAATGTGATTCCTGTTAAATATATTATCTGTAACTGCTAAAAGGATCAACATAATTTACCTATTAAATGCGTTATATTGCCAATAGATGTGCTAATATCTATAAACAACCCCCATCACCAACAACCCATTCCCACCCTAAAGAAATAGGGAAGTAGAATGGAAGGTTATTTTGAAAGTCATCAGTGTTGAAGGGGGTGTGACCTTTTATTTCTTCAACTAAAATTCTCCATTTTGATGTTGAATATGAATAGCGTGCTGCTGGATGGAGCCTTCTATCATTCAAACGGAATGTTTATCTTCCTTTCATAATTTGAATTATACTCAATATTATTGGTTTGAATATGTTTTTCATCAGATTTAAAGATTGGTGTCACATATTCATCAGTCATTCTACATCCATTCAAACTACTTCAGGAAACCACCATGAACCAAATCAATAAATTTCAAATTGGTCTTTCTAGGTCTTTTATTTACGTAATATAAAATCCAACATCAATGCTTTGTTTTTATCCTAATGAAAGTGAAAGGGAGTTTTGGTTAAAGCATGTTGTATGCTTCTTTCTTTTTATAAAGTCTGTTAAAGTACAATTTTCAAAAAGTGCTCCTCAAAAGTGATAATTAAAAGCTCCCAGTTAATTTGGGCTGTTGTAATAAATATTAAGATCTGGTAGTAAAATCTTACTCTTGAAGTAAATTTCAGGCTCAGAACAATTCATACCCGTGATACACTTGTTCAATGTTTAGATTAAAAATTCTAAAAATCCTTTTTTTTTTTTTTTTTTTGTGATCTCTTGATTTTCTAGTCAAAAACTAATAATCTCTATGAAAAATCACACACTGTGTTATTGTATATTGTGTTGTAACTGCTTATATTTATGTAAGGTTTCATTTGTTCTGTTGATAAATAAACACTTCTGGTGGGAGGGACGACTAATTGATAAGTTAAATAAGCATTTGTGATTCCTTATTTCACATAGAAATGATATGAAAATATTGGATCAAATTATTATTAGTAGTAAAGATTTTTGCGATATTCCAGGAGTTACGTTCACTATTGCTCTCTGCACCCCTGGAACGTGTCATGGCAAAATTGAACATTTCAAATGATTTTCATAATATTGAATGAACAAGTTCCTAATATTGAATTTTCAAAGGCGGTGACAGTTTCCCACCTCAGAATATAATCTGATCAAAGTGTCATAAAAAGTGTTTGAATTATCACATTGTCAAAAAAGGGGGGAGAGGGGGAGACCAGTGTTAAGGCTTTGTTACATTAGCTGATAGACCACAAAATGGAAATTGTTCTGATATTTTTCATTAATTCTTTGTATTAATACAAGTTTTAAAATTAAGCTCAGTATTCCTATGTAGAGCATTGCCTGTATGTGTTAAATGAAACTAGTAGTAAAATAGCTATATGTGTATTTATAGAATATGCAAGCAAAGCGAGCACAGTTGTAGTTATAATCCTCTCCGTACTCTAAACCTGTAGTTTCATTTTACCCTTCCTCTACACCCATACAAGTCTGAGGGTTTTATATATCCAGTGTTTTAATTTGTATCACGTCAAACTGGACCATGGCAAAAAAAAACATACAATAGATAGTAAGAACTCTTCAGACTAATATGGATGTACTTTAGCAACCTGTAACTGTACATGTTCAACACTGCAATGAGTGCTTTTTAACCCTAGCTTACCTGTTGTTGTACTGTCCCATATCATAACCTGTTGTTGTATGTTGGCTGTAATGTATGTGGTATGTTATATAGCAGTACACTGATGCCCAGACGTGTAGCGTCACTGTGTGATGGGAGGTGTAGCGTCACTGTGTGATGGGAGGAAAGAGTAGTGTATGTTTATGGTAGCAACACCTTAACAATCCAAGTCACTTCTCTTATACTCTCTAGACTTCTGATTATTCTCAATACACATAAAATGAAAGCACCAGTACCTGTGAGATGTATGTTTTACTGTTTATATAGATAAAAATTCCCTCAAAATTTAGTCCAGAATTAAAATGTTCCGATTATCATTAACTGCTGCTTAAATCATGGCTGACTATGATGTTGCCATGAGCTATTTTATGCACAACAAGTACAATATGTATTTGATACAGTATTCAACAGTTGAAAAATGGACTCCTGTCTCCATAAACCTGTATTATGATTTCATATTTGAGTAATTTTGATTTTCAGAAAGGTTTGTTTGAAGACTTTCTAGAATTAAGTGATAAAAAGACAAATTTCCCGCTGAAGGTCCTGTAGTAGTTGTAGTACATGTGTATGGAAAAGGAGTCTAAAGCCATGTTATGTATAGTGTATGTCATTCTTCTGTATCGCCATCAAATATCATAGCCTAGATTATAATTTTTGTTGTCATTGCTTGTAACATTGATGTCATGCTATTGTATCAGTGACCATAGTAACCTTCACTCCCTTCTGTTATTGACTGGACTAGTCTAAATTATAACTTGAGGGTGAGAAGGAACAGTAACATGTTTGTGATACTAACTTTCACACCCGTGTGAAAATATTGAGCTGGTCCACATGATTTGGGTATGAAAACTTCATGAAACAAAGGCTGGTCCAGAATATTGAATGCCTGAATATTTTTGTTTACATGATACTCCACCACATTGAAGCTATCTACTTACATGTTCACTTAGTTTAAATTTCACACTTTTGATCAAGTGCAACCTTGTAAGATAAATGATGGAACAGAAATGTCTCCTTTGAAAGCAGCTTGACAGAATATTTATGTTCAATTTTACATATGGATGTAGAGAGATATAAATATTGTCATTACCTCTTAGCCACAAGATTATTTTCCTTGTTCCTCAACCATTTCACAATTATTGGGGCATCTTTGATTCCTTCTTGGTAAACAACTCGAAATAGAAATGTGCCTTTTGGGATGGGATATTTTTGAGCTTTGTGTTGAAAATGGACCAGATCAATGTTAGGTGAACATATGGGTGAGAAAGTTACTTACATTTTTTTGTGATTCATCCTTCACATGTGATCCATCAATTGTTACCGAGACGACCGTGGTGAAACGGCAGTCAGCATCACTGTTTGTTATTAGACTACATGAATAAATCTATCTGTTCAGAAAATGGGCAGAAAAACCAGCAACATGTGTTTTCTTATCGCTTGGAAAATATCTGGATGTAGAGATAAATATGTATCTATAAATATTGAGAGATCACTATAGTCTGTTCTGATGTGTTCTCCTTGTAGTAGCTGGTGGCTACCTCACTGAACAACATACAGGAGGCGCGTCACATGCCATTAAGAGCAACTAAGGTAAAGTGTCATGGTCAAAGACACAATCATATCAGCACAGACATTTCTCAGCTTCCTAGGAAACACAAACTACCATGGAGTAGGGAGCATCCAACCACACACCTCTGATCTCTATCTCGAGTTATGTGGACACTGTAAATTGTTCACAGGAAATTCCTGATTCCAATGGGAACATAGGTAAACTATATCATCCTAAAGTATTTTCTATACAACCCTAACAATTAACATGTGGGCATACATAAGTAGGTGTTATTGTCCAACTGGAATATTCCAGTTTAAATTTAACTCAAGTCCAAGCATCAACACAGAAAGGGTCCATAGCATCCACACAATTTATCATTGGGGCGTATTGATGAGAAAGGGTCCATCTTCATAGCATCCACACAATTTATCATTGGGGCGTATTGATGAGAAAGGGTCCATCTTCATAGCATCCACACAATTTATCATTGGGGCGTATTGATGAGAAAGGGTCCATCTTCATAGCATCCACACAATTTATCATTGGGCGTATTTATGAAAAAGGGTCCATCTTTTGAGTTACATGGAATTAATCTTCCTATGAGATTTTAATTGGGTATCACTAATACAGATAACTTTGCCTCAATTTTTGTGAAAGAAGATGAAACCAAGATGGCTATTTACAGCAATTTTATTGTAAATTATGACAAATATTCAGAGCCAATCAGTTATCACAGGACAATTCACTCAAGAGGTAGTAACATACTAATGTGAAATGGGCAGACATTAATTTACAAACCTGGCTTAAACTGAGAAACTAATCAAAGCTAGACAGTTAGCATTGTCTCGCAATAAGCCCATGCCTGGCAATAGTGCCATTGTCAGTCAGTACTTGTTACTTAAGTCCTGCGTTACCCCTAAACTTCGAGACAGACATTTTGTGTATGCCCCCTGGACTTACTGCAGGGTGGGTACTGTAATTTGTCATCATATTTCAACCAAAAACCAAATTATTGGTTAATTTACAAGAAAACAACATGATTTAATCGAATATCAGAAAAACAACACAACAGAAGTCAACAAAATTCTAACATAAGGCTATAACAAAGAACTACGTACACATGAAAAAAATGTCTACCTACCATAAATTGCTGTTATCTGTGCATAGGAAACTTGACAACCCAACAGTCTTGGTTCTCAGCATAAAGGCAGGGTTATAATGACAGTTCAGGTATAGTCCAACATTGTGACAGTTTATTAAAGTAAATGGATTTAATGTTAAGTATAAAATAACGTATATGTTAATGTACTGATGTACTTTCAACCACATGGAAACTACATAATACTATATATAACCAACTCACTTCACTGGCACAGTTGTGTCTCTAGCCAGTGTTTTAACAGGTATTGCTACTTATTTGGACTTAGACATGGATATATTTGGTACATATGTACTCAGATATAATTTAGTGCAGCAAGCACTTTGTATATAAAAAAATGATGCCCTGAATGATATTTGGTAAAGATAGTGAAGTTTGGTTTCTATGTGAAAAGGGTGTTGCTGTGCAAGTAATTTTCATTCAAAGCTCTCGTGTGTTGAATTTTAACAAAACATTGCAAACGAGATCAGCATTTTCTCAACCTGAATTGGAAATTACCCCAAACCAGTAGAAACAGGCACAAAAGGAAATCACCCACCAAGAAGTTATAACATCATAATTTATGAAAGTCAATTAACTGATACAAAGCATGCTATTATACTTAATAAGTGACATAAGAATAAAGCAATTGTTTTACACAGTCAACAAAAGGTAGCTATACATTACAGTAGTATTAAGTACCATAGCTGCCAAACATAATACGCTTTTCATTATAAGTCACAAACATTCAAAGAACGTAAAAAAAGGTTGTTTGTACATGGCACAAAAACAAAACAAAAATGCATTGTATAAACCAGAATCATTATTGATGACATGTACACAAATATCAAATTTTGTCAAACATGTATAAATTTTGTGTAATAATTGTTTGGAATACCCTCATTTTACTATGTTTATAAGTGAAAACTCATACATGAATAATATTTTGCTTGTTTCCTCAAAAATTTAACAGAAAAAAAACAATGCATACCTTTACGTAGGAATTCATTTTATTGTCAAATAGCATAATTTCATAAATTAATATTACACTTTAGAAAATCCTTTCCTGACTTTTCAAAAATAGCTAATAAATGGATTTTCTGTTGGTAGGTACATCAATTTATTACATTTTGCCAGTGAAATATAGGAATTTATCAATTTCCTTAAAACTATCATGATGATAAAAAATTTCCAGTGATGATTTAACTTTTGTGGTTTTATCCAAAAAGAACATTGATTTCTAGTCACTGCATTGAAATTCCCTGATTTTACTGTTCAGTCACAAATGAAGTGTAGGTAAATGAAACTACACTGGAATGAGTTGGATTTTCATCAAAGCATTCATATGTACATTTCATGCTTCCTTGATCTGGTATATAAACAAATTTTGTAACCAATTCTCACCAGGTAAATGGTGGAACACTATGCAAAGCAGCTGATTCAAAATGGTGTCATTTTGTTGTCAAGCATAATGTTAAATTATCTGACATCAAAGAGCATGCTTTTATTTCCCCAACTTTTTTTAACACTGTTCATTATTATGTTTGTTTTGTTCCAATAAAAACATAATAAAAAGAAAATATAATGGTTTCCTAGTAAATATAATATTTCTTAATCTTCTGACAGAAGATATCTATTTTTTTCCACTTGTGCTGATATATGTCTAACAGGAAACACTTAAATATCCTCTCTATACTTCACAATTTCATCACACCATCATTTTCTCACACATATTGTCACTTTCTCCCATTCCATACAGTTACACTGGTAATGTACACTTCTAAAATTCAGTAAAAATGTTTAATAAAATCTCGATGATATTGTCAAATACAAATTGATCACTTCAGAATCTTGAGATGTATGCCATTTTTTTAGGAATCTGAATTTTATATTCGTTGTCGATACTATCCTTGTTCAGCAGACCTTGCAAACTTCCTTGGAAACAGACTTGAGCAGATATCAATCCTGGTTGTGCGATACAAAACTTTGATCAGGTGACACGAAACTTCTGTAACGGCATCTTCATCTTTTTCTTAATGCTGCTCCATAGCCAGTCAACTGTGATGCACACACCTGTGGTCAGTACCGCCTAGAGACAGGATAAGAAAGAGATATAAATTACTGCACACAACCATAGTCAGTCAACTGTAACTACACACAACCATAGCCAGTCAACTGTAACTACACACAACCATAGCCAGTCAACTGTGACGCACACACCTGTGGTTGGTACCGCCTAGATTCAGGTTAAGAAACAGATATAAGTAACTACACACAACCATAGCCAGTCAACTGTAACTACACACAACCATAGCCAGTCAACTGTGACGCACACACCTGTGGTTGGTACCACCTAGAGACAGGGTAAGAAAGAGATATATGTTACTGCACACACCCGGTAATATGTAGACTTTGTTTAATCTTTGCTAAACCTCCTTTCTGTCTACAGTTATTTATATTATCCTGTAATTCTGAACATACACCAGTTTCTGTAAGAAATTATCTCTCCTGTAATTGAGAAATTAAGAATCTCAAAAATTATAGATAACAAACTCTAGATGATTCACAAATGCACAGTCACACAACTGAACTTTCATGAGGTCACTGTTTCTACATTTTTCACATCTTTGCTATGTATTACTGGCTATTAAATAAACAGTACCATACAATAAAACCTAGTTATCAGACTAAATACCACTAGCCTGTCCAATGTCAGTAGGACTGAGGAAGCCTGCCAAACAGCAGGCCCAAACTACTCTAGAGTTTGTTTTTTTGTTGAGTGAAATTGTGAAAATAATTTTTATAAGAACTTACTTCTCCTGGCTTAACAATAACATGAGTTGCTGTTTTCTTCTGAAAGTCATTCACCAGATCTCCATCAAAGCTGTAAACAGGCAGCAGAATTATAGGTCCACAGAAATAATAAAAAGATTCTCTTTTAGTTTTAAAAACTAAGAGTGGGACCATAGTTTGGGATGAAAACTTATAGAATCTTTCAACTCCCTTTACAATGAGATTCCCTTATCTCCCACTGAATTATTACATTTCTGTTTCCTGTTTTCCTTATCTACGTACAATACGAAGGGTATACAATAACATGTGGATAGTGTATGAATAGTTATGAGACCCACGCCTCGCACACTGTGATTTAATCTTACACAAAACATAAATATAAAGAGCATACCAATAAATGTCAAATGAAATTATACTCCTGATAGCTTATATATATATATTATGATAAGTTGTGGATGAAGATGAGTTTCAATCTTTATGATAACACAAGATTTGCATGATTTACCTGTCCAGGGTAAAAGAAAGGGTTGTCTTATCTAATTCTTACCCAATAATATATCGCTTTAACAGTCTGTATTTGTCTGTGTCTTCTGACAAGAAAATCTTTGTCCCAGAAAACACATTTGGTAATCTCTGAAATGATAAAACAATAAATTACTAGTAACACTTAAATAAAAACACACAGCTAAAAAAATCATCATATTTTTGGATTATCATATATAATGAAGCAATCATCCCTCACTGCCATTTGTATTCAAAACAAATAAAACGGATACCAACAAACTTTGTTACTAATGGGCACAAGACCTATTTTTAGTTCATTACACCAAGCCTCTCCAGGTCAAATACCAAATTCAATGAGTGAAGGTGAAACAGCATAAATTGTGCAATGTTAAAAAAATATTATCGATACTCAAAGAGATGTGCAACATTGCATTATCTGTCCTAGCATAGACAAGCATATGATCATGGAGGTTTGAAATATACTATTGGAGTTACTTGAAAATAATTTTTTTTGGGGACAAATTACACATTTATCTGTATGTGTATCATATATACTTATCTCCCTTGGTTTGAATTCTCCATACACTTACTTTCATTGTTTAGGGTCAGCTACACACTTATTTCAGCAGCTATGGGTGATTGCTGTGGAATATAACATAATGAAGCCCTCCCCATTTCTTTGAGTGGCTACCCAATTATCCTTTCTCCTGTTGGTTGACTACATATTTACATCCTCTTGTTTAGGTTGGCTACACACTTACCTCCCCTGGTTTTGGAAGCTTCTTGTCAGTCGGGTGGTAGTATTGATCTGTATGAGCAGGGTTTGTCTGATAACAGTCACTGCTATATTTACATGTAGGTTTTGAGGACTGAAAGATTGAGTGATCATAAAGATTAGTCAATTTACACTAAACACATACTTACCTCTGATAACAATATCAATCCATATGTCAGGAGAAATAATATTTCCATTTTTCGTTGCTAAATAATGTTAGTTATATAAATTGATTTGTTTTTTGTTTCCTCATTTAATCTTATCTGATATATACATACATCTGACTTTACCTTCTTAATTGGTGACTCCTCATCAATTTTCTTTGAAGGAGAACCATCAAATTTTTTCTTTGGTGAGGAAGCTTCCTCGTCATTATCCTCTGTCCTTGACCTTTTTTCACCCCTTTTGACCCAGCCTGCCAGTGTCCCCATCTTGCTGGGTGAGGCCTTGGAAGGTGTTACTGGGGCAGATTCTCGACCTTTGGACGGAGTTGAAGGTGCTGGCCCAGCGTGATCAGAGTGACCATTACTGTTTCCGTTATTGTTGTCGTTGTCACTGTCCTGACTCCCTTTACGCTTGGTAGCTGCCTTCCCTTTCTTGGAACTAGGAAACAAGTCTGATGTCTCCTTCGACTTCTTGAATAGTTCCTACAATTAGACAAGACATCAATGTTGTAAAGTTATGTATACAACATCCCTGTATTTTCTGTGTTGTTTACACCTGCTTCATCCTGCTGTTATCTGATCTCTTATTTTTAATGGAGACAATGTCTTCCAGTGCCTGTCTTGTATTGTACAACCTTTTTGTAAGACACATGTAAAATCTAAGGAGTGTCAAAAACTTGTCCCATTAGTGGATCCTCGGATATACTTCTCAAATTGTAAAACAACATTTGGGGGTAATTAACGTTCACAAAAATATGAGGAAGTCAATTGCTCCAAATTAAGAGGAGACAAGAATAATAAACAATGTTTATAGTATGCTATAAGAATTCCTATCACGAAAGTTAATATCCTCAAGATTCTTGTGATATATATTAAGCTAAACTTTGTTCACTTAATGAGTTAGTCTATTTACCTGAAGTCTTGGGAGGTTTGTTGCCTCTTTCCAGCTTTTGTCATCACGGAACTTCGTGATGCGAGGAAATCGGATGCTGATGCCAGCTGCAGTATGTATCTCCGCCTTACTGAATTCTGCCCCGGCTATCCCCCACACAGGTGCTTTCTTTGGGTCACGTATGACAAAGTCAGGAATCACTTGTTTTTTAATGTTGAGCCAATCAGGGATCTTTCTGACATCCTTACTGATTTTGACCATGTCCAGCTTAGTCTGGAGTTCGTCTAAAGTCTTGTCATCCAGTCCACTGTGACACTTGGTGACAGTACACCACTGGTCAGTGTCAGGATCATGAACTCCAAGCAGGAATATTGACATGATTCCACCTGTAAAATAGAGTATCTAGTAAGGGATGCTTGACAAATATTCAAATATAAAGTGTCAGCTTTCCATTGTTATAGTTAAAATTTATCGTAAATCACCTTCAAGATCAGGTTTCAAACCGTTAAAAAGTTGCAGAGATTCTGAATAATGAAGAATCAGATAAGAGATGTCATGTTTTGTTTTTAGATAACACTGATCAATACATCAAAACCCTTATAAAATGTCCTCTGAAGTAGACAATGTTTAACATAATAATTATTTCACTCTCAGTATCCAAGGAGAAAGGAATATCAAGCTTATTCATAGAAATTCCTCCGACAGTCGTTTGATCTTGGTCAACTTTGAAAGTCACAGATTCAAGCATTACTCTAAAAAATAGTGCCGCAAACAGGCCATTTTGGCCTGAGAAAAACAATGGATATGAATAAGAATAAATTCTCACAAGTGTGAGATTTAACCTTAAATCATTTCTTGAATGCTATAAAAAACAACTAAATAGACTTCTCTGATCACGTGAAAATTTCATGTAAGAAGTCAAGCAAAAAAATAAATAAAACCACAACTGCTTTCTGAGAAATGACAATAGTGACAGTTATTGGATGTGGAATATACACACATTTTTCATACATGTATGATGCTTGATGTGTCTATGACATCAAAAGGACTCACTAAACATTATATCATAAGAAGACATAGATTGTAAACTAAAGAGGTTTCTTCATTAAAACAACAAGATACCAACATGTCAACATAATCCAAACACTCAAGTTCAATAAAACTATGGCAACAACACCAAAGAAAATACCAACATGTCAACATAATCAGAATCCAAACTTAAATTCAATAAAACTAGGTCAAAATATGAATAAATGAAAGACTTACACTGAGACTCCTGAAAAAGTGCAAGGTGAATTAGACCAGGTGTTACAAAAGAGTAAGCATCTTCTGCTTCATTGACAACACCCATCATGTAAATCTTGGTCAACCCACATAAGTAATATTACTTTCAAAATGAAAACAAGGTATACAACAACAGAACCAACAGGTAAACTAACAAGTATCAAACACATTCAGCTTCATATTACACAATGAAATAGAATAATTCTCTGAGAGATCACTATGACGACTGGTCAAGTCTGTTTGCTGCACCTTTGTTTCCTGACCCGAAGTAGGCCCCCAGCACCACTAGGTCAGCTGAGTCCGCCATTGTACCCTGTTCTAGGTAATCTTTCTTTATCTTCAACCAATGTCTCTTTCCAGGCTCATAGATCCCCTACAAAACAACAAACAAAGTAACATTACTGTCTCTTCCCTGGTTCATAGACCCCCTACAACACATCCTAATAAACAATGTAACATTACTGTCTCTTCCCTGTCTCATAGATCCCCTACAAAACAACAAACAATGTAACATTACTGTCTCTTCCCTGGTTCATAGATCCCCTACAACACATCCTAATAAACAATGTAACATTACTGTCTCTTCCCTGGTTCATAGATCCCCTACAACACATCCTAATAAACAATGTAACATTACTGTCTCTTCCCTGGTTCATAGATCCTCTATAACACATCCTAGTAAACAATGTAACATTACTGTCTCTTCCCTGGTTCATAGATCCCCTACAACACATCCCAACAACCAATGTAACATTACTGTCTCTTCCCTGTCTCATAGATCCCCTACAACACATCCCAATAAACAATGTAACATTACTGTCTCTTCCCTGGTTCATAGATCCCCTACAACACATCCCAACAAGCAATGTAACATTACTGTCTCTTCCCTGTCTGATAGATCCCCTACAACTCATCCCAACAAGCAATGTAACATTACTGTCTCTTCCCTGGTTCATAGATCCCCTACAACACATCCTAATAAACAATGTAACATTACTGTCTCTTCCCTGGTTCATAGACCCTCTACAACACATCCCAACAAGCAATGTAACATTACTGTCTCTTCCCTGTCTCATAGATCCCCTACAACACATCCCAACAAGCAATGTAACATTACTGTCTCTTCCCTGTCTCATAGATCCCCTACAACACATCCTAATAAACAATGTAACATTACTGTCTCTTCCCTGGTTCATAGACCCTCTACAACACATCCTAATAAACAATGTAACATTACTGTCTCTTCCCTGGTTCATAGACCCTCTACAACACATCCTAATAAACAATGTAACATTACTGTCTCTTCCCTGGTTCATAGACCCTCTACAACACATCCTAACAAACAATGTAACATTACTGTCTCTTCCCTGTCTCATAGATCCCCTACAACACATCCCAACAACCAATGTAACATTACTGTCTCTTCCCTGGTTCATAGATCCCCTACAACACATCCTAACAAACAATGTAACATTACTGTCTCTTCCCTGGTTCATAGATCCCCTACAACACATCCTAACAAACAATGTAACATTACTGTCTCTTCCCTGGTTCATAGATCCCCTACAACTCATCCCAACAAGCAATGTAACATTTAACTTTACTCATGAAATCTAAAAAACAGTGTTTCTAAGTCTTAACAGTTATACTAAATTTAGTGTTTCACATACTTTGTTTCAAGATCTGAAGACTTGACCTGTTATAAAGAGCTGTTATAAATTGAAACTAGATGAGTTTATCAGTAGAACTCAACAGTTACATCTACTGCTATTTTTTTCACTTTAACAAATCCCAATATTCCAAAACAAAGGACTCCGGAATGTTTCAAATTAAGAGAAAGACAATTCATCATCCTACGATTTTCAATATTTTATCAAATAAAAGAACAAATATGAACACCGATTTTTTTCTCATGACAAGCTAACTCTGTAATGGCTCTGCACACAAACATACCAGGAGAGAAAGTAGACTATCTAAATATCTAAATGTCAAAGTATCTCATCAGTGTTGAAAACAGTGCAGCAAGGGCAGTCGGCTTCCCAAATACAACAATATAAGCAAGCCACATACTAAAACAAGCTCAGCCACATTGTGCTATTATGGGAGATAACTCACATTGACATCTTTGAGAACGAGTCCCTCCAGTCCCTGTCTGAACACTTCATTCATCATATCCTTTAAGTCGTCAGGCTCCTGTAATATCAGACGAGGTAACAGATTGCTATATTAGTGAGATATGAACCGTTGTAAACAGATTTATGACACAACTGTCTAGTTTGGTCACACACGTCAATGTCATAAATATTGTATGACACGTGTATATAAATATCAATATTGCGTCATAAACCAATGTGATCACATGGTTGTCTCCATGGTGACAAAAGACATCAGATATTGCTCAGTATGTCCTAGAAAGTCTTGAAAGTAAAGAAAGTACTAGGATTTTCCCTTTTTAAAAGATATTGGGTTTCCTTCCTTTTTAGTGAAAGAATATATACTGTAACAAATTAACAATGTGTAAGTTATGTCCATGTCATACAAAACTTCCAATAATTTGATATAATATGGATATTTGTAATCAGCCTAGTTAATATGAAACATTCACCTAAGTAAAATCTTCACAGAAAAAGAAATAAAACCCACCTTGATGTGCTGCATCTCTGAGAACATAACATGATGTTCTATCTCTGTCATATTTTCATGGAGTATTTTTCTTCTTGTCTTTATGGGTCTGTAAAAATAACACTTTTTAGTGAGAGCAAAATATATTCTACAGAACTTCACATTATGTTTATTGATATCAATGTTATGTTATTTATAAGTGTGTGTAAGACTCTGAATAAACTAGTCGTGATCTTTGAATTTACTAATAAGTCTAGTTCATATAATGATATCTACATGTATATTCAAAACTTGAAACTTTACCATCACTTAAATAATGTTACCTGGTATTCCTTTCAAAGAAACCCTGTAACTTAACAATGAATTTAGATCTGATCACACTTTTAATATTTCAATAATATGTAAGTACTGGTTTATATCATTTTTCTATATCATCTCACAGCATTCTTCAACTTCAAATGTAAAAGGAATAGTATTGGGCAATTCAATATAATGTTGAATTTCTCATCAAAGGCAAGCAGCTCATTTACATAGACAACACCAAGAGAAGTTTACTAATGAAAGATCCTAGAGAGATCCTTGTACCCATCATCAAATCGTTTTTACTGGTTCTGTTATCTTTTCATTATCAAAAACTGAATCATTATAAATATAACAAATCCATTTACACATTTGGCAAATCCAATGAATTTTTACCAATTTACACAACAAAGAGCTTCTTTCAATTCTAAACATTGTTAGGACCAGTGTTATTGGTAAATTTCTTTTCTTTTTCAAAACTTTGTTGGGCTATGAGCTAGAAATACCTTTCTACCAAAATTTGTTTGTGTGCCTTTTGGTTAGTCGGAAAAATCATTTACAGGTGTTAACAAATTTAACCCCTGTGACCCTAAATGAGGGTCAAGTTTATTTCTTTTTGCAAACTTGGGCTTCATCCTACCACATGCAAGCCAAATATCACGCGTCTAGATCTTTTGGTAAATGAGAAGCAGTCATTAAAATCTTTTAAAAAATTCCCCCTATGACCTTGAATATCAATTGAGGTCACAGGAGTCAAATTTTGTTGGACTTCATCCAAAGTACCTACAAGTAAAATATCATGCTTCCTGGCCTTTCCGTTATAAGGAGTTGTTTAAACGTTTAAACAATTTTGACCTCTGCGACCTTGAATAAGGATTAAGGTAACTTCTTTTTTTTCATGGTTTTTGTCTGGCTTCATCCTATGAACATTCCAGCAAAATATCATACTTCTTAGGTTCTTGGTTATTCAGAAGAAGATGTTTAAAGGAAATAGTTGACACGGGATGGGCAATGGATGATGGACACTCCATCATGGTCTAAGCTCACGTGGCCCTTCAGGCCAGGTGAGATAAAAATGGCTCTATAGGTAGATCACCATTATAACTATGAACAGGTTCAATAACTTTGAATTTTAGGGTACCTGAAACAAATAACCTTTAAAGAGAGGTACATTTAAAATACAGATGACCTTTGAAGAGAAGTGCATCTTAAATACTAGTTGCCTTGAAGGCAGATTTCACTGCATTTTATCATAGTGAGTCACTGTAAGCCCCTACTTATCCTGGTATCAGATAGAACTTACTTGTCCATGATATTCTCCCCGTTAATGTGGAGACAATCAAACACAAAAAGGCAGACCTTGGCATCTGTGAACTGAGCTTTCTGTGAGGATAAAAAGAAATAATTGTGTGAAGCCTATATAATATACTGACAAGTGTAGTGGATAATTGTACATGTTCCTATAAGTAGTTATTTGGTTTTTATCCATTTAAACTCTTTACAAATATGTAAATTTCTAGTCATTGCATTAGATGAGAAGTAACACATACATATATTGAAGTAGAACTTTTGCCAAAAAAGAAATCAAAAGCCCTTCTTATGTGTTTAATAAAAATATATTCATATTTGTTGTTTAGTGAAAGCAATTGTTGAAAGGAGTTTTTATCAATTCTTGAAATTGATCCAAATTTATACATATTTCATATTTTTCACATGAATTTCATATTTTGGCTGAAAAATTCAATGAATTATTTCAAATCTCTATGCTTGCCATCATTTGTATTGAACATACTACAATCATATATATACATATATCATATTATACAATGCTGTTGCTACAGTGCCCATATTTCTGAGAAACCAAACTTTAAAAATCTTCATTACCTTGTCTTTAAATTTACAGCGGTATATTGTGATCATATCCATTTTACTGGCTCCACTATGCGTCACCAGTCAAACTAAATTTGCAACAGTATTAATAACAATACACTTCACAAATTTAAAAAAATACAGAAATGTTATTGCCTTCCTGATTCCAACACCACCACCTTCTACTGTACTAAACCTTGTGAACTCCCAGTGTACCAAATGGGAGGGGCTTTCCTGTGGTTGTATCCACTAGTAACACTTCAGCATCTAAAATAAGGTCGTCTCCTGATGGAAAAGCCTTCTGGATGTGCTCTTTAAAGTGCTCCACCTTTAAACACCAATTCAAAAACAATCAGTCCATCTTTTACCTATATTTTCATTTATGAAGACATATTGAATATACTATATGATTCTGGTCAGTGCATTTCTTCTCTATTGCAAATTCAATATTCTGACTGTGGTAAGAAATTGGCCTTATGAGGTTATATAGCTTAAGATTCTGACTAAGGTAAGACTGACTACTGGTTTGTAGAATCTAAGACCGTGGCTGAAGTAAAACTGACCTTATGAGGTTGTACAGGTTGAAGATTCTGACTGAGGTAAGACTGACTACATGTACTAGTTTGTAGAATCTAAGACCCTGGCTTAAGTAAAACTGACCTTATGTGGTTGTACAGGTTTAAGATTCTGACTGAGGTAAGACTGATTATTTATTTGCAGAATCTAAGACTGTAGCTCAAGTAAAACTGTCCTTATGAGTTTAAAAAATTTCAAGATTCTGACTGAGGTAAGACTGACTACTGGTTTGTAGAATCTAGGATCATGGCTGAAGTAAAACTGACCTTATGCGGTTGTACATGTTTAAGATTCTGACTGAGGTAAGACTGATTATTTATTTGCAGAATCTAAGACCGTGGCTGAAGTAAAACTGACCTTATGCGGTTGTACAGGTTTAAGATTCTGACTGAGGTAAGACTGACTACATGTACTAATTTGTAGAATCTAAGACCATGGCTGAAGTAAAACTGACCTTATGAGGTTGTACAGGTTTAAGATTCTGACTGAGGTAAGACTGACTACATGTACTAATTTGTAGAATCTAAGACCATGGCTGAAGTAAAACTGACCTCATGAGGTTGTACAGGTTGAAGATTCTGACTGAGTTAAGACTGACTACTGGTTTGTAGAATCTAAGACCCTGGCTTAAGTAAAACTGACCTCATGAGGTTGTACAGGTTTAAGATTCTGACTGAGGTAAGACACTGACCTTATGAGGTTGTACAGGTTTAAGATTCTGACTGAGATAAGACTGATTATTTATTTGCAGAATCTAAGACCGTGGCTGAAGTAAAACTGACCTTATGTGGTTGTACAGGTTTAAGATTCTGACTGAGGTAAGACTGACTACTGGTTTGTAGAATCTAAGACCCTGGCTGAAGTAAAACTGTCCTTATGAGGTTGTACAGGTTTAAGATTCTGACTGATGTAAGACACTGACCTTATGAGGTTGTACAGGTTTAAGACTACGACTAAAGTAGGAAAACTGTGTTCCTTTTTTATGCAGCTGTACTCTTTCTCCGTCATACTTTATTTCTGCATAGAAACCGTTGGGACATCGCTTCATAGCAAACTCAACAGAGCGACAAGCTTCAGCCTGAAACAAAATCAATAAAACAATAACCCAGATTAGATAATTAGAACTGTGGTTGGTAGTTTAGACAAAGACTTGGTTGAACAGTTAGACAAGCCAGCTAACCAATGGCTATCTTCAGAAGGATATATCTACAACACTACAGTTATTAATCATCTGGTTACTGATGTCTCCCGATATTAACTCATATCATGAAAACTGATGTATTTGGCCGTCTGTTAATTGTGTCCATAGCAATAAAATTATTTCAATTTTGCATAAAGTGAAGAAATTTTAATATTCAGTTAGTTTTGCCAAATTTTTGTATATTATTTCCCATAGAAACTATTGAAAGCATTCTTGAACAAATTTACATGAGATTATGAAGGCACTTAGATTTCAAGAATGAACTTTATTAATGCGGAATGGAAATCCAAATCCATACAAGAAGACAAAATTGACTTATTCACATTTGACCTTTGCTCTAATTATGCAAATTTCAGGTGGTTACCACTGCAACCATAGATGAAATAATAAATAAATATCTATCATTACAATGGTATGAGGAAGTATCTAAAATTTGAAATACATTGATTATGGGTTTTAAAGTTTGATAGAGTTGTGGACAAAAAATTGGTGAATCCTTACATAGTCCTTTATACCCTGTATTAGAGCTTCTACATAAGTAAAATCACTATTTTCTACATTGTTTTCTATCCTATATAACATACAAGCATAGGTAGGACTGGTGTCATGAGATTAGCCCTGACGCTCAGTTTCCTAGCCTTTCCTGGTTTACCACCTCCCTCTTCCAAGTTTTGTTGCACACGATCGACAACATCACGGAGATTCCTCGAGGCCTGGAAAGCTGCGTAGGCATTGTCATCTAAACCCTCTAGTCTACAACAGATATATAGCAAACATTTATAATGATATAGAGCACTGTTTGGTCAATAATATTATATAATGTTAACAACATTATATCCCTCTAGTTAAAAGGCTTGCATCAATTACATTCAATGTGTTATACACACTGTCATTACAACTGTCTTATCCCAATTTCGTAACATCTTGTGAAATAATGTAATGCATCATAACAAGAATATTGCTAACAGCAATTTACATCAGTCCAATAAAATGCTATTTACAAAAACAACAAAAATTGCTTGATCAAAAGATCAAGACTCAGTAAAAAAAGGAAAATTTTAAACATGTTTTCATGTAAAATGGAAATTCACATAAGAAATATAGATTGTAAATGCGTGACAGAACAATTGATACATTGGATGTTATATATTTTGCTTCAGACTTACATGTGTTTTGCTCCAGCATTGATCCTTAAGTCATGTTTTATAAGACGTATCACCATCTTTAGGTCATTAAGTGTACACCTAGAAAATAACAGTAAAATGACTTAAAGAGCTAAAAACATACTTTTAAAGAACATGGAAGTCATTAATACAAAATACTATATAAATAACAATGTTCCAAACAATTTCATATCAAAGCTGTTTTTCTCTAATGCTCAACTGTTTGGTGGATGTACCATCCCATCAACTGCCACAGTCATTTTGAGACAGGGTCTCCTAGTACTAGCTGTTAACCATCTTAAAGATCATTATATGGTAGGCCTCTCACCATCCTCGATACTACAGAGGTTATGATCACTTTCACTCTCTGCACTTCTGTCACGGGAAAATTGAAGGCACAAGCAAAGTAATTTGATTGGTTCCAGGAGAAAACAAGAGTTCCTCGGAACGGTATGTGTCGCCTGCATAAAGTGTCACGGTCACCCAGAGTTTGAGCTGGATGTGCAACATTCAACCATAAAGTTGTAATATCAAATTTCATTTCATTAACTTGAAGCATAAAGCGAAAACTGCACAAAGCAATATTTCTGAGAAATTTTCCGAGTTCAAAGGGACATATCACTGCCAAGAATGGTCACAGACAGCATATAGCAAATGTCATTTCTAAAACTCAAAGCATAACCAAAGAAAGTCAAGAAAACAATATTCCCAGAGAATTTTTCTAAGTTCAAAGTGGCATAACTCAGCCAAGAAGGGTTACAGACAGCCAGGAATCAAGCTTAACTTGTACCCTTGCAACAGAATGCCATATACCAAATTTCATTTTGATAACTCAAAGCATAAGCCAAAAAAGTCCGGAAAACAATATTCCCAGGATATTTTCTAAGTTGAAAGGGGCATAACTCTGCTAAAAAGGATCACAGACAGCCAGGAATTAAACTTAATCTGAACCCTTGCAACAAAAAACCATATGCAAAATTTCATTTTGATAATTCAGAGCATTACCGAAAAAAGTCCAGGTAACTTTCGTACGGACGACAAAAAAACTGACCAATACAGGCTAATACACTCCCTTTAAAGATAACATAAAGAGCAACACCCAACTTCAAAACCATAACAATATACTGTTATGCAACCTCGAGATTGCTTTGATGTACGTCCATAAGGTGTCGCACATGGAACTCTCAATTTTTGTAATGACATGCTCCAAGGGTGAAGAGAGCAAAAGTAACTGAAACTCCTGGAGTATCGAGATTGGCCTGTCACATACCATCCAGAGCAACTGTGGCATGGATCTTTTAGTACTGTTAATGTTTCAATGTATTCAGACAAAAAACTAATTTATCTGGATCTCCGGGTTGTTGGTTAGTTTGATGGCAGCTGTTGAGTTCTATTACAGATGTCTTAATCCAATACATACCATGACATGACATTTATAAATTCTTGCTGATGAATAAGAAAATATTTAAATGATTAAAACATTAACATAATTGCAGTGGCAATAGTATTGATAATTTTTCTTTCCTTTTTATTTTCAATTTTTTGAGATGGGCAGAGTTTACCTTTTGGCTATTTGTGTGAGAATTCTCTGTTGGTCTTCTTCCTTTGTCACAAGAGAGAGCTCTTCCAAGAAATAGTCCACCTGGAACAATGCAACAACTATGTAATTTTATATCAAATTTCACCATGTTCCATGTTTATTCACAGAGGGTCTTACATGACTATAGATGTAGTATGAAATTTGCTGAACCATTTCAAAAATTTTATATGTCATAAGCCTTTCAGCAAGTGACACATCAAATTATTTATCAAGTTAAATAAACTCCATATTACATCTGAGTGTCAGATTTCATTTATCCAATATAACCTATATTTCTCAAAAATACGCAAAATCTCTGAAAATTATTTCGCCAATCAGACAGGCTAATTTCAACTTGGAAGGTACATTTTTCATTACAGAGACAATTATGTGATGTCATCATGATGTGACATAATTATGACATCACATTATTGATATTAGGTATGAATCTTATGATATTTATGACATTGTTGTATGACATGACAAAACCAATTATTTGATGAAAAATGTTTATGCATAACTTTTACAGACTTCTCATCTGTTTGGATATTTTAAAATCATTTACCAGGATCTATCCATTTTATTTTATGATCACAAATATGTGTTGTTTAATGACAGAGGTCTCGTTATCCATAACTTTCTACTGAACTACAAATGTTCTGCCAAGTGTGACAATATCTAGACTCCAGTATCACTGAATACATAAAATCAATTATGCTTTTACTTTACAGTCTGAATTTTGTTTCATTTGTCTATTAAATTTTACATCTCATAGAATTTTATAGATATTCCCTGAATTAATGGAATTTTGATGAAATGTTTCAGTCTTAGACTGTGCTGATGAATTCAATACCAGCTTCTGTTCTATAATAATAAACTTCTTCGGGTCAAATATACCATGACTACTGATACAAATGACTTCAAAGGATCAGATACCTGTTGTAGGGTCAATGTACTTTTCTTTACAGGCATCAAGTGTTTACTCTGATCAAAAAATATCCTCACTGTCTCTGCGACATCTCCCTGAAAGAAAGCACATTGAATTTTGTTGATATATATTTTTCAAATAAAAAAACAAAACAAAACACATGGAATATCCACAAAGAGAAATTTATCAAATTTGAGAAAATATCAAATATTTAAAAAAAACTCTTTTTGTTCATTACAAAATGTATCATTTACCTCTTGTTAATGCTGATGAAATAAAATAACAGATAATTCTTTTTAATCAGCAGAGAATTTATAACACTGGAAAAAGTGGTTTCAAACAATCTAATAGAGAGAAGAATACCATACATTTTTTAATCCTGAAAAGACATTGCGGAAGTGTTACTAGTAATGGTGAGTGGGTTGTGCAATGTTAACACACTCGCCTTTCACCATGATGTCCAAATTTCAATTCTCTGAAAGGATGTTTAAAGTTAATTATATGGGGTCATCTGCCAGGACATGTGGGTTTTTCCAGGGGTACTCCTGTCTCATTCCACATTAAGATACCTCACACCCTTCAATCCAAGACAACGAGAGTGTTTTGTATAAGACTGATCACTTGTAAAAAGATTTTATACTAATGACAAATTTATGTCAGTTCCCATCAAGGGTATTGACAGAAAAGGATAAAATCTTCCTTATCCAGAAAGATACAATTATTTAGCAATGAACAAGGCAAGGTGTTGGGAGAAGCTCTTGATTTCACACATACAGCCAAACTCCAGTATTAAAACTGGACAGAGGGAAATAATTATGTACAATGTTAAAATGATTTTTAGTACGTAAAACAGAGCCATTCCAAATGTGCTCACATTCAATACTTATCATTTGTAAGTTACAAGACTAGGGAGTATGTGAGAAAAGGCCTTTAACGAAATGACAAAGGAAGATATATTAACCACACTCCTCTCCAGTAACATGGAGGACAAATAAATCTTAAGCTTGCATAGAAAACAGATTGTTGATATGTAAAAGATTAAATACCTGATCAAGATCAGCCACCATTGCCTGCAGACTGGTTCCAAAAATCTAAAACATAATAGGTGATGAAATGAATTGTGTTGCTTTATGATCTCTTCATGCTGCGGTTTAAAGAACATGCAATGTGCCTCTCTAGGATGTTGTGATGTAGCAACCAGCTACCACAAGAAGATTCTGCCTCAAAATGACCCTTGCTATTGCAGGATGATAAACCCAGCAAGCAAAATCAATACAATGACTTGAAAATGAAAGAGAAACTGACAATATGGTAACATAGGCTACGACTAGGTCACAAGAATCACTCAGGCATGACAAGGTTACAGGCAATTCATATTAGGGGCACAAGGGTTAGACCTAGGTCACAAGAATCACTCAGAAATGACAAGGTTACAAGCAATTCATATTAGGGTCACAAGGGTTAGACCTAGGTCACAGGATTCACTCAGACATGACAAAAGTACATGTATGACTCAATCTACAGTCACATGAGTTTCAAACAGGTCACAGGGATCTCTCAGATGCGACAAGATCATGCACAACTCATATCAATATTAGGGTCACATAGGTTATACTAGGGTTATGTGAATCATGACAGGTGTGATTGGTTTCTGTTTCACGGGGTCACAATAAGGCTCTGTTAAGTAATCCTGTTACAAAAAAAGGCCCAGGATCATCAATAGTTTTATTTCTAAAACTACTCCTGACCCAAGGGTCTATTTAGTTTGGACATTTCTAGAACTGCAGACTGTTTTTGAACAAGGAAAATTTATTGTTTTGGGGTTATTTCTACAGAAAAATGAAAAACAATCTTATCAAATGTGTATGGGTAACTAAAGACAGAGTCAGATGATCTAATAAAACCTAACTTGATTATGTTATTATTTTACTCATCAAATATTTACCTGGCTGAATAATTTAACAAGCTGTTTGTTATTCAGGTTGTATACTCGTTTCACAACACCAGGCAGCAGCAGCTTCAAAAGTGTATAGGTGTCACCAGTGTAGCCCTCTGTAATATGTAACACAAGATTATATGTAAGTTCCTTAAACAGTGCATAGGTGCATCTTTAGCCATGGAAGGTTTTTGTAAAATTTTATTGAAATTGGTTTAGGAGTTTTCAAGAAGAAGTCAAAAATGTTTAAAAGTTTATGATGCACAGCTCACTTGGCCCTTTGGCTAGGCGATATAAAAATGTGTTGGTTTTGAATTTGTTTAAAAACATTGTTTGTGATTCATACTACAAGTATTATCATGCAGCTTATTGTAGTCCCCAAATATGCCCTGCCCTACTTTAAGTCTATATTTTTCACTTGGGGAAAAAGGATGTATTTGCAGTAAAAATTGTTGTCTAATCTTTGCATTAAATCACTATAGTATGCCTGCTGAAGAAAAGCTAAGAAAACCTGTTATCACTGTTTCATTTTTACTCGCCAATATAAAAGCTTACTGACCTCCAGAAGAGCCCTTCTTGAGGTACTTTGTAACCAGAGCAGTCTTGGAGTTGTAACTACTTTCATCAGCAATTTCAGCACAGAGACGTCTGAACTCACGGAATGTATCGTCTCGCTCCCCATTGTCGTCCGGCATTTTGGTGGATGTTGAGGGAACAACAGCTGCAAGAGCATCAATGGCTATCGCATTTTATGATGTGAAGTAACGTCAACTTTATACAAGGCATTTGGATAAAAGCATGTATTTTGTTGTAGAGAAAGCAACAAATATGTCAAAATTTAACACCAAAGCTAAAAGCAGGAACAAAACTTTTTCTTATCAATCTATCATATGGGTCCTGGATTACGAAATAACTAAGAAACCTAAATGTTGCCCTTAACTCTAGTAAAGAAGTCCCGTTAAAAAACTTCAACTAAACTGGTAATAGTACTGTTGCTATCAATGCAGCATATACACAAATGGTGATTATATCACCATCATTATCATCATTGTAAGATTTACACAATTTCATATTTATACATAATCCTCAGCATCATTGTAAGATTTATATATGTTTTCATATATAACCATCATCACCATGATTGAAATATTCACAATTTTTGTATGTTATCATCATCATCATCATCATTTAAAGATTTACATGTTTTTAAAATATTACCATCATCATTGCAAGATTTAGATGGGGTAGATTTTGCCGCAGCTGGAGAGACAGTTGTCTTTTTCGGGGTTGCTTCCTTTGGAGTTTTCTTACTTGGTGTTTTTGCATTAGCAAGATATTCTGTATAAAAATAAAAACATAACACTGACATAACATATGAAGAAATGTATGTTAACCCTTTAATTTTTAACATTGCACATTTCATTCACTTTCATCTCTTTTTTCATTTTTTATACCAGTTTTAATATTACTGTTCATATAATACAAATACCTAATGCATGGGTAAAAAAATAATTTTTTATATATACTGCTAATACTGCTTATAAATGGTACATGTACTGAAGAGATTTATCTTGAAGGAAATCAATAAAATATCTATTGTTTAATAGGACTTTCAACACTTATATGTTTACCTGCTAGTACATGTAATAGAAATGGCTATTCACATTACAATGAATTCATTGAAAATCAACTGAAATAAATTGAATTATCAAACTTTATTTCATGACACTATGATCATGAAAAAAAATATATAACCTTTGATAAGTTTGTTGATTTCATCTTTATCCTCTGGAAGAATTTCTGAAAATCCTTCCATGTCATCGGGCTCTTCTATTTTTTTGGTAGTGGCACGAGCTCGCTTAAAAGTATTAAAGATGCAGCTTGGATGATACCATTGCTTCATGTCTCCATCTCCTCCGAACGGATTGGCCGTTACTTTCCCAATTCTCAGAGATCCTTTTTCTATTTTTGTCTTGCAACCCTTGCATCCTGATGTTCCCAACTTTGCATATCCAACAATAAACCTGTTATCTGCCATTTCACAATAGCTTTGGATTCTAGTCAAAGTCAAAGTGGTCCAAGGAGTTTTGCTTGTCAGTAAACTGTTGACATTGTTACAGGTCAGTTTGGTAGGACATGACTTTATCAAATTACCTTTTGGTAGCTTTACCAGGGCTGACGACAAGTACACATACCTAGACACTCTGTAAAATCTTAACATGAAATGTCTTTGCTCTTTGTTTAACAGATTTATTCCATCTGTAAAAGAAACAAAATACAACAGAAGCAATATTAAGTGTGAATCATATGCCATAAAAACCATAAAAAACACTTCATATCACCATGACCTAAGTACCCATTTGCCAAATATCACATTTGAGCTTTTTATGATTCTGGAAGCAGAATTCATATTTCAGGCCACACATGTAGTACTGACAATTACTACTTAAAAGAACGAAAATATATTCACTCTACTGAGTCATGACCATTATCTACAATTTCTTTTTATCTAAATGAATATGTTGAATACAATTTCCAACTTCTTACAGACCTATACCAATTCTTTTTCTAAGTGGAATTAACCCACTATATTTGACAAACAAATCAACATGTCCTCCACTTCGGTAAATACCCCAACACATTACTGACGCAATCTTAATATTACACTTGATATATTACCTGCCTAGTGTATCAGAGTGCTAGTCATACAGTGTATAATTCCGACACAGCACATTCGATATTGAATCTGTTAGTGTTTTTTTTCAGCAGCCATGTTCCCTTACCTAAAGCACAGGCATCTGTATCTGGATGGTTAACATCACAAGCAAAATTTCAGCCCACTGGACCGGATTTTTGCTTGTGTTGTTTACGTTCCAGATACATGTGCCTGTGCCTAATGCATGGTCTTTGTATTTAAACTTAACAGTTTACTTAAACCATTTGCGCATTGTCTGAGAAGTTTTTTCATCCATGGCATTAAGATTTCAGAAACCATATTTGACAAACTATGATTCTAAGCTGTTTGATATCAATAATAAATACAAATCGTCTTACCTGTACAAAACGCTAAACAAGCAAGTTTGTTTTGCAGACAATTGCAGTTGTTTAAAGAACGTTATCTCTCCTTCATAGACGAAAGAGTTACAGTATAGTAAGAGTTGTTTCCCTTAGTAAGAGACTGTCGCTAGCTGTACTTCTATAGCTCGTCAGTGACGATCAGGGCTTAAATTGGGAAGATTTGGCGGCGACTGAAGAAAATCCAAAGTGATTGAAAGAAACCTAAAGACTAGACGAGAAGGCGCAGAAGCCCGTAATTCAATAAATTTCGTAATTAAGGATATGTGTATATTCTAAACCGCGCCACTATTCGAATGAATTAAAACGTAGCATGCAAGTACCTCGCCAGAGACTATGAGTCCACCTGCGACAGCGACTTTGTAAACGGACGTTGTAAAGCATCTACGTATAAATGTATTGCATGTTAATTTGAAAAGTTCAGGTAAAATTAATTATTTTCATATTAAATTGAATATGTTAAATGTGTGTTTTCCAGTTTTTAATCAAGAGTCGTGGACAAAGACGCTTTAAATTTAATACTGCATTAGACACATATAACTAATAACATTTAATTGCACTCTGGTGCTTTTTTTTTAATTCACAAGAATATCACAGTACATGTAATTATAACTACAGATTACATGCATACCACGAAAACGTATTAGACAAATTAACTTCTATTTAACTTCGCACATTGCTTTTACTCTACATGTATCTGCAATGACCTTCATGCCATTTAAATTGAACTTGCTCTCTTTTATCTAAACAATATTTCACAGATAAAAAAAACACATATTTGAGTGCAAATTATCATCAACATAATCACATGAACTACATTACAAATGTAAAATATCGTTTATGGAAATGTTAATTAGCACTGAAAGGTCCTACAATAGAAAGAAACCTGTCACACACGAGGACCATTTCTTCACATCAGATCATTTGCTGTCTCGGGACCTCAGTCCAACTTTCTTATTTCTGTCGCTCTGGTATCTGCTGATTATTTCAATATAGCTTGACTCACTAAAGCAAAAGCTAACAGTTCCCGAGCAGGAGATTGTGAGGAATGAATTCTAAGTCAGAATCTCTCCAACATATTGATGGCTATACAAGGCCTGTCTCTAGTCCTCAAGACTTGCAACAAGACAGACCGACACCAATAACGGTTCCTGCAGGCTGTCGGGGTAGGGGTTAATACCCACCTTTTTATCTGAATTTGAACATGAAATATCTAAAGTGAAGTAGAATTAGATATAAATGACAATTCTTTTTACACCAACCAAACAGAACGTGAACAAAATCAACACGGAAACTTCAGAGTTTGTTTGAGTTTGTTTTTGTCTTTTTGTTAGATGTTGAATAAAACGTAGCAACAAAATAAGGACGATCAGGAAAGCGGAAACTGCACGACTAATTTGGGCCTTATGTCATAGTTAAAATGAAATGACGGCGTGTCCTTACACACCTGACTTTGACTTCCATGGACTCACAACGATTTAGGACATGACAGGCAGACTTTTTGTTCTCGTCTTTACACAGATTAACATGCATGCTGTCTTTTTCTTACTTTAATACGTATACAGTACATTATTATGGTAAAGAGTTAATTTCTATGATTCCTGCTGGTGCCAGCAACACACTATCATTGTAGCCCACTTGTCTGGTGGTGATGAATTTGTGTACGCCATACCCGACCCACGCCCCAAATCCCGTACCAAGAAATCAAAAATAATTAATATCTCGATAAAAAAATCTAATAAATCTAAAATTTTATACATAAAGCTATTTAATCTAACGTAACAAGTTTAAAACCCAAAGGAGGGAAGGCCTTTTTCTTCGACGATCATGGAAATATTTGTAGGTCAGATGACTGGTCATGTGATGCCTATTTTTCGGTCAATAAGGGTGGTCATGGAGTTCCTAAACGAAAATAAATAAATGAGGAAACGAACTACTTACATAAGTGAGGGGAAGGGTGATACGAAATGGTTAAAGAATTTAAAACCCAGGATGTGTATGTAAAAGCAGGGGTCAGTTACGTACAGATTAGTTCAGTATATAGGGAATGAAAGTATTTCTTGTTCCTCCAGTTCATGGAACTGATACATAAGGGCATGATTACAGGGGGACTTTTTTCTCTGTTTTAAAGCAGGTTAAAGCATCTTGTTCCGCTGATAGTATCCCATCTTATTCAAGAGGAACCAAACTGGGAATCAGTTAAAGGAGATATTCAGGGTAGAGTTAACCTTAGCCCCCCCCCAACCCCCCCCCCCACCCTCCCCCTGCCTGGTAGAGTTAACCTTAGCCCCCCACCCCCATGCCGGGTAGAGTTAACCTTAGCCCCCCCCTGCCGGGTAAAGTTAACCTTAGCCCCCCCCCCCCCACCCCCATGCCGGGTAGAGTTAACCTTAGCCCCCCCCCTTGCCGGGTAGAGTTAACCTTAGCCCCCCCCCCTGCCGGGTAGAGTTAACCTTAGCCCCCCACCCCCATGCCGGGTAGAGTTAACCTTAGCCCCCCCCCCGCCGGGTAGAGTTAACCTTAGCCCCCCACCCCCCTGCCGGGTAGAGTTAACCTTAGCCCCCCCCCCCTGCCGGGTAGAGTTAACCTTAGCCCCCCACCTCCCTGCCGGGTAGAGTTAACCTTAGCCCCCCACCCCCCTGCCGGGTAGAGTTAACCTTAGCCTCTCGCCCCCCCTTGCAGGGTAGAGTTAACCCCCCTCCCCCAAGTTAAGCACCAGTTAAGAATAGCAAGGAACATCTTAGCCACGATTTATTGTATATTACTTTAGAACTGATGTATCACATAGGTCATATTCATGAGTTAGCCCTAAGTCCGGATCTTAGATATGTTTTAGGGATTAAGGAGTTATTGGGCGAGTTTAATCTACTGGTTCGAATTGATTCAGATGAAAACTTGTACATGTCCTATGACACAACCTGTCGAGTAGGAGATGTTTTATGTGTTTGTACTAGTATACACATTGTATTTTATTATAATAAAACCAATATCGTAGTTTTTTTTCATTCGCGACAAGATTTTTTCCGGTGATCTATCAAATTTCTAATTCCTAATCTATCGAAGAGCCGTCCGATTATTGTTACCGATAAGGAATCTGCTATTAAGAATTCTTCAGAAGATTTTTTCCCCATATGTCAAAGTTCGAATTGAAGGGTTATATTATCAAGTATGCAGGTTGGTGGGTACTGTGTGAGTTAGGGGAAGGGAACCAGTATACAGGCATTACAAATAATATTGTAGAAGATGTCAATATCTTGATTAAATCTTTTAACAACTGGTAGGAAGTTTCCTTAGCAGTTCTTTTTATTCTACTATCTCCAGAATTATTACAGCAACGAGAGCAAGCGAGGGTAAATCGGATCAGGAACTTGTAAACTTAATATTATTTATTAGAATGCTCAGCTAGATCCCGATGATGTACAACTTTCAAACGTAGCTTGTCGTCCTGATGATGTGTAAGATTTAGTTCAGAGTAAAGTAAATAAAAAAAAAATGCATGTGCTTCTGCTGAGCACAGTAATAAAGAGGTCAGCGACGCAGATGTAGCAAGCGATAAAACAAAAATACGTCTAGTTTTGGAGTGTTTACAGCAGAACAATACCTACTAATCCTACATGTCACTACATCCATCCTGGCGTCAGTTATGCCATCTGATATAGCTGTCCTTAGTGTTGATAGTGAAACAGTCACTTCTAGAACACCTCAAGAAGAAATTGACAATGACTTTATCAAAAATCATGGAAGCTGAGAATGAATATTAAGAGGGCCAGTCTGTTTATGGCTGTGGGGTGCCTTCCGATACCTGTCTCCAACCTGTCGACATTGGGCAGGAGAACCTCGACCAACATTTTGATGATATTCATAACCTTGCTCCTGGTGCGGGACACACACCAGTCAGCATATTACAAGAAACAGGAAATTGAGCCATGTCATATCCTGTCCAGTTTCCGGATGGAGTTACGGTACATGTGATGTTACAAGACCACTCCACTTCTGTCCAGTTTCCGGATGGAGTTACGGTACATGTGATGTTACAAGACCACTCCACTTCTGTCCAGTTTCCGGATGGAGTTACGGTACATGTGATGTTACAAGACCACTCCACCTGAACCAATCACCATAGATAGTAAATTCTCCAGCGACCCAACCGATATTTCCTATGCTCAGTACTTGCCAGAACTTGAACACGTGATATCCAAAGTTTGTATAGCTTCGCGAAAAAGTACTGTTAATGACACATTAAGAAATAATTTTACTGCCTTTGTAAGCCAGCCGAAGGATCTCCTATCCATAGATCCAGGCTACAAATTCCTGAATCCTATCAGCAACTTTAAAGGACCTCATGGCAATGATACGTCAAGTTTCTCGGCTGCTGACATTAGATGAACAGAAATCCTTCAAGTACTTTTAGAACAACAAGGAAGATCCCATACTGTGGAAGACCATGATTGGACAAGGACATGTAAAGGTTTGAAGAATAGCTCAATCAAGGATGTTGTCATGTTCGACCACTGGTTCCATACCTTCCTTAAGCAGGTCATAATTAATTGGAATGCTGTTGGAAAATTAAGGATCATTTTCACAGGATTGAGCTTCGTCAACGTGGGCTACCCCATGCGCATTGCTTGTTCTGGTTGGAGGATGTATCACTGTTTGTGACTTTGTTGACCGATAGGTAACTTGTCGCTTACCAGAAAAAGACGAGGATCCAGAAGTGAATGAAAACCTAATTAGTGATCAGCAACACAGCTAGAATCATTCGAAATCATGCAAGAAACAACAGACTGCAAGATTCAACTTCCGCATCCTCCATCACAAAGAACGTTTGTTTCTCGCACTCAGAGCCAGACTGATCCATCTATTCAACAATCTCCGTTAGAAATGAAGACAATGACAAAGGCAATATTTGGAGGAAATCACAACACAGTCTGAATCTGCTTGTTGCAACAGGAATCACTCATAGGGACTTTGAAGAAGCTTCAAATGTCTCACAAAAACGAAAAAATATTTTTAACAGATGAATGGATCAGTCGGTACAACCGACTGTCATATACGTCCCTGGTACAACGAACACCTTCTACATTCAAAAATAGTACTACAGGATGTATTTTTTTTTATTTATCTATAACGACCGATTACCTTCAAAAGGCCCGCAGTCATACTGATAGTAAGCTCTAAGTTTGTTTTCACATGCCATGCGTTTCATATGTTATGTTGAATATTGAAAGGAAATATAATTCAAGCTAAACTAAAAATAAAAACAAATCTTCATGTTATAAATCGATATCGGCTCATATAAAATCTGCTGGGCGTGATCTATTTCTAGTCCATCCCTTCAATATCTAAATAAATGAATATCCCATTCATCCCAGCATTATACAATGGTCCTGCTTGTACAATGTGAACAGCTGGCTCGATCGATACGATTAATATTCACGTTTTCACATTAATTTAATGTTGCTAACTGTACGTCATAAGTGAAAATACAAAATGTTCGTTCTAATATTTATTTCTATCTAAAATTTATATATAGTGTCATTTACAGGTTGACTCATCTACTTTTTACTCATTTTTGTATTGAATTAAGAAAAGACTCAACCCCCGGGATCTTAGCTCAGTGATGTCAACCTATGTGTAGATCACGTGACCTCCGATAGCTTGGCAGCCATGATGGTTTTGTGAGAGAGTTTGGTTCACATAAAGACAACAGGAAATGCTGATATTCTCGTCGTTTCCTCCGAAATGTCGGAGATCATGGTAAACTGTGAATACATTTTAATATCCATCAGCCATATTTGCCTATTTTGACGTCCTGTTAGGCAGTTGGTATGCCAGCTGACTCATTTATTTTGGGCTTTGATAAGGCTTTCCGATGTACTGGGTCGTCTCATGTTTTGATCCAACAACAATAGGTTAATATGACTCAATATTACAGTATATCACGTTGTATTGTATCCTTTGTCCCACAATCTTATATCCGATGATCGAATGATTTATACCTTTAGTTTTATTGATTTTTATTGGTAGTTCATTTCAGCGTTATAATGGGCGAGATGACGACAAGTGAAAACTAGAATGTTTTTTCTGGTCCTTTGTGGCTTTGTGTGAGAGTGAGGACGAATGGTGTACTGTAACCTCCGATAACCATGTGCTATCGACACATATAAACATCTTACAAAGTAACTGACACGGTTTTTTCTACATTCCTTATTCTATCGTTTTCCGATTTGGGTTTATTTGGAACCTAGTGTAACTTGATATTGTCAGAGGGACCTTACTAACCAGGCTTTCTGGCTGTTCTTTTTCTCTCTATCTAAACTCTTGAAATTTGCTACAAATGGAGATTCAATTGACAAAGGTATCTTATAAATGTTATTAAGAATTGATTTTAATATGTTTCAAAAGTTTATTGGTCTTTCAAATATTACAAGATGTTTGAATAAATTTGCAAGCCTCAACTATGTTGTACATGGTTTGCTGGTGTTCCTTCGAAAGGTTGATGTTATAACACATGCAATGGTAGGTTAGTAGCTGGTTAAGTTGGTTAGACTAAACAACGATATATTGGTCCAAATGTAAGATGAAATGTTGACTTTTGAATTTTAAAATCTGATTTATCAAACCATACCAGGAGAATGATTCTCATGTTTAAGTAAACATTGGAATTTCATGTGGTCAGCTATTGAACTAATAGAGTTTTAAAATGTGCAGATGTGACATGCAAAATACTGTACAATGTGTCTATGCCTCTATATAAAATATCCATTCATAATGAAGAAGTATGGCAAAAAGGAATTGAAGAGTGTGGTTATACAAGAATACATATGTATGATAACATTACTTGGAGGGTGACAACATTGATTTATCATTTGTCACTATGGCAGATGTGTGTTTGTAACTTGTATGTGCTTTTGTAATGAAGACTGGTTTTGAAATATTTTCTTCAGTTTTTAACAAATCATCTTCATTCAATATAAAATCTGTTAAAGATCTTGTTATTGTATAAATTTAAGTGTGCATGGTAAATGTTTTTCATTCTGTGCCCTTAGCTCACCATCATCAGATCATCATCTGTCAATGTTCCCCCACCCTCCATCCTTAATTGATCATTCTTGTTCTGTTGTTTGTTCTCAAGAAGTACCTGATGAATATTCCTCTTTCCATATGTGCATTATTCATCTTGGTTTCTATATGTGCACATGCTTCAATGTTGGGAATGATTTGAAAAAAGCCAGCTTACTGATGGCTGTCTTTTATTTTGTCCACTTATGTTTGTTGTAACTATTTCCTGAGAATTTACAGAACTGAATTGATCTTCTCAAGTTTCATATGTAGGTTACCATTTACACATAAAAAAATTGTCTGGGTTAACATTCGGAAGCTCGAGGGCAGTCCTATTCTTTACAAATAGAAAAGAACTCTTGTAAGGTTTAATTCTTCAATTCACTATTGATATGACAGTTAAATGGTTAGCAAGGAAATACATGATTTTTTCTTCTGCTCAATCGCATGTACAGGTTCTCTGAATTTTTTAACATGTCAATCACATGTACAGGTTCTCTGAATATTTGTAACTGGTCATTTTTAACCTTACAATCACATGTACAGGTTCTCTGAATTTTTGTAACTGGTCATTTTTAACCTTACAATCACATGTACAGGATCTCTGTAATTAGGCATGAGCAGATGTTGATATGTCGTATCATTTTGTTTATGTTACATGGATTGGTCTTACTATCACAGTGATTAAGATATATTGGTTTGTGAAAACTAACTTTAACACATATGTGCAGGAACAATGTTTTAGTCTTTACCTCCTCTTTCATTAGCATTTTAAACTATTGAGATAACTCTTTAGGCTTGCGGATTGTTTTACAAAATTCAAAATTTTCATTATCATCAAAAGTTATCCCATTGTTTTGTTCCACTGCTACCTCACACATTGATTGATTCAGAAAGTTAAATACAGTTTAATCAGGTCTTCCACTCCTAATTATTTTGACAACCAATTTGATATTAAACAGTGGTTTTCATTTATTTTTCAGATTGTGATATTTACGGATCTCTGCTGTGTGCTGTTTTAATCCAGTTTTAATCACATCTGAGGGAATTGTGCAATTTAACAGATATTTATTACTCTTTCTCTTGTGAACATTAATGCCCATCAGTATCCTGTATGTGATGTTTGTCTAAGAAATGAACATGGGTCAGAAAGTGTCAGGTGGGATAAAGACAGTAACGTCTAGAGAGACTACCTACAAGGCACTTTATAAAGGCGACATGGTATACAACCCAGACTTCCAGAAGCCCAGTCGACTGGACATGCTACTGGACATGCCGCCCACGTCAAAAGATGTCCAAGTCAATCATTCATGGAATCCAGATGATCGTTCACTCAATATATTTGTTAAAGATGATGACAAATTGACTTTCCACAGACATCCAGTTGCACAGAGTACAGACTGTGTGCGTGGTAAGGTAGGATACACGCGTGGTCTGCATGTGTGGGAAATTGTGTGGAGCACGCGACAGCGGGGAACACATGCTGTAGTTGGAGTGGGAACCAGTGAAGCACCCCTACATTGTGTAGGATATCAGTCCTTGGTAGGTAGTAATTGTGAATCCTGGGGCTGGGACCTCGGCCGTAACAAACTTTATCATGATGTGAAAAATAACCCAGGTGTCACTTACCCTAGTCTATTAAACTCAGATGAGAACTTTGTTGTGCCCGACAGCTTCCTCGTGGTGCTGGATATGGACGAGGGTACATTAAGTTTTGTTGTAGACGGACAATACCTTGGTGTTGCATTTAGAGGCCTCAAAGGAAAGAAACTTTATCCTATAGTGAGTGCTGTGTGGGGACATTGTGAGATCACCATGCGGTACATAGGAGGGCTGGACCGTAAGTATTTTAAGCTTTGTCAAATTCATTGTCTGAAAAATTGGAATCACGTACACTGTTGAAGAACAAATGATCTGTACTCATGAAGTTGGATGAATAGAAATGATATGTATATTGTTTTGATGTAATCAAAAGATCTTAAAGGAATGGAAAGAAAGCTATATAACTACACATTAATGTAAATATGTATGTAATCAAATCTTCTACATGGTAGATGTGAATAGGAACCTTTTTCTGGTAACGGTTTCTACCAGATGATAGAAATGAGAAATAGTTTATTACTGTATAATAGGCCAATAACTACTCTTCAGTAATTGTTTTGCGATCATGCAAGGAGTCTAATTACAATTTGGAGCCAAAGTTCGTGTATTTGCCCCTATACTTGTTATAGGATAATTGATACAGTTAAGTGAAGTCACTGTACAAAGTGTGTAAGCTATGTTTTTTTGCTTTCAGCTGAACCATTACCATTGATGGACATCAGTAGACGCATCATTCGCCATAACCTTGGTAAAAGCAGACTCCATGAAATTAACAAGCTTCCATTACCAAATTCTATAAAGAATTACCTTCTTTATCAATCATAGCAGGAAGTGTGATCAGAGTTGTCCTCTCTTGACTTTGTGGTGTCGCCGAACAGCCATATCCTGCCTCAACTTGATTAGGGGGAAAGGCCTAGCTGTCCTCATCAGATCTTGTCATTTGACAGGAACACTCTTGCTTCTCTCTACATGGCTGTTACAATTCCCTGGACATTTTCAATGATACTGTTACTATCAATTGTCCTGTTAATGGATCTCAAGATAGCATTTATATCTCTACCCAAAGTATTTAGACAGTATGGCGCCATGCTTATAGGGCCAAAATGTGTATGAGTGATATAAAATCCATTAGGGACAACATTGTAGCAAATACAAACGTTCATCCTTGAAAGTCATACATCATTGTTTTTTTTAACAAAAACAAAATACAACTATGGAATCTCTATACATTACTTCAGACAGAACTACGATTAAATAGTCTTTCCTTGATTGTTTTTGGCAGTGGTATTACATAATGTTGCAATAAATTTTAAACCTCACCAAAAACTGTCTTATATGAATACAAAGCTGATATGTAACAAAAATTTACAAGCTTTATAGCAAACATGCTGTTCATTTGAGGTGTTTTTGGTGAAAGTTCAATAGGTCTTTGCAATAAGGTAGACATTTTCACATTGCTACTTTTTTTTTCGATAAATTTTAATTTGAGAGTTTTAAAATGTGTACAAGCATTTGAATGACAATATTAGCTTTCTGAAAAAAAAATTCTTCAGTTTTATTATTTAATATTTTTAAAAATGACATAACCTTCAAAGAGGGAATGGTGATGAAGTTTTAAAAAAGTTGATAAACAGAGATGAATTTAGTTTCTTTGTATAGATAATTTTATGCATGAGTTGCCTGAATGTCGACTGTCCAATGTTATCGAAGGGAGACAACTGCTTATCAGTGACTTGTACAGGTATGGGTACCTTGATTAAGAGAAGTGTTTTAAACCAATTTTTCCATTAGAATGTTTGCATGTATGTAGTACATATCTTTAAAGTGTGTGATGTCTTATGTATTTAAGACAATTTTTAATTGTGAAATGTCTTAATTTGTGTTTATATTTAATTTCTTTTAAAAGTTCATCGCAATGGAAGACAGTTTGAACATGATAAGTAAGTTAAGGTTCAAGTAATTTTCAACTTAATTATCACCACAGGTGTCCATTAATGATAATATATTTAATCTTAAGCATACATACAGATCTTATTGTCACAATTGGATGGCAAATTAAATTGCTATAGAACCTGATGTGTTAAAACTCGGCAGAGTTCTTCACTTCTCAACTCAAAAGTAAATGGTGTACCCAACAAACGATATATTTCCTTTATGTAACTTAAACACACATAAAAGTTTTTTTTTTAAATAATCTTTCATTAAGACAAATCTATGTTAATATTTTTAATTTTCCATGGAGTTCATATATTAATTGAAAAGTACAGGTCATATATTTTGCCTACCTTCAAATGTAGAAAATTCAAGCCATGAAATTTAACTTATACTATTCGTTGTTTCACATTGAACAAAGAATCCATCTTGCCATACATTTAAAGTAGTGTTCTAATCAACATAGACAAACCTCAGATAAGTACTTGTAATGATATTTCAGTGTAATTGAATGCTATCCACATACTATAATAAGCTCTACATTGTATTTGTTTATTTTGGGTTCAATCAGTTGAACAGACTTGTGATATTTAGACAGATCTTCAGATCTTGTGCCATAATCTTAAGTTTATATCTATCGTAATGAAACACAGCGTAGTTGGATCACTAAACTATCAGTTAGGATTGCTGTCCTATTTCTTTTGGAGTCAGGTCAACTGCCGTCCATAGTCATTTGATGTGTATGGGTTTCATCAGCTGTCAACCCTCCTGCTATTGCCCAGTGTTATCCCTCATATTTCTTAAACACATTTTATTCACAATTTTTTTTTTATGACCCTTATTTCATCATCCATTAAAAACACATTGATTCTGGAATAATTGATTATCAGCTCATCATCATCATCAGATTTGCTGTTCAAATTATTTTTCATGCAAAATCTTATTTGTAGTCACCAGTTGGTATTGTTATTTCTTAATGGCCAAATGTGAGATATGATGTTTGTTATTGCTATTTATCATGAAAATTCTAGATCAGGGTCAAGTAAAGCGTTAGTGTATAATACAACTGGGCAACTTCATTAGGATGACATTTGGTACCATCTTTGCAGCAATTGCCATGTAACAGTGCAATATTGAAAGGTATAACCCAAACTTTTCATTGCTGAAGATAAAAGTTCATCATGTTGGAGGTAATTTATATAAAATTCCACATTCCTTTCCAGTGAAATATCCTGGTTATGAAGAAAAGTCTGAGGATAGCAAAAGTAACTGATCCTCATTCTGTGATTTATTTGCATTACCTCAGAGTACCAAGGGCCTTCGTGGATCAAGTTGATATTGCTCTCATTCAGTATTATTTTTCCAAACTTTTAATTATATTAATCAAATGTAGTGGTACACATACAGAATATTTAATCATGTGGTACACCTTTGAGGAAAGTCTTACTTTCATTTTATCTAGTTAAATGTGTTGACTAAGGATGGTGAAACTGGTCTGGTTTTAATGCTCTCTTTGTATCATCACCCCTTTGACACCGGTAACAAGTGCCCTTATAAGGATGGGTTCAATGTCACACAATACTAACTATCACTTTCTGTGCTTGTCTTGTGTTATGGAATAATCATAGTCCCATTAATATTTTGATGAAGATGTTGGGCATTTACATAATTTTACATAATTATTTTAATTGTATTTTCAACAAAATTATAAAAATGAATCTCAAAAATAGTAAAAATATTGTCTAGAAAGATTCTTTGTTTAATTCAATATTGCGTAATTTTATTTTATAAACTATCATCAGAAATAATGTGACTATCTGGCATGTCCATTTGGCTGATCACATCGCTGGTAGAAACAAGTTTTTTTCAAGGGTTCTTGGTGGCTTGATGTTTAAACACACGCAATAGTCTTTACTCTCTGATCTGTTCCACTCTTTAAGAATTTTTAGTTGTGTTTTCTCAAAATAACATGACAAGAAGGATCTTTCTAACCTTAGTCATGCATTTTACATTTTGGGTTTTTATCAGAAACCAAGATGGCATTGAAAAACTATCTTAGATATTTGAGTTAAAGACTTTAAAGTTTGTTAGTGCTATTTTTTCGAAAGAATTATTCACATGTACAGCTCTCTGAATCCCTAGATTACATTTCTGGATTTACTGTTGATTTGATGTTAACACATGATGTAAAACATAATTTGGAGGAAAGAGTAGAAAAGATACATAGAACTGCCCAGGAAATGAAGATCATATAAGGAAAGCCACCAAGAACTTTCCTGGAAATATCTTATCAAAACTACATCCTAGATGGTGTAGTTCTAGTTCTGCAAAATGAAGACGGTTCTCAATATACATTTGTTCTTAAGATTAGAAAAATCAGATGTTCTTAACATATTTTTTATGAAATGTAAAGTCATGTTATGCTCACTGAATGATATTTACCACAGGAAGTGTGTCAGCCTTGTGTCTCTCCAGAAGATTTTAACTTTACAAATTCATAAAACATTACAGGCACATTGCTTAACTGAGCAGTATATCTGTTTAATGTGTCGGCCGTACAAGTCGAATCCTATGTGGTATTAATTTCCAGTTTTCTTGACAAAGATGAATGACATGATTCATATTCCTATGTAAGATTTTCATGACTTACTGACTGTACACTGGATCATTCTTTGTTTGTACCAAACTTCTATAAAATTATCAGTATTTCAGAGTCGTTTGTACAATTAGCCACATGAGGCTCACAGATGCATGAAAGGTTATAAACAGTGATGAAAAGACAATAGTTTTGTTGTAAACTGCTGATTACATGTGCATGTCACTTTTATTATATCTTTTTAAGATATTATGTAAAGATTCTTACAGGTCAGTGCCTATTAATTTTAAAGCTCTTCCTTTCACATATTTTGTCTCCACCTATGCTTTCATGCCTACATATTTAACACATAAAAACAATATATATTTTTTTTAAGTTACACCAATGTAATGCTAGTCTGCAGAAGTTTTAAAAGTTCCTGTCTCTTGTATGCTGGTTTCACTTGCCTTTGAAAAAGAGTTTTCATCTAAGTATGATGAAACTCCTGTTAAGGACAAATTTATGGTTGATAAAACTGATATGCTGAGAAGGGCACAGACAAGTTTTGAGAGGACACAGTGATATGTCATTCAAACATACGATGCTCACAGTTATAAGTATATGTATGTGGCTTATTTTTAAGTATGTATGTAATATGTTTGTTATGTCTGAAAATAGAAGGCGTATGAAGGACTTCACCATAATTTATACATTGACCATAAAGCCATTTATTTTGTGGGGTAAAAACAAGCAAAGTGCTGTTTTGATAAACAACAAAACAGATTTTATGATTGGTCAAGAATATTTTATTTTTTTTTTAACCTATGATTTAGATATTAATATATGTAGACTTATTTTAATATTGTAATGACCAATGACATATGGTCATGTAATTAAGGGTGTTTGACAACATGTGATATACATAACCATAATTTATTGAGTAAGTGTTTGATGTCTTTCCTCATGTAAAAACATTTTTAACAGTACCGCTTCAGTGTCTGTTTTTGTATTGTGTTTTAATAATTTTTGTTCGCACACAACTAGTCATGTTCAATCAAACCTGAAGTGGTGTCAGTTTGTGGTTTATAACTTAATATTATTTAACAAATAACAGATTCATTTAACAGAATTTGTGTAAATTTTAACCAAGTTTGTGTCAGATTTACTGAGGTTTTTATATGTCAAATCAGATGATAAATGGGGCTACTCCTTAGTGCCTGCAGTCGATTCTCCTCAATAGCAGCCAGAACTCTTGTGTAGTACTTTAAAACTTCATATTAGTGCTGCAGAGAAAACATACCAGATTATCACTGAATAT